AGTAAAAGCATCCTCGTTCCCGAAAAAACGTCCGCTACTTGTAGACGTCCGTTAAGAGTAATATTATCAGTTATTATTATTATTTATGATTTTTTCTCGATACTTTTAACATATTTGATACGATTTACAATGGATAGCACTGAAAGAAAATTTGACTACGGATAGGTACTTTAAGGAGGTCATTTTTTGATTTTCCCAGGAGTTACCTGAATATGTTGGAAACCCGGAAAAAACTTAGGACAAACGGGAAAATGTACAAAATGTAAGTATTAATTAAATCAAGTCAAAATTTAAAAGTAAAAACAAAAACTATTACATTACGCTCAACTTAGTTTTTTTTTTTTTTTATCACCAAAAACAACGGCTTATAATGAACCTCGTGTTGTCTTAAAACTTAACTTAAAATTTTCTTGCTTGGCCGAAACTATATTCTATCCACTTAATACCGAATAAAAACTAAAAAAAAAAACTCGACAATTTTGCATTTCTATAAATAGTCCGAAATTCGCCAGGATGTTTTGAAAATTTAACCGCGTCTAAAAACGGCTAATATAAGTGTTTTGAGAACATTTCAAGTCTTTACGATCATTTTTAACTGAATTTAATTTTCGCGAACAATGTTTCCTATTTGAAACATTACTTTAATCGAAAAATGCCTAGAGATCTTTTTTGTTGCATTTTGGATCTAATTGTTCACGAAATAAATCGTTTTATTATTATCTCCTAGTAGTTTTCGTAACAATTGAGAAAACAAAAAAAAGACGGGAAATGAAACGAATAATTATTTTACGGCATACAGAACAGGAACGCTTAAAATTTTTACAGAAGGTCCATTATAAGTTGTATTTAGTGGTAAAAAAAAAATTTAAGCATAACGTTTTTTTTTTTTTTTTATATATATACGTATAAGTGTTTTAATATCAAATGTTGATGATAATCGTAAATGTTGCGGCCTTCCGAAATATAAATGTATGAATATATTATAAATACCTCTATGTATCCTATCTTCCCAACTTCCCTCGTACAACAGTGACACACCCGTCCCCTGTATCGGTTCTTTTTTTTATATTATAGCTATAAAATACGATAATTTCGACTGATATATTAGAATTTGTCTTTATATTGTACTTTATCTGTTCTCGTTATCCATATACCGTAGTCATTACCCACTCGAACGTAGATAGTGGGTATTTATAACAAGTACTTTTCGTGATTCACGTATTATTTCTCATGTTTCAATAATTTAGTCGAGTGAGTTTTTATAACCGTCATAAAATATGACGTGCGTACTACGCGATCTCGACGGGCGATTTTTCACTTAGCATCTATATAACGATAAAAATGTTTTCAAACGGAAATAATCGATATGACATCATACGTCGACGTATTCGACTGATAGCGACACATCCGTTTATTAAGCCTCGTATCCAATGTAAAGTTTTCGCCAATTATTAAAAAACTACAAAGGAAAATCGAAAATTCCATACCTATCCTTCAGTAAAGACGCTGCACTTGAAAATCGAACATTTCCGGTAGAAAAGTTGTTATCATGGTAACAACTCTGTGCACGGACTCTGCAGACAGATATTAAAACACACACATCCATAGTAAAACCGTCATATTCCTAGCTGCGCTCAGAATCTAACGTGTAGTTTTTTTTTACCGTGTCTTTTATTTAAATTAGGACAAACAAAATGGTGCTGAAAGCTGAGACGTTTTTATTTTGATTCTAATTCAGAAGTCAAAATATACTGCTGTTATCAGAACTCCGGAAACACATTGCTGCTGCATAATAAATTATTTTTAATAACATATCGCCAACTAGCAATAACAGAGACATCATCAAAAATGTTACTGCAATGACGTCCTCTTAACAGGATCTAACTGACGTCTCAGTCCTGACCGACGGCCAGCGTGGCAAAATTATGTTACTTAGAATTGTCGAGTTTATGTCGGAACTATAGAGTTGAAACACAAATAACACAGTTTAAAGAGAATAATATTTTCGAGGGCTAAACGTAAGGTTTTGTTTATTTTCGTACAAACTTCAAACGCCTCAATTTACGGTCCACGTAACGTGATTTGTTTACGTTGCCCGTTAATTACTGAGACCGCCTGATTAAAGTCTTCTTTGACGTTTTTCGGTGCAATTTACTACGTTTTAACGTCAACTGCATCGGTTTACACTCGACGGCTCTTAAAACGACGTGGTGCAGTGTTCTGTACTCGCGTACAGTTTCCGGCAAAAGCACAACCGATGCGATCAGCGATCTGACTGGGGTGGTACTTAAGGGAGGTAATTTTTCGCTTTTCTCGGGATTTTTCCCAATAAATGCTAGGAAAATCAAAATATTATTTGGGAAAATGGATATAATAACGAACAAATATTTTTAAAGAAAATATTTAATGCTCGTGTAATTATTTTACCGTAATAGACAAAGCAACACTATCAACTGAACTCCGCACAGAGTCGTTTATTCGTTATTTTGCTGTGCATATTGGTGTATAATAAATGGCGGAACGAGATGAAAGTCTCTAGTAATATAATATTCGCGTGTTATTATTATGCACTGCAATTACTCATGCGTCGCAGTTGTTATAAATATCATAATGTCATGATATTATGCAGTCGAGGTTCAAATGTTTTAATTTTCCGGTTATATAGTGTACGATAACATGACGAAACGTCTGCGAAATTGATTTAAAATTAAATTTGCGTGCGGTTATCGTCTGTAAACCGTCTGGACGTTTGATGTGCAAAGTATACATCAACATAACGGGGCGGGGGTCGCAAAATTTAATACAGCAACGCGATCAAAGTGGTATTATAAAACATAAAACGCGAAATTACTATGGCGGCGAGGCGCGGTTTATACTATAGTGCGGAAACCCGCCCCTAAAAATGTTTGCGGAGTTTTATATCGAAGAGACGATTATGATATTATGCGAGTGGCAAAAGAGAAAAAAAAAACTATTATGGAACAAAATGTATACGTACACGTTCGCCCGTTCGCGTTCAATAGATATTATTGACGATAGTATATCTAATAAAAATATTCTGCCGGCGTATCCGAGATCATTTTCCTCCTTGAAATTTAACCCGCCTCCCCCCCCTGTACATTTTTCCTGATGAAATTTTACCTTCCGATAAATATTTTCTAGTGAAATTTGGTTTTTTTTAATAACTATGTTGAATTTATTTATTTACCTCTCGAATCAAACCTTTTGACACCTTGACGGAACTTGTAGACTGTATACACTATACGCAGTACAAAGAAAAACGGTTTAAATTAAATAAATAATGTAAATAAGTGTATAATTGTATTACTGTTTGTCATGACTGTATTTTGTGTAAATACAGAAATCAAAAAAATGATAACTTTTGTTTGGAGAAATAATGCCTATGTGATTGTTTTTACCATAATACCACATGTTATACATACATTGTGGACAAAGCGACGCTATTAACCGAACTCCGTTCAGAATCGTTTTTCGTTACATATATATATATCAGTAAAACCGTACAGAACGAAATTATACGTTCATCATATACGGTACGTTAACAAACGACAATATTACAAACAATGTAAAGCCCTTTCCGTATTATAGTAACATGTATGCAACGAAACAATAGAAAATTAAAATTATTTAAAAAAAAAAAAAAAAAAAACTGGCGAAAGTTTCCCGGGTTGGGGGGGGGGGGCGGTGGTAGGTTTTCGCTGGTGATATTTGACCGCCGAAAATTTTACAGGGAGGTAAAATTGCGCCCGGTGAATAATCGCGGGTACACCGGGCTATTGGACTTTCGGTACGCATATTCGAAAAGGAAATTTCAAACATGTTTTGTTTTTCTTTACGAGTGTGACGTTGGCTCGATGACTCAATTGCATTCGTACACCATGCAGTTGTCGCGCGCGCCTGTGAACCGCCCCTAACTGCGTTTTACGGCCGCGGTCCATGTTCGTCGGGTCACTTGACGGCCGCGCGCGTCCGTTTTACAACTGTGTCCACACGTTTACGACCGCCCGCGGACATTCTCTCTACGGAACTTCGCCGTTTCAATACATTTCGTAACGGGTACACGTTTGCACTAAAATCCGGCCGGTTTTACTCGGTCTGCGTGTGCGTTGTTTTTGCGTGTCGCCCCGCGGTCGGACTGAGACGGCCGACGCGTGGGCGCGCGTCCTCTCCAGAACCCTGGCCGTACGGCTTCGGACGGGGGAGGGGGGAGGGGTGCGTGGTGATTTGGCCGCTCCGGCATTCGCGGTTCGCAAAACGATATTTTACCGGCCGCGACGGCGGCGCCCGGGCCCGGGTGCCTAAGCCCTCCGGTCGGCCGGCATTCCCGTAGGGTCTCGCACCCCCCCCGGGTGTAAAACGGGCGCCGACGACAAAGACCACGGTCGACCGCGGAACGGACGGCAGTGACGTGGGCGCTGCATTATCGTCGCGCCGCAGCCGTGTCGCCGCGCCGTATCATCGCGGCCGCGATTTCCCCGGCCGCGGCCGCCGCTACCGCCGGCACGTGCCGCTTGACCTATAAACGCTCCGGTAACCTAGCGCCATTATAATACCGTTTACGACCGCGTTAGATAACAAGCGGGCACGCACGCACGCGCGCGCGCGCGCATAATTTATTACAACAACCGCGCCGCAATAATAGTGACGATAATGATACGAGACACACGCATTACAATATCGGCGGGCGGGCGTTATAATAGCCGCGCGGCCGTAAAATAACGAACGACGACGACGATAATGATAATAACAATAATAATAATAATAATAATAATAACAATATTATTATTACAGCCGGCGCGGTAACCTTATGCCGCGTGTATACCTACGCCGCCGCTTTTCGACGTAGTCGTCGCCGTCGTTCAAGGCTGTGCGCGAGCCGTGCTGCAGGTTCTCCGGCCACGTTATCGCGCGCGTACGCGTTTTGACAGTCGCGCGCGGCGGCGGCGGTCAACCGCGAGCCGCGTATATAACGCCGGTGCCGCCGATCCTGTGCGCCCGTGGTCCGCTTCGTCTCGTCCTCTCGTCACGTAATCCGTCGTCGCCGTCGCCGCCGCCGCCGCCGTAGCCGTCACCGCCGAAACCTACGAGCCGTTTACCGACAACGACTCGCCCGCCAAACCGCCGCTGCAGCCCGCAGGCCCGGCAGTAACACCGCGACGACGACGGCCCGACCGCGCACAGTGTTCGAAATCGCCGAAATATATTTACAACATTGTTGTTATTACATAAGTTTGTTCGGTCCCGTTCCGTTCTCGCCGCCGCCGCACGACAACAAATCGCGACAACAAAACACCGTGCCGCCCGCTCGTAACGCATTCCGCACGTAGCGATGCTGCGCCCGATAACAGTGGCCGCGGCCGCCGTCGCGTTGGTGGCGTTCCTCGTCGTTCAAGTCTCCGGCGCCGCGTACACCGCGATCACCTGGGTCAGTATATCCGTTGCTTTTGTCGGCGCCGTTTCTCGCGCGCTCTTGTTTTCCGGCGTGCCCCACGCCCCCCCGCACCAGAAATACCGGGTACCCCTTAGGCCCGCCCCTCGGACCTCGGGGGGTGTCACCGTGACGGCTACATTGTTCGAAAGAGATTCGATACCGTGAACGCCGAAAATCGCCGAGAGTTTCGCCGGACCGTTGCGGGCCGCCCCGTGACGGCGTCTTACGAATGTTCGCGGTCCGTTTCGAAACCGCCGTGGCCCGCAACGGGACCGTAATAAATTATTACCAGCCTTGGGTGGTCGCAGTCCATTATTATTATTATTATTGTTGTACACCTGCGGATACGCGCACGCGTGTTTCGGGTGAGACATGTCAAATTGATTTACCCGCGACAAACGATTTACGCCGTGTATTGTGTTTTAGGTGACGATTGGGGGGGGGAGAGGCAGGGGCAGGTACTCGTACGGTTTTCCGTGTTTTCGACCCCCTCCGCCGCGTCATGTTAATATCGTTCACACTTGTATCCGGAAACGTGTTCCGTAGCCGAAAACCGTTTTTGCGTGAAACGAAAATTGGTATTTTGCGTTTGCCGTGCCGGATTTTAAGCTTCTGTACGTTTTCGGGGAATTGTTTTAGTTTTTTTTTTTTTTTCAATAGAACTATAAAAGCGTTTCGCGACCGATCGGTAATCGCGACACTCTACGAGATTTCTAAATACACGCGGGCCGATAACTTTTGTGCCCAGAACATTATTTAATAACGGGCGATCGCGTGCCCGATCAATACCTGAAGACGTTATTGAATTATTTCAAAAGCCGAAAAGTCGCGTGAAATAATACAACAACAATGGCGACTGCTGCAGTCTCGGCCCGAACCGTCTCCATGTTACGTGCATAAGAAATAAAACTAAAAATCGATTTTTTCGCGACCCGATGGCGGCTCAGGTCGCGGTAACCGTAGCGGTCGCGTTTACAGCCGTGTTTACTTCAGTTTTAAACTTTTTGGCTTTGCCGATTAATAAATTAATCTCCACGCGATTTCCGAATATTTTTTTTTTCGAACGGGCCGCCGCCAGAACACATCTGAAGTTTTCTTCCCGTGGCCGTGTTACGTTTTCGGGCGATAACCGCGCGCGCATTCAACACGCTTCGAATCGGGGGGGGGGGGCGCGCAACTGTCTGCCTTGCCTACTTGCTCATAATGTTATTTGTTTGTGTGGTTTTCAGGATCATTTGTTCAACTACCCGCAGAAACACGCACCGGGTCGCGGACGGCCGAGCAGATACTGCGCGTCGTGCGGTAAATATGCCACATTACATTATAAACGCATAAAAATCCGCGGTTGCTGCGCACGCGACGGACTAAAACAACAGTCGAACTTGCGCGCGCGTCACGGCACCGGGACCGGGGAGACCGACAAGACGTCTCCGGTCGGTACGATTTTCCGGCGGTGTGGGGGCGGGGGACAGTTGAAACACTCCGGCGGTGTGTTGCCGTCGCGCTAAAGCAAAATAAACCAGACGTCTCCGTTTGCGTGACAACTCTGCGTGTTTTCGAAAATCGGATCCGTCCGGTTGTCACGCCGTACAACCGATTTGATTTTTTTCCCCCTTGATAGCGTCCGATCGAAAAAACTAATTTCGACAAAGTCGGAGGTGTCTTGTCGTTGCTCCCGGGTCTATCGCACACTCGACGACAATTCTCGCCGGGACAAGCGTGTGTTCGGTCGTTTGCTAATCGTATCGGTGCACGAATTAAATAACATCATTGCTCCGCTTTACACCGAGATCGAACCTCTTGTCGGCGAACGGCAGTAGGAACTGTTTATCTAAAATAAACGTGATTATAAGCGTAAAAGTGTCTATAAAAAAAAAAAAAAAACCAGTAAAGAAATAATTCATAAGTAATATCCGTTAAAATTATATGATGGTATTATCACGAGGGAACTGCACTGTCGTCCCAAGCCGAAAGTTAGTAAGCGACGCGGTTACGATTTTTTCTACCTTTTTAAATCGTATCAATGGACAACGGACAATAAAAAAAAATACCGCGTGTGAGTCAATGTACTAAGGAAAATTACCGCATAGTGCGGTCGGCTACTGGGTGTTTGCTCGGTATTATGTCTGATATTGTTTTTTTTTTTTTTTTACTATTTCGTATATATTTTTTAAATACGTACTAGGTATACATTACTTGCGTTTAACCATCACGTTTATTATGCAATCTATTGCGGTTACGATATTTTCGCTGAGGAACGAAAAAATCCGCCTTAGAATAGTAAAAAATATTTTTTCCATACATATATACATGAGTCGTATTTCACATTTCGTCACTTGTACTCAGGGATGGACAAGATACTTCAAAATTAGTATCCGGTTACTCGATACTTAAATTTCACGCGTTTAAGTACTAGGTATTCAAAGCTCGAATCTCGTTACATTAAAATGAATCTACGAATTACATTTTCCACGCATGCAAGATCCTCGACTATACGATGGTTAGTAGTTTTTTTTGAAATTTCATACAATTCCCTGATTTTCTTCCAATCAATTTCAATTCGTAATGCATTTTTCGGTAATCGCAGAGGGTAAATGATTCGCTTAACTCTCCTTCGGGTGCCTATGGGCAAGATAATTCAAAATGAGCGCCTTGTATCGATACAAGATAAATTGGATCCGGTACCGCAATATAAAGGACTCGGTACTTTCCATAACTGTGCCACAAGATACAATCGTATCTATGGTACGTAATTAAGATACACTTGCATTGAAGAAAACACCGCAACACTGCTTACAATTTATATTTTGGCTCGGGTGTGGGTGGGCGGGACAGCGTGACCTCGAGAGTTTCGGGGAGGCCAAATAGTAGTAAAGTCACCCCTCAGAGGCGGTGAATTTTTCGAAATTATTAATGTATTATCGACACTGCCGGTTTATCGCCGACGGCCGCCCGCAGCACCGGCCGTGTCCAAACAATAAAGTATCCGCAATCCCCCGCGCAGAAAACGCGGTCCCCCGGTCGGCGTTACGGTGTTTCTAAACGACGACCATCGAGCTCAGTCGATGTTTTCCACTGCAAACAAAAACGGAGACAAACACAATTATTTTATGATTTCGAGGGGTCTTATTTCTCCGCCGACGGCACCGAAAAATAATTAATATTTGTCTACGTACTTTGAACGCACGTCTATATACTCGTATAGTGTGTACTTTACTAGCAGTATCGTGTGTTGATATTGTCGCGGGACGTATTATATACATTTATACGTCGGCTCTAAGTACAACAACGTTATCATTTTAGGATTTGTTATTTTGTTGTCTTTTATAATTGGCCATTTTCGTCGGACGACGTCGTCGTACATCGTCCGGAAGAAACTGCACAACAAACACAGACAATCACATACAGAATAATAATAACAATACAACTTTTGTTGTTTTCGCGATAAACAAAGAGAGAGAGAGAGAGAGTCAATATTATATCAGTAAGTGTGTGTGTCTATATATATATATATATATATGGCCCCATTCGAAATGTCCGAAATAACAAACTGGAGAATTTAATGATTCGTTAAACACATAAAGGGCCGTTCAAATGTGAAACATTAACAAGAAAGACAAACGTACTTAAACCTCGGAAAAAAAAACAAATTCCGTGTCGACAACTAACGAGGGTTAGCGTTAGCGTTAGAAATCGTCTGTACGTTTTCTACGGCATATATCATAGAACCGTTTTTCGTGCAAATGTTTAAATTTCGAACACGTACCCGTTTAGCGGATTCAAACGGCCATGTTATATTATCGAAGTAAATCGTGAAAATTATCGATTTACCACGTCATGAATTTAAAAAAAAAAAAAAAAAAAAAAAAAATGTTATATTTCATATCGGTTATTACTTATTACTTTGTATTATTATTATTATTATTATTACAATAAAACGTAATCATAATTGAATAACCGTTTAAAATTGAATTTCGTACACATCGGGCGCGCGCGCGGTTTAATTGACCCGAACGGTTATCCCGATATATTATTACAGTTAACCTTAACCTAATAAAACAAAACAAAACAAAATAGTCACAATATTTTCGAAAAATTATTCGCCTGTCCGGTATCTCTGATTAAACAATATACTCGTAGAAATATTTTCGCAAACCACCCAAACCCCTTTGTCATATTTTTTTTTTTTAGAATTTATACCGCTCACGGTTACTCTCGGGTAACGAGTATAATTTTATAATAATCGTATACGATAATTTCCATTGATTGTAATTTGTGATTCCGCGAATACTTTTCGGTACAACGTTTTTTGATTATTGTTACAATATAAAATAATTATGTTTTAATATCTTATCGTTGAGATTTTCGAACACAAAAATCGGTATTGTTTCGGAAACCGCGATGGTTTTCCGATTTCGTATAATAACCGGCGGGTGATTCCTTTCCCCCCTCCTCCACCCCACCCTCCAACGATAATTTTGTTTTTCGTTTATACACTCAAACTGCAAATTATTGACAAATTATAGCGCTACTGTACACTTACGGGTTCGTTTTCGTGTAACACGTTTTAATAATGCATATGCGGGCCGTCGTATCAACTAATAATATTATACTTTGCTTTTGATACATTTTATTTTATTTTTTTAGTCGATTTTCCATCCGAAGAACTTTTTAAAAGTTCATAATATTTCGCCCGGTAAATGTGGCTGTTTTTATAATGTGTGCATACATATTTATAAAGATAAAAAAAAAAAAAACACGAGGTTCCGTGTATATATTTCCATAATAAATAATACTCGTATATATGTATATAGCGTCGGGATGGGGTCGGAGGGAGAAGAGAAACTTTTTCCGAAATTTTAACATACTAAATCTGTCGTTTTTACCCGCCCGGTCGTCCGACCGTCCGCCCCGGCGGCCGTCGAACGGGGAGCGGGCCAGGGGGATATATCCACTACCCTCCCTCCCACTCCCCGCGACTTTTCCTTTTCAATCGTAACAATAATGAAATTGAAAGTCGAAGTCGATAAACGATAGCCTCGGTCCTTCCAGTTTGACCGCCAATGATCGTTCGTCCGCCTTGATATTTTAACCGAGCTGTCGCTCCTCGAGTACGTTGTTGATAACGCACACATTTATGCCGTGTGGGCATACGTTTTAAACCGGCGCTGTACGTCGTTTCACACCCGGCGGATCGTTATTTTCCGTCACGATTTCCATCGCGTTATACGTGAACGCGTTTACGTAAATCCGGATTAAACACTACACGAGAACGCGGCGACGGCCGTCTCCGAGTCGAGTGAGCCGGGACAAATAATCAATCAAAGCGCACTGCCAATAATATTTGCGATATCGATTGTCAATAACAGCGCTTTTTGGATTATTATTCGGAACGACTACGCATAATACACACAGAGGTACGCGTAATTTGTCAAAACTTTCAAATATCAAATCATTAATCATCAATACGTATATTTATACATTTGTTACGAGAAACGCCATTAATAATCGATTTGATAATTTCGATTTTCGTTTTGTCGAACGTAATACGCCTATACACACCGCCGTCATAATATCGGAGACCCATAAAGAAATCTACACACACGCACACGAGTTTGATGCAACGTCGCACGTGCGTGTGCCCTCGAATTGATTGCGGGGTGACGCGCGGTGAAGTTTCGGAAAAGCTCGGAGAGAAAAAAAATGCTCGGTCGGGTACTAGTTTAGTGACGGCGTCTCGAAAGTCCTCCGCGCGTTCGAACCGATATACGCAGCAGAGAGAGAGAGAGAGAGAGAGAGAGAGAGAGAGAGAAAGCTCCCGGGACTGTAGGAAAAAGATAACGTAATGTATATTACAACTTATGGCCATCTACGTCCATCCGTCGTTATAATAGATGCGGAGGGCGAGAGAGAGTGAGAGAGAGAAGTTTTACAACAAACCGCAAAGATAACCGACGATCTCTAGAAAGGCCCGAGTACGGTTCGGGTATACGCTCCGGGGCCTTCTCCTCCGCGGTGCGTTATACTATGTTTGCGTATACTATGTAGGCGACCTTTAAGTGAGGGGGACGCGCGGCCCATATATTAATAGTGTGTCTAAAATAATGGACTGCTGCAGTATCGGTGTTATATTGTGTGCGCCGCACCATAGTATACTGAACACGCGGGAACTTTCTTTGATCGGCCTATGAGATAAACGATATTTCACAGAATGAAAAAAAAAACAACCTATATATACATTATAATATTTAAATATGAATATGGCCGTAATATTTCTCGGGCGTGATGTACGTGATGTACGTGCGAAAACAACGCGTGGAAATAAAAAAAAAATAAAAAAACCGTCACGAAAACTAAAGTCGACTGCGCCTCTCCAGCGACAGTGATATACCGCACGCGATTCACAACGACCGTGATAAATATCGGACGTGGCCCAGCCGCGCGTCGATGTTCTCGTAATATTTCCATAATATTACATTGTGACGTAAAGCGTCGAGAACGGCTCTTCTCGCGCGAAAATCGACGTTTTGTCGATATTCCAGCGGCTGTCGCGACGTGCCGACGCGCGTCCGAATCGTTTCGTGAATAAGCGCGATATTTTTTAACGAGAAAAAAATAAAATAAATACAATATTACCGCGAATGACGGCTGCGTTCATGTGTTTTATAATATTATGCGCACGGCGTACACGAAAATAATAATAAACCGACCTTGCTTACGTGATACGGTTTATTTGTTTGTATTTATTCATTTCGTAATCCGTATGGGTTAGTAGTATACGCGCATTCGAAAGTGGCGGCCGCGAACGTGCAGCAGTGGTTATAACGCTGCGCTCCTGCAATAAGAGACAAGCCGCAAGCGTGCATACCGCTGATAACGGACAATCCGAAAATCTAACGGGTTTCCCGATTTCGCCATAAAACCGTTGTTTTCCGCCGATTTTTTCGCATATTTCGTTATTAATTACGTCTTGTAAGTATTCTGCGCGCGCGCGCGTGTGTGTGCGTGTGTACAATAGAAAATTACACGTTTTCGTATCCCGCCGATAACGATCGCGTGTACAGCATTCTTGTTACGATACATTTGATATAAAATGTCGGCCTTTCGTTTTCACCGATTGTCCTGAGACAGGTGCGACGTAGGTTTTTTTTCTGTCGATCGCGGACTGAAACAAAACACCGGCGTCCTACACTACAGGACACTGTCGTTATTGCGTAGAGTCGAATTTTTCTCGCCTATTTTGTATTACGTAGAAGTGTTTTTACTGTTGAAAAACTAAACAACCTAACACACTGTACACAATACGATATTTCGCGGACGAAGATTGCAGGGACGACGGCGCTGGACGGCTGCGACGTTTTAAAATCGATTTGCGACGCCAGTCTACCGGGTTTCTAACGGTTTTCCGCCCGAACAAGCGACCGGGGTGTGTAAATATTACGAGAACGCGCGAAAAGTGAATTTCCAACGAACGTCCGCTGCAGCAGCTAATCGTCTCCGCGTGGTGGTAACAACGTGCGCACACGGGATGGCATCGGCGGCAGTATCGCGGCGACAACGCGTTTGCGGGGATTGTAATTGCGCGCGCGGCGGCCGTATGCGTTTAAATGATAAAAAAAGAAACGAGCGGAAACCTCACGGTCGGGCCCGAAAACGCGAGGAGTTTCCCCGGTAATACGCAAAGCTGTTACGTTAATCTCGGAACCGAGCCGCGCATTATTACGACAGTAGTCGCGCGTAACGGCCGAATAATACGTTTTATTCACGCGGAAATGCGAGCTCGGCCGTTTTGAACGTGAGCCGGCGCGCCGCGTAATCACAGACAGGAGTCTTTCGGAAGTTTTGCGGTTTCGTAACGAACGGCTCGCCGCGCGATTCCGGAAGTACGGGCGGACGAATTCAATATTACCGCGCGAGTGCGCCTAGTGGCGTCCGGACGCCTCGTTTTATCGTTTCTGGCAGCTTCGGCGGCCCGGCCACGACCGACCGACAATTATCGTTATTATCATTAATGTTCAATTACCGTTACACGATAACGATTGTAACACACGCGGTTCCGCGCGCATAGCGAAACGATTCGTTATCAACGGTGAGAATGTTTCTGTTTTTTTTTTTTTTATAATAACGTACGAAAAGTGGCGTGGTACGTGTGCAGGCCCACAGCAGCGTTGATGGGGGGGAAAGGGACGAGAACGGCAAGTCGTACGGGTGTAAACGCCTCCGGGAGAAAATTCTCGCGAGGAAACCGTTCGGACTCGTCCGTGACCTGGAGCGGCTGGCCACTCTACGTAGCGTGGGAGAGTAGATCGAATGAGCGTAATTGTTGTTAGGAACAACGAAACGCGACTAAACGCCAAACCAAATAAAATCTCGCGAAATTCACCAATCGTGTTATTATAATCTCGCGGAGCAGATCGTCTAAGCTACATGCATATGTATACCTACTGCAATTATAGAAGACGCGGACGAATGCGCGCAATTTCTAATCAACTTCCCGTCCCTAGGTCGGCTAAACCTATACATATAATAATATGTGAGTGTGTGTGAAATGTTATTTTGTTGGTCACGGCCAATCTCTAAAATTATTGAATTGATCGACTTGTTTACAAAAAAAAAAAACCGCGAAGCCGGTTTTACGCTTATTTCCGCTTTTGTAAGTCAATAAACAAACGAATGGTTGATTTCCATAAACGACCGACTAATACGCTATAGGGATCGATTACGATAAAGAAACGAAACAGGCGACTCGCTATAAATACCAAAAAGAAATGTACGTGTATAATTATTCGTTTGAAAAAAAAATAATATTATTAGGCAACTCGTACGAAGCCGAAAGTGTATCAGCTAATATCATAGTAACTTAGAACGTGTATATTACGTGTATACTCGTCGTGGTTAGAGGTATTTACGGTAATAATTATTTGTTCTCGTTCTCCGCGTTCTCCTATACAACACACCCGTCCGTCACACGTTCCTCCGTCGATATCGATCCACAGTCCGCAAGCAGCCGTCCGCCTCGACGTTGTCGTTTTTAAATTTTTTTTTTTTTATTAGAAAAAAAGTACATTTACAATCTGTAATATTTTTATACACAATAAGTAAATTCGGTAATTACTCACTAGATACTTACAACATGAGGTAACGCGAGGAAGGAAACCCTCGTAACTTGGGTGGATTGAAATAATTTTACAAATAATTTATCGTTAAATTGCGGCGACGCGCCTATTCTAATCGCGTTTTCCGTTCTGTTCTATGCAAATATCATATAAACAGAGAAACCGTGTGGGGCCCAGCCGGCGGAACGGAGATCGGCTTTCGCGAAGATCGTCAACGGCAAAGACACGCGGGAAAACGAATTCGGATGGGCGGCCACGTTGTCCCGACGAGGACAGTTCTATTGCGGAGGCACATTGATCACCAAAATGCACATACTCACTGCAGCGCATTGCGTCGAAAAGTGAGTACCCGTACCAATCATACTATCATAGTGCGGCGTTCGCCTATATTTTTCCCGGTATTCTGGTAAAAAACCCGGTAAAAAAAAAGAGAGAGAGAGAGAGAGAGATACTATGTTTAAAAAAGTAATACTTTTGTTTTAACATTTTTTTTTTTTTTTTTTTTTTTTTTAAATTATTCTCGGTGCTATTCTGATGAAATGTCTGTGTTTTTTACTTTCAAGTTTTAACCCCAAAGATCTCACCGTCACCATCGGTGAACACGACCGGAAGGTCGAAACCGGTCGCAAGTCCGTGCACCACGTGGCCAAAATCTACAGGCACCCCGACTTCAAGCTGAGCACGTTCGACAACGACATCGCCATCGTAGAACTCCGTGACGTCGTGTCCATCGAGAACCCGTGGGTGCGCGTCGCCTGCTTGCCCAAGACCGGTAAGTCGTATAAAATTCGAACGAAATATCATTTTTTCTGTTTTTTTTTTTTTTTTTGCGTAGCGTACTCGACGTACGAAGGCGAAAAAGGCACAGTAATCGGATGGGGCCGATTGGGCGAACGCAAAAAATCGTCCAACATCCTACAAAAAGTCGACGTGCCAATCATATCCAACGAAGACTGCAAGGAAATGGGCTATTTGCCCGAAAAGATCACTAGTAACATGATATGCGCCGGGTACAAAGAAGGCATGTCGGACGCTTGCCAGGTATCTATATAACCTATATATTGATATAATAACACCTAACGACAGTATTTGTTAAAAAAAAAAAATATTTCCTGCAGGGTGACAGCGGCGGGCCGATGCACAGACATGCAGATTCGTCTGACGTTCTGGAAGTAATCGGTAAGCACAAATCGAATATTACCTATAAATAATAACCGGACGGACCTTTTTCCCTTAGGATAGATTAGATATATAGATACGAGTATTTATATGCTTGATAAAGTCCTGAATGTATGGCAATTTTTCGGCAGAGTAAAAACAGCAAAGTTACGTCTCTTGTATAACGGATGAACAAAAAGAACATCACATTAAAAGCTATTTTTAAATAACTAAAAAATCTAAATGAATTTCGAAAATGTGATAATTTAAAAAGAAATAAATCATGAACAACAACCGTTATTCCCCGATAAATCGGATAATTCTATAATTCTTTTACTTCTTCAATAACGTTTAATAGCTCTTCAAGAACCATTAACTGCCAGCTAAAATTTCTCAAAGAAGTCCTTCTATCCTTCTCCATTCCCAATATACTACAATACTGCCCATTCTCTCCGAGTCGTCTCGAATTCCATCCGACCGACGCTCTCTAAGTCTTTTCTTTGGTTTTACGCGTCTAGTTGATCTCCATTCTATACATAAGTTCTCCGATTCCGTATCCCATTCCATTGAATATTGCAAGTCCAAACCAAAACAACAGTCGATGCCTTTTGTCGATAACATTTGTTATGTCCGGTAATTTTATAACGATATACACGTAGATACGCGCACGTACAATTTATTTTAATTACTGTTTCAAATCGTTAATTTTACTATTTTACAGGCATAGTGTCGTGGGGTAAGGGGTGCGCCAGGGAAAACTATCCGGGAGTGTACACCAGAGTCGCCAACTATTTGGAATGGATCATGGATCACACGGGAAACGAGTGTATCTGCGGAGCCGAAAGTTCCTAGAAAAAAACAACCAAAAACCATATTATCATTTCGTATTAACATACCTCACCACTCGTCACACACGTTTTTTTTTTTCACAATAATATATTATTATATTATTATTATCTATTATTGTATCACGTTGTATTCACTCCGAATTATCGTTATTATGTACAAAGATAAGGAAAATACACGTTATGTATATTTATATATATAATATGTCATGTTAATAGTATACGTTACGGTCGCGAATTAACCACCGAATATGATTTGTTAAGCGTAAATTAAATATTAAGTACGTTATATTGTTAATTGTTGTTCGGCGTAATTTTATTATGTAAATATTTGCGTAAAATCTAGTCAACTGCACGCAGAGCTGTATACCGATCCGATATGGAAATAATTTAGAAATTAAAATTTAATATTCCGTTGTATTATATTTATGTAGGCATATATATATTCAACTTGTACACATTACAATAATATCGCTTGGTGCCCATCTATTATGTATTGTATAAAGCGTTGTTAATTCCGTAATGTTTGAAATGATTCGAATCGAACGACAATGAACACGATCAAAAAACAATACAGTGCGTTTCTTACCGATAACTGCAGTGTCTTATTATTTACGAACCGAACCGATATGTCAACCTATACGTGCTCGTTTAAAAAACCCGATTCGTTCCCCCGACCGAGTCTTTTTTTTCACTCCGCCGTACTCCGCCAATAGACACTCGTGTATAACATTTAAATGATTAGTTTTCACCGTCGGACTATAAACGTTTTAGACATCGCATTATAAAACGCATTACAGTTCAAACGGTTTCCGTGTTGCGCCTTACATTTATATACGTCTAAACCCGACTCTGTACGCCGTAACATCGCGCGTGTTATTCGTCAATTATCACAGATTATCCCGCAGTTAATAGTTAACCGAGTGTAGGTTAACTGAAGCGAATTGAAAATGTCAAACATTGATTGAATTATCATTTTTCTCATCGAAATCCTCGCAAAATTCGTTCAAATTGAATGCGTTATACATTGTAAATAAGTACATAGAGTACATAGACAGGTATTCGATTCTTAAGGTTATCCGTTGATACTACAGGTGTACTCAGTTAATTTGTAATTTCTTATTCAAATCAATCGGTGTACGATAATTTATCACGTGTATAATATATATATATTGTACAAAAATCATCATTTTGCGTTTACATATTTTACATAATTTAGATAAACCGCGTATGTCTAGAGGCAGTGAGTAGATTGAATGTACCGTATTATTTTGTAATTTTCTCTGCGGGCCTAAACGGTCCGGTCCTCGAACCGCCATTCGTGTTCGTTTTTTCATGAATCACGGACGACGAACATTATGCATATATTATATAAAATTATATCCGCTCGTTATAAGACGCTAAGTGATTTTTTTTTTTTTTGAACTTTCCTTTTATTTAGAATTTATTGTCGCCCAGCGTGTTGCCGTTTAATTAGTTTATCTCATCTATAGATGATCTACTAGTAGGAAGGTATACCTATATGGAAGATGATCGGAGAGATTTTCTCGTCGCTGCATCGCTGCAATGACTATTAAAAATCTCCCGAGTATATACTATTGTATTATTGTACATTTATGCCCATCTCCTAAGAATTTAAGATTTGCCTACGTTTAACTATAGAAGAGTGCATCACTATTTTTTTGTGTGCTCAAATCGCAGTGAAATCGATTTTGGATACCGTTTTAATTGAGTTCAGTAAGGTTAGACACATGTATCCGTATATATAGGTAATAATATTATATTAGAGTAGGTAGTTTATGTTCAAAACATATCTGGATAAAGTTCATCATGATGGATGATCAAGAGTATCCTCTTCACTATATTGTGGTAAGGTCAGAAATGTTTAAAAGTACTTTCGTTCCGGGTAATTTTTTTTATTTTAAATATAAATTCATACACAGTCTTGTCATTATAATATCTATGGGAATAGAAACAATAATAAAAAAAATCTCGAGAACAGCCATGACAAAAGTAACAAAAAACATGTTTAAAAAAAAAAAAAAGCAAAAACAATAGAAACAAATATATATTCGACTTCCTGAACATATTATATTCGTTTTATTATATCGAAAATGTCCAAGTACAATTAATAAAGATTAAAGAAAAAAATGTCTTCTTTTCGTTTGTATAACACCTTTCATATGACCTCGAAAACACGTCTGCTGAATGCTGGGAATCGGTTGATTTTCGTTTATAGCAGAAATCGATTAATTAATTAAATTTATAAATGAACTGCGGGAGAAAAAAACGGCCGTCAACGACACTTGAATTTTCAGAGTTTCCTCCTTCCGAATAATAAGTAATAGTATGATTAATCAATCATTTTTTTTACATTATTCACCTGATTAAAAACATGTCCGTTAATAGATTTAGTAATAATAATGATGATAAGTTTATTATCATAAATAAATATGATTGCATGTAGATAAAAATATAAATTTAAAAATAAATACAAATTTTGACGCTACCACAAAAGCATACCTTTAATTTATATTAGACACAGGTGTGTCGTATGTGTGTCCCGGGTTACATATTTATATCTTTAAATTCGTCATCACAATTATTTCCAATTATCGTTAATTGATTAACAGTATCTTGAGCTAGGGTAATTGCTTGTGTCAATTCAATTTCTCTGGTTATTTGCATATAGAGGTGATCTAAAGTATTTCATTTAAATTACCTATATGCAAACATTAACTATAAAAGCAATAAAATACGTTTACAAAAAGTTCCACATAAATTATATATTTTAAATACGTGTGTAAAATGATTTTGCTTCATACCTTTGTACCCAGCCCATTGCACATAGTCGTTTAAGTACTTTTTACTTTTAGACAAATACTACTATTTTCAATACTTGACGGAAGTACAGTATTTCGTTTCGGAGCATCAAAAAAAAATGTATAATTTTTCAACGATCCTTAAACGAGTCTTTAATTGGTTTCATGTTACCGGCAGTTAAAATATCTAAATTAATTTAATATCTAAAGCCCAACCCCTCCAAAAAAAAATTCATTAAAAACATAAAAACATTATGAAAAACTTTTTTGTGAAAACTGAATTTGAAAAAAGACGTCTTAGGATGAGGACGAATGCAGCCACTGTTATATTTAATGTACACCTAAAAGCAACGATAAACCATTAGTATACTATATTTACCAATTATAAAAAAAAAGAAAAGATTTTCGAACATTTGCGATTAAAACATTATAATACAAATTAAAGTATTTAACATTTTAACGGCTGTATCCGTGTTTCATATCAACAACCTTTTTTATACCAATTCCGTCTAGGGTGAAAAAGAGATAAATATAAATCTATCTATATATCAATTACCAATTCCGTCCAGATTAAAAAAAATGTATATATGGTATGGCTAAGTTATTGGAATTCTGTTCAGCCTTCCAACAAATTAAAAGGATAAAAAAATACACTATATTACGGCATAATATGCAATATGACATTTTTGGCCCATTCATTCACAATTAGTAAAGATTCAACACCAATGCGTAATAAATGCCAAGAAGACTTAACCATCAAACACATCATCCAAGTCTATTCAGATTTTCAAAACATTCGAAACCCCTCATCAACAGCAGACCGATTAGAAATAGTACTAAACGAAGGCAACTCCATAAAAATCTTCAATTTTCTTACAAAAATTAACAGTGTAAATAATCATAAAATAATGTAAAATAAAAAAAGTGTTAAATTTTTTAACTTGTATATTCAAACTTAGGTATTAATGTAACATACACAAAATAACATGTACACAAGGCTAATAACTCCAGAAGTCGAAGCATTTTTTTTTCTTTTCAATAAAAAAAAAAAAAAGTGTTTATGAATACCAATTGGATTATTCAGTGTGATAACTGAAAACAATATTATCTTTATTTCTAAATAACATAAAATTGTTACCGTAGTGGGTAAATTGTATACTAAATTAATATAGTGTAGAAATTGCAAAACAACACGTGTGACTAAATAAATTACACGGACAGAACTCGTATAACTAAATAAATAACACGGGACCGAATTAGTATACCCATTTTAAAAACCCAGGGCGGAACTAGCATATCCTTAAATTCGAATTTTACATTCGAGACGGAACTCGGATGCAGCCTAATTAACAGTACAGTATGCCGTAACAATGTTTGTAGTGTTGTTTTAAATGAGGATAATCAGCTGACTTTTCCACTTTCTACACTTGAAACGTTCGTTTTGAATTGGCACTCAACACACTATACACTATAGTGTAAACACCAAGTTTTTAAAACGAATAAAGCTAATAAAGTGTTGGGTATTATTCATAAATAAGGTTCGGAAGTTATTTTACAAAAAAAGCGTTAAAATTAATGTTGATAGAATGATGAAACGACCCAAATATTGTACTTGAAAATTTTTTCTTCATCGATATATGTAACACAAAGAGCAAGCTGAACAGCAACAGATGTATCCGTGGTTTCATCCGCTAAAACAGTGAAGCATTGAGAACGATTAACATTTTTCACAATTGTAAGTAACATTAAATTTCCGCGTGATGTAATGATTTCGTTTTGCATTTGCGGTGTAATATATTTATTTCGACCGGGTGTTTTTCAAGTATGTTTGTCAAATATTCATCACAATTAATTCTGTATAACAAAATAGATTTAATATTTCCCCGATTAGAAGTTTCTTGAGCTGTAATATAAATCGTAAATTGTCAATAACTTAAATAATCCTTAATCAGAATAATCAGATGTAATACTTACTGATAATGTTTCCAGAATCCTTATGGCCTCGTATTAGGGACATTTCTCGGTGACTGCACAAAATTATACACTCAATTGTACGAATAAGTCGTTTTCTATTTTATTTTATTTGTTCTAATCTAATTAAGACATTTAAAGAATTAATTATCCATACATTCATCATAAAAAAAAAATGTTTTTCACGGTTAAATAATGCGATGTATACCTATTAGAATCCAATAAGTTTATTATTGTTGGTTTTATTTTGGAATACACTTTTAAAAAATGATCTGCATCCAAAGTAAACGAAATGAAATGGAAAATCTCTGAATGTTCACGAATGGCCTGTACGAAAATTGTATTTTTTTTTTATATACTAGTACTATATATACTATGTTTTATTGTAATACTACGAATATAACGTTTGTTGAATAATCACCTGTTTCGCCTTTTTCCATGCATCAAAAAACGTTTTGACAAAAGGCCCTAAAGGCCGATTATTTATTCCACCAGCTTTGGCAAAAATTATACAATACTTGCAATTGGCACTAATTTTCTCTTCCGAGTAAGCTAACCAATTAAATTCTAAAAGCCATTTATATTGAAATCGCAATCTACGCTTTTCAATTTTTTTTTTTTTGGTTGTGGAAAAAAAAAAATCCAAGGTGGTATCGTTTGTACTTACGAAAAAAGCTTATAAAGAATAAAATTACATAATAATTACTATTAATTTGATAAACATATATACAGGTAGATAGATACCTAACCTAATTAATAAAAATCGTTAAATACATGTTGAATAAAATTGAATTTAAAAGATCAAGCTTACCTATTATATTTTTATCAGTATCAGACGATGCTATTCCCATCCGAGTATAATCAACAGTCGAAATTTTATCAAGAGATTCATTAATTTTTTTTACCACTAAAAATGCTCAACTAACGTATCGGAATGGACAGAGAAAAAAAAATCAAAACGAGTCGGATGGAAATGAAAGCAATAAAACGAGAAACAATTATAAACATATAAAATAATGCAAAATATCAGTAATAATATAAGGCTCTAGTGGGGATCTACCCCTATTCATCGCCCCTTAATTAGGCCCCTTGTTTTCCTACATTTTTGTTAACAATAAAGTTAAAACTTGGTAATAATCTAAAAATAGTTAGTACGAATATAAAATAATATTGAAATGCCTAAATTTTTATGAAATATGTATTATAGGGCTTTATTGAAAATGCCGTTAGTTTATTACTATTCAGTCTTACGTTTACGCAAATATAAATTATCTAAGTATAACTTTAGTTTTTTCCTACAAAATGTTTAACTATTTTAACTTGTTAACTATGTTAACGCTCGCGGGTGTTTAATTTCAAATTAAATCTCTGACGACCTGATAATGGTTGCGAGCAACGTTCGATATGTACAGACAGCTATCTCTTTTATTTACGGTACTCATTAACCCGTCTTTTCCGAACAACTGCCAAGAATTGTAGTGATCCGAATACACATAGATGTGCGTGTTGAGCATTAAAGCCGTAGCAAATATGTCTACATCGGTGGCCCATGTGCCACAAATATTAATTGGATTTTTGTACAAATAATCGTCTACGCCGCCATCCAAATATGTAAGCACTCGGGGGTCGTTCTTTACAAACTAAAAAAAAAAAAAAAAAAATTTATATATTTACCACGTGTTTAGAAATACAGTGTTACGAATTACAATATAACATCATTACGTCATATTCGATAAATATTTTCTTATCAATAGTCGTTTATCATCACAATTATAATAATATTTAGGTAATAAAACTGTCAAGTGTTTATCAAAAATGAACAAGTTTTCGTTTTATTCTGCGCAAATATCAAAATGTCCGAGACACCGTGTCTCATTAACAATATTTAGCTACTATGCAATTTGTTGACTTGTATATTATATATTATAATTGTTATAGTGTATACATTATATTACTGGTACTACCTTATACAGACGTAATCTGATATCCTCGTGGAAGTTTTCGGTTCCGGTTACGTGCATTGAAACGCACCGGTACCAACAATTACCGTCAGATTTCACATCCAAACTATTTTTCGGCTCAGTTAACAGCGTCCATCGTTTCGCCATCGGTACGCGTATTACATCTTTTGAATCTATTGATAAACGCATGTCCCTGCATTGTTTGAGCATCCATGTTTTGTTTACGGGTTGAAACCGTTTTTTTGGAACGTTTTCAATTGTGGGTGTGCTACATTGTTTGATAGCTGGACGGTTTGCTTTTCCTATGTTATCTCCACTCTTGTGGTCAGAATTGTCCTCGGTTTTTGAATCTGGATTAAATACAGAATCTGATTTTAAGTTTCGTGCAGCACACGATCTGCGTTGCCTGAGTTGAGCTTCGACGATATTATCCATGGTTCTTTTATCTACAACACCGGGCATACAATTTAAACATACGTATAGATATCGTATACATATTATGTTAAACGAAGAAAACATCATTTAATACATGTAAAAAGAATACCGATTACTGCAGGGTATGCGAGTGCTACGAAACACGATTCTGAAGAAAGTTCGGTCATAAATGTTTTGAAGTGCCGTAGTTTTTACAATTTACATACAAATTTAACCTTATAAAATGCTTACAGAAAAAAATTATCAAATTACGCTCAACTTTTTTTTTTTTAACAAATATTTTATGGATATGTTTTTTCGTTATTATTATAAATTATTGTGTATGAGTTTATGACTAATACCCATTATAATAATAACCAATTTTTTATTTTATATTTACAAATAATTAACCACTATTTTAATATTGTTGTATATTATGCATTATAACTGACAATGATTGTACTATAACTTATAACTTTACACAAATAAAATTGTATTTGAAAAATGACATAAATATGTAGAAAAAAATATTGTATTATAAATCATGTACCTATTACTTGTTATGATTTTGTAGTTCTATATTTTTAATGAATTAAATATTTATGAAAAAAATTATGCGTTTTCTTAAATGTATCTTAAGACACTTGTATCTGTATCTAGATACTAATTTAAAGTATCTAATTACAGCACCATGATTATGTTACACTTTATATATCTACATTTTTTTATTTTTTTTATGCATCAATTATATTAAAATATTATTTATATTTCATATGTTTACATTTATATTTTATTAAATATATTAATTTTTTTATTAAGTATTACTATCTAAAACAACTTTTGGTTTTTTTATTTACCTCTAAATTGAATCATTTTCTTAATAGTAGGTGAAGAATAATTTTCGTCAAAGTTCATGTATTTCCTTTCAAACGCGTCATTAGCAAGAGTACTTCTTTCTTCAAAGTTATTTGGAACTATAGGCCCACGTTGATAAAACTTAAATGCCGAATGTTTTGCTGACGTGGGTTGTACAGTTGTTCTTGTGCGAAAAGAACAATCGGCAAAACATCGAGCCATTTTGAATTTGTTCAAGAATCCAAAAAAACAACACAAGTATTTATAATGACCTGGAAAGTATCCAGCTTATAATAAACACGATAAATGCTTTTAAATCCCAAAACAAATTTCAAAAATGTTTTTTAATAAATATAGCAGTTGTTAAAGTCACATCAGTTGCCATGATAACAAACGAAGCGTATTAGCGTTACACTGCTAAACAAACGGCTGAAGAAAAACATAAATCATTGGATATTATGTACCTATATGATAATGATTATAATTATTCGACTTAAATATTAATTACCTTCTACAAACTCTTTTTTGAAAGTTCTGTTCAATCGTTCGACGAGGCCATTAGCTCGCGGGCGATGAGGTGAAGTTTTAATGTTTCTAAACTATGTTATAGGGAATATAGTGATCATAATTGTTGTTTATGCGAAAATTATTTCGAACTGGTCCAGAACTTTCATGCATACCTATTAAGTATATTTTACACTATTATTAAAATTTAATGAAATTACAGTTCATAATATAATGCGCTTTGAAGATATAATATTGTTTATGTTGAACAACGTGAATAATCGTAAAACGTAAGTTCAATCATAAATGTTTCGCCTGCTAAAAACTTGGTAGTTACATCGATCTGTTTTTGGCCGGCTTTTATATATGAATTTGATACACCTACACTTGTTGTCACGCTAAAACATTGTATAAAACAGAGTACCTTCTTCATGAAAAATGCATACGGTTCTTTTATCCTTAATGTACTTTGCACCTGTTTATACTGTACTGATTCCGCACCGAAAAGCAAGTAGACAAATTTTGTTTGTCTCAAAAAGCAAAGTCACTGGGTATATAAATAATTCATCAGTTCGGGCCGTTACTCGTTTTAGAACTCGTTTCGCGGGGAGTTACCGAAGCAAAGATAATCCACAGGTCTATAAACATCCAATAATAAAACAAATGTAGCGTAAAATACATTAAGATATTGGATTGACGGTAAAGGCCCGGCGAGGTTTTTACTATTATTATTTGTTCTAAAGTAATGCGTTTTTATAGTTCAACGGTGTGTATATGACGGCAATATTGCCGTCGAAAAACGAAGTTTTAAAATATTATTTAAGTAAATTGTATGCATTTTAAACTCGTATGAACAAAAATCCATATGAACAAATATATTATATTATTTTTAAATAAGTAACGAAACTCTGTGTATCATTTGATACCTGTACCTTTTAACAAAATATGGAAATATTTAAAAAATATATATATATATAATTTCATAGTGGGACGTTGCTATAAATGTCATGGCGTAATAAACAGTTTGTATTTATTTTTTCTAAAATTCACAAAGAACGTCTAGAGTTTCTCCGCATTATTACACATATTACGATTGTTTTACAGCCAGATAATCTGTATAAATAATTTATTGCATAACTCCAGTATGAATTGACTTATGATACTTTACACTGAACAATCGAAAAAATGTTTTTTTTACAAACGTTACACTTACCTATAAAGATTCTAACAGGTACAAGTCCACGTGCGTGATGTCAAATTAGATTTTAACGAAATTGTTTCTTACACACGTTAGGTATTTTTCCAAAGGTTAATTTCGGTATGAATTGATTTGTGACGCTTTAAATTGGAAAATATTAGAAAACGATTCCTTACAAATATCACACTTGTAAGTTTTCTGGTCAGTATGAGTCTGCATGTGGACGATCAAATCAAATTTTCGTCCGCATGATTCCTTATAGTTTATACACATTATAAGTACTGGAAATTAGCTGTGTGCTTAACGGTTTTCATCAGGTTTTCTTCAGTGTGAGTTTTTATATGGTGTTTTGAATTATCTGAACAAGTGTATGAATTACTAGAAAAAAAATACATATCTTCAGCTTCTTCCCTGGATGATTCATTATAATGCCATACTCAATTTTAAAATCAATGATTTACCAAAATTACGCATGTGAAACTCTGTTCACTAAATATTGGATTTTTAAACAGAATAAACTCCACAGTTCATTATTCGTGTGTCTGTATTTTTCATCATGGTCATTTTTTATTTTGTTATTATTATTTTTTTTTTTTTTGCTCTTATTAAAGAATAAATTAATTATTTCGACATGAATTATAGCAACAAACAGAAAAATGTATTTAAATCTACAAGGAAAATAAAAGAAATCACCTCCTCAATATACTACCTAAACAAAATTAAATATTTACGATATTCTTCAATATTTGATTTTAAAATTCCTGCAAAAAAAAAATAATTTAGTACCCACCTACCTACCTAAGTTTTAGTTACATAATTTTGTTCGAAAAACAAATACCGGGTGATTTTTTTTATCGTTACAAACTTATTATTTCGAAGAGCATTGACTTTTTTTTTTAACTTAAGAAACAAATACAAAAAATCCTCTCTATAACGAAGTCGCTCTGGATCAACAAATTTGTCCGTTATAAAGAGTGTTCCATATAGAGAGGTAGGGAAAAAAATGATGTTTCAAAAATGTACACAAAAAATTAAATTTTAGGTAAATATTTCGTACGATGTAAATTTATACTTAAAGATTATATTATACGAATGAATATTTAAATGTGTTTTGTGTATAATGCTTATGTGCTAAAAAAATTAAATTGATTAATATTTACGGCAACGAAGCGTCCCTGTTTAATTATTTTAATATGTTCAACTAGAAATATTACTTCAATCGAAAAACGACAAGTGATCGATTTTTTTTTGTTTCTTATTATTTAGAAGTGAAGCGAGATTCGGTTACACGTGTTTAGAAAGGCCGTAATATTTACAATTTTCATCAAAATTTAATTTCAACTCGCATAAAAAAAAAATTTAGTAACCTACCTACATTAAACTATTTTTTTTTTTCCCCAAGTACGAATTATAATGAACCCCCTATCAAAAATATCAAGCATTTTTGTTAAGTCTAACAATTTATCTACAGGGTACCTGCAAAGTAAAATTTACCTAAAAAATTAGCAAAATTAAAGTATCTATACATGTCTCAAAAATTGCTAAAATTTTCTGAAAGTTTTATCAAGTCTAAAAAAAGTAAATATAAGTTTCATACAAAAACCTTTTAAAAGTATTCTGTGAAAAGTCTCTACGATTATTTTGAATCGAATTACAGTAAAAAAATAAAAAACGTAAAATCATGAAACCGTTAATGCCGTAAACTTTCCTGTTTTTCCCAATTGTTATGTAAGCTACACAAAAAAAATCTAAAAACGACCAAGATAAAAAAAATTCAAATTGTCTTTCAGAAAAATAACCCCGTTTAAATTTGTCCGATTATCTTTAAAAATGTTTTCGATTTTTATCTAATCATTATGAAAACTGCCTAGAAAATCAAAATTTTTTGATTCGATTTCTGGTATAAAAGTTGTTTACAGACAGAAACCATAGAAAAAATATTCGAATCAACACGATATGCTTAGGTCTAAAAAAAAAAAAAAAATAAACACATCATAGTGATACGTAGAATCTATGATTTATGATGCCCGCCGAAACTTTATTATGTAAAACAAAATCGTTTCATGAAACCGGGATTAAGCAGCTATATGTGAAACGTTCGTTTCATCGTGACCAAGGCGCGTACTTGGATAAGTACGCATATTCGTTTTTTACTCGAATATCGTGAATATAAGTTAAAAGTTTCGCGTTCATTTAAACTTATTATATTAAAAAAAAAAAAAAAAAAAAGAAGTTTTTTCAGTGTGCAATTAGTGTATAAAACAAATGATTTATATCGAACGCAATATTTCATTGTACGGACGCGCGATAAAGTTTTACGTTCCCGGTGTCGGCGAATGCGCATGTTATTAAAACAAACGACCAAGTGTACCTATAGCCCATACGGTTATACGGTATAGTTAGGTACTACATTATATTATTATTACGGTAAAAAGTATAGGATATTACTTTCTATTTTCATTTTTTTTTTCCGACCACATATCGTAAATCATAAATATTAATTTGTATAATAAGTAGCGAATTGTTAGTACGCAACGTAAAAACGAAAATAATAATGCGGTATAGTAATAATGTAATACTATTTCATATATAATATAGACGCCAACGTCACAGTAATATTTGTCCGTCTGAGGTGACAATATGGGCAAAGGACACATAAAAATACCTAAAATTAACAAAAAAAGAAGCGTTTAAAAAACGTCATTGTAGCCCAGAACTAAGCATTCAAAAACTATTTTAAAAAATCGAAATAAGCAAACAAATGTCTTCTTCTCCTTTGACTTCATCCCTACTATTTAGAGTCGACCAATCTCGGTCTAAACTTTGTCTGGTTTCCCACCTCACATACACCAGCTGTCCTCACATCACTCCCATCCGCATAAAACCACATCTTATTCAGTTTTCCGTCTTTTTTTTCCTATGTCTATTTCCATACGATTCTTTCTGCTTAAGATTCCTCTCTCCCCGTGATATACTCAAACCATTTCAGTCTATATTCTCTCATTTTATCTACATTCGAAGCCGCGCTACCTCTAATGTACTCATCTCTAATCCTATCTTCTCTCATCACTCCACTCGTCCAACTAAACATTTTCATCTCTGCTACACTTATTCTCTGTTCTATTTTGCTGTCTACCGCCTAACACTTTGAATCAAACAACATAGCCGGTCTCACCGCATTTTTGTTGAACTATAGACCTATAATATAACCCCACTTCTGTGTCATATCTTTGAAAAACGTATAAATATTGAATACGGGTTACTCTGTGTCGACTAATAAAATCAATTGACAGACGAAAAGTGTGTTCCCAGAATAATCCGTGTATATTAAACTTATATACGGATTGCCCATGCATTCATATATATTTGCTAGTAATTTGTAGTAAAATTGCTGATAAAAAAAAGTCGACTACAGAAAAAATAACAATAAACATCATTTTTAAACCAATATATTCCTCACTTCACTCAGAATGTAAAATACCATTCTACTAAAAATAGTTTATATAATAATGAATATATTTTAAAGGAAAATAATAATTTTGAATTTCAAAATAATTAAAGGAGATTTAAAACATATTCAATGATTCATAAAATAATAATTTTGTATTTAATTTAACGATCAAATTAATGCAAAAATATTTTATTTTATTTAAATTTTTAGCACAGTAAACCTTTAAGGACTAGACTTAATGTTTAAGAATACATTTAATTACACTTAAACAAAACATAATGATGGAATCAGTTCAAAATCATTTTTTAAGATTTATTTCTTTTAAATTTAATATTTTTGGATATCTTTACAGTTCGCACAACGTCGTTTTAAACTTCCTTAATCTTACCTCATTAAAAGAACGTTGTACACTCTTGCTATCAAAATTTGTACACGAATTGTTAACTGGCGTTTTTGTCTTTAATCAATTTTAGAATAAATAGCCTTAATAACAGAAGCCCCTTGCCGTTTTACCCTGTTCCCTCAAATAAAAATCAAATTTTAAATTCCCCTACATTATACATTATATTATTAATTACGAACAATGTAACCTATACAATGTACCACAATATCGAATTATGTAATAGGACACTAGTCCGTTTATATTTGTAAATAAATAAAGAGCATTACCTTAGAAATTATTCTAAAATATTGTAGTAATTCGCTCTTCTTTTCAGTATGTATGGAAATTCTGACTACTCACGTTTCGCTTTGGTTTTATATTTTAAAATATAACTGTGTATATTTTTTAAAACTGTATATAATATGAATAAGATTATTACGACAAAAACGATTACTACGGAAATCACATCTAACAACAAATATTGATACCAAGTTAGGTTAGTGGCGTGCGATTTCAAGTGAGGGGCACCCTTATGCCGAACAACATAATCCGTCCAATAAGCAACTGACTTTTCTGGTGACATCGGTCGATCTTTGAATCGTTCAGAAGTAATTTTAGCATTTTTGGCGTACCTGTGAACAAAAACTGTACCTGTATAGTATAATGGGAAATGTATACATACCAAACCTTTTACTGTTCTATTATATATCTGAATAAACAATAACACTACAAATCTACGTAGGTATAGTATGCAGGTATTAGATTAATCGAATATAAATTACTACTTTGTCTCTATAACTTAACACTTACTTCGGGTTATTAACAAGTTCTAATACATTTCTTAAAAATGCGTCTTCTCGTACGGACTCTATATCCATGGATATAGCCATTCCCGCATTTACTAAATTGTCGATATTTTTGGGCTGATCGTAAAACAAAGGAAATCCAAGGACCGGAACACCAGCATCCACAGTCTCGTATATACTAGATATACCACCGTGGCTTATAAATAATTTTGTATTGGGGTGCACTGAACAACGCAAATAAAAAAAACAAAGTTTTAAATACATTTCAATAACATTAATATTTAATCTTACTGAGTATGTCACGTTGTGGCAACCACTTTGCCGTCATTACATTTTTCGGTTTATTTTTCATTTCTCCTTCATATTTCATTAATATTCTTTGAGGAACTTGAGCTAATGCTTTTTTTAATTTTTTCATAGTGTCTTCCGGTATTGCGGATATTTTAATAGTTGCACCAAATGCAAATAAAACCACTCCATGCGGTGAATTTTCAATAAATTCTAATATATCCTGAAATAAAATCGTGTTTAAATAACTTTAATTTAAGTGAAAACAACATAATTATGCTAAATAGTAATTATGAAAAAAAAAAAATGTGATATGAGTTAAATATTTATATTAATAATTTATTTAATATGCGATAACAACAGGCTTTTACAATGGCACTTAACAGACATTTTTTTGAAAGATTTTAACATCAAAATAATACAAGTTTCATACGTGTATAATAGTATAACCTTTATGGTTATATGTAGTAAGTACCTAGGTACCTACCTAATATTTAAATTATAGTAAAATAAATGTTTAATTTCTTGTAAAAATTACCAATTATTCAAATCTAAAATAAATTTATACTAATTTAATTTAGTGTCATATTTATGTGATAGGTATATGTCATTGTGTCATTGTTATGATTATTGGTTTTACAATAATGCTTATTTTTTTTTTTTTTTTATGTAAACACTTTTTATGCTAGTAAGTTTATTCCGATTATCAAGTATAGAACTATTTCTGAAAGGAAATAAAAACCCAGTTCTTTAGGTTGAAAAAGGTTGAAAGATTAAAAATAAGGTTGTCATTAGCAACCATTTTTATTTATTTTTTGTTATTATTAAGTTTTTATTATTTTAATCTTTTTCAAACAATCATTGTTGTAATGATTTTACCAAAATATGGCATATACCATATATTATATTGTTAACAAAGCAACGTTATCGACTAAACTCCGTTCAGAATCGGTTTTTCGTTAGCAATGGTTTATCGTTACTTACAGATATAGGCACATTAAATTCCCGACAGTGTCCTACCTTAAAGCCTTCGTCCGTCACTACCCAAAATTTATTTGCATACGAAATCTAATTAAAATTTGAATTTTTCAATTTAAAACCAACAAATATTTAATACAATTTTAAACAATTTAATAAAACTGTCATAATAAGTTATATTATTTATTTATAATGTTTATTATACCTGATAAATTAGGAATACTCGCACTTTTAATGGCTTTGTGAACTTGAACATAATTGTTACTACTATTGTAGTCCCAAAACTAATATTATAATCAAACCAAATCGCGAATGATTCAGTTATTGAGAAACCGTGTAAAAAAATATCTCATAAATTCACAATGTATGGTACTAACCTTCGACATATTTTTAACGGGTTTTAAATGAATTCCGCCGATTTGGACAACGGATGGTGGAAATGGTCTTGAAGCTTCAGTTATGTAATGACTATTTACGAATATCAATGAAGGTTGATAATAACGGGTGATTGAATGATGCGGTTTCTGATTTATGAACTTAATTATCCATTCATCAAAGTTTATAAAAAGAAGGCTGTATACCGATAGAACAGTGTTTTCTAATCGTTGGTAGAATGTCTTAGGAAAAGCATGTCCATAACATAAACTGGAAATAGTTGCTGGATTTGGGATGTGTCCGTGGAAAAAGCGTTCCGCATATGTTATCATTGGTGATGGAATTATATAAATCATTGGCAAATTTAACTTGGTCGCCAAATACGACACACAATTTACACCGTGAGTTTCTATAATAACTAAATCGAACATATGATTTTTGTGATTTTCCATTATTTTCTTCATCTGAGCGTTATCATATAATATGTCACAAAATTGTCTAGCGCTCTTTATCGCATTTTTAACCATCGCTGTCGGTTTTCTCCAAAGGGATAATGTTTCAACCAAGTCCATCTCTAACACGGATGGAAATTCTTTAGACGTATCCACTTCCGTGTAATTATCCCGATTACCGCCATCGGGAAACGGTGTAAATACCGTAACGTGATGACCGGTGTTCGACAACTCACGAAGTACAAAACTCATGAAATTCCAATGACTCTGGGCATACTCAGTTTCTACAGCCAATATTCTTGCGTTTTCTACTGCGGGTGATATCCACGAACAAGCCAACGAAAATATCAAAATTATAAATATAGGAGAGCATAACGTATTTGACTTTTGATAATATGCCATGGCTGTTTTATTTTTACAATATATTCGCTGTACAATGAGAACAAATCTATTGTTTCGTACAAATATTATATTATGGCTTACTAGAAACTTGAAAAAAACTACACTACCTATGAGTTAATTAACACTAAAGTTACTGTTCATTTATAAACCGATAAAATAGCTATCTAAAATTATCACGCATAGCCTAATCGATATAAAAAATTAGCACATAACTACTTAATAATTGTTTATAACCAATTCTTATCTTTAGTTATTAAACAATTTTTGCACTATAACGAAATTAACCAAACATAAACAATTTTTATAGAACACTTGATATTTTAAATATATAAAGTGGATAAATGATGATAACCAAAATATAAAATACAAAAAAAAATAAATATTATACTATTAAGTGACTTGTGTTAGTCCTATAATATTTACAACTTTCAATATCAAATTCATTTAGAATTGTTTTTAATCTCATTATGTACATCCGTAGTTGGGCGACGTAAAGTGGCATATTTGATCACAATTACGTAACTTAGTTAAACTTGGATATCATAGAAAAACGTTGCCATTATCTAGTGGCCGTATCATGTCGTTACGCAGCAGTTTACTAAACTACTTATAAGGTTTTCTGTTATTTACCTGTGTATGTAGTCAATTACGTACCTACGTTAAAGGTGACGTAATAGTAGAGTGCGGATTTTAAAGCAATAAAATACTGAAGAAAAGCAATGAAGCTGTATAAATCTTCCAAAAAAGCTTAAAAAAAAAAGCATTGAAAATTGGTTTAAAAAAAAAAAAATAATATTTACTAGTTTATAAAATTATTTTAAAAAGAAAAAAAGGTATTGTAATAAATGTATTCACAGGCTTGCTTCTTCGAGTTTTACAACGAAAACTAAACCGTGGATCTGAGTAGATAATTTCCAGAGCAAGAGTATATTTTTGTGTTTATTGTCGTTTCAAGATAAATTAATCTACCATACGGTACGCAAATCACATTATCAAAATTACATTGATAAAATATATCCATAAATCAAACATAACGAGATAAAATCGATTGAGTCAGCCATGACCTCGGAACGCATTATATAATATAAAAATAAATATTTACATTTCAAATCTATTTATAATCCGTAATAATGCCGTTTATAGATGTATGCTTTTATAACCAACGATTTATAAGTATGATAAAAGTTTGAATTTCGGCCCACCCCCCTTGGAAGATAAGCTGAATACGCCCCTGATCGGTTGTGGCGAAACAGTCGCGACGAAAATATGTCCGGGTCCGTATTTAATATGTGTTGTCTTTAACAGGATCGGTTTAAATTTTTTTTACAAATAGAAGAATATTTGACTGTTTTACTTTATCTTATATTTGTTTTAAATATAAAATCCATCTAATCGGATTTTGTTTTAGTTTTTAACTTAAATTGTACAATGTAGTGATTAATATTTTTTAAAACTGTATATAATACAAATAGAATAACGGCAACAAAACCGATTATAACGGTCATTACGTCCAACAATAAATACTGATACCAAGAGATGTTCAGCGCATGAGATTTCAAGTGAGGCGCTCCTTTATGTCGTATTACATATTCCGTCCAATAAACAACTGAGTTATCTGGTGACATCGGTCTATCTTTGAATTGTTCAGAAGCAATTTTAGCGTTTTCAACATACCTTTATAATCAAAATGCATTCTTTAATGATGAAAATTTTACATATAAAATGTAATAACTTTTAAATATTAAGTTTGAGTCGCCACTTAACCAATATTCGAGCTATGGTCATTCATTTTTATTTTATTCGTTAAAAGGACGTTATGCACGCATTTTCTATCTCAGTTCAACTACCGGATAACATGGAAAAACAATGCTTCCGCATAATAAGTAAAACTTACCTTGATTTTGATTTTAGAGTAAAAGTAACAATTATGAAGTTTATAGAGAACAATATTCTATAAAGAAAAGACACATATACCTTTATTTTTTTAAAAAAAAAATAACTGTAACTTCTTATTATTTCATGAATCAAAAGAAGTCTTTAATATTTTCTCCAAAATATTATTCTCTATAAATTTTATTATAGACACTTTTACTTTAAAATCAAAATTAAGGGGTAAGTTTTACTTATTTTCCGTAAGAATGGTTTTTGCATGTTACCTAGTAGTTGGACTGAGACAAATGCGAGTTTAACGTCCTCGTAATACTTTAATTTTATAATTTGTTATTTCATAATATAATTATTATTGTTTCCATCTATATTAGTAGATTGAACATAATAGTGATAGTAGTGTATCTACTGATCTACACCAATCTACATAACTAGAATGGCCATAGAACGGAAAAATGCAATATTAGAATATTGTTACTAATTTTTCACTTCATAATGTGGACTTAAGACTTTTGAAATTCCAACTGTGTTTTGGCAAACTACAAATGCAGTTCTGCTTGAATTTTGATTTTTTTTTTTTTTTTTTCAATAAACACATACGTAGATCAAATTAAATATTAATAGAAGAAAGATTCTTAATGCGATCATAGGTCACCGTATAAATACATAGTAGTATGACTAATATTTATATCCTAAAGATTTCACGTAAATATTGTCGTTGTATTAATTGCCAAGTACAGTTTGAACTTGCAAATTTGAATACCTTTTTCTAATAATTTTAAACTCACGTAATATTATTAACAAGTTCTAATACATTTCTTAAAAATGTGTCTTCTCGTACGGACAAAATATCCATAGATATAGCCATTCCCGCATTTACTAAATTGTCGATATTTTTGGGCTGATCGTAATACAAGGGAATTCCAAGAACTGGAACACCAGCATCCACAGTTTCATACAAACCAGATATACCACCGTGACTTATAAATAATTTTACATTCGGATGCACTGTATAACACAAATAAAACTACAAAGCTTTTAAACATTTATTGTTAATGTAAAAACGTACTGAGTATGTCCCGTTGAGGCAACCACTTTGCAATCATTACATTCTTTGGTTTATTTTTCATTTCTTCTTCATATTTCCATAATATCCTTTGTGGGACCCGTGCTAATGCATTTTTAAAAATATTCATAATGTGTTCTGGTATTGAGGATACTTTAATAGTGGAACCGAATGTAAATAAAATCACTCCATTCGGCGAATTTTCAATAAATTCTAGTATATCCTGTATAAAAAATAAAAACATCGACGAATTTAAACAATAATTATTATGTTTATACAGTTTATTCTATTTGAATTAGTAGATATAACTCATAACGTTAAATATACTATTCCAAAAGTTATTCATAAGTTGTAATAAGAAATTTATTTGTAAAAAATATAACAACCAAAGACGGTCATACTTCGCACGATAGGCGAGCCACTATTATAGATGAGAAGTTAGGAAGGTAATACAAATTACATACAAAACTCGCAAAATTAAAATGTATATAAATAACTCAAAAGTGGCTTAAATATTTTGAAATTTTGACTACGTCTAAAATAACCCAATTTTCTGTCCGAATTCCAAGTCTCTACAATTATTTTTTGACTGAATCACAATAAAAAAAATAAAATTGAAACTAATACATTTCTAAATTTCGTAAATTTTCCCGTTTTTCCCAATTATTATAAAAGCCGCTAAGAAAATCAAAAAATGACCTCCTTAAACCGCCACACCAATAAAATTGTCTTTTAGAAAAATTGCTACGCGTGAAAATCAAGATTTTTTGTATATAAGTTGTTCACAGAAAAAAAATTAATATCATTGTAAAACCAATACGTTCCTCGTCCTCTCAGAATCCAAAATATGTAGTGCAGTAGTGCAAATTTATTTAAATGATAATTATTCTGTTTTTATTATTTATACTATTTACAATAAGTGTCAAGATAAAATACCAGACATTGTGAACCGTCGTTAATTATTATGCGTGTCGTCGGTAGACTTGCGTTGACGAAATTAAAAATGTCATTACCAAAATGTATTTAAACGAAAACTTCTTCTACTTGTGAGGTTTTTAATATAAGTTGCCGTTTGAAAATTCGGATAGTGGTTTCATTCCGAAAAATAAGGGTAACGTGAAATATCATTTATGTAATATTTTAGTGCTGTTTGTTTGTTAAATTTTATAAAAAAAAAAAAAACAAATTGAATACTTAAAATAAATACCGATCAAATCAATACTCTCCGAAATAATGAGTATCTCACTTTACGCCGGTCATTCTATACATCTGTTATATTGCTTATTAGGTACCTTTGGTAAACTCTTTGGTGGTTTTAAATGTATACCACCGACTTGAACAACGGTCGGTGGAAACGGTCTTGAAGGTTCACTTATGTAATGACTGTTTACAAATAACAATGACGCTTGAACGGGACGAGCGATCGAGTTGTAAGGTTTCGGATTTGTAAATTTAACAGTCCATTCGCGAAATCCGAAATAGAGAACACTGTACGTTGACAGAGCGGTGTTGTGCAGTCTGTCACTGAATGTTTTAGGACGGGCTTTGTAATAGTATGAATGAGAGACTGTCGCAGGATTCGGGATGTGTCCGAGAAGTGAACGTTCCGCGTATGTTATCATCGGCGACGCAATCAAATGAACCGTTGGCAAGTTTAACTTGATCGACAAATACGATACACAATCTGACCCCAGAGTTTCTGTGACAATCAGATCGAAAATCGGCTGTCCGTCATTTCGCATTATTTCCTTCAACCGGTCGTTTGCGTATATAATATCGCACGTGTTTGTTCCCAACGCTTGAGCAACCTTGACCATTGATGTCGGACGACTTTTTCTGATCAACGTGTCGGCCAGATCCATTTCCAGCAATGTCGGAAATTGGCCCGAAGTATCCACTTCCGTGTAGTTGTCTCGGTCACCGCCATCGGAAAAGGGCGTAAACACGGTAACATGGTGGCCCCTCTCTGTCAACGCCCGGAGTATAGAATTCATGAAATTCCAATGACTTTTGGCGGGCACTATTTGCACAGCCAATATGCTCGCATTTTCCACGGGCGGTATGCTCGAGCATACCAACGAACATATAAAAATTATTACAAACACAGTGTTAGAAGGGTATCCGGCATTGATCGAATTATTATAACGTGACATGATGGCTACTTTCATGTATGCTTCGCTATGTACCTAATATTACAGTCACCATACTAACTGTTTTCATAGCGTTTTATCGATTGCTGGAAAACGCGTAGATTGAACACGTTAACACAACCGCTACGCGGACACAACTGCTATCGGTATTAAATTTATTTGCACCAGTATTTTTGGTCACGTCTTCGAGTAGGTGTCACGAACGGATCATAATGTTGAAGCTTTAAAAGATTAAAAACCCTTAATTACATTATAAATCATTAATAATATATCATATAAAAACAAAAAAAATATGTGGAATATTGTTTTGTACATTTACACTTAGACTAATTTCAGGTAATAATATACAGGACGATTTACTAAGCGTGCTCACTTCAATTTTTTGATTAAATTTTGCATCAATTCAAATTTTTATTTTGGGATTTTGACACCAAAATTTATTTAAAGTAATACTTCGTCTATATATGACATTTTTAATATGGGTTCTCATTTGAAAAACCAAAGCTAGTATCACCACAGATACTCCTTAAATATTGTGAAAAATATAAGTAATGGAAAATATCGGCGTTAACTACACTTACAATTCACAATTTGAATACATGCAAAATTTAACCAAAAAAGATGAGGTGAACACGCTTAGTTAATCATTCTGTATATGTAACTTGTGGTGCATATTCTTACTTATGATATACTTACACATGTATTTTACACGTGTACCTAGGTACCAATATCTACGGATATGAATATTAAATACAGTTTTATGGAAGTATAACGGTATCGATAATCGCGGACGTAAGATGCACGTGCAAACGATTGTTTTATTGGTCTAGATTATAAAATTTAATTCTAGACAAATCCAATAAATTACAAAGTCACTCAAGGATAAACGATCACGTAACCCACGAGCAAGTCATTATAATATCGAGGCCTGGAATGGGCTTTCGGTAGATGGTCTCGCCCGTGTTTAACGTTGCACCTGACTTAAAATCGCTAGTTTTAACATAGAAAATTTAACTCAAACATAATTCCTAGTTATAATAAATTTAATTTAAAAAAATTGTAATTAAATCGTCTATTCTTAAATTACAAACCAAGTTTCTATTTATTTCGGTGACGGTATGTCACCGTTGTAGGTGGGAATTTAGGATACATTAAGTCATTTAATATATATCCATAAAAAACGATAAACCATTACTAATGAAAAACGATTCAGAGTAGAGTTCAGTTACATATGTTTTGAAAGGCCGTGATATATTTACAATTTTCGTCAAAATTGTTTATAAAAAGAGCTGATTCTAGAGATGGAAGCGGCCACTGCTGTAGTTGAGAAGTTAGGAAGATAAGATACACAAGGTTATTTAATTTATATCTGTAAGCAATGATAAACCATTGCTTAACGAGAGACGATTCTGAACGCAGTTCAGTAGTACATAATTTGAAGTGCCGTACATTTTTGCGATTGTCGTTTAAATTAAATTTCAAAACGCTTATTAAAAAAAAAAAGAAGTAGTCCAATAATTTCGAAAATTGTATCACGTCTAGGTAAGTCCAATATAAATATTATTACCAAGCTTCAAGTCTCTACGTGCATTTATAACCGAATTATAGCAAACCAATTCCCAAAAATTTAAATTCCATAAAAGCGAAAAAATGACACAAAATTTTTGGCGATGATACCGTAAGAAATTAAATCAAAAAGGCAACAAAAAAATATTTTGTGATTTTTCGATTAAATTATTTTCTCTGGTAGAAAACGCCGTCTGTGTTTTTATAAAATATTGAAATCCTGAAATCGTACGTTTTCCTACGTTTATTCCCACCTTAATGATTTTATTCAAAAAAATGGCGTCAAAAATCAAAAGATGACCTCTTTAAAGTACCATCTAGACTACTCGTGCTTTCAGAAAAGTTGCTACACGTAAAAATCAAAGCAAGTTTACTAGAAAAATACGTGTCCATAGACTAGAACAAAGAAAGAAAGAAAAAAATAAACATCTCAATAAAACCAATAACTCCCTCGCTACGCTCGGAATCCAAAATTCATATTAAGAAAAATATTACATTAAGTTCAATTGTTTTTTATTTAACACAAAGTACGATTAATAACGAGTCACCTGTTGAGTTTTCAAGCATTTCTATTAATTCAACAACAATAATAATTTCACCCACAGAGTACCTACTAAATAATCATTACGTAAAAAACTCTCAGAATTAAAGTATCTGTACATTTCTATAACAGATTATACACACACCGTACCTGTGGAAGTATGTAATAGCGGAAAGAAAATATTTTTAATGTATTTATGTAGGTAGGTAATTATATTATGATTTGTTCATTTTTTCATAAAACGAGATTTAACTTAAAATCTTAAAATTAACATAACTATGGAAACCACCATCGAATCAGGCTTGACATTTCTTGCAAAATTAACACATAAACCGAAAATGTCCAAAATTGACACCTTCTCGTGAACTCCGTCCAATTATAAACCGATTTCATTATTATTTTTAATGCTGCCCTCCGATTTAATTCATCGCATCATGAAAATACCTTAAAAGTAGGGATTTCCACGCATTGTTTATTATAAATTATTATAATAATATTAAATTGTATTAAATTGTTGTGCGCACGCGCAATTTGTGTTTCCTAAGAATTTGCATAAAGCTGGATGGGTATACTAACATTAAGTACGCGTATATTTGCGATCTTTGCGAACTTTGAGTTTGTTAATCTAATCGAAATTCTACCGTCGTCTCCGGAATACTATACAAGTACAGCGATATAATGTACGTGACGGTAGTCTTTATAACTTGATTCTGTTTGTTACAGAACGCCCATTAAAACTTTCATATAGTTTACCTACGTCGCAATACAACGAGCGCATGAATTATTATTAGGTTTATATTTACTTAAAATGTTCGAGTAAAATTACTTGAGAAATTCAATTCAAAACTTTTATAATAACAACGGTGAAAGTAAGACCGGCTATTATTAGGTACGCGGTATATACGCGTGATATGGCTTTTCCGTCGAAAATAGGATTTTGGACAACATACTCGGAACAGAAGTTTTATTACTCAACTGTTAATAATAAATATTGTGCTTTTAGACAAACGAAATGTATTCACAGGAAAATATAATTATCTTGGGAAATAGTATAATGTCTACTCCGTGGATATGATAAAAAATAGAAACATCGTATCTGTATGTTAACAAAAAGCAATGGCGTAGCCGGGATTTATTAATAGAGAGGGAGCGGTAGGGAGTTCTAGAAGTCTTCTACAACCTTCTTAACCTTACCCGCAGTCATAAAAAAAAAAAAAAAACTAATGGAGGGTGTTGTGCTCGTACGGGTTGTTTTATTTGTTCGGCAGTGTGAGAATCCGATTTTTAGGAGAAAGTACAACAAAACAGTTCTAGGAATTTTCGGTTACTAATATAATTTTAATGCGAGTCAAACTGTACAATTACAGTGTAATATATTATAACAGTCGTCGAGACGGCGAGCCGGCATAAAAGTGGCAGCTCGACTGACCGCGCGGCTCTCTTGCGGGTGCCGTGCGGCTACAACGTTCTCGGAGCCGCCTACACGCTTGGCGTTATCGATGGACTGCAATAACATACTCGTATACCCTAATACAAATGGTTTATACTTACTATACTATACACAACAGCAATGTGCTCATAACAGACCGGGTCACAACACCTAAAGTCCCCCTTTGCCTATCTAACTAGCAAACGGAACGAGTGTCTGTATTGGCCACAGCCGAATTTATCGCACGCAGAGGTTTTGCAAATTTACAAACAGAAGCAGACGAACGCCGGGGCCGCCGTGTGCAACATCTTGAAACCGGGTTTCCAAAATTCAACCTCCAGAATGTGGCTAACAAAGAGTTTTTAAGTATTATTAGAATGAAAACCGAACTTTTTGTTTTTGTCATTTTAAAGATAACGCTTGTGACATGTATACTGCATTATAATAACGGATGTTGCATTATAATAATCGCATTATATCCATACGGTTTCGTGGGAAACACGTATGAAATAGAATGCATGGAAATCAGGTTGCACGGGGAAACACGTTGAATAATTGCGATTAGAGTGACGTCATAATAAACAATAACAATTCTTAAAATGTATCGGATCCAAACAAAAATAAACAAAAAGGCACGTGGGTGCAGCTACTGATGTAGATGGGAAGTGTTGGGTAGGTAGGATACAGAGGGGAATTTAACGTATATCTGTAAGCAACGATAAACTATCGCTAACGAAAAAAAAACGATTCTGAGTAAAGTTCAGTTAATAATGTTACTTTGTCAACAATATAAATGCCATATTAAGGTAAAATAATTACAACAATGTGCGTTTCTATAACGACAATGATTGTTTAAAAAATATTAAAATAATAAAAACTTAAAAATAACAAAAAATAAATAAAAGCGGTTGCCAATGACAACCTTATTTTTTAAAATTTAATCTTTCAATCTTTTTCAACATAAAGAACCAGATTTTCCTCGTTATTTCGAATATTTAAAAAAATTAAAAAATAAATAAATAAATATCATTGTAATACCAATCCATTCCTCACTCCATTCAGAATCTAAAATATACACATTAAATGTGATAAAAATTAATTTTAAAATTCTTATATTTCATATTTTAAGTACTTAGACATTTATATTATTGATAAAACCCCATTTGAGTAACTCTGATTTAAAAATAGTCAAATCTTGTTACTAAAGTACTCATAATTAAATACAATATGAGTGTTTAAAAAATATCATATAAATTTTTAATGGGAGTATTAAATTTATTTTATCCAAATGATCCAATTATTACAGTCAACAGATACCATACTGATGAAAAGATTTTGACGTTTGCAGCACTAATCACGCGTAATAAATTTCTTTGATTGATTTCGGTTTATGAGAGGATTCTTTTTTTTAATTCTACTTTTAAATGGTAAAAAAAAAAGTAAGGATTAAATTGACATATGTCAACGCTACCGTTGGGCGGTAAATTTAATACAAAAGTTACACTATAATTTTTAAAAAGTTTTATTTTCAATAATATATCTTCTTCAAAAGGTCTCAAATTTCTTTTTAAGCTAGGCAAATGGAAAGTAATAGAAATGGGATTGTTTGAGAAGGTAGTATATGTTTAACCACTATAATTATGTGGATTTAAGTGGTTTAGAAATTCAAGATTGAACAATAGACGCATAGTTGGTATATTAAGTTAGCTAAGTTTATAGCTGCCGTTTGAAATTCGACATTATACTATGTTGCGACTTACAGAGTGGTTATTGGATATAAGATATGTTTTTGAAGTACTGCTGTGAGTCTCCGACACAAATGGAATTCTGTGATTATATTCTCTGACTATCCGTATCTTGTTATACAATTCTCCATAATATCATGATCTGCTGGTATCACAAAGAATTAGCGCGGCAGCGTTCTCAAAATCGTATTTGGATACAATTCTGGTTGCGCTAAACAATATGAAAAGCCATGAACATTCGAACTCTACTAATTACATATTGAATATTGAAATTAAAAAAAAAAAAAAAAATGAAAATTTAAAAACGAGGGAAAAGTATTTTGACTTTTATAAATGGTTACAATATAATCTAATAAACCATTTGTTCGATTTTGAAACACTTGAAATACTAAAGCTGATGTGCATGTCATGTGTGACATCTAATCTATTTCTTTGTTTTGTTTTAACATTAGTCATAGTTGAAAATCGTTTTTCACATAAATAATTAGTAGGAAAAATAGTTTTTTTATCGCATTTAATGACAATTCTGGATATTCATTATATACTGTACAGCAAAAATCAATAACGGTTTCATTTTTAAATTTATTTTCCTAAGTTTTATCATAAGAAAATTCAATAAACTGAGTTTCAAGAAACGTATTGGAGTTCAATTCTTCAATTGAAATAGTTAAACGATTTTCAATCCAGTGAAAAACATCACGAATGTCTTTTGGGAAATAACTGTTTATTACAATTGATAATTAGTGTAAATTTCATAAAATAATTTGTTTATTAGTATCAGTGACATTCACTGAGTCGTCTTCGTGGAGAAACTCGCTAAGTACTAAAAACGTATCAATATCTTTTTTCTTTAATTTAGTTTTATAAATAGTAATTTTTTTTGATTGAAACAATTTTTTTGGATTGGTCAAAAATGTTGAACTTTTTACCTTACATCAATAAATTTAAATCATTACCATGGTAAAAATATCTACCAAGTATGCTAACATACACCATTTATTCTCATAAACATAAGTTTTCAAATACGAATTTTTATTGTTTAGAAATTTTAACACTTTATGCCGAAGTTGAAACAGTCTGAATAAACATTTTCCACAAAAAAGTCAACGTACTTCAGAGTGAAGTAAAAGTGATTTAACATTTTGTCCATCAATCGTGTCTTCAATCAGTTTTTAAAACAATCTAATATTTAATAAAATCAATAATATGAATAGTTACATTAAGAATGTCATTTAATCCAGCAATACATGCAATATTGCCGTATCAGTTATAATTTTCTAAAAAGAGTAAAACCATAAAAAATTAAAAATGACAATAATAACAATAATATATACCTACTATCTAGTAATAAAACTAAAATAAAACCAAAATTGTATTTATCTTTCTCTGTCACAGAAACCGCTTTTGAGACTTTATTCAAAATCTACTTTCGTCATAATTTTCATGAAATTTCACGGTGGGGGTGTTGAACCCCTAAACCCACACCCCCTTGTGCACGCGCCTGCCTAAATGTTTTTTAAACAAGACTTAATTATTGTACGTGGGTACCTCGTATACGTATCCTGTATTACGTACGATTTTTAACAAATCTGTCATACGACGTTTTCTCAGTCGCATTACAGTTTTTAATACCGTATAGATACAATAATATTGCCATAGATGTAATATTATTATTATTATTATCAACTGACACGCGGAATTCGTTCGTTTCTGTCAACCGCGTAATAATAACATTTTGTTTAGCCAATACAAATAATAAAGTATGGGAAAAATATTCGGTGTAAAGTATCGTAATACTTTCTAATATGTCTATAAAATAATCAGATATAATATACGTACAATATTTCCGCCGTGCGTTTTAATAATAATAACATATACTCGTGAGTAGGTAAATGTAATAAAAAAAAAAAAAAAAAAAAACAGCCGATACTGCACTGATGGGTGTACCGCTGTTGTATGTGGTGGGAAGTTGGGAAGGTAGAATACACAAAGTTATTTAATTTAAATCTGTAAGAAACGATTAATCATTGCTAACGGAATACGATTCTGAGCGAAGTTCGGTTGTACTTTTTTTTTGGAAAGCCGTAACGTTAACAATTTTCGTCAACATATGTTCTTAAAACTATATCGAACATTTTTCGATTGGAACAAGTGTTCTGCTGGAAGAGTTGTTTACAGATTTAAAAAAAAAAAACATATTATGAATTTGTAAAACCAATACATTCTGCTTTCCGCTCAGAATCCGAAATAATATAATTTACTTCGCTATGTATAAACCAATATCCCGAACTGTATTACAATCAGTGGTGTGCGCAGGGAGGGAGGTAAAGGGTTTGTATCATCTGTTAGATTAAAAATACAAACTATGGAGTATTTATTTTGAAATTATATATTTGAGCCAACCGATTTCCAGTACCTATTCAAAATCCCGAAGAATATATCTTATTTTACGTATGTAACACTATATATTAAATTTGAGGCTATAAGTTTAGGAAAGAATTGTTCGTGGTGAATGAAGACGTTTTGAAATTGTTTAAGAGGGGTGAACAAATTTGGTAAACAATAAAAATAGGACGGATAATATTATTATTATAGGTCATAACTCATAATACATACTACGCTATATTATGATAGTTTGTTCGCTGTCCAAGGTCACTTAGAAAGTAAAATTTGAAAAGAAAGAACGGCAATGGAATATAATAATATTCCGCTAAATCTTAAGGACACGGAAATGACCGACGTTTTTTAGTATTGACAGAGAAACACGACGGTGAGCTGCGACCTGCGGCCCATCACGATTTAAGGTTTTCTACCAGAAATCTTGTTCTAAATTTCAAGAATAACATCTTTTCTGAAAGACAATTTTGTCTAGTTTTTGAATGCGTAAACCGTTTCTTCCGTATAGTTTTAACCAAAACACTTCGGAATAACAGAAAAGTTTACGGAAATAACGATTTAAATATTTTCAATTTTGTTATTTATTATATTCCGTTGAAAATATCCTAGAAACCTGACATTTTCATAGCATAGTCTTTTTATTATATTATCATTTCCTAGATGTTAAATTTTCAAAATATTCACGCGATTTTTTTTATATTTTCAAATTTGTTTTTAGTTACTATTTAGTAAATACTATGTGAATAAAATCATTTTACCAAACAGAAATGCTTGAAAAATTGAGCGTAACATTGTATTTGTTATTTTATAAGTTTTAATTATCAATTTTAATGTAAATCGTAAAAAAATACGTAATTTCAAAAAAATTCGCTTAGAATCGTACTTCGCAATGGGTTTATCTTCGCTTACAGATATACCTAGGTACATTACGTTTGGGATAACTTAGGATACTTTATGTATCCTACAGTCTCGAATTTTTTTGTAAATATTATCGACAACATTGTTAATTTTTAACCGCGTAATACACTTGTAGTAGAAAACGAAAGTACTTAAGCATACTAATGCGTATCGGGTTTTTTGTATGAGTCGCCGGGAAAGTTAAAAGTTATAAAAACTCCATCGTACCAGAAATGTGTGGCATAATATACAGCTAAAACGTTTAACCATCGACGTTCTAAAAATAACAAATAAACCTTAACGCTTTTACTATAATAAAAAAAAAATATATATACAAATTATTTTAATAACATATTATAGATACGAGAGATTTAGAAATTGAAAGCATATAATATAATATTGGTGTCTACAATTGAATTTAAATGAATCCGGGAGTCGGGAGTCAAACCGGCTGACCTTGTTCGTGACACGCGTTGAGATAATATTACGATCAGTCTACTGAGAAAAAAAAAAAAAAAAACCTGATATAAGTATAAAACTATCACTTTTTATACTTTATATACACTCACTATTATACGTAATGAGAAATTATTATGATTACTTATCGCCGGTATTATAGAACAGCAGCAGCAGCAGCAGCAGAACAGGATTAATATGAAATTGACGGCCGATCGTGCCGCAATATTTACTTTTAATTTCCCCAAAAAAAAAAAAAAAAGTAATTTTCATATATTCGTGGATGTATTTAGGATTTCGCCGAGGACGGAACAGTGTCAAATTCTGTAACGTGCGACTATACGCTAATAAGAAAATAAACTGATACTCCAGATGCTGTTAGGCTGTTGAAAGTGAGGATATTGTGTAAAGTAATTTAATTTATACCTGTACGGCAACGATAAACCATCGCTAACGAGAACAGATCCTAAACAGAGTATGATAACACTCTGTTTAGAATCCGTCTATCGGTCATATATTTCATTACCTATGCATTTTTCGATCGGTACGAGATTCTTAGTAGAAAAAATTGTTTACAGACGCACAAAACAAATCGTAGTATTCTATTCGTTCAGAATCTAAAAATCGATATTAATTAATATATTTTTGTAAGTTATTTGATGTTATTATTCAATCCGGTCTAAAATTAAAACTGAAATCGAAAAACTATTACATAAATAACCGTATTAGTTTATTTAGGTAATATATAACCACCTTTGTATTATAATGGTTCTGCAGATGGCGAGTCTCTTTTTAAACGAACCAATGTATACGTTCAGGTATTTTATGTAATGTATTATTTACTGTGTACGTAGCCACGCATTTTTCGATTTTTCTGACTAGAAAGTAAAAAACAAAAATCGAATTTATAAAATAGGAAATCGTATTAACGAATAATAGATATAGGTAACATAAAAAGTTTAAGGAGAGAGTAATAATTTCTCCCTGACCTTCCTCCCCTTCTAAATACGCTATTTATATACCTACTTGCATTCGATGGCGCAACGAGAAAACATTTTCAAGGTTATTTCTGAATATTTGATACTCATAGTTATGTATAATTTTTCGAATAAAATACGCTTCACGATTGATGTCTGTCAAAATCCGCCGAAGCGCATATTATTCAACTAAAACCAAAAACCAAGAACGTTTGAACGATGTGTCGACTTTCGACAACCGTTTGGATTTCAGAGTTTTTCAATTTATTCGTCGACAAATCGGAGACTAAAAATACTTCGAATTCGCGTCAAACTCTGCGGATCGACAATACGGCTACCCGTTAAAAGCTCACTGAAAAAAAACCCTAAAACTTACGGTCCGAGACGGAAACAATATGAACGGTTCCGAAATTGAATTTCGCCGGTTTCTGTGAAACGGTCTGCCGTGCAACGATAAACGGAAACTCGGACCCTATTATAGCAATGACGAAATATTTTGTGTGTCGTGCTTCAGAAAAAAAATGGATCAAAAAATAGATTCAAAACAGGTGGATGGAACGGCGCATCCGAGTTGCGTACTATTTTAGTTGACTTATCGACTTATATTGAGTTGCGTATCCACTCTAGTTGACTTTTTCAATACGCTCTCTTATACGTTTTTATCTAAATACATTTAGTACATTAGTATTAAATAAAATTAAATAGCAAATTTTTTAAATTTGTTTCTATATTATATTAAATTAGTATTCATTAAACGACCGGAGGCCACATTTAGAAAATGTTTTCCAAAATATATTAATTTATAACCAGGGCTGTGAATTTAATGCACTAAAAAATGTCAAAATATGCATGAAAATATGCACTAAAAAATATCAAAATATGCACTAAAAATATCAAAACGTGCATAAAAATATGCTATTAAAATTTCGTAAAATATGTACTAATTTTTCAAAAATATACAAAAAACAACAAAAAATATTTTTTTAAATACTAAATATAATTGTTAAAAATTTATGGGTATTACATGTTTATATAAATTTAAATTAATTGCGATCTTCATCATCGTCATTTACGGCATCTATATAAAAAAAATAAATATAAATATAAATATAAATTTAATATTTAATAAATTTACCTCTAAAGTAATTATTGCATTGTACGATTAATGATTTTTTGAGATTTTCAAACTTGAAAGACCTCCTGTTTGGTGCCAATATATTCTTATATAAAGAAAACGATCGTTCTACATCTGCGGATGTTATTGGTGCAAACTTAAAATACGCCATGTCGCTACTGGTTAAATCTTCTGGTATATCCAAATCACCTACATTCTCTTCTTCGCCAGTTAATATTTTTGAAATATTACAAACAATTTGAAATCCTTTGTTTTTGTTGAGAACTGTTTGTAATTTTTTATTAATATCAATTCCAGCGGTACCTGTTAATTGACTAAACTTTGATGAAATATCTTGTATGATTGCAATACCTTCAGATAAGGGTATACCTTGTTTTTGTAGACGCGTTATAGCTATGGGAAGACATGCAAAATTCGAATGTATAAAAGTCAAGTTTCCTTTCATTTGAGTAATTTTAAAATATTTTTGAGCATTTTTTATGGAAAGCGCATCATTCTCATCAAAACTTTCAATTATGTTTTTTACAGTTTGAAAGTTTTCACTATAATATAATACGGCAGAAATCCACGTACCCCAACGTGTCAGAATAGGTTCAGGAGGTAGTGATATATTCGGTGCATCAGTATGAAATTTTTGAACACGATAAGGCGCCTTTTTGAATACTCGTTTAACATTTGCTACCAGTTTATCAACTTTTGGAAATTGAATACGTATTTGTTCAGCGACTCTATGTAATCCATGGGAAGTACAAGTTACGTGAACCATTTTTGGATACAACACTTTTAATGTATCACCAGCCTTCACCATATAAGGCGCAGCATCACTTAAAAACAGCAATACATCGTTTCGTCTTATTCCGTCAGGCCATAATAAATAAAGTGAATTTTCAAATAGGGAACATATTGTACTATGATTTGTTTTCTGTAATTGTTCGAGGTTAAATAAAAAAATTTCACCTGGACGATCGAGGAGTAATGTACCGATAATAACTGAAGCAATAAAGCGGCCCTCGGCATCTGTTGTCTCATCTATTGAGACCCAAATTTTCTTTCCCGCTACTTTTTGTCTTATTTCGTTTAAAACTTCCTGGTAACAATGGTCAACATTAACTTTGCGTAATGTTGTTTGATCTGGAATATTTTGTCCAGTATATTTTATCAAAAATTGTTTGAAATATGTATTACTTAATTTATTTAACGGGATGTTAGCACTAAGCATGGCTTTACATAAATCATTATTAAATGACGATTTAGATGACGAATCTTTTGAGATAATAAGTTGCTGAGTTTTTTTTTTGTTTTCTGTACGATTAACTCCTCTTTGGTGTTTTTCAGTGGCTATGTGTTGTGTTACAGAAAAACGTTTNTCTTTTGGCATTTTAAAATATACAGTACAACTAGAAATATAAATAAGGAGCTAGTAGGTACTGATTAGGCGCAATAAAATAATAAAATAAACAAAACAAAACTATAACACTCGAATTACGAACACACGCACATCACGGATCGGCGATCACATCGAACTAATAGAAATAGGTATTATTTTTACAATTGTTGTCCATCAGGCATCAAGTGCAAGTTAATATAGGTAAATATTATTTTCCATTTATTTATATTTATAGACCACAACAATACAATAATAATTATTAATTAATAATACTGATCTTGGACAATATTCGGCAAAATAAGAAAACAACTATTTATACCCGAATTTACGTGTAGTCAACCCAACTAAAAATAGAATAAAATGTTCAAAAATAATAAAATTTCTATAAAAGATAGTTAGATTATAAATACATTTTATATTATGTATTTTATATTTTAGACCAAATTGACCGAAAAAGTATAAATATTAAGAAAAAAGCATTAATACGAAAAAAGTATAAAAACATGCATTTATATGCCCTAACTAGTTAAATATGCAAAAATATGCACTATAAGATTTCGTATTTTAATTATTAGTAACACAATTCAAATTTTGGCCGAATCCATTTTCTTTTATGATGTAGCAAAAAAAACATGCAAATGCATTAAATTCACAGCCCTGTTTATAACAATACAAACATTTTTTAATCATACCTGTGTTTTATTTTAAACTACAAATCGCTGGCCGTCCTAAGACTGTAAAAATCAGAAGGAAAATTCTTCCCATTACTGGTAAACGTTTAGACCCGACTAGTATATAACCTGCCCAAAGCCGGGACCCAACTAGCATAGTACCCAAAACCCACTGGGCCCCAACTAGTGCGTATCACCTATCAAAACCACATGGATCCGGGACCCGATTCGGACGCAGCCGGGTGGAGATCGTAAAACCGATGATTCAAGGCAAAAAAAAAAAACGCCCCCGTTATCTTTCAAAGTGGTAAGTGGTGGTCTAGGAGTCTAAAACCTTCGTCGCCTTACCCATAGCCAAGAACATAATTAGTAATGGAGTAGAGTCACAACATCCAAAACCGTCCTCCGACTACTTCACTGACAAAAGAAATAAGTAGTAGTCTTTATGAGCCACAGCCGAATATATCGGGCACAGAGGTTTGCGAATTTCCAAAAGAAAGCAGATGAACGGAGCCGTGTGTATTTTGAAACCGAATTTCCGAAATTCAACTTCCAAAATGTGGCTAACAAAGCGTTTTTAGGTATAATTGGAATTAAAATCAAACTTTTGAGTGACGCGGATATTATATTATAACAATGGAAAATCGTATTGTATCCATTGGTTTTGTGGAAAACGCGGATGGAATAGAATGCAGAGAAATAATGGTTGAACGGAGAACCACGTTGAATAAGGGCGATTAGCGTGACGTCATATTATATAATAGCAGTTCTTATCATGCATGATTGGATCCAAGCAAATAAAAATATACACATTAAAGTAACTTAAAAATGCTTACATTCCACATTATAAGTACTACTTGGACATTTATTTTACTGCTAAAAACCTCATTCGAGTAACTCTTATTTAATAATTGTCAAATCTTGGTTTTAAAGTACACATAATTTAATATAATGTTGGTGTTTAAAAAATATCGCGTACGTTTTTATTGAGACTATTAAATTGATGTTATCCGAATTTTATCACAATCAACAGATACCATACTGATGAAAAGATGTTGACGTTTGCAGCACTAATCACACGCAATAAATTTCGTTGATCGATTCCGATTTATGAAAAGATTTTTTTTTTTTTTCAATTCAACTTTTAAGCGGTGAAAAAAAAATGTGAATTAAATTGGCACGTTTGACACCGGAAACAGGTCGAGACGTTTTCGGGTTCATAAGGTCCGCGGGTTTGTACGGTCCAGATTCCGGTACAACCCCGCGGGTTCCAGATTCGTACACATACGTTCCAGACTCGTCCGGCCCAGGTGACTCTATTCCCGGCTCCGGTTCCCGGACCGGCCGACCGACAGAACTATTAATTCCGGGGGGGGGGAAACGGGAAACGGCGGGACGCGCGCGCGTCACGGTCGGACCGGCCGTCGCCGTCCGGCGAAAGAAAAACGGTCGCGCGGTGGCGGGGCGTCAAGGTCGTCTGCGGGCGGCGTCCGCAAGAAAGTGAGAGTAGCCGCCGCCGCCGCCGCCGCCGCCGCGGACGGTACAAATAATATAATACGCAGGTGCCTGTGCGGACGCGCGTACCGCTACCGGTACGGGGCGCGCGAGCGGTATGCCTCCTGCACGCGGCCATCCGCTTTTACTCGCGTCCGGTCCACTGGCGGGTGCACTTTCTTTACGCCGCCGCCGCATAGTAGAACCGTATACGCGGACGCGTAAACACCGGCGTACGATTTTTTCGGTTTAGTATACGGCCGCGTTCGTCGCAACCGGACCCGCCGCGGCAGCGACCGACGTACGACGCCCAGGCACCCGGCCGACAATTCCGCGCGAACGCCGCCGTCCGCTGGGTCACAGGAGGGTCCGCGAGCCGTGCACAGCCCGCGCTCTCCGTGTACGCGTACGCCGCGCGATCGCCCGCGTTTATGGTGGCCGGCTGCAGCCGTCGACTATGCGGCCGCAGCAGCTGCTGCTGCGCTTGTGCTCGTTGTTCGCGGTGACGACAGCGGCGACCGGAGGACCGTCGTCGTCGGCGGCGCCCGAGAAGACCGCGGACATCACGGTAAGTGTCGCGCGAAACGGATTCATTTTTTTTTTCTCGTATTTTTTCGCGTTTTTCTCTCCGGGTTACGGGACCGCGGCGTTTTCGCTCCGTCGCGGAACGGAGAAACGCTCCGCGGCGCGCGGACCTCCTGCGACGCGCCGCCCGAGAAATCGTCAACGGACATTCCGATACGTCCTCGGTTTCGTTATTTTATTATATTATATTATTCGCGCGTATTTATTGTTGCCGGCGTTACGGCAACAGCCGCCGTTGCTGTTGTACCTACCTACGCGTTATTATTATTATTACTGTACGCGGACGCGTTCTCTCTTTCTCGGTTTTATATAACTGGTTCGCGCGCGCGCGGTGTTTACTTTCTGCGGTAAAAGTAGTTCCGCCACCGCGGTCGTCGTCGGGAAAGAAAGAAAAACGAAAACGACGAGAAAGAAAAAAAACAATAACAATAACAATAACAATAATTCTATACGCGCCTATAAATAGTAATAACAAAATCGCCGTCAACGGATACGTCGTGCGGTACTATTCGGATTAATTGTTATCGCGACACGTGCTTATAAGCGTTTTGCTTGCAGCGGGACGACAGCGGCGGTCACGGCCCGGTAATACTGTCGACGTCGGCCACCGGCGGACCGTCGGACGGACAGCGCGACAAGCGCATATTCTTCGACGACATATTCGGCTCGGTCAGCTACGAACCGGAGGAAAAGTTGCCCGTGTCCAACTGCACTTGCAGTGAGTACCGTTCAAATTATTTTATTAACACTTATCACACACCCTGTGCACGCGTGTAACTATTGCGCCCCGTTTCACCGACGCGCGGTGCGCGAGACACGCGAGAGTCCGTTGGGCGTATCGCACGGCGGTGCGCGCGATGTCTTTGGGCCCCGGTGTGACGGGCCCGAGTCGATTTGGCCGTCGAACCGTCGACAGTTCGCCGGCGGTGCGATTCCAAAACGGCTAACGTAAATGCGCGCGGTTATACACCGTTTCCGTCGTACAAAAAGCGGGAACAGTAACGGCTTTTGACATTTTCTCCGCCGAAAAGCCGGGAAAAAAAAACTGTTGTATTCGCGTTTGACGAAATTCAAATTTCGAAAACGTGTCATCATTATCTTTAGGCTCTTCGCTGCGACACGTCGTAGTATCTCGGTTCTCTACTAGGATACTTTGGGATTATTATTTGATTTTCTTCATGTCCGTCATAAATAAAATGCACGAGTGCGTTTGAGCACATTTTTAGACATTTTTCAAAAGTACAATCACGTTGTTTCAACTGTTTCCATTAAAATAATATTATTCTCAATAAATAAACGCCCTCCTTCCCCCGGCGAGCCGAATATAAATATAGTTGCTGCGTAAGTAAATACCGTGCGCAATTCTAAAGAAATAAATACACCGAGCCATAGTAAATCTAATTTCGTTACTATACTTGTTATTATGTTCTTTGTACCTACCGTATACTTGTATTATAATTGTATACGATACGTGATTTATCCGTGCAACCACTGCACAACCGTCTGCTGTTGGACTTCGGTGATTCACTAATCAAGAATGTACGCGGCACGATCAAGATAATATCACGGATAAGTATCTACAATAATAATTCGAAAATTAATGTTTAATCCACGATACGTTTCGAATGCGTATGAGTTATGACTATCGTGAGTGATTTTATGACGGTTAGGTTAGGACTGTTGGTAAAGTACGAAAAACTTCAAGAAGGTGCGGGGGACTGTGTTTTTACCGGAATTTGAGCCAGGTCTCCGAGAACTGCAGACTAAACCCTGCCAAACTTTCTGCGGGAAATATGGAGCTAAAACATGTTTTTCAACCGCACACATTTTTTCGTGAAAACGTTGTAATATTATGTGCCAATACAGGGTTTACGAATAAACTGCCCAAAAAATGATTCTACGCGCAATCGTCTGTTCGGTGAAAATAAAGTAGAACTGTCTGATTACGGTGCATAATCTAATATTGTAAAATGTATTTTTAATAAAATTGCATTTAAAAATATCTCGCAGTGACGATAACTGGAGCGTCCGTCCGACCTTCGAAGACTTAAACTCCCCACCACATTAACCACTAGTTAAGACGGTCCGCAATAATGTTCGCATTATAAATGAAATATTTCGTGATGATTTCAAATAATTATACCTATACTGCGTAAAATACTATACACGCAGCTGTGGTAATAATATGTGCTCGCTAGTATGCTTCATATACTATAGAACTAGTGAGGTGACATGAATCCGGAATTCGGATTTCACAACAACAATTCGAGTTGGTTGTTTACTATTAAATTTTTTATTCTAAACGGTTTTAGGTTCAAATTTTTACAAAAATTATGGTATTTCGAAGCCGAATTTCGCTCAGAATCGTATTTCGTATCGTGACGCACATATATATAAATTAAATAACATTACGTACTTCCCACCAACAACAGTGGCACACCCAACAGCAGTAAAACAATTTTTTTTTTAATTATATCGTTTATTGTAGTGGGATTTCGCTTTACAAAAATGCGAATAATTTTGGAAACCGAAAATCGTAGTTCAAACCTGACATCCGGATTCGTAAAATAGTCAGGATTTCGGATTCTCGATAAAACTCCGGCCAATCCGGATACTTCCCGTCGCCGACCAACTAGAACTACAATATAATAGTGTCGTGTGAAACGATCTAACCTGCTATTACCTACTTTTGGCGACAAAATTATAAATTCGTCGAGCGTTTAACAAATCGGCCACGTCCGAAGCCCGGCTATTTCCTAAAACAATTAATAAAACGTTACCGACCCATTACTATAAAGAGAAAAAAAAATTCGAAAAAACTGTTTAAGTAAAACGACACCAACATACTTTCAAATAGGTATCCGTCGTAATTAAAAACCAAACTCCTGCCTAGTGTAAAATGTACCGGTTTACCGGCCGTTCGTATTGATTCAAGTGGACGGACTCGAGCAACGACGTAATAATATTTATTTTTTCAACTCGATCAATTTATGAAAATAATGCTATTTTATTTTTTACAGTGATCGTATGTTGTTTTTTTTTTTTTTGTTATGTCTACCAGAAATCTAATAAAATGTATGCATCTTTTCTAAAAACACAAATTTGGTCCAAAAACAACGAGAACATTTACTCAATAACGGTTTCTCTGTTATTTTCAGTTTTTTATTTTATTTTAATCTAGTCAAAAATAATCTTGGAAACCTAAATTGTTCACAGAATACACGTATTAGCCCTTTCCAAGCATAAAAGAATCAAAACATTTCGACAATTTTTGAGTTTGGTTTTCTGTGGATAAAATTGTATTTGGCCCAGCAAAAATTCTCGAAAAATCAACCCGAAATTCGTCGTTGGTTGAACGTATTATTATTTTGTTTTTTATAAGCGTTTTAAGTTCAAATTTTAACAAAAACTATAAAAATCACGCCCTCTAAAAACTTATTTAATTGAATTTCGCTCAGAATCATTTTTCGTTAGCGACGATTTATCGTCGCGTACGGAAATATATAACTCTACGTATCCTACTTTCCCAAAACTTAACACTTACCACAGTTGCACCTCGCATATTTGTCAGCATATACTTCAGCAGTATTTACCTTTTTCTTCGGTCGTAACGTACGCGTCCGGAATCACATTTTTCCGGTGTATGGATTTCGCCGATCCAGTGTACCTACATTTGCACTATTAAAATATATTAAATTGTGTATTATATTATTTGTTATTTATCGATACACTGACAACCGGTCCGTTGCGTTTGTTTAGATTGCGGAGTGCCTAATCAAGAGATCCGAATCGTGGGCGGCCGTCCCACCGGAATCAACAGATACCCTTGGGTGGCGAGGCTCGTGTACGAAGGCCATTTTCATTGCGGTGGGTCGCTCATTAACAGTGATTACGTGCTCACCGCGGCTCACTGTGTCCGGAAGTAAGTACCCATTACCCAATATTATAGTAAGTACCCAACGTCGCAACGAAGTGACATATTTTTCTCCTTCCGTCTGGAACGACGCGTAGAAGACTCGCACCGATCGGGGGCGTCTTCGGGTGAATTCCTCGGGAAAGGGGAGGAATTTCATAACATTTGGATTTCGAAATCGGGGCTTAGAAATTTCTAGATAATGGATATTTTGCAATATAAATGTGGTACATTGCACGGGGGAGGAGGCGAATGTACCTGGCCTCAAGGACGCGCTTGGGTCCAATCGAAAACTTTAACGGAGCCAGTTGGATAATATAAGTGGTTATTTTATTTTTAAAATTCCTTTGACTATAGAACAAGAGGGAACTCAAAAACAGTTTGATCTGTTTTGGAAACTTCTTAATTAATTCCGTAAAAAACTAAAATTTTTAATAAAACGGATCAACGTGTCCCCGGGAAAAAAATGGATCAAAAGTTCTCCACCGTGACCGGATCAACGTGTCTTCAAAACGAACCAAAATGCCCAGTTACCGATTTCGTCGACTTTGTATAAATGTTCGAAAATCTTCACGAGATTTTTTTATTAACGTATATGTATGTATACAATAGTACCTATATATACGTATTGTTTTCATTGAATTTTTAACCGTCGGAAAAACGTATAGCGAATTCCGTAGTTCTAAAACGTTTGATGTTCAAATTAATCGTCTGAGAAAATTCGTTTTTAAAACGCGAAAAAGATTATGCCCGCTACAGGAATCGATCCTCGAATCGTATAATATGTAGAGATCGGTCATTTCGCACAGATACGTCATGAAAAGTATACGCCGATTCGACGGGCCTATAAAAAAAAAAAAAAATAATCAAAAGAAAAATGTTAACGTTCGCGTCTGCAGTTTTCGACTGTTTTTATCAAATAATCTTTGTAAAAGAAAAAAAAACCCGATTTAAAGCTAAAGGGACGTGTCGCGTCCCCTATTAGAAGATAATGTGGTTATTTTTAATTTCCATACAACAGGTTAGTAAGCGTACTGTACTTATTTTTCGGGAATAAAATCGATTTTTCGAAAGCATAATATTATTATCATAACATATACGAACGGTTACGCTGACATCCTCGTTTTTAACGCCGCTACACCCGAATATACAAAAATTTAAACACAAAAAAACGCGTAAAAACGCGAATTATATAGGTATAATACGTACAATACCGCTATAACATTTCCACGTTATATTGATTCGCGCACCGTCATTATTTTAATTCACTGTCATTGAGAGATTTCGTCCTAAATTTAGCTATGCCCCAGCATGGAGTATCGGTTGCTCGATAGAAATGTACACTCGCGCATAGATACGAGTGTATAATAACTTTCCATTGCGAAATTATTCATGAAAACCGTTTTGGTGCGAGTGTTGCACTGCCACGGCAAACACATAATAATAATATTATTGTATCGTGCGGATAATATCGCAACATCAGAAAACGGCGTGTGTGCGGTAAACTCGAAAAACCGTAGTCTGAGAAAACCAGTTAAATACGGTTATTTTACGGATTTTTTCAACGTATGTAAAACGAAAAGTGTTTCGTCTTTCGCCGTAACGTGTTTTAAACATCTACAGTCCGTAAACACAATTATTTATTTAAACTGTATATAATAATATTTTTTTAAAAAATCGGATCATCACTAGACTCTAGAGCACTAACCGTTAGTTGTAATTAACTGTAACTGTAACTTCATTTTGTAGTTACGAGAAAACACGATATTGAAGATATTGAATCGTAATTAACTGCATTATTTTTACCATGGGAAAAGTCGTATAATTTAAAATCGCATTTTATTTTTTTTTTCTTAGATACTACTCTATCTACCTATTGTTCCGACAGTGCGACATTATTTATAAAAGGGTATTGGAGTAATGAACGCCACGTCACCGTAGATATGTTTACTATTGCAATTAAAACACTTTTTATCGATTCGGGCCTTGCAGCGGTTCTCAAAAACTGCTCCCGAACAAAAATATCGTATATTGCGAAGCCCCTCCCCCGCCTCATCTACTACTTTGCGTATCCCCAAATATTAAGTGTGCTTTAAGAAATCGTTCTTTATTTTAAGCCCCGGGTAATAGTTGTAAAAATAATTAAATATTTACTTTTTACTCATTCGCTTGTTGTTCAAATATAAATAGTAATAAACGCACGCATCATATACGATAGTACCTACCTATACACATCATGCAGACGGCGTGATTTCGATTTTTTTCTACCACAGAGGTGGTTAATTGTTATTATCGAAGATTTGTAGGAGAAAGTTTGAATAAATACTCGTTTTCGTTACAATGATATTATATTATATTATAATGGTTTTATCCGATTATCGCCTATAATAATAATATTAGCTTAACTTCGTATATTACCATATTCATATATGTAAATGGCGATGTTTTTTCCATGCGTACAATATTTTAGTATATTTTATATCTGCGCAGGTTAAAAAAATCTCGCATTCGGGTGATATTCGGCGATCACGACCAGAGTACGACGTCGGATGGAGAAACCATCACCAGAATGGTGTCTTCGATTGTACGCCATCGAAATTTCGACGTGAATTCGTACAACCACGACGTGGCTCTTTTACGGTTAAGGAAGTCGGTGTCGTTCTCCAAATCGGTGCGTCCGATCTGCTTGCCGCCATCGTGTACGTGTAAAACAATACCCTACCTAGCATATTATTACCACGAAGAAAAAAAAAAACCTGCTGTACTTAATCGTGTTGGTATCGTTCGTTAACTTTTCTTTGTTTTTTACAGCCCAAGAACCATCCGGTAAAACGGGAACGGTGGTGGGTTGGGGCCGACTTTCCGAAGGCGGAAATCTGGCTGACATCGTCCAAGAAGTGCAAGTGCCGATTTTGTCGTTGGCGCAATGCAGGGCTTCGAAATACCGGCCGCAGAGGATCACTCCCAACATGATTTGCGCGGGAAAGGGAATCCAAGACTCTTGTCAGGTTTGTGTATACTACTGCAGTGTTTAATTATTTGTAACCCTGTTGTCAACCTCCGTCAGTAAATTATTGTAATGTGTTCGACGTTGCATTTAATGTATTAAAGGAAAACCGGACTCGAGCACAGAAAAACAATTGTATGAAATAATATAATAATATGACATAAATCGTATACATGAAATTGAAATTCTGTCCGTTTGACTGCATGTCTGTCTGTGCAGTATACAAATCTATACAGTTTTATTACGATACCTTAATGAACTTTTCACACTTGACATTCGAAACAAAAAGAATATCGCTGTCTACTTTCTATCTTGAAATTCAACTCTTAAAGGGCGACTGACAGACTGGCACGATGTTTTCAGTATAATTGGAGCGAAAATTGAAATGGTCATTCGTGTCACCTGACCTTGGTGACACGGATGAAAAAAACCAGTAACTATTGTTTAATTTGATTGTTAAAGATAAGAAAGTATCCTTTAAAAATATATATATATAGAACCGAGGAACAACGGTTAACTGTGATAGAGGAAAAATGGTGAAAACGAAGAGACACGTTTAATTGAATTTGTATTATTAATTTCTGTTTTTGAAAGTATCGAGTCCGATTGGAAAATACCGAGTAATTCAGTTTAAGTTTAGAAAAAAAAAAAAAAAAAAAAAAACAAGAAAAACGGAATTAAGAAAAAAATAACTCTCCGTCGTACGGGCGATAGATAAGATTAGGGAAACATGATACATTAGCTTAAGGTCGCCTCGCCTAACCTACCCACTGATTTTTCATTCCTTTACAATTCTCATCGCGATAATATTCCGACGACCGGTTTAATAATATTTGAATCCCCGGAAATGCGATTCTATTACCGTCACAAAAACAACACTGTGATTATTTTTCGAATACACCTATAATTACGAAAACGCCGACGAGTCCGAGTATACGCCGAATCCGTAATTCATCCGAAACCACACACAATGCGTGGGTAAACTTTCGAATATTACTATACGTAAAACTATTATAGTTGGTACCCAACGTGAAATCGTGACTCCAATTATGCACGCATAAAATAACATTGTCGGTAATATTATTTCCGTTCTGTTACAGGGGGACAGCGGAGGACCTTTGTTGATAAACAGCGAAGTCGACGACAAATTGGAAATAGTCGGTGAGTTATAATATCTTGTCGGGTTTAACCGACGTACTCAAACGTTCACGCAGTGGCGGCTCAAAGTATTTTTACCTTGAATCGCCGATGAAAATTGTCCACTCACCCACCCACCCACACCTCAACCCCACAATGCCACCACTCTACCACAAATGCATTGGAATTTGTTCGAAATTTATCGAATTTCCGCTGTCTAAAATGACACGATTTGTTTTGCAATGACATAATAACTTTTGTTATATTTCTGAACGTCCGCGACCCACTCGCGCGGTTTTTTGTAAATCGCGTGATTCAAATATATCTCCTTCGAGCCGCCACTGCATCCACGACTACCTCAATACACGTCGTCGCGAATCGGAATACCTAACCATTCTAACATAACCGAATGGTGTCATCGCCGCAGTGTTTGTTTGATTTTGCTATGTCGTTCGTTTTGCAGGCATAGTTTCGTGGGGCGTCGGTTGCGGACGACCCGGTTACCCCGGCGTATACACCAGAGTCACCAAATACCTGGAATGGATACAGAAGAACATGCGAGATACGTGTGCTTGCATTCGATAGCCACCGCGAGCCACCACGTCAAAAATGTACATACGAATAAACCGCGTGTAGTATAATAAACGACCGTACCCTACATATACTATATTATAATGTTATACGACTTTAAATTATTATTATTATTATTATTATTATTTATTCGTACTTCGTGATGTCTAAATTTAAGTTTTGATAAAATAAAATTTGAAATTTGAAAAACCCCATCATTTTGTTAACAGTTATAATAATACGCATACATAAAAAGAAAAAAAAAAATAATAACATCACCCCAACTAACCTTGTTTTTCTAATGCACGGCTGATAATCATTTAAATTCCTTCTTCGTACCAGAATTTGACGGGTCTCTTTCTCCGTTTTGTTATATGATCAAGTATAATAGCTCTTCGCCTCGTTCTGTGAGGCGCCCGAGAACACCGCAGAATACGATCGTCTGAACAATGTCCGTATTTTTCCACGTCCACGTACTGGGTCACTCTGGCTTGTACTAAATTTCATTGTATCCCTGCAACGTCTGTGCTCTTATTCTATTTAATGTTTTCCACGCGGGAGGCAGTCATACCTATACCTAATTAAGAGACTTTTCAAATTTGAGACCCTGGAAATGAAAGTTCCCCTACCATATAGTTGAGTCAACTCCTAAAACATTATAAGTATTACAAGCGAAAAACTGCTACGGATATTCTATCAACCAATGAACAGGTAACAGAAGACAGGTGTGTTTTTTTAATAGTGTAGTAATATTTGACAAATAATCAAATATTATTAATAAAGAGTTTAGTAGAAAAGCGAATATTTTCATGTGCCATATAAACTTGTATAATTTATTGATTTTCTCAGGCTCCGGTAAGTGTGTTCAAATAAAATGAGTGGGGTGGACGATACATACAAATCTTGACTCCTTACGTGAACACAGTTCAACACGTTACTGAATAAATTAGCAGATATTATTATAAATATACTTACTTAACTTTCAGATTTAAACTCGACTAGACGTACGATATATGTAAAGGAACGAAAAGCAGGTATATGAGTATTTGTTTACGAATGAACACTTGGCTCTAAAAAATGTTGATATTCAAGTTCACAAACACGATACATAGAAATAGACAATTTAATATTTAAATTGGAGAAATGGTACCTATTAAAATAAAGAAAAAAATACAACATTAATCTAAATAGAGAGTCTGAATTTCGAGAGCAGATTTTTTCGTTTTTCTATATCACATTCGGGTGACATACTTCCAATTTAGGATAGGGGATACTCAATTTTACAGTATTATTTTCCCAGAAATAACCATTTAGGTTCAAGCGGGAAGGCTGAATTATTATACTTTTTGTCTAAATTGTAAATGTTCGAGCGGCACTCGAGTCGAAAACAGTTTTGAGAACACTAATTTCCATTCCCACACACAGGCTTATAACTGAAAATGGTTTTTATCATTGGCATGGTTTAAAATGAGTTTTTATACAAATAAAAAAAGCGTTTTTTAAACTTTTAAAATGTTATTAAAAATAAAAATAGTAATATTTTTATTTATTTATAAGAAACGTAATTTAAAAACTCCGTTCTGTTTATTTATTTTTGAACATATAATGAAATATATTTTTCAGTTTCGTTTCTTTACGTTTGAAAAGTTTAAAAAACAAAAACGATTTTTAATTATACCTGTGCGTATAATATTAAAGCTAATTTTGAACCGTACCAATGATTAAATTGTAAACGGGAAAGAAAACTGATAGTGTTTTCAAAACTTTTAAATAAATTACCTATATTTTGTGAAACTTTTTCGTCCAAACACCTTTCTTGACGAGCGCAATTCGACCTTACCCAGTCCGAGTAAATCGGCTAATAATATTATTATTGTCATTATTATATACCTACATAATATAACTATTATATTCTTCTTGCGGGACGATGCGTCGGTATCTGACACATACCTATCGTTTATACTTCCGTCGTCGGATCGTTTTTCCGGAATTCCGCGTACCGAAGAAATGAGAGAGAAAAAAAAAAAACACATAAGTATTCGTCAGTGTCAATGTGGACGAAGGTGGGGGGGGAGAGGAGAAAGAAGAGGAGGAGGAGGAGGAGGATGAGGAAGACGAGAGGTAGCCGTTATATTGTAACTATCTAGTGTCATTACGCAAGCCGAACACGTTTTATAAGAACCCTCCTCCCCCCCCCCCTCGCGAAGTGAAATTGGCATCCACAGAAAAGCGGATTCCCGTTTGTTGTGTCCGAGCCGTAGGTTCGTGTGTGTACTCTCTCACTCTCTCTCTCTCTCTCACTCGCTCTCTCTCTCTCTCTATCTCTCTCACTCATTCTCTCACTCTCTCGTGTATGCAGACATATAGGTATACATTATACTTTGCATTATACTTGCGCATATATACCACGGTACGAAGCCTCGACGATAATATGCCCGCCGATATGTACCGTTAAACGCCACTGCTCGTGTAACCACACTTCGGGTCACAGTCATGACACCGAGACGCCAAGGTCCGTTTCTCGCGGGCGTTTTGCTCGTATTAGCGTGCTCGACGCAACAGGCAAGTACAGAACCGTATACCGAAACATAACACTCGCAGAACTACCGTTTTGTTTGCTTTTTTTCGCGTAAAATTTACCCGGTAAATCTCCAAGGTTCCCGTGAACTCCGGGCCGAAATGTATACGCATTCGTTTATGCCATCAACGTTTCGAATGCCTATGTATCAGCTGTGCACCGACGGTCATCTGCTATATGATATATTAATATTCTATTTTCGCGTGCCGTGTTACAGGGCCGCGGTATGAGAAACATATTCTCCGGCTTGGGATTCCTGCGCGCGCCCACGCCCACGCAGATCGTAACGGCCGCGGAAACGTTCAACAAAAACGACGACCAAGATTGCGATTGCAGTGAGTACCTCTATTTAATACCCGATACAAAATACGTATTGTAATGTATACGTTACCGGCAATATTGATGTTCCGGTATTATTCACAATGCCTAGTTATTGTGAATAATGCTGCAAAAAACACCAGGAAATGTGCACAATCATTATAATGGCTGAGTATTATGAATAATGCCCAAAGTAAATTAAGCGATACAATTGAAGTACCTACAAACATTATATAATTAATATAAAAACATGAAATAATACACAAAATGGTGCGATATCTTATCATAATCGGGAATGAACCCCCGATTCGTTACACAAAACTACGTCGGGTAGGTAAACAGGGAAAAGTCAAAACGATTACACAGGTGGAACTACAGACATTTTTTTTTTTTACTTTGCCTAGAATAAATTCGGTATTTCATAAAACGCCTAGGAATCACGTAAAATACCTAGGTAATGTTTGAAATAATATTGTATATCATACATTTTATTAATATTGCCTAAAATCAGTCGGTTATACCTATATATGATGCCTAGGTATTATGCAGAATACCTAAACTATCAATAATGCCGGTAACATATACAAACTGTTTCGTTACTCGGGCTGGCTATAAAGGCTAAAGTGGTAATATAGTTTGTTGGCGAGTTGAAATCAAGTATTGAAAATTCGTACTTTTGTGAACGTAACTATAATAATTATTGAACTCAATCCGCGAACGGTTTAAATTCTGCGACGTATTTGGCGCCGAATAATATTCCGATCGAATGAGTTTAAAAAAAATATGTAAAAACTACCTACTTGCTTCGAGATTTTTTCCATTTCGAGTATGTACCGATATATTTGTTTCAAATCTATGTTATGTATTATATATTTCAAATGTGATTCTATACCTGATTGTATATTGATGTTTCGTATATTTGTATCATCCTAATGAGTCTTTGGTACAGGGAGAAGAAAGACTCAATGTTTTTTTGTTTTGATCATTTTTGTCTTGAATAATTTCCCCCCTTAATTGTTGTGATGTAAATGACATACACGTATTATACTGAAAATTAAAATATCTCGAATCACTATGAAGCAATTGTTCCAATATGTCATTTAGCCAATTTTCAAACTTATTAAATTAATACGTTAGCGTATTAATTACGTTTAGATTTTGGTTGGATTTAAATTAATTTATTGATACACAGTCGAGATTAAAGTGCAACACAGAAAACATAATAATGGCAATGAATTGTGTTAGAACGATAACATCAAATTCTAAAGCAAAATATGTATGATATACCTATCTGAATTGATAATATTTTTTTTTTTTTTTTTGAAATTTCATTATTTGCAAAAAGAGACATTCCGTCTGGAGAGGTCTGAGACGGAAGTCCCAATATAAATAATTAATAAGGAAACACTAAAAAAAAAAAAAAATAATAATATATCTCAGAGGAGATACTCCTGGTACCGTATCAAGGGAGATACGGTACCTTGCACCACCACCTCCCCCCCACCGATTCGAGCACTGGATACGCGTCATTGGAAGTTCGCTAATTTGTTCAAATCGAATTTTTAATTAAATACTATAAATTAAAACTAAAATATAGGAGATGGCTACTTTACAGTTTTAATTTTTTTTCTGGCAGTCTATAATTGTAAATGATGATAAAGTCGAATTCGTTTTCGCAAACTTTAAAAACGTACAGACAGACACAAAATTTACTTTTTAATTAAAAGTTTAAATTATTATTAATTTCCCCATAATATTATACCTATGCTGCTTTTAGTTATATATAATTGGGAAAAGCGAATCCACAGTAGGTTATATTTTCGTTTTAATTATAAAGTTCAATATTTGCAAATAGAAATTAAGTTAATTTAGGCCTGTACATAAATTACTAATAAAGTTTCTTTTGGTATGAACAGAATATTGTATAACTTATCACTAATAAGTTATAAGTTATTAATATAACCCTTAGAAAGTATATAAACTGGCTGTATAGTTTTATGAAATAAAACAAAATTTACCGCCACTTAATACGAACATTTTCATATTTTAAATTTATAATGTGTAAACCAAATGATTACAATATAATATGCATTATATTATTATAGGTAACTATAATAGTACTATAGATTGCGATGTAATTGATTTCGTAGAAAACGATTTTAATTCAAAAAAGTCAATTTCTATTCGATAAACTAATCTTTTTCTTGTAAAATTGGGCCGGAGCATAAACACTTCAAGACTAAATTACGAAAACCAAAAATAATTTGAAGAACAAGTTAATTTTGTACAAAAACTGCTATATATGGCGTGCTACGGTATCCAAATCTGAAGAGTCGCCAAATCTTCAAACCTACGAAAAATCCAATATTTTCAATCAATAACAATCTATTTGATAACGGGTACTCCTCCTCGCGTCTTCGAATCTTAGCTACACTCCGATCTGCAAATAAATACCATCTCTAAAACCACGTCCATCGTCTCTAAACGATCCCGTTTGTCGAATCATATAAATCCCTTCACTATAGATCGTAACTATGACAACATCCCCGGAAACCCACCTAGACGATTAGTTCGTCGTCGATGTAGTATAGACACCTCGCAAACTCTTAACAATAATGTCAACTATAATCATTGCTGAAAATATCGACACTGGATGGCTTATTTATTTCGGTTTTTCTTCTCGCCGTGTTATCAAACCGCCCATACCGTCCGTTTTGTAAACGTTATTTACAGATTGTGTGTTTTTTTATAAATATTATTTTAAAAAAGCAACCACAAAATCAATATTCAAAGTTGTTATATTATTAAGTCCGCGCGAAGGATGACATTGACCCGCGGCTTCTCTGCGAACGCCGCCGACCGTTTTTTTATTTTAATTTATACCCACGTATAATCATAGTTTTTGCCGGTATCGTACTATTTTTGTCCGTTTTCAAATTTGCATTTTGATTCGTTTCGACCGTTTGTGTCCGTACAAACTTATATCGTAATAATCGAAAAAAATATTATAATAATGCAGACATCTGAACCGAAATATTTCCCCGGCTTTTTTCGTTTGATGTAGTGTACGCGTCGCACGAACGCGCAGATCACATTATATTACAGAGAAGATTTGAAATACTATACGCCGTCGCGGGGGGTCCGCCGAAATGTCCGAGCATTACGTTTGGCCGCCACCTATAGGGGTATATTATTCTTCTTATTATTATTATTATTATTATTATTTACTATTAGTTATTACGTTTTCAAAGTCGTGCTGGCGGCCAAACGCATCGGCCCGTAAATATTCGAAAGGTATTGCGCGTCGGACCAAAGTCAACGTCCGTAATAATATCGGGGACTTCACTCGGACATTATACGATTCGGTCGCGTCTCCGACATAATATATTCGCGAAAACCATCCGACCGGTCGACCGTCGCAAAAGAAAAAAAAATAATCGAAAAAAAAAAATATATATATATAGTACCCACGCAGAATCGTATTTCGACCCGAAAAACCGATCAGCTTTGACCGCGTCGTGTGATACTTTGCGGACTCGCGCCCGGCTTTTGATTTTTCCGAAACGAATTACTACTACTACTACGTAGTATTACGCGTGCGATTCGTGTTTCCCCCCTCCCCCCCAAGCAAAGGTTTCATATTGGCCGAGAACGGCGCATTACATGTATGTATACGATTCGTACCAACGCGCGTTCAAAGGAAAACAAATATATGCAGGTGTATCCAATGCGCAGTCGGGACCGATGCAGTGTATGCGGTAGTACAAACGAACAATTTTCTTTGATCGCGTTTGTGTGCGAATTTTCAATACCCAGGTGACTTCCTACCGTCTCCGTCGCCATTGCGAACCGCGGTGACCCGTAAAAATAATTACAAAATATAAATCTATATAATGTGATACTACAGCCACTGTACGAGTGTCGGTGACGCGAACGAGAAAAATAATATACATTTAAAATCAAAAGAAAACATTTCTATTTTCGATAACGAGAAATGCCATCACTGTAAAGATATTTATTTTTTTTGACGGTAAAATTTTAAATCAAATCGGTTCTGTACGAAAAAATATTATTTAATGTCAACTATACGTATTATTTTTCCCGTTTCTCGCGGGTACACGATTAATCGCCACCTTTTACACGCAAAAAGCTTACACTGATACTGGATATATAGATAGGGAATGCTGAAATAAAAGCAGATCTAAAAAACGGTTACAAGAAAAGACTATGAATAATACCTATACGATCGCAGATTACCTTTTTTTACTACCTACCTACATCTTATCCCGTCATAGACATTGGTACAATTTGTTTGCCACAACAATCATTTTGAGTAGGAACCGGAGAATACTGTTGCGATGATGACTCACGTCTAACGTCAGTTGATGATAATAGGTAATCTAGGTATATTATACCATACCGTTGAAATCTATAAAATCAAAATTTCATAAAATTGATCTGAAATTTGTTTTAAATTGTATAATAAGTAGTTACTGTGTAGGTACCGGGTATCTGTTTAAACACAATAAAAGTATAACTGCAACAATAATCGTAACACTTTGAGTTTCCAGCTGCACGCGCGGCTTCATTTCACTTATACTATTTCCAATGTAAGTACTGTTCTAAAGTCGCCAGTTGCTTCATGTAGGACATTTTACCATTTATCTAATACGAGACGACTGAGTGATTTAAGCATTTATTTTAATCGTTTTCGCCTGGTAAAAAATATGATTTATAAATTAAAATAGTAAATATACCTATAATATTAATAGCAAATTTGTTTTATGCGTGTTTTGACATTTACCAAATGCATACTGTCTAAGATAATATTTCAACATATAAAATAGGTACAATTTAATAGAATTATTATTAGAAACAAACTGGCCTTTATTAAATGTTTACCTAATACAATTTGTTTTGAATTTATTATTGGTTCTCTCTCGATGCCATTTTTCAAATTTTTATTACATTTCGCAGATTCTAATACCTATATCTCAATATCGTACGTTGTTTTACAATCAACAGATAGCGGCTTTATCAAATCTATTTTTCTTTTTTTAACGGGGTTTTTCTTTTATTTGCATGGTAACACGCAATATTTCAGCCAAATAGACATTTTGAAAACTACCTATTTTTAACTTCTGCAGTTTCGAATAACAGTCTTAATTTTTTCAAGCGACTTTTTTTTTGTTTTTTTGACTAATAACATGTACGTATTCCTATCTGAAAAATTACTGTCTCGAGTTTATCGAAAAAATATGATTTTTCTGAATTTTCAATAAATAAAAACGTTAAATGTGTAATTTAATAATGATCTTACTTACAAATTTTTTCCCACAAAACAGCAGTCAAATTATTTCACTTTTAAAGTTATGCGTTTTAAATTTGTTGTAAAAAAAAATCCAATCGCAATCGACCGGTAGATCGCGGACAATTTCAATATCGATCTCCCTTTGTTAGAATTCATTTATATACAACTAGTAGATAAATCACCGATAATTTCCAACTTATTACATCGGTTTTAGTCAGTTTATCAAGTAATGCTGTTCAACAGATATTATTATGTGGCCAATTTTATTTCTGGTATATCATAATACCATATTGATATTTGTCGTAAAAAAAAAAGTGTGATGAAAAACATTATTCAAACTATAGAATTTAATTTTATTATTTGTACATGTATGGATATTATTAATACACATAACCCATTATAAATAATTAATAATTATACGTTTTTTTTTTTTTTTATGGAAGTCGATCGTCAACGGAAAAATATTTCTTAATAGATCTCGGCCAAAAAAAAATGCCACCACTGCTATAAATCTATACCACGAACAAATTATATTTCAATACCCTAGCATTTTTATCATTAGCACAGATTTGTTCGATACAAATAATACCGATATCGCATATCGGTCAATATTGTAACTATCGGAATATCGGTATTATTTGTGTTTTCGGTGTTTTTTACAATGCCGATATTTGACCCGGTAGAAAAATGTCTCTCGAATTTGAGCAAAGCGTTAACAAATCGGTATGTCAAAAATACAGGTCTTCAGAAAAAAATCATCGGATGTCCACTAATAATAACAAAACAATTTTAGGTACCTGTTTTGTTATTATTATAAAATCATAAACCATCTGCAGAATATAACTGTAATTATGTAAATGCTTTTTTTTTTCGATTGACTTCGTGCACGGATGAAACTTCTATTCGTGCGCGTAGGCTAGAACTACGAATTAAAAAAAATATATATATACACACGATATTCAATTATAATATCATATCCGAGTACGATTGACCTTAAATAAAAACTATATTGTGTTTGGTTGAAAATACCTATATTAAAAACAATTACCCACAATACGCAGTTCTTTTCAAAAGCCGTGGTTGCGGATTTAAAATGAACTATACAGAGTGATTATTTGAATATTATTTATAATATACGACGATTTCCAACGTAATTAATTTAATTTTGGTTTTTTTTTTTTTTTATCAACGTTGTTTTCCAAAAATATACCCTTATACCCGTAAACACGGCCAAATTTAATACACGATATTGATAACAACCTCCGATATTGATATTCTCTTCGAGATCAAATTTAAAATCGTATTGTTCTAATTCGGTATATCCGACCGCAACCGCGACAGTGTAACGCATATCAAAATTGCTTTTAGACAGATATTCTTTTTGCGAACCGGAGTGAAACAGAATCGAACGCACTCGACATTTCCGTGTAGTAATCGCTACGGGTTCGTCATAAAAGAATCACTCTGTATTATAATAAACACGTCGTATGTATTATATTATTGTTTTAAGACTCCGTGTTTTGTGTGAATAAAAAAAACAGGTTGTGGATCTCCGAATGTCGACACGAAAATCGTGGGCGGCGACCCGTCGGGCGTGCACGAATACCCCTGGATGGTCCGCCTGTCGTATTTCAATCAGTTCTACTGTGGCGGTTCGCTGATCAACGACAGATACGTGCTGACGGCCGCACATTGTGTCAAAGGGTAATGTCAATCAAACTATTCAGACTCAATAATGAATTTCGGATTTTTCAAACTAAAAAAAAAAACAATGATCAATGCATACATTTACATGTCCGCTATTATATATGAATACGAGCAATACTATGTTCATAGCATCTAATCGTGCTATATTTATTTTTTTCCAAAATAAACATAAGGTAAACCACAACGGTTGTGCCACCGTTCCAATGAATGCCATTGGCGTACTGTATTATAATGGAACAATAGTTTTAAGAGTTGACACGACTTAAACATTTAAGGAATGATAACACAAATCGAACATTCTCAACGTTTATCTAAAGATTTATTAAGATAATAACCTTTCATTTAAGATTAAATATAGGACTGTAGTTTTATATTGATAATTGTAATTAATTTTAGAATGTTCTAAATTGCTTAAACTGGATGTCTTTACCCCAAAAAGTGATTTTACATTCCGGAAGTCCGATATTTCGATGCCACGAATGCAGTGATACTCAAAAAAAGTTTGGAAAACATTGGACTAGTGTGTTATTACTACACTATAAACATAGTTTAGGCATCACTGCATGAATGTCAAAAATAATTTGAAAAAAGGATATTATTAAATAAGATTAATTCGAAGAGACATAATCCTCTAAAATCGTTTTAAAATTATATTTTTCAGTGGTGCAACTAGGGGTGGGTATAACCCCCTCTTCCTCCGAAATTTCAGATTTGTTTATAAATTCTACTTGCATAAGTTATTTTTATTGTAATTACAGACATTTCTATGTAATTTTGAAATGTTTAATACATACTTAATTTATTATTATAATTAATCTATATCACCTCCTTCCTCCTTCCTGAAAATGAATCCTAGTCGCGCCACTACTAACTTAAAAAAAGTTATCCGTTTTTCCGTAAACGTGTTTTCATCATGCAATATTTTCACCTTTATTTTATTGGTTCCGGGAGAAAAGTATTAAATTCAATTTTTAATTTTTTTGTTTTATATAACTTGTAATTTGTTCCCCTTTATTGTTCGGTTAAAATAGAAATTTTCTAACACGTGTTTTACTGAAAATTAAATTAATATTTTAAATCACTATGACGTATGCTTTTTGTCTGATTGAAAAACACGTCATATAATATTTATACGCCATTCAGAACGCCATATTAATGTCATTTAACAGTTTATCAAAATTTAATTTGCTTGCATTGAAAACTATGAAAAATTGACTGAGGACCTTCTTCCCCAGGACCAATGATTTATACCTATCCGCACGACCATACGTAAATACGCAAACAATTGCGGTTAAAATATAACATAATATTATACTATATTATTATGTTATCTTTGCAATACTGAATGAAATTATTATTTGCTTATTATGTATTTATATCTAATAGTTATGTTGTTTGTATTTATGCCCTGTACACACACATGCGTCGGCTCTCGTACAAACACGTTGTACGATACATAGATTCTTTTGGCCGTTGGTCAAAATCACCTTTGGCGAACACGATTATTGCAACGCCACCAGGAAACCCGAAACCCGCTTCGTCCTGAGGACCATCTTGGGCGAGTTCAGCTATCTCAACTTCCAAAACGATTTAGCTCTACTCCGACTCAACGACCGCGTACCGATGACCGCGACCATACGGCCCATCTGCTTGCCCACCGACCCGAGTACGTTATCTATACATAATTTGTAATATTATTATTATTATTATTGTTTGTACATCGGTAAATGTATCCATTTACGGGCGTCTCGTCGTACAACAATAACAATGATTAATGATTATTATTATACGTCCAGACCAAGTCAGTAGCGCAGTGGAAAACAAATTTCGTGAGAGAGAGGAGAGAATTTCGTGAGAGAATTCTACAGTTCTCAAATTGACTAAAAAAAAAAAAATTAATTTTCCATAATATTTAAATTAATAAGACGATCGGAAAATCATAATATTATATTTTATTGGTGCAGTAAACCGCAATGGATTACTTAGTTTTTTCCAAAGAATAACACTATATGTAACTATTTTGTATGCACTTAAAAAAAGTAATTGTTTGAAATATTTGGGAACGGAGGTTGAAGGGCTATAGCCCCTCGGCCTACCCCTTGGCTAGGCATTATTTTTTTGAACTAAAAAATAAGCGAAAATAAACTTTGAGTTAATATTTTAATAATTCTATGGAATATGTTACAAATTTCCATAGCACTCTGCTATAGATTTAATATTAAATCAAAAAAAATAAAAGTCGTTTTTGAAAAGGTAGATTTTTTTTTTATTATTATTTGTACCAACACTAGCTGTATTGTTAATTTTTGACAAAACTCGGGGAAAATGTCGTGGGTATTCCGAATTTTATCGAAGAACTAATGGTGAGTTCGAATTTTGACGAAAATCATAAATATCACAGCATTTCCAAACAAGTTTGACCGAACTTCGCTCAGAATCGTATTTCACCAGCGACGATTTATCGTTGCGTACAAATAAAATTTAAATAATTGTATGTGTCTTACTTTCCCGACACCCAGCCTATTTTTATTTGCAGATAAATTTAATACATTTGACGGTGATAATATAAATAACGATAATCACGTAATAAAATACCTACTCCGAATTATCGTTGGAAGTCTAAATTTCCAAGTTTGGGTGGGTATCACCAGCCCCTCGTCTCCGGCCCTGATCAACAACTAAAACGACAAACTCATCATTAATCCGTTTGATTCCCGTACAGTGTTTACCAATACAAAAGTAACAATGCCATTTCCACTTTCCGGTGTTCAATTTAAACGTTAAAAGTAAATAATATTACGTTGAAAGTTTATGAACAGACGGATACGAACGGTTGTTTTAATTATAAAATTCAATTTTATCCGCAGTCGTACGGTGTAATCGCGTCGATAAATATACTTTTTGATGTAAATGACGGACGGAAAAAGGTTTTTTTGAATTCACATCGAGCTATCTATACATATAAGTACTTATATATGTATACATCGTTTTCATTAGACAATTTAATTAAATCCCGTTTGATTTGTCAGGACCACGTCAATTTTTTTTCCCCGTGCGCCCGTGACATCAGAACGTAATTATGACGTACGTTTTTTATTCAAGTTTCACGTTCCGACGGATATTAATACGTTTTGTACATGAATATAACGGTGGTAGCGGTGGCGGCAGTTTCCTGACGATAGTTTATGCTACGATTATAATTATTTTTGACGTATGTTATGTACACAAGCGTGTACCTATATTGCTGTGTGTTAATAACAGTACCTACGAGTGTAGCACCTATATGCTGTAGAGTATATTGGTGCTTACAATGGTACGTTGGTTTAACATCGATATTGATGAAAAAATAACCGCGCTCTAACGATCATGAGATGAACAAAACAAACATATATATATATATATATATATGTATATATATATATATATAGAGAGAGAGAGAGAGCCACAATAAGAGGCGTGATATCTGCAGCAGTCATAAATATAATAGGACATAGAAATGCAATGGTGTAAACGGGGGGAGGGGGGGGATCAGACCAGGTTGCACACTTGAGACTCTTGAAAATATCAATAGGGTCGCAATAATATAGTTTTGTTACTCCAACAAAATCCTGTTGTAATCAATTTACTTCCGACTTACTTCCTTTTCTATCCTGAGGCCGAAAATACAAATCGCGGCACGAACAAATACTACCTATGCCGTGTGTCAATGAATACAATTTTCCCTCTTGGTATTGTGGCGGCCGAGCTTCAAATTTCCCTGCTCGTAAATTCGGTCATCTAGTCGTTTTTTAGACCTGTAATGAATGGGTATACACTTGTGTACCGTTCGCCAAATAATATTAAGCGTACTATTATTAAGCTCCGTAGTTAGTTCTAGGGCAGTAAGTAACAACATCCGAACAATTATTTGTATATTATTTCGAAATATTTGAGTTTTTAATACGAGTCTTTTCGATCCCCAGCAAAAGTACCGCGAATCCGAAACGTTTCGTAACACGTGTGTTTACGTACATGTTTCGACATATTATCGTACGTATTTTTAAAATACACACGGATTATACAATAAGCGAAAAAACAGTATCAGACATGTTGGGTATATTACACAGAAACTAAACAGAATAAAAAAAAAAAAGTGACAGTAACCGATCGCGATACACGACAACTTTGCTTGTATCGGCTTACACGCGGCATTTTCGTTTAGTGCCCATTGATGGGAATCGTCACCGACAACGTAACAGTTGAGAAACACAAGGCGGTTCAATAACAAATTAATTTCCCCCCCCCCCGAAACGAATACGCAGTGTCGCTTGCTGGCCACTGCCTTTTAGCTCGGGCAGACAGCGCGCGTGAGCACGCGATGTGCTGTTGTTTACTGGTCGACGCCCGTGATAAATCGGTACGTGTAATACCGCGGCGCCCGTACGTCGTGTGAGCAGGTACGACCCGCAGTCCGCGCGCACTACTTTCGCGGGTACATGCCCGCCCGATTTATCATGTTATCCGACCGCGTGTCGCGGTTAAGCGCACGCTTCACGAATAATAATAATAATAACAATAATAACAATAATGGTAAGTCGACGCGGACACGTGTTTAACCCGACGGGCTATGGCATTCGGTTCCGCGGTGGGAAATACACGCCTGCGAGCGTTCCGCCTAGAAACGCGTACAAGGCGATCGGTCCTCCGTAACACGACGGGAAAGTAAATCGGTTTTTCTCGCGGCATTTTCTATCCGGGAAACGTTGAATGCAACGACAGCTCTGAAACGTCGCACAACCGTCATATTCCGTTCGCCTCCCCCCCCCCTATCGTATATATATATATGTATATATACGGGGGGGGTGGGAGGGGCCGAAACCGCTGCCGCCTTTCGATTCTCGAACAACGGTAATCGGTCTCGCGAAAGGCCCGGCACTTTGACGGCGAACGGGCGCGAGGCGAAAAAACGAGAAAAAATGAGTATCGCGATATCAAGTTTCGGTAAACCGTCGCGGTTCACGGATCTAACCGGCGGCCATTCGTTTCGTACCGCAGTTTTCGTCCTGAACGTCGCTTGTTCTCGATTCACGCCTAACCGGAATGTTTGTTTATTATAATTGTTCAAAGGGCGCCGGAGTAAACGTCGCACGCGGGACCGCGGTTTCTCGCGATCGGGCCCCGGGTGTCTTACGGCGGACAGACCATCCCGGGTACGGGATTCGCTTAGCCATCGCCGGTATCCGCGTCACTACATTGCGAGTAGGCGTACGGAGTCGAAGCGCCGGCACGAACGCGACTGCCGGACGGTAGGCAATCGATTAATTTGGACGGCGCGCCGCCGTGGATAACAATGACGGCAATAATTATGATGATCATCGCGTTTGTGTTTTGCGTTCGTCGTGGGTCGAAACTCCTCCTACGGCCATACAGGTGTAATTATATATAATCGTATGTTATGACGGTCGCGTCCACACAATATAAACGTACGGGAGGGGCGATTCGTTTTTTTATTTTTGTTATTTTTTTTTTTTTCCTACTATGAATATATTCATTTCGATTATTTTTTCCGTTATTTCTCGATTGTGTAGCCCCGGCACGGCTGTCGATTGACAGGCCAACGTGTATTTGCCGCGACGCCCGCTAATTTCTGAACACGTGGCGAGGCGTATGCCGGTTTTGCTGCACGGTGTGCGGCTGTTTCGTCCGTCTAGCAAACGACTCGGCCACCCGGAAATCTCGCGCCGACTTTTCCGAATACGAATTTGTGCGCGCCTATGCGCTGCGAGATTTTCCCGTCAGTTTTTCCGAAAATCGTGCAGATAGAACGTAGACAAACCGAGAACACTTACGGCCATAACAGTTTGGATTGCATTCGATTTCCTTTTGGTTTGTTGGGATTCGGTTAAAAATAACCGTAGCGACTTGAAAATTGTACAGAATACTGATAATAGCTTGTACCTAGACGCGAATACGGGTTACAATTTTCCAAACGTTATTGTGATTGCTGTGTTATTTTTAGACATTCGAAATCGTCCAGTTTTTTCCTGTGTTTTATTTGGTTTGATTGGGATAGAATTGTTTTGATCGAACAGAAATCCTTGACAAATTGTACACAAGTAAGCTCGTGCGAGCTATTCTTAAAGGTCGAAACACAAGAGTCGAGCGTAATGTATAGCAATTTTTTTTTTTTTTTTTTCATAAGCGTTTTAAGTTGAAATTTCGACGAAAATCGTGAATATTATACGGCCCGCGAGTTTTCGGCTCCTCTATGCTCTACACATCTAAATGTTCACTAAACACTACACACCGCAGCCACGGTGAAACCTGCGGCGGATCGCGCGGTGAAATAACGCGACGGCAAATAGGTATCGTCGCAAGGCCAATATTACCACCGCGTTGTGGCGAATTCGAAAATATCAAAACACACGGGTATTGATTTTTAGAAGAACGGAAACCACCGTCACCGCGCCACTGGGACGGTGTGTGTGCGTCGAATACCCCGCCACCGCCACCGTCACCGCCCGACGGTGTGTGAAAACCACGATATTTTATGCTCTCTAAACCCGAAAACGTAAAACAAAATATTAACGATCGAAGAAACCGAGACTATCATCTACTGTTATATTACCGTTGCTATTACTGCTATTGAAAATTCCATGGAAATAATATGGGACGTTAGTTGGTATAAAATGTCGGTATTGATATGTTTAATATAATAGGTTGCCATTTGAGAATAAAGAATAGGTAGTGGTTTTACCCCCCCCCCCTAAAAAAAAAAATAAAAAAATTAGGGTGGCGAAAAATGACACGAATGTAAAATTGTAGAGCTACTCGTTTCTTGAATATTCTATGAAACAAAAAGTTAACGCTTTCCGAGACAATGCACATTATATTATTTTATTTTTATTAATGTGGCGCTACTATTTTTTTTTGTGTTACATTCTGGTTCACCGTGGCCCCGTAGCCTTTTAGGGTGTGTGGGACATTTGAAACGTTGCCATAAACCATAGCATACCACTGCATACACGCATTTAATACTCGTTGTGAGTGGTGGTGGGGGGAAAACGATTAGGTCCGGGGGGGGGAGGCAGTGCCTCCGGTGGATACGGGATTGTTTCGCTAACCGTTTTCACGCTTGTAATATTAACGGGCTCCGGCCGTTGAAAATATGCACTAAACAAATAAATTATGTCGCACGCATACGATCCGCAGACGACTCGTACGAGAACGGCGTGGCCAAAGCGGCCGGCTGGGGTACGCTGTACGAGAACGGCCAGGCCTCGTGTCACCTGAGGCACGTGGACGTGCCGATCGTCAGCAACGAGGACTGCACCAAGACCAACTACACGGGCGGCCTTATTACGGAGAACATGATTTGCGCGGGACACGAGAAGGGCGGCAAGGACTCCTGTCAGGGCGACAGCGGCGGACCGCTCATGAGGCAGATGGCCAACAATCGGTTCGAAATCATCGGTATACGAATGTTATTATGCGATTTTTCGACAATTAATATCGTTTACATAATATCTTTGAACAGAATTGATGATGATGATAATAATAATAATAATAAAAAAAAAAAAAACACGTTGAAAAATAAAACCTCCCGTGAACAGCGTGAACTCCGTCACTAGTGACGGTTTCCAATGTTTTCCCTTGTTACCAAGCGGGCAACCCGATAAATCAACAACAACGAAAATAGGCATCGGATGTAAACTGCTGAAAACGTCTATGAATGTATCAAATAAATTACTGCCGCGAGCGGAATTCCGCAAATTTTAAGATGCTGCGTGAAAAATCCCAAAATTTCAGCGGGAGTTATAATCCTCAACCTCTCTAGTTGTGCCACCGCGATAGGTGCCCACCTAACTTCTATACGGTACAGTCGAAATCTAAAAACACTATCTCTACACAGGCGCCTGCTTACCTGTGTATAGTAAATAACACTCCGCGTCGTGTTTTAAAAAAATAAGAGAGTTCAAACCCTTAGAATTTTCTCAAAAGTGTTCTTTATTTTCAACATAATTAAATACCAATATAATATTTGTAACAAAAATAATGGATGATTTGATTTAAAACCCCTCCCGGAAATTTAATCGAGCTTTGGATAGGTGCCCATTTTGCGTAAATATAATTATTGGTGCCCGCCAATAAGTGTTCGTGTAATATTTGATTGATGTAAACGCGAACAGAAATATATGATTATTGGCACGTTTATTTTGTTTATTACAGGAATCGTGAGTTGGGGACACGGATGCGCACGTCCAGGGTATCCAGGGGTGTACACTAGAGTGGCCAAATATGTACCGTGGATCAAAGAGAATACCAAAGAAGGATGCTACTGTTCCCAATAACTCGTGCACGTACACGGCAGATATACGAGCCGTCCGATTAATAATTAATGCAAGAACGTTTAGTAAGACCGATAGCGCAAACCGGTAAACAACGTCTATTGGTTAACGGGCGACGGTCGGCGTTATAACAAAAACTTAACGTTATACCGTAGGAATGGCCTTTAATTTATTTAATTTATTATTATTTAGTCGAGTAGGTATGTTTACGATAAATTGAAGATACCATGTTAAGTCGTAGATTATTAATGTTATTTTTTGCGTACCCCATAAGGTGAAATAATTGTATTATATAATATCCAAAGACACCGAGAGAAACAAATTACTATTTATTTGTTTCATTTCGTACCTGTAAATATGTATCAAATACAATATACCCGATTTTATTTTTATTACGGATATTCATTATTTATTGGTTTATCATACACAATAGGTATTATATATTATATTATTATTGTATGCCAATACACCTATTTATTGTAGGGCGTTCGCTATTAGAATTGTTAAATAGTTTGCAGTGTTAGACAGTAGGTATACAAAAAATAGAACAGACAATGAGTGTATGGAGATAGGATAAAAAACGAATACATAAAATGTACCAAGCTTAGGTGTAGCTCCGATACGAGAAAATACCTTTAGGTACCTGCATAGATGGTTTGGGTACGTCACGAGCAGAGGGAAATCGGAAACAATAAGAATGGTAGGTGGTAATGACAATAAACTCGGAAGGAAACAATTTAATAGGAAGATCGAACGTCAGGTGGTTGGATGCGATTGAAAATAATACGATGGCAACCGGTGTATGCGAGGAGGTTGTGGGAGATTGGCTCAAGTAGAAGTTTAGAAAGAGGGTGGCTGATCCCGAAAAAACGAAGAAAAATAACTACGAATAGGTAGCTACCTACCTGCGTAAGTACTTTATTAATGATCGAATTGTGTGGAGGTTTTATTTCATGCTTCACAGTTCACAGGTACCAATGGCCAATACTAAAAATACTTATGAATTAACTCATGACGCTTTAAACTGGATAATTGAGAAAATGATTACTTACAAATATCACATTGACTAGGTACACGGCCTCATATGAATTCATACTTCATAGATACAGGTCCGTAATTATTAAATATTAGTTAATAGTGGAGTACCGACAGAGTGGCATGACGGGCAATAAACCACGGGCCCAAGAATTAATAACAAGCGATGACCATTAGATTTTTTTATTAAGTACGTAGGTGCCTACCTAACATTAACATGCATCGGTTGACAGATGTATGAAAATATACCATTTTCTTTTTTTTACTCCAAACCGTATAAATTGGGTCCCAACTTAAGCCCCCGATTTAGTTGATCTAGAATATTTTGCCGCCGGCATTACAAGTTCTAGTTACGCCACTGTAAATTGTAATAAGTAGGTACCTACTCGCACTATCATAATATTACAATTTTATCTAAATGCATTCTTTTCAATATATAACTAACTAAGGTTTCAGACAAACTATGATCCGCATGTATATACTTAGCCTGGCTAAGCTAATCGTTTACATATATTTATTTTATTTTATTTCTTTCCAAAAAAAAAAAAAATTTTGATTTGACAAAAAAACTTGCATACCTAATGGTGTTTAATGGTGTTTAATGGTCTTGGTGTTTTGTATCTACAATAGGTACCATAGATAGGTGGTATCTAGATACAATAAGTTTGCACGCATTTTAAATAAGAAGTTCGTGTTAAGCATAGGGTTACCACATTTCAAAATTCAAAATACGGGACTAAAAAAATGTCTATTTCAAATACGGTGAAATCTCCCATTCGTGAAGTATTGATGATATATATTGCGTCAATAGTGATGCAGTTTCTACCGGAAGCTCAATGAATTCCAAAATATTATTTTTAACTCCTTCGTCAGGTAGAATATAGCGAACAAGAATGGGTATCATTATTTGAGAATTATGATTAGATGCATCAGTCATAATTGATACAAAATTTCACTTGAGTAAATCTTTTTTTAAAACATTAACAGCATAGGGTAAAAATACATTAGTGATGATAGATTTTGTTTTAGTTCTACCACGAGTAAATTTGTTCACATATAATTTACGAACTAACTGAGAAGTACAATCCATAGAACTGAGACTTTGACTGTGTTTACAAGTATGATAAGCAAAAATTCCTTCATCTGCAGCTAATTTTTGTTCTTTATCAGCAAATTGTGTTTTTGGAGAAAAAAATTTGACAATTTTTGAAATTTAGACGCTCTAGCAGCTATATTATGTCGTTCCGATTTTAAATGTTGTGTAATATCCGACTTACCGCCATGTTCAATGCTGAATGCTGCTCCACACACAATACATTCAATTTTATATTCTTGTGCTGGTTTTTGACATTTTTTTAAGAATGTGTATTCACTTTGTAATTTTTCATTAAATGTGCACTTTATTTTGGGCATTTTAAAAATTAAAACTTAACTATCATATTATTATGTTATAAAAACGATTATAGAGTAATGTATATTACTGTGGTCTGTGACCAGACTATGAATTATGATAGAACAGATAAGAATAATAATAATTTTCTTATCGACTAATCTATTTTATAATAATANATTAAAACTTAACTATCATATTATTATGTTATAAAAACGATTATAGACTAATGTATATTACTGTGGTCTGACCAGACTATGAATTATGATCGAACAGATAAGAATAATAATAATTTTCTTATCGACTAATCTATTTTATAATAATATGGGAAATGGTAAACATAAAATAAAATTATAACAATCTATTAATAGAAACGAAATCGGTATCGGTCATAGACCTATAAAGACCTTTATAGGTCTATGGTATCGGTCGGTATGGTCATTTGGTTATATTATAATCTTTTATTATCTATGTGGCCGACGGGTAGTGATAATGAATAACAAGTAGGTAATNTTTATATTACTGTGATCTGACCAGACTATGAATTATGATAGAACAGATAAGAATAATAATAATTTTCTTATCGACTAATCTATTTTATAATAATATGCTAAATGGTAAACATAATATAAAATTATAACAATCTATTAATAGAAGCGAAATCGGTATCGGTCATAGACCTATAAAGGTCTTTATAGGTATCTATGGTATCGGTCGGTATGGTCATATGGTTATCTATGTGGCCGACGGGTAGTGATAATGAATAACAAGTAGGTAATTGTTATCTCAAAACGAAAAAGAATACAATATATAATATGGGTACATATTTTAGCAAACGGGACATTTCAGTGTCCCGACAAGAGTTGTCGGGACAACGGGACACTTAGTCAAAAAAAGGGACATTCCCGTATTATACGGGACGTCTGGCAACCCTANATTTTATATTCTTGTCCTGGTTGTTGACATTTTTTTAAGAATGTGTATTCACTTTGTAACTTTTCATTAAATGTGCACTTTCTTTTGGGCATTTTAAAAATTAAAACTTAACTATCATATTATTACGTTATAAAAACGATTATAGACTAATGTGTATTACTGTGGTCTGACCATACTATGAACTATGATAGAACAGATAAGAATAATAATAATTTTCTTATCGACTAATCTATTCTATAATAATACGCGAAATGGTAAACATAATATAAAATTATAACAATCTATTAATAGAAACGAAATCGGTATCGTTCATAGACCTATAAAGGTCCTTATAGGTCTATGGTATCGGTCGGTATGGTCATATGGTTATATTATAATCTTCTATTATCTATGTGGCCGACGGGTAGTGATAATGAATAACAAGTGGGTAATTGTTATCTCAAAACGAAAAAAGAATACAATATATAATATGGGTACATATTTTAGCAAACGGGACATTCCAGTGTCCCCCGACAAGAGTTGCCGGGACAACGGGACACTTAGTCAAAAAAAAGGACATTCCCGTATTATGCGGGACGTCTGGCAACCCTAGTTAAGCACAAATTATTTTGGAAAGAACCAGGTATTCGGTTGTATGCAAAAAATATTATAAAATTAACCACTCGGTTACACAATAATATGCTATTTTTGCGTTGTTACGTAGCCAAGTATATATTATTACCATAGATATCGGATACCTACTACTAATTTATACTGATTATGTACTACTACTATAGGTACGTTATAACAATTTTTAATTACTTCAACTTTAATTTGAACAGTGTATTCAATTTTATTTCACACTTTTAATAATGGTACTAGTAAAAAATATGATTTAGTCAGCGAAGAAAAATAACTTAAAGATTAAGTATAAATATTTAAAGTAAAATTTAATATATGAACAGTTACTGTTAAAAAAAAAATTATTTTCAAATGTTCAGAACAAAATTGGTTTATTTTTATTATTAAGATTAACTATTTCTACTTTTTATATTATTTCAATTGTTTTTTGATAGTTAGAAAGTAATTAGATACGTAGTTCAATAATTTGTTGATTATATAATTTAACTTTTTATGTATTATAAATTATAATAAATTAATATTACCACTTATTGAAAATTGAAAATTAAAAATATGACAATCTGCTATTATAAGCAGTTGTAAACATTTTCTGTTTTAAACAAAATTGTTTAAATTATATATACCTATAGATTAAGAGATTGTTATATTAATTAATAAAGGTAAATCATGAATCATGTAAAATTGTAGCTCCCTAATTATTTATTTTGTGTTATTAATATTAAAAATAAAAATGTTGCTAAATTATTTTTGATACACGGCTGTTACGGCCACTAAGAAAAATAATATGAAAATTTGGACTAGAATAAAGTAATGTGTCTCCATACTTAAGATTTAAAGTTTAATTTATAAGTGGGTAAATTAAATTTAAGGCCTTAATTAAACCATTTCTTATAAATTAAGAGTATAATAATTTGCAATGCAATTTAAGCAAAATGCTAACTTTGATAATTTTTTTAAAAATGTAATTAGTTTTTAAAGGATAGAAATTTGCCTTTCCTGAATAGTTAGCATTTGGTGAGTACAATAATCATTTAACAAAAAATAAAATTGTTGATATATTTTTAAACACATAATGCACCAAAAACACATTTTAACCACCTGTGACTGAAATTAAAATAAGCAGTCTGTGTAAATGGAAAGAGAAAGGTATTTGTATAGTCCATGTGCAAAAAAGTGGTTGCGCGAGAAAATAACCTAAGCACTAACAAGTTGTAATTTTTTGTAAATGGTGCGCCTTTTATCTAATGTATAGAGAGGAGGGCAAGTGTACAGTCTTCCCTCAAACTTTGACAGATACTATTATACTATTATAGAATATTAATATATAATTATAATTTTTAGATATATAAGCTATTATATATATATAATTATTATATTATTAATTATAATAATATAATTATACAATATTATTATATATATATATAATAGCTATTATCAAAATACCTGAACTTGAAATGGGTAATTACAAAATAGTACAAATAATAATGGTCAAAAAGTGTAATTTGTAAATTTTAAAATCATAATATTTTAATACTATTGTCTACTATATTTAATTGTAAAATTTTTTTATTCGGGGGCCTTCATGTCGGACTTTTAAATGAAAATAAACCTCGATTTACAATACAAAACTAAATCAGGTAGGCTTTTATTTTGTGTACAGTATGTTAGTACACGACCAGGTCATGTTATCTAACACAGTTCTTGTCATTTTCAAATAATTGTACCACACCATCTACCACTACACAAATTAAATTAATTCTATTGTGGTAGATACAATTAATTATATTAATACTCATATGAATACAAACAGAAAAATTAACAAACTATAACATAATATACATTCTATTATATTATTATGACAATCAGTTTAATCAAAATAAATACAAAGTAATGTAAATTTAACATGAATAAAAAAAAAAAAAAAAAAAAATCCAACTTAAAATTACGATAGTGTTAGTTATGTTTTAGTGAACTCATTCAAACTCACCAAGGTAAACAACTTTATCACTAGATCCAGACATAACTGAAAAAAAAAATGATATAATTAATAAGTATATATACTTATGTTATAACATTTAACATTAATCAGATTTAAATAATCTATCACATAATAATTCAATCACATATTTTATCAATTTTATAGTAAAAATCCTTACACTACTATGCAACTATGTATTATTTTAATTTTTCCTTACTTATAGGCTCTTTGGGATGGAAATCTACATCATTTACACTACCATTATGACCTGGTAACTTATACAATATTCTCCGAGTATTAGCATCCCAAATATACACAAACCTATCAGCTGAACCCGCTGACACTTTTGAACCATCTGGTGACCATGCACATCGTAATAAATTCTAAAAAAAAATAAAGTATAATAAAATTAAGCAAGTATACTTTTTATATATATCAGAACCTTTTCAAAATTATGCGTGTGTCCAGAAAAAACTTTTAAACATCTATCAGTTGGCGCATAAGGTCTGACGTCCCATATTCTTAAGCTGTTGTCCATTGCATTAGACAATAAATAACAGCCATCAGGTGATAATTCAAGTCCAGTCACCGTATCTGTATGACCTGGTAAACGATGAAGTAATGCATTTTTACGTAAATCCCAAATCTAAAAAATATAATAATCATACTAAATAAAAATTTACCTAAAATCTACAAAAACATAATATAAATAACAATAATACTTTTATTTCATTATCTAGACCACCAGTTATGACTTGATCAGCAGTGTCATTAAAACAAACAGACATCACTTGAAAATTATTATTGAAAGTAGTTACTGCATCACCTCCACGCTTTCTAGGATCCCACACTTTTATGGTACAATCATCTGAAGCACTAGTAATCATTTGAGGTCCACGTCTTGCAGAGTCACAAGAATTCACAAATCCAGTATGTCCTAAAGCAATATAAATTATCCCTTAATTATATAAAAAAAAACTTTGATATTTATCTTCCATATATTATACAAGTTACAAGGGTTGGTAAAAAAAATGATAAAATGCATAGCCTTTTAATATATAATGTATTCATACTATTATAATATGATTTCTGTGTAAATTGTATATAAAATTATTAATTTGTTAAAATCTATTTTAACTTTTTTATTTTTATTATACATTTTTGAATTGTTATATGGTGTGTAAAATAATTTTTAACAACCTTTTATCAAACAAAATGTTGTACAAATAAATTAATATTTGTTATTGAAAATAAATTATTTTGTATAAACACACAAACAGATAGCATTTGTTTTATATTTTACATTTTATGGATTTAGTAATTTGGAGTTTAAATTTGAATCTCTTCTTTACCTTTATCAACTATTTGGGGTCGAACACCCTCTTTCTCAACTTCCACTTGACCAGATAATCCATCTCACATAACTGGCTATCCTCATATCATTCTCAATGACATGCAACCATCTCTATTTCAGTCTTCCTCTCCATCTAATTCTTCCTATATTTATTTTCATTCCAATGCTTACTGCTTAAAATTACTTTGACCCGTGCCATGTTTAAACCTTCTCAGTCTATTTGCTCTCATTTTTTCTACTTTCTAAGCTACTTCTAATGTACTCATCTCTAATCCTACTACCTTTTGTCACTTCACTCAACTGTTTGCTCATCACTGCTACACTCATTCTCTGTTCTATTTTTCTGTCTACTACCTAAAATTTTGAACCATACAACTTAGTCAACCTCACCACACTAGTGTTGTACTTATCTGTTAGTCTCAATGGAATTCTCTGGTCATATAAAATACATGACTCTTTCCACTTTATCCAACCACACTTAATCCTATGTTTCACATCCTCATGATGCTACCTTTTGTACAATAAATCTAAGGTACTTAAAACTTTCAACATAATCTATATTACCACTTCATAACCATTAATTGCTGTTAGCTGTCTCGACCTGTTCCTCTAAATTCATACTCCCGTTTTACTTCTACTTATTCTTAGTCTCTTTTTCTTCAAGTATTATTCTTCATTCCTTAAGCCTATTGCTAACTTATTCCATTTTCTCCTATAAAGCTGTATCATCAGAAGTGTTAAATGTATTTAAATGTGTAATAATAGTTTAAATAAACTCACACTTATTGAAAAATAAATAAGACTATAGTGTACTTCACACAGATTATATTGTACTAATTTAATGCAATTTATTTAAAATTTAAAAAAAATCATGATTATATTAACAATTATTTTGCAATAATTATATACAAATTAGTTTCATAATATTTGTTATATTAATTTACAATGTTAACATAATTACATGAACTTGCTAATATGCATTAAACTAATTTTTAATGAATTAAACTTGCATATAAATGTATATTTAATATACTATGTAATATATGTATAGTAAATAAATATAGGAACACAAAATGTATATATAGAAATAAAAAATAAATAAATGAATGAATGTGTCGCCTAGAGTATTATGATAATTGTATTATACAACTAGTTCTGAATTAAAAATTCATCCATTTTAATAATTTAGTTTTTACTTTATTATTTTATTAATATATGTATATTTAACTTTATTAAATTTGTCAAATCGAACTAATTCTTTATTCTGGTATTAAGAAATGCATGTCAACATTTTTTTTTTTTATAATTTGACTATCAAATTAAGTATGAATGTATATTGTACATATTTTACTTTATTTTATATTAGTTTAATCCTAATTTTTGAAGTTTTGAAATGTTTTACCTTTAAGTTTCTTTACTCGTTGACCTTTATAAATATCCCAAAAGGATACTGTCATATCACTACTACTTGTATATATTAATGCTCCATCCGTTGAGAATTTCATGTCTAAAATAGCTCCTGAATGACCGCTAAGAACACCCAAGTTTTCACACTCGCCATATACACTCCATATAACTAAAAAAATTTCGATTTAATATATAAGTAAAAGGAATACAATAAATATAGAATAAACATATTATACATACAAATTTTTCTATCAAAACCAGATGAAGCCAGGTAGTCCCCCTCAGGATGAAATTTTGTTGAAAATATATCGCCTTCGTGGCCTTCCAATGCCATAATTGGCATGAAAAGACTAGACGTTCGAGCATTCTGAACAAAAATAAAGGAAAATGAAAATAATTATTATATCTTTATCGTTAAAATAAAATAAATACTTTGTCTGTTTTCAAATATTTTTCTCTAATCGATTTATTTTGTTCAGAGTTAATTAAAGCTACTTCACTTTTACGCTTCACCATGTTTTATTTTAATTAATAATGGTTATAAAAAAAAAAAAAGTAGAACAAATTATAAAATGTACAACAAATAACTATCATAAACTCTCAAGTTCCAGTTTACGGACTATAGCTTCTGAGTCTTCGTCTCCAATTCTCCATGTTCTAATCTTATCATGCTCTAATGTTATCATTTTTGTTTATTTATTTTGTTATTCTATTATTCAGAATAAATTTAAGGTTATGTTTACATGTATAAACGTAGAAACGACAATATTATGTTATATTTGTTAAAATTACCGACTGCCAACTTCAGTGGGAAATTCAACTATTCGAGTTATAAATTTAATTGTTACGAACAAGTAAAATGTTTATTTTAAATAGATAGTTACAAATTTTCAATATTACAATAAATACAATAATTACATTACATTAATCATGGTTTCTAATACTCACTTAATATTAGTTAGAGTAATTTTACAATAAATGTTCATTGTTTAACTATTCATTTTAAAATTGATATTGATACAATTAACATAAATCGAATTTGGTACATATAATAATATAACATACGTAATATTTTATTTGTGCCATGTATTAATATGGCATTAATATTAATCTATTAGTTTTAACTGATTACAATAATGTAAATTTGTGTATTTAAACTATAAGAATATGCATACAGTCGGATGTCAACTACTTTTCGCTGGCTTTCTCGGTCTCCTCATGCAACTTTATGCATTGCCTATGGACAATTCTATCAACAAACTTATGTTACGTTCATCAGATCGATTAGGTCTAGTAAAGTATTTCAAAGAACTAAAACTTGATGAATTTTGTAATGATCATTCGATATTGGATGATGAAAAATTCAAATTGTTGGAATCCAAGTACCCTGAGTCATGCCTATGCACAGTTATTTACAATATGACACAAGAACTGGAATCCACCAAAATTAATAGTTCAGATGTAAACAAAGTAAAACAACATTGCAATAAAATCGATAAAAATAATTATTCAGATGTATTTAAAGTTTGGAAAAATGTAGCATCATTATCTTCATCATTAAAATTATTCATGGCCCCTTTAAAAGATTCGAGTGCATGGCAATTAGTTTGTCATGTTGACTATTCGGTTGAAAATGTTAGTCCACTCTGTCAATTTTTAAATTTAGAAATTACTTTGATTGAATCGTATTTTACGCTGAAACAATGTGAGTATTGCAAATTTACAAATATATAATCAATATACATTTTATCAATTATTTATTACAATTATTGTTTAGCTAAACAAAAATCTATCAACAATATAAATGAAAATAATCAGAAGTCTCTTAGTGCAATAGTTAAGACTAAAGAACAGGAACAGAATATTGATATACCTGACGACCTTCCATCAACTAATTCTAGTGACTATTCTAATGTCATGTCCATACCAGAAGTGAGTACTTTTTATTAATACACTAAAAGATAATAAAGTTTTGATGGTTCTCATGTTTGGATTTTATAAGTTTTATACATTCTTTATGAGCAATTTTCAGTTTGTTTAAAATTTGAATTTACTGAAATCAATACTGAATTTAAACTACTAAAGTAACAATAAAAACAAAACATTTTAAATTATTATCTTATAATTTTTTAAATATTTAAACAATTGATATTTAGTTTTATTTATTATTTTCTTCTTATTTAAATTCCTCTCTTTAAAATAGACATATTTCCTTTTTGATTTATCGTCACAATAATTGTTATTTATATAAACACCTTCATATTTGACATATACAAAATAAAAATTGAGTGTACTTATTTTTAAATTCATATAATTTAACTTTACTGTTATGATAAAAAAAGGAAAATATTTTATTAATTTATATAAAAAAAATTGTTTCTTTAAAAGGTATAATAATGGAAAATAATTAATACTTCCATGATAATTTTTTAACTTTTAATTTTGTTGTTGATGCATATAGTTAATATATAGTTGTGTTGATTTTGTAATGTTTTAAAATAAATTTATTTTGATAACTTTTTTAAGTATAAATTTAAGAAAATGCTTAAACAAAATAGTAAAATTTAACATTTTAAAAAATTACTTATTAGGAAGATAATCTAGGTGTCAAAATTGAAACTCCTAATGAACTTATTAGTGTCAAAGAAGAACAACCAGAAACATCTAATAAAGATGATGAAAATACCAATGCTGATTATCAAACCGAAATTGATAAAGATAAAGAAAAAGAAAAAGAACTTGACAAAGAAAAAGAACTTGACAAAGAAAAAGAACTTGACAAAGAAAAAGAAAAAGAACTTGACACTAAATCTAAAAGCAATATTAGTAAGCATTTATATTGATAAGTATAATGCTATAATACATTTGTAACCATGGCTAATTTAATATTTTATTGACTTATTCTTTACAGAACCCAATAATGATAATTCCAAGGACGATTATGGTACCACTTCACAAATAGGTGAACTAAAACTATTTTTAAACTAACCATATTTATAGTGATGACTCTTAGGCGCTGATTAAGGGAGTGTTATAATAAGAAAAATTCCTCTGTTTTAGTTTAATTATAATAATGTAATAATATTAAAAAGCATTTTTACAACTATTAGTGATTAACTGTTTTTATCTTAAATGTATCGTCAAATGTAATGCTCTTTGTTCGTATCTTTTGAACAAATCTATTATTCTTGATATTATCATTTTATTATTGTTGAGACATGAGACAACACATAGTGTTGTCCAAATACTAGCATCCAATCATGATTTAAATATTTATCTATACGCAAAAGATAATATGCAAAACTATATGTATTTGGATTTTCATATACAGCTGGAACAACTTCACATTTTGTCTCTACTAAACATGTTGGTCACACCAACTGAACAATTTTCATAAATTTAAAATAATTTGTCCTTTCCTTCAATTTTATGCAAGGGTTTGATTGTCCTCTCATCCAAGCCACGAGCTACCACTGCATATTTATTATAATGCTAGTACTATTTTGTATGACTTTGCCAGTGCACATTATTGAATAAAATAAAATTAAAAAAAAATTATAGCATGTTTCCCTATGATTCCCAGTTTTCACCCTCGTACAATTAATTATTGCCTGGTAATTAATTTTTTTTAAAAAAGATGCTCTCTTGTTCGTGGCAACTTTACAATAGTTACTTTAGTTAACATTTAATTTTACTATTATGTGAAGAAACAACCAACTTGTTAACTGTAAAATCTACTAAATTGATCTTCAAATAAAATTGTTAAAATTAATAATAAATTGATCCAGTAATTTTTACAAAAAAACTTGTTTATGGCTGTAATACTCAGTGAATTTAAATAGTGTGATACAGACTGTTAATATTTAAAATAATTAATTTACTTATTTAAATATATTTTAAATGTAAAATATATTTTGTGATTAAATAGTAGTAGAGAGTATGATTCTTTCCATGATGATTTTTACACTGAATTAATCATAAACTTTACTTTTATATTTTTAAATTACTACATAGTGTTTAGGTAAAAAAAACAGAAATCAAATTATCTTAAAAAAAACTCTGAGATAAATGATATTCTAAAGTATTACAACATTGTAAAAAATATGTTTTTTTTTCATTTTAATACAATTTATAAATTTATTACACATAATGAATAAAATAGAATTATGATTTTTTTATAGAAACTAAAGAAACCAAATCAAGACTTCAAAATAATGTATTTGGTGGACCAGAAGAAACTCATTTTCTTTTCTACTTTGGAATTATGACTCTACTCTCAATGCTTTTTTATCTAGCATTATACAATAAAAAAAAAGTATGCATACAATTTCATAATTGCACATATTTTGGTTTGAATATATTCATGTGTTTTGATTATTTATTATATTTAAATTGTTTAAAAATGTCTCATACAGTATTTTCATATTATAGATAATTGCATTAGTAATTGAAGGTCGACGAAGTACTGGTCATCGAAGACGTCCTAATACAGCTACTTATTCAAAAGTAGAGACTGATGATGGATCAACTGTTTTTTGAATGAATTTGTTACTTAATAAAATTAATTGTAAAAAACAAAACAAATTAGTTTTAGATTATCATATTGTATATAAGAACTTATTGTGTTGAGCGGTTGTTGATCAAAGAGTTTCCTATAACAGTTGTCAAAGTTGTAATGGATATAACATAATTTAGTCAAAAAAATTCTGTGATGAAAAAAATATAACTGTAAATACTTTTTACAATATTTTGTTTTTAATAAAAGTAAACTTTATGGTCTTATTTTGGTATTACCTAATTGAATACTTTAAATTGTTGAACGTATTGTTTGGTATTGCACAACAAAATATAATGATATTCAAATAATGCTTAAATTTGTATTGGTTTTTAAGAAAATAGTTTTGTCTTTTTTTTATTTGTAAAGTAAATATAATAATATATGTAATATATATTTATATAAAATATTTGTAATTATTCAATATGCACACAAAATACAAACCCACCAATTTTTACACTATACAATCAAGTCACAGTTGCCAAATTCCATCCTGAAGACAAGACATTTAACTTCGTATTCATCCTGAAGTTGAAACAGTTGCTTCTAAATTTTGTCCTGTTGGTATTTAACAATTCAACTATTAAACATTTATTTTTTAAAGCTTAGGATTGACATATTTAAAAATTATATAATATATATATATTACGGACAATATGTACTTTTTTCATTAAATGTTTATTTCAGGAATAATGGGACCCGCTGAGCATGCTCGTATGGGAGCCAAGGCTTGCCTGAATAAAATGAACTATATGTAAAATAATTTATTTTAATGTGAAACATCTGAATGCTAAATATGTTTAGACATTTTATATTATTTAAAAGGGAAAAAATATATTATTAAGAGAACATTATACAGAAATGTCATACGTTACACAGTAGATGCGGATCTACTGTCTTAGTCCAACAACCGGATAACATACAAAAACAATGCTTACACAGAATATATAAAACTAGTTTAATTTTGATTTTAGAATAAAAGTACCTACTATGAAATTTATAGTGAATACTTTGGAGAAAATGTCGTAGGTTTTTTGTACTATGAACTATTAATTAATTATTAACTAAGTTACAGTTATTTAAAAAAAGAAAATAATAAAGGTTTTTTTAATTTTTTTATCGAGCTAAAAAATGTATATTTCATTTATAAAATATCGATTAAATTTCTCTGTACAATGTAAAGCAAATAACATTTGAGAAAACAAAAATGTTGCAATATTATGTCATGTAGACTTAATGATACAATTTACAATCAGATAGAGAATTTTATCGATAGGTAATTTATTACCTAAGTACTTTATTATGTAGTTGAATAAATGAAAATAGTAATATAATACATTAATCTAGAGTGTTTATACAGCACGTTAAATGTAGTTAACAAAATAAATGTGATTAATATATTTTTTCCGTTTTTAAATCGTACTAATAATTATAAATGGGTTAGTTTGTTAGAAAGAATTACAAAGAAAGTTATAAAATATTCTAGACTAATTTTGTTTAAGATTTTCCTTACTATATTATTTTTTTTGTAATTATTTTAGATTCTGTTTGTGGCGAAAAACAATTGTAGTGTTTCACTAAAATATGTTTTATTCATAGAATATTATTATTTAATAATTATTCATGGTTATTAACTATGTTGTAATTGAAATCGGACTGGGAATGTACTATAAGGAGATCATTTTTCGATTTTCTCAGGAGTTTTCTCATCAAATGTGAAAACCGGAAAAATCGATACAATATTAAGCAAATATTATTAAAAAAAATATATATAATGTCTAAAATATCGAATCTTATCGAATAATTACAACAAAGATACGGATAAGACCCGTGTGCAATTTTCCACACCACCTTGGCTATCGAAAAACGCCAATGAAATATTATTACGACTATTTGACGTTATTCGAAAAACGTAGAGGTTTTGCACTAGGCGCGTTTTTTTTATAGTGGTGTCCCCGAGTAGGCCTAATCCACTAGATTAACCTAACCTTACCTGAAGTCCATAATATTACACTCTATAATATAATACGATCACTAAATCCCGATCCTCGTTCCTTGAAGTCATCTGCAGCTACCAGCAGTCTTGGTTTGAAGAGCTCGCGTGCAAACAAACCGGAAAAAAAAAGATAGAAAATAAAAAAAAACTCTACTATTATACCGATGAAGAAAACTTAATAAATTATTGAAAAAGTTTGAAGGAATGATTAGAAAACAATTCAGAAAAATAAAACTTTAAAAACTACAATGAATAAAACAAATTTAAGAAACATAATTTACTACGATTCGATTAAAGACGAGTACAATAAACAAAATTAATATTATTGCCAACGTTATTAGCCAGCCCGTGATTTTGCGATCTTTATTATTGTACTATTTATAAATAAATAGTATTAATCAATAAGTATATGTCTGTAAAATTTGTTGTTACTTAGGGGCATTTTGGTACCTATACGTGTTTTCAGCGAGGTAAGTTAAATACCTCAAATGATATCCGTATACAATTTTATAATTTTACGATCGATAGATTTTCACAAAAATCTGAGCTTCAAACGTACATAAAAATAAAAAAACTGACATATTTCGCATACAGCCACTGTCGTAGATGGGAAGTTATGAAGGTAGGATACAGACGGGAATTTAATGTATGTCTTTAAGCAACGATAAACCATGGCTAACGAAAATACGATTCTGAGAAGGAGTTCAATTGAAAGTGATGCTTTGTCCACAACATATATGTCATATTATGGTCAAATAATTAAATAGGCATTATATATTTTCTTTAAAAATATTTGTTTAAAGTACTAATTTTCCTGTTTTTCCTCAGTTTTTTTTTTCGGTTTTTCACGTTTATTGAGAAAACTCATGATAAAATCGAAAAATGACCTCCCTACAGTACCTCCCCACACCGATTTCCATTCAGAAAAGGTACTACACTTAAAAAATCGAAACAAGATCTCTGGTAGAAAAATCGTCCACAGAAAAAAAAATAAATAAACATCTTTGTAAAACCATAAGCTCTTTCGCTCGGAATCTAAAATGAGTTTTCTTTGTTTTACGAAGGATTATTTTTTATTTGACTTTTTTAGCATAAACACAAATTGCTTGTGATGATTTGCTACATAGAATATTAGGTATCATTAACAATATCGTTGCCATCAGATAGATAACAAATTCTTCAGTCAGTTACAATTCCGGTGAATTTTGCTGCGTGTGAGAGAAGCTTCTCGTCAATGTCTGAAAAACTGGCTAAGGACAAGTGTGTAGCAACAGCGTTTTACAGATTTATCAGTATTAAAATTTTAAAAGAGATATTGTCCATAAAATCACTTCTTCAGAAATACCGAAAAAGTATTCCAGTAGTAATAGAAAAATAATTTTATTATAAATAACATATTAGTATGATACAATTTATACGTGCATGTAAAAGTATTATGTTGAATTACAGATAGATTCAATTATAAAATGTACCTCATACAAGTAACTGCTAAACAGTTTAATCGGGTAAAATTAAATTCGATAAAATTCGATAAATTAAGGTAATACTGCAGAAATCAACTTATTCAATATTCGGATTCGATCAATATTTTTCTAAAGAAATTTTTATTTTTTTTAAATTTAATAAATTTGTATGTAGGTACAATAATATTAATATTATATTATACAATGTATTAATATCAGTAGGTAATATCAAAATAAATACAAAAATTAAATTAAAAACCATTTTATATTGCATTTTTCGAGACTTTAAATGCGTTTTTTATTGAATTTTTTTTGCATTTTTTGTATATTTTAAATGTCATTTCAAATCCAGATTTTTATCACGTCACTATAGGTTAATACAGAATGACGCATATTCGGGGTCTATATACGATTTTTAAAGTAAAAATCACATTATACACTAAAAATTATAGATTTTTAGGATATTTTTAACAAATTTTAGGAAACTGAGAAAAAAATAACAGGTACCTAAAGTGATGATATGGAATGCCCGATACTCATTAATTTGATCCCCCCCCCTCAAAAAGTACCGTAATCTCGGTCATTCCCTTAGAAGACAAAGAAAAATGTTTCGTCAACTCTTTTTGTCTTGTATATACGAAAAGACCAATGTATCGTATTTTCAAATGCAAATTTTACCTCGTCACACGGGAACGAAAAAATAATTGTCCTAGGAGGATCAATTAGGGATAAACAATTTTTTTTTGGAAAAATTTAAGGTTGTCAAATAAAATCCACTCTAATATGATGCATACATATATAAATTAATAAATAATTATTTATTTTTGTATTTTACAAGTCGAAAATATGTGTTATACATGCCAGCAAACTTGCCAGTCTTAAGCGTGGAAAAAATATGAAGAGAAATGTTACTATACGTAGATAAAATATCTGTGTTGGGATCATATTCGCAGGTAAATGCCCATTCACCGACGCGAAACAAAATTCGGACGCGGCCAATCACGGAGCTGAGATCAATTTGAACAATGGCAACTATCTTTTGTGTTTCTTGTGATCCATTCAAGGTATTTGTCAACCCTTGTATAAACACCGGGCAGCCGGGGAGCGCCGCATCCGATGCCCCAAGAAACGATCCCTTGAAAAAAGAAAAATCACTTTGAATCTTCGAATTTGTTGAATTTTTTCTGATTATCGTAAATAACAATGTATTTCAACAACACGGAATTATAAACTGTGTTATATTATAATGTAGACTCACCTGCCACTGTGATTTGTTCGTTGTTCTCGTAAATCATAAGAGGTCCCCCGCTGTCGCCCTAAAACAGTTATCATTTATAAACCAGACGATAACGCTGTTATGTTATGCGGAAGTGTGATGGAATTATTTGGAGGAGGGGTCGATAATATTCGAATTTATCCCCCCTCCCCCAACATGTACGCATTTAAACAACAATACCGCAACTGAAATCTGAAATGAAATGCAATAAAATGCACACCATTGCAAAACCCTCGTCGTTACGCTCAGAACCTAAAATAATACCCCAATACGAACACATTCTATTTGAGAGTGGGTGGGAGGGCTATTAGCATATCGGGAATTCGTAGCCCCTATCCCAGTTCCGCCTGCGACCCGCATCGCTGCCGCTTACCTGACACGAATCTTTTCCTCCGCCGTTAAGCCCGGCGCACAGCATGTTGGCCGTGTATCCCGTTTTCACGAACTCCGGAACGCCGGTGCATTCTTCCTCGTTCCACAAAGGCAACGTCGCGTGTCTCAAGTACAGGGTCGTGGCGCTGAACTCGCTCAGCTGTCCCCATCCGGCCACGGACGCGGTCAGCCCGCCGTAATCATGCCCTGTTGAAGAACACCCCATGATACTCACGGTGGAAAACCGACAGTGCGGTTGTCGGCGATAACGCCGCCGCAGTGGCGTGGTGGACTCGACATTTACGGCTTTGCGAGAGACGGATATTTCGGCGGCCCGCGCCTACACCTCACTCGACGGCTAAAAGAAATCTCGTGAATTTTTTTTTTTTTTTTAACCCACAGGAGCATCAAACAGGACGCACGTTGAATTTAATCCATTTTCCGAATACGCTCACGAATAACCTCTATACACGTGTATAAAATGTTCGCGTCTCGCCGTTTCAGCCGAAAACAACGATGGTTTCTCAAAGTCTCACCGTGAATTGATCTGTCTTCGGCCCCTTCAGACCGCGCGCGTCGTTTAAACAGTAAACACGGGCCAGTGATTGTGAACGCATAGTAGTATTTATTATTCCTCATCGATTGTGTACAATATAATTTATAACAATTGTTCAATCAGTGTCAAGTTTGCCCGCGTCTCCCGAAAATCTCCCTCAAATACCTGTACAATTATCACGCCACTGGACGCAGATATGTACCTACCTGCAGTTAATACATGTGTATAATGTGTACGTAACAAGTGGCCTACCTGCCGGCGATACGTTTTACGCGATAGTTGGTAGAATGTATAATATTATTTTGTATAGATATTTCACATTGTATAAATTCAGAGCATTAATTATAAAGTGAATTCTATAATCAATGGTTTAGAGTGCCGCGTTTTTTGGTCAGCAAAGCCGTTATTAGAAATTGCGAGGCCTGGGGCGAAATTTTAAATGTTTTCATATTTTATTGCATTCTAATTTAAATCGTTATTTGCTCTGCCCGCCTTTCCCCCCCCACCCCCCACAACCACCACCACTCTAAAGACGGTCCTGTTGAGTAGTGTTTACCTCTAAAAGCTCTGCAGATAATGACATCTGATTTTAGTAAACAAATCGCGGTGTAATAGTAAGTTTGTAGCGGTTTTTTTTTTAAATCACCTTTCCCTCTCTATATATAAGCTGTCCCAATGAAGATATGCCTTTTGAATATTTGAATTCAATTTATTTTTATTGTAAGAGAAATTTAAAAAAATAACTTAAAAAATTTTAAGATGGCCATTCTGTAGAATATATTTTTCCGTAAATTTAAATACATCACATATTTATATACGATGAACAGTTTCTAAGTAACAGCCGTTTTAAATTCTACTAATCCGTGTGAAAACCGATGTTATCAAGGGATTTAACTTAACGGCGTTACGCGATAACATCGGTTTTCAAATTTTCCGAAAATAAAAAGTTATTTTTTTTAATTTCTCTTATAATAATAATAAAAAAAAAATAAATTGAATTCAAATGTAAATATTTGTAGTCTTCCTCCCTGTGAGTAATACGAAAAAACAAACATAATTTGATTATCTTCATTATCTTCGGAGATAATACAATAGTTTACGGAGTACATCTCCGTGGGACAGCCTGTGCACTAATCTCCCGTTCGGACACTCCGATTTCGCGGATGAACGCGGCATTTTCGGAAGACGCTGCAAATGGTCCCTGGCAGTTAGTACAGTGCGCGTGATAAAAACAATTTCGCATCCAGAGCTTTCAAATTAATATTGTAGCGGCCAACCGAAACGCGCGCGTATACCTACATTATAGGCGCGGTTTTTACGCGCCAACACGCCGGTAACTCTAGTAAAAAAAAGGAAAAAACGAACAAATTGTATCCCCGACCCCGGCGGATACGCGTCCGGCGGTCGTTACTACGCGTCGATATTTATGTATACATTATAATAATATACGTGTGTCGTTATTACTGATCATCGGCAAACAAATTGGCCGCACTGCGTGTTCGAATCTTATCGGTTTGCACAGTCTCACCAGCGCTATGTCGTTGTCGTGCACGTTCGCGCCCCTCGGATCGTACTTGTGGTGCACCTTCACCACCGAAGCCCTGACAGCGCGCGGATCGCCCGGTAACAACCGATTTGGTCTGTTGTTCTGGCCGATCACCGTGTAGATTTCTCGATAGTTCGGCGCCGGGTCTTCGCTTAAAATACGTAACCGAGCGCGCGTTATTATTTTACAGAACACACAGGTAAAAATATATACATAAATGGGGGGGGGAGCACCGCGAGACGGAACAATATAATAGTGGGGAAACTTTGGTATTGCGTATGCGTGTATGGGTGAATGGATATCCGCGTGGAAGATGTGCACGGGAAGAATTATGAAAAGCCGGGCGACATCGCACGTAGGTGCAGCCACCGTTGTTGGTGAGAAGTTAGAAAGGCGGTAGAGGGGAAATTCCACGTATATGTGTAAGCAACGACGAACCGTCGCTAACGAAATAACGATTCTGGGCGAAGTTCAGTTGATAGTGTTGCTTTGTCAACGATGTACATGCCATATTATGGTGAAATAATTACATTTAGACGTTACATTATATTTTCTTTAATAATATTTGTTTAATGTTGTACCTATTTTCCAGTTTCCTTACTGTTTTTTCCCGGTTTCTCCCATTTATCGGGAAGAATCCTGGAAAAATCAAAAATTACTTCCTTAAAGGATCTTCCCAGTCAGAATTCCTTTTAGAAAAATTGCTATCATAGTAAATCGGAACGAAATTGCTAGAAGAAAAGTTGTTCACAGATAAAAAAAAAAAAAATGTTTATCAAATAATACCTGCATTTCGTACATTTTCCCGTTTTTTCTAATTTGTTGAGCAAACTTCTGGGAAAATCAAAAAGTACCTCCGCAGTCTAATTTCCTTTCAGGAAATGTACTACACTTAAAAACCGGAACAGGATTTTTGGTAGGAAATTTGTCCATAGAAAAAAATTAATAAATAAAAAATAAACATTTTTGTAAAACCATAAGCTTCTTCGCTCCACTCAGAATTTAAAAATCGACTTAAAGTCATCAGTACAGGGATGGTACGTGGGCATGTGGAGTAGACGAAGAAATGGTTGTGAATATTGAAATGGTGCAAAGGGTGAGAATACGAGTAGATGACCCCACTCGCGTGGCATAAATGCGAAGAGAAGAGTACAGGTACTCGTATAAGAGTCAGCTGAGGCATACTCACTTGAAACAGTGGGCTGCCGTGAGAACGTATTGGTCCGTGACGACGGAACCTCCGCAAAAGAATTTCCTCTTGGTGTTCCAAAGCGACGCCATCCACGGGTATTCGTTGTCCTTGACTTCAGTACCGCCAACAATCCTCGAACCGGGATGACCGACGCCACAAGCTGCGAAAAACCGTGTAAATACTGTTATTAAATTTACTTCCGTACAGCCGCTTCCTCTAAACTACACAAGTACACATTCGAAAATTATAAAGTTGTTTTTAGGCACAATGAAGTGATTTGAGTTGGACTAAATTTCAGCATGTTGTTGCGGGACGCGGATGTTTTTTAAACTTCGAACGCCACTATCACAGACTTCTCAGATAAAGCTAGGGAAACAATATGTTGTACGTGTTTTTCGTTAGTGCAAATTTATTCGCCAGTAATATAATACAATATTGTGTTATTACTTGTTACAGACACACACAAACACACATATATATATGTACACATAATATTAGGTTATATATTTTTATTTTAATATTACGTATGTGTAAAAACGAATTTATGTCTGCTGGTCCTTTATGCATTACTGCACCATTCATCCGATTGCCATTAAACTCTGGAGAGTTGATCCACGTTGTCCGGAGAAGTTTTATAGCTATTGAAATCCACCCCCTATTGAATACCATTCCCTAAAATACGGTTTCTAGGCAATTATAGTTTTGATTAGGTAAAAATCTGATTATTTTTGTTGGTTCATGGGTTACCTTGGTAACACAGATGAAAAAATTATATTTGCATTCAGTTTTGCGGTGTAATCCTTCTAATAATTTATCTATTAACTTTATTCAGAAACTTTTTTATTGCACGAACAAAGCCCGCAAAGCTTGTTTATTATAAACAATTTTTATTGTGGGGGCATAGCCCCTGCGAGGTGTTTGATATGCCCGTAATTTCAGCACCCCCAGAGTTGGTGGTCTATAGGCGCGATACAATATAAATAGTGTTCTATACAACGTATGGAATACAATTACACCATAATGTATATCAGATAATAAGTTTATGTATGTGCAATAATTACTGTTAGTGCTTAGATCGTAATTTATCGTATACACTCACTGCACGGTCGACACCTCGAAGTCGCTACATCGTCGGTCCGCTTTTCTCCGTCGCGGAACACTTCCGAAACAACGTCCTGTGTCGGGAAAAACGAATTATTAACACGATCGAAAATCGATTCTGAGCAACGCGTTAAACAAGTTGAACACGTTTTGATAAATTTAAATTGATATAATTATTGTTTTAAATTATAATTACAATTGCTCGTGTTTCAAACGAATTTCAACATAACTTTGAACTGACAAAACGCCGATAGAAATTAACTACACCATTTATACTATTGTCATAAAACCGGAAAACTTCGAAAATGCCAAACAGCTATAAATAACTGAAATAACTTAAAACGCCCAACGGTCGCTGGGACGTGGGTCGAAACCGGTATGCATACGTACTTTTCGGGTGACGTTGCGCGGCACCGGGACCGCAGCCGCGGCGCAACACAGCTGCAGCAGCAGCGCGGTGACGGCGTCGCGAGACTTCATGATGACGGCAAGAGTATCTGGCCGCGAACCGGGGTCGACTGACCTGTAACGGGAGTCGCCGAAAGCCAAATGGTAACGGACGATTAATGACCGATTGTCAGAAGTCTCTGTCGGCCAGTAGGAAGACCGCCGCGCCGGAACAACACGGCAAATATTACACGCGACCCGGTCTACTGTCGGACAGTTAGGGATTCGTAGTGTTTGCCGTTGTGTTCGATGATTCCGTTTTGTGTTGTTGTAAAACGTCCGGAAATCGTATACGGATAAAGCTTTCTCGGTGTACAAAGTCCCGGATTGCGCGTACGAGTAATTATCGTTAATAACGGATTATGCATTTTCGAAACGTTAATTATTCGGCTTCTTTGGCATTCTTTGTTTTTCAATTATCTCCCACCGCCGCCCCCCCCCCTTCAGCATTATCCGATACGTTGTACAATTATAACAGTTTAGTTTCAACAATTTTTTCCCTTTGCCCGTCCGGGTAGTATAGACGCCAATCCGTTAGGTGCCATCTGTAAATCCATGACGAAAGTGAAAAATGGATATTTGCCGCGCGAAGTTTATTCGAGATAATTTTCGATCTCCCACCCTTTCAAAAACCAACTTAACAAATACCCAGCTATACGGTTGTTATAGGACGTTAGAGGTGCCCGCACTATGATACGGCTAAATCACTAACAATTATAATGTCGTGTCGTGTCGTGTGAGTCATCGTGACAGAGACGGGTTTTTAATAGCTCGTTCGTAGCTATAATCGGACGGGCCAGTCACGCTGGTTAAAATCCACGACGACCGCTGACGACATAATGTATTAGTGTCCTATCTAATAACCGCTGGAAGTCGTTAACTTGAATACATAATATAATGTAATTATAAAACCGTACAATGTCTAAATATTGTTTTTTAATTTATAAAAGTGCGCAACTTGAAGGTTTGAAATGAAGGCTGTATTAAGCAAGACATTTAGAAACCTCCCAAGACCAAATTTTTCAAAGAAATCTTCCCAATCACCCCCCCCCACAAAAAAAAATACATTAAAAATAGTCTGATACTCTTGGATGTGTCACTGTTTAGGATTAACACAAGAAGAAAATTGGAAAGTAGATTTAATAAAGTAATTTAATTTGTATCTGTATTCAGAAAACAATTTTGAGCAGAGTATTATTATCCCGATTTTTAATACGAATAATAAGTATAATATTTTCCCTGTTGTCATAGTAACCCATAAATCAATAAAAATTATTCTAAAAATGACCTGTTTTTCCTACAAAGAGAATCAAAAAATAAACCCTACAACGAATCAACTAGATCAAAAATGCTAAAGTTCCTATACAATTTTCGATTGAACACACACAAAAAAAAAAAATTCAAAGTAAAAAAAATAAAGTGCATTATCCCAGTAGGTGCCTAAACAAATACATTCTTCGATTCGATCAGATTCTAAAAGCTGTTAATAGTGTTTACTCAATATGTTCTTACAAGTGAAAAACAAATAGTTTTCAACTCAAAATTCACAAGTATTGTTCAAATAAATAAATATATATTTAAGAAATGGACATATGCACGATTGGTGGGTCACTGTTGTAGGTGAGACGTTGGGAAAGTAGGATATTGTAGTAAACTGAATGTATATGTATATATTTATTTAAATATAATGCACGATAATAATAATAATTCGATCAGATATTAAATATCTACACCGTTTAAAACATAAAATATAAAAAAGTACCTTGAGCCTTATCCGTCATAGGTGAAGTTTTGTGGGTTGGTTAAAGATGCACACAAATTATACATAATGAATTATAATTAATCATTTATCCAATCGAATGAAAAAAGACGTCCTAGGATAATGAGGTCAGGTGTAGCCACTGTTACAAGTAATTTAATGTACACTCATAAGCAACGATAAACCATCGCTAACGAAAAACGATTCTGAAAGGAGTTCACTTGATAATGCTGCTTTGTCAACAATATGTATGTCATATTGTAGTAAAATTCTAATTATTCCAACTCAAAAATTAAAATGAATCCCGTTTTTCCTACATTTTTCTCGTTTTTTTTCGGTTTTTCACATTTGATTAGAAAACTCTTGAGAAAATAGAAAAATGACCTGCTTAAAGTATCTCTCCACCCCGATTTCCTTTCAGAGTACTACACTTAAAAATCGAAACAAGATCTCTGGTAAAAAAATTATCCACAGAACAAAAAACAAAAATAATCATCTCTGTAAAACCATAAGCTTCTTCGCTCCACTTAGAATCTAAAATTAGTAAAATGTTGTGAAAAATGAAATGGTGTTATAAAGAGTTATATGGATCTAAACGCGTGTACATTATTTTTCTTTTAAACAAAATAATAATTACAATCATTGAAGTATCAAACTTACACGGGTATTGTTATTTAAATTTATTAATGTACGAATATCTTCCGTATTCCGTACGTTTCTAACGGTACACAAAGACGTGTAATTTTGACACTCTGTTCGAGCCCTTAACCTAATCATCCCAAGAAAAAGAGATCCGGATCAATGGATTTCTTACGCCTAAAAACCTTTAAACACCCGACTCCAGGAAAATCCCACAACTGGTAAGGTTTCGAGATAAAAATTATAAATGTACAAAAAAACTAGCATATTGATTAAATGGAAAACACAGCGCAATAAATTAATATAAACCTAGGAAGAACAATAATAAAATCGATTACTTAGACACAATATTTTAAAAGTTACTAATGTGAAATAAATCTAAAACGTCAATTGAATTTTTCCCCGCGGACATGAGAATATTGTGTACATTTTGAATGGGCGTGAGTTAAAATACCGAATAGGTACCTACTGATTTATTTCAGGAGTTACGTAGTTTGGTTTATTTTAAAAAAAAATGTAGGTAATCACTCGAGAAGTTTGGAACAATCAATAATTATAATATGATAAAATTGTAATGTTTCAATGACACCGCAATACTAAAAAATAAAAAGATATATATATATATATATATATATATATATATATATATATTATTATAATTCTTTTAGACATTTTTTATTCAATTAAAAAATAATCATAATTATACATTCATTTATAATATGAATTATCTGATAATAATTTATTATAATCACACTAAGTAAAATTGGCCACATTTTTTTCTTCTATAAAACTAATCAATATGCATGTAACTTATAATTGTAACGAGGGATCTATACAAAAATATATATATAATAGATTTAAAAAAAAAAATCTAATTTGGAAATCTAAAATTAGAATTTTCGGTCCGAAATCCATAATTTTAGATTTTGAAATTCGTAATCCGTATTTCCGGTTTTTAAATACGAAATACAGATTTCTGGATTTTCGGATGATCCGGATTTATATCACATTATTACTAGTACAAATGTTCAGTCATTTAATCGATACCCGGTGAAATTGATATTAGAACAGCGGAATCTGTAAAATCCCGCGACTATAGCCTATATAGGTGCGTGTTTTACCTACACTATAATACCTCTTATTATAACTAAACGTTATATTAAAATTCTGATACTTCTGTCGTCTTTAGCATAACACATACTTTATACGTAAATTAATATTAATATCATTGTGTAAAACGAGCAACGTGTAATATGGATAATTATTATTTAAGTTCTGTTTTATATCATAGTTTATCACTTAATTATTAGTTATTGTTAAACTGAAAAATACGGTTATCCAAGTTTCGTTTTGTACAACGGAAATAAAATCTAAAGCTAATGTGTTACAGGATCGCATAGATTTATCAAGTACTAAAATTGTTAGGTTGCGACAGTGAGATGGATGTAGCGAAGTATCCGGCACACAGCCAGGTGTCTTGGACCCCGTTTAAATTTTCCAAGCGCATATTCCGAGATTTCCGAAAAACATGTAAAGGCAAGTGTTGATTTGGTACGTCATTTCTATGCCAAACGCTTCTCCGACGACCACGTTCCACTTCGGTTCGTATTTCTTGTCCAGCATCTGTTTGATCACCTTGGCCGATGTCTGTTCAAATCACACGTAGTTATAAAATACAATACTATGAGCGTGTTAGGACGCCACAGAGTGGCCTCAATGTTTCGCGTACTTATCGGTCCATTTCAAATTTCGCGTGATTTTCATTTAAATCGGTTTTTGCTCGGGATTCATTGCGCCACCTGGGCGAAAATGCATTTGTTTTCCCTTTATTACCCATGCGATATGGTTTTGTAAAACAAATCGAGAGTTTTTCGTTTAAACAGCCCGAGTGAATGTAGCGAGTTATAATCAATATTTACTCACGAAAAAAAACACGATCACAATGAAATCTGCGGGAAATTTGAAATAAACCAATGACAGCGCGGTAAATAGAAGCCGCTCTAGGACGTCCTGGGTTTTCTAATATTCACTCCGGGATCCCTAACTTCCTAAAATCCCTTCTTTCCTACGCACGCAACGACAGTCTGGGTAAATTGTATATTATGTAAGTAAAAATATAATGCATTATAAATGCGTATGGTGGAGGACTGGGTATCAATCGGATTTACCTACCTACAAATACAACAATATACCTAATACAAATAAAAATACAATAATAAAAATATTAAAAATACATTTTTGATCTGACAGAATAAGACGTATTGATCGAAAATTAGTTACAACATACTTATACGTTTATTTGCCTGTAGGGTTGCCATTCGCCCAAGTTTAACCGGAACAGTCCCGGTTTTAATAGCATGTCCCGGTGTTCTGGCCGGTCATTCAGTTTGTCCCGGTAAATAGAAACTGAGAGTAAACTTATAAATAACGTTTGGTCGGATGAAAGAGCTAGGATGAATGAAAATACAGTACGATTAAGGTTATTCAATATCTAGTCCAGGATTGGGGATTTCAAAATCTGGCAACCTTACAATGTAGACCTACCTACCTACCTACCAAGTAACTTCAGTTTGATGTTACTTGGGTCTATTTTTATGTGTTACGCGATACATTGTGTTTAATACGAAATCCAATGTGTGTAAACTGGAATTATAAAGTGTGTAATTGTACTAAAGATTAATATATATAGCAATTATTCCGCATTGAAAACTATAAAAAATATAGGTACCTTATATGAAAAATATTATTATTTATCACCTGTGGTAATCGCGGGTCTGATTGCTTTGAAAAAAGTGTTAGGCCCTGCATAACCAGTGGCGTATTTTAAAATTTTCGCCAGAAAGATGTCCAGAGTTAACAACAGAGTTAGGTTATAGGCACATACTTAGGAATTTAGAAACTTAAGGCCTCTGTCGCAACATTACATTTAGTCGTGAATTGGAAACCGTCGTTGCAACGACATGGCTACAAGTATATACTTTACATTTAATATAAGGAAGTCGCCACCTACTTCCTATACACTATACAGAAAACAGAATAAACAAATTACGACACCAACAATACGAAAATCATCAATATTCTGAGTTGTGGCCTTATTGTAGTTAGGTACTGGCATGGCAGAAAGATTTATCGATAAATATTTTTTTTAACAAAATTACAATCTTACAAAATAATCCGTTCCATGTTTCTCACAGGCGGCTATTATTACTTCGATCGATTCGGTTTTCATCTCATCCGACATATCGCATACCTGCGGTAACGTAATGAACATAATATTATGATTTTAATACACAAGCTATAATATTATAATGTAAAAAAAAAAAACACATTAAATACTTACTCGGACCAGAGGATAGGTGTGGATGATTTTCTTATTTTCGTCTTCTTTGGCGTCTGCAAACTCTTCCATAATAATATGTAAACTTACAGGCTTACAAAAATATTTAATACCTAGTACCGAAAACTATTTAAAAGTTCCGAAAAAAATAAAAAATAAAAATAAAATTCACTCTATTAACGATGTTAAACTTTGAAGTACAATAAATTGTATTAAAGTAGCTGGTGTAGGTTGACTACTGTTCGACTATATCGATTCTCGGAGTACGACGTAGTTGCTATGAAACGATAATAAAAGTACGACGAAAATATTAGTTTACAGGAACATGGGGAGATACGCTCCCCTACAATCGTTCTCCCAAACTTAAAAATAAACATCTCACTTTTCAAAATGCAATCTTTTTTTCAAATTTACAAAATACTTTAGAACAAACGTAAAAATGCAATTGTTTTAAAAGTTTTCATTAGCATACTTCGAATACTCGTAGAATGATAAAAATTATTGAAATTATTTTAACGTAAATAGGTTTCATAATACGAATTTGTTAGAAACTATACAATATTTAAAAATGAAAATTTAGTCAATAAAATCTCATTTTATTTTGATTTACGAACCACAGTTATCAATTTAAAATCCAAACAGTCCAAACATTTCAATTTTTAATCACTTAATAACAATAGATAACAACTATGTTTTTCAATTGTTGCAGAAACTCGATAGTATGATTTTAGATTTACTGTTATCGTCCTCCATATCAGACTATACACCACCACGGTCACACCATAACCTAGAGTTAATACTACTTCATGAGTCACATCGACCGTGTAACCTATGAGGTGCGAAATGAACTTGGTGATATTATCTGTAGTTAACAGCTCCCGATTGACACAACAAACATTACAAAAGCTTATCACTTGCAAGTATCAGAGTTTATAATCTGAATGTTTTTTTCCGTTGGTTCTCCTTGAACATAGTATCAATCGAAAGAAATTACCTCTCCAATACACCACTAAATCCAAAATACAACAAAAAAGGTCTCTCTGTCTTAAGATATTTTACTTTTCAATATAACACATGTTATAATATACTTATACATTATATAATATTAAACAATGTATAGTAAAGACGTATAGTGAAATTTAATTTAATTTATTTCTCTATGTAACGACAAACTATTGCTAACGAAAAACGTATTATTATTAACAGAGAAGGCAGAAATCAATGAAAATTATGTCAACAACTGCTTGGTTTTTCTACTTATTGAAACTACAAAAATTACAAAGAAAAAATAAAAAGATGACCTCCACAACGCGTGCACTAACTAGCTAAATTTATGCCACTTAAACCAAAAAAACAAAGGGAATATCCTGGAATAATGGGGTCGGGTGCAGCCACTGTTTTAAGTAATTTAATGTACACCTGTAACCAAAGATAAACCATTGCTAACGAAAAAACGATTCTGAACGATTGATAGTGCTGCTTTGTAAATAATATATATACCATAGTATAGTAAAATAATTAAGTAGACTCTATATATTTTCTTTAGTAATATTTGTTTAATGTTGTACCGATTCCTCCAGTTTTCTTACGTTTTTCCGGGTTTTCCTATGTATTTTTCCAGTTTTGCACATTTTCTGAGAAAACTCCGGATAAAATCAAAAAAACAAGTATTTTTCATTTCCCACCACTCATTAATCTAAAATTTAATATAGTATAGATCCGAAACCGAACTAATCGTTCTTACAGAATTTTTGTATCCGTTTTATTCGGTGATTTAATGCACCCAAATTGTACTAGTAATCCTCCACGTTTCTGAAAACGCATTACAGAGTCGCAGGACGTATTTTTAAGTAAAGTCAATTTTACAATCAGATTTCGAGAAAACTTTTTTAGATAATACGATTAATTATAGTGTTACACTTGAAAATCAGAGCAAAATTTCTGGTAGAAAAGTTGAAAAAAAAATCTTAAATACTATATAACGCTCAATTTATATTTTTATTTTTTTTTACCACTAAGTACAACTTACAATAAACTTCCTGTTAAATTTTCCTGTCAAGCATTTCTGTTTGGTGAAATTTTTTTATCCGATAGTACCTACTAAATTTACAAAATTAAAATGTCTTTAAATAGTTCAAAAATGGTTTAAATGTTTTTAAAACTTTATCAAAAATATGCAATAATTTGCTTAAATATGAAGATATTTGTCAACCCTAATTAATGATCGCTATCCATTCTCTCTTTACAAAATATATGGTGTCCGAAAATCGCTGTACCTACTCATGTTTTATTGTGGTAATTAATTTTTTAAAAAAAACTTTATATGTACCTATACAAGATGACGTTGTGTATCCAATTATTTAATAATAACAAACAAATATAATTTAATTAAATGTGTATTATACACATAATAATATTTTCATAACCGACACCTTATATTTTCTTGATACAAAATATAATTAATGTTGAAAACATATGTTTATTGCTAAATTTGATAGTTAATAGATATAAATACAGACAAAAAAAAAACGCATCAGCTACAGTGATCCGTCATCAGAATCAAATTGTAGAATTTAAAACGGTTGTTACTTAGGAACTATTCATCGGATATAAATGTGTGATGCATTAAAATTTTCAAAAAAACAAACTCTACAGAACGGCTATCTTAAAATTTTCCGAAAATAATAAAATAAAACGTTGATTTAAAAAATGAATATTTGTAGTCCTCGTCCCTGTAAATAGTATAAAAAAAAAAAATCATTATTTGATTATATTTATTATCTCTAGAGATATTCAAGGGGTATATCTTCGTGGGACAGCCTGTATAGTAAAAATATTGTACCAATATTTCAGATAATCTTCTTTTTATTATGGACGGATTTAATATCAAAAAAAGTTATTGGGACGGAATTCAAATGCAGCCTTTAAAAATACTCGGGCAAACAAGGCAACACTGTATTATACAACTCTTTGTTGAGTGTAATATATTCCATAGCTCATAGTGCTATATTTTTCATAGCTATATTTTCTACAAATATTATTCATAATATTACTACTACCATTACTATTACGGGCGTATGTTTCTCATCACTGGCACCACCCTCTCACCCGCCACCAAAAATTTTAGTCGGGCGATCGCCCGACTTGTCCTGCTAGTTCGGTACTATTAAATATGGACTTGAAGTTTAGACATTTGAAAACATTAGTAAACATCACCAAATACTTAATGTATTATCACATTATTATCTGCAATTGTAAATTATTATATTTCCGATAATGTAGTGTGTTTAGTATTTTTTTCATGATATGGAAATACATAATAAACGTGTATAGGTTAAAGAACCAAAATGTAAAAGGAAATATTATATTTTATCGTGTGTTAGTTACCAACCGAAAACAACAAATTAACATAATTATTTTACATTTTATATACAACAGGAAATGAAACGATATTTTACAATATTTCCGTTTACACGTAGCTGGTATATGTGTAGCGAATAATATGGGTCGCATTGTCTTTGCAATTTGCTTATAATTGAGACCACGTATGGAACTTAACGTCATTCAATACACGGGTCCCCCTAAAAATGCCCCCCCTCCCGACTTTATAAAAATAAAATTATAGTAATTATATTGTAGACACTACATTTATGGAATCAGTTACTTCAAAGGTAGAACTAATAGAAATTTAACAAATAATTATTATTTTTAGTTTGAAATGTTGGTTTGAAACATAATTTCTTATCTTGCAATCCCTCTCCCCAGTATTTACCGGCATGCGCTTCCGGTTATTTCTGTTAACACTTTATACACAATTCAACGGGAGTCAGAATCTAGTAAGTAATAGTATGTGGGAATCGCGCATATCGCTAGAATCGATTATTGACTTATTGTACATTTGTACGCATACTATCGGATATTAGAAAGACTAGATTTATCTATTATACTACTTATAGAGTAGTAGATAGATAGTACTGTAGTAGGTACAATAATGCGGCCCGTAACACACTGGCTATCGCAGACCATAATAATAATATGCAACAGTGTAGGAACACTGAATAAATATGCATGTGCACAGTCATACACATAATCTATAGAAGCCCAAGTAGGGGCCCATTTCAGTATTGCTCGTTTAGTTAGACTTTCTGTGTAAGTCAGAACTTACATGATGATATTATAATATTCAAATAAAAATTTTACATTTTTCTCGCTTATCTTTTTACCATCAATAATTAGAAATCACGCAGGTTTATTTTAAAATTTTGCCGGCTTTGCCGGTTAATCGATCTGCAGCATTATCGTCAGCCCTTCCCCCCGTAAATACTCCACTGGTGTATACTTACCATTATTTAATCAATGCTGTATCACAATACAATAATATTATTTATCCCGAGGAAGAGAAGGGCTACAGTTTGCAATACGAGCTGCAAATTAAATTTTGAACATTTCTAAATGGTGTAATGACATGGTTTGAAATGGCAAAATTATTAAACGTTCTAACCTAAATGTAGGCGTTTTAAAATGCCCAACTCATATAATTAGTACGTGACGAATGCTTTTTTTGCCGAACAAAAAGTACATAGTAGGGATTCGAGATATTTTAATTTTTAGTATGACATGACGTACGGGAATATACATTGTGACACGATGGTGCCATTTACACCGAAAATGATAGGGAAAAAACTACCCAAGACGCAATTACACAATACCCGAAAATTTGACTTAAGCCCGTCTACACGAGTACCAGAGATATAATAAATATAGCTCGGTAATAATATGAACAACGTAATGACGTTAATATTCGAAAAATAAAACGAATTTCGTTTAAATGTATTGCGGCTCGCGTACTAAACAGACGACTGCAATTGTTATACATTTCGTATGCCCGCCTATAGCCGACAATAAAATTAATACGAAGCACGTATGTATTTAGGCGGCTGAACGAGTGGAACATGCGAACGCGTAAAGAAAAAAAAAAAATTTCCGTCACGATATACATTATAATGTTATTTTAAATCGTGCATGATCAATGCCGATTTTTTTTTTTTTTTTTTTGGTTTTCGTCTGAAATTTACACAGATACACAAGAAACAATTACAATGCGTAACACGTCTAGGATAAATTATATATGTTATAATGTATGGTTCACACAATAAGGATACATTAAACGTAAAACGTCGACGCCCGAACGTTCCAATTAATTACGGTATGATATTATTTACAATAAAAAATATTACGCGTTTTAAAACACACGCCTATACGCGGCCAACGCGAGTAAATAATAAATTAAAACGAACACAATTACCTAAAAGTTAGAGAGCCCCGTTTCGCCGCGTATACCGCGCTTATTGTTTTACACAAACGCGGCGAGAGTCCGGTGATAAATAAAAAATATGGTCCGGCAGACCGCCGTGCCGCTGCCGGCTCAGCCCTTTTGAGCCACCGAGCGGTCGCTCTTGGCCCGCTCCTCCAACCAGAACAGCTCGTCGTACGTGTCGTCTTCCGGCATGTCGCCGTCGTCGGCCACCGTCTTCTGCTGGCCGTACTTGACGTGCGTGCCGTCCCCGCGCTTCGTGGCCCGGCTCCGGACCATGGCGGGCGTCGCGTACTTTTTGTCCCACACCCAGCCCATCTCCTCGGAGAAGTCGATCAGGATCGTCGTCAGGTTGAAGTACTGGCCGAACTCGGCGGCCCTGTAGTCCCACGGGAACGAATGGTGGTAGTTGTGCCAACCCTCGCCCAGCCCGAACATCGACACGTACACGTTCTCCACGGGCATTATGTCACTGCGAAACGAGACATGACTTTTAACTCGCGGCAATTTCGTCGCGGGAATGCCGTTGTTATTGTATACGACACTTACAGCGATCTATACTTAAACAAAGGAAATGCGCGGACGGAATGGTCGGAAACACGCGAAAACGTCAAATGATTTGCAACTTCCCATCGAGCAACGTTTGAACGCTTCGTTTTAGTTAACCCCGTTTGATTAGGTATTTCATTTTAGCAGAAGACTCGATTATGTCTCTCCTGCCCTTATTTTAGCCATCCACGTCTCCCTATCGATCGCTATATTTTCGCATAACGCACAGATGTGCTCGTATTTCTCCCAATTAACACTCTTCATTACCACAAATATATCTGGACTCATTCGTCTCTTTGACAATCTCGCCGTTTCGAGGTCGCCCGAAACCCGTCTTAATATCTCTACCCACGGGCATTTCTACCCTGCGAGTATATCCACACAACCGCTTTAACCGCCTTCGTCCCGCCACTTTCGATGTCGTTTAGTTGCATTTATTCACAGCGGCATAAAATGCATTAGGTAATATAGGTAGGCCCCCGTCGTTATACACCAATTATCTTATTACCGATTGTGGAGACTTATCGGCAAGGCGCGCGCGGGAAACCGGTGAAGTACTTACTCGGTAAACGGTTTGTTGCCGTACAAATGCGCGGCGCTGTTCACTAGCCAGGTCAAGTTCAGCGAGGCCGTTAACCGTAACAGGAAACACACGAAAAACCCGTTCCAAAGAGTCTCTCCCCAGAACACGTGCGGTACGAGCATCGGCATCAACATTGCCAAAACCGTAAACAAAATTTTGTAGTATCTATAAACGACAACGTTACAGTATTATTGGAAATTATTAGGTAACTGTTGGGTAAAATTATTCGGGTATACGCGGATTTCTAGGCGGTTATTTAACGGCTCACTTCTTTTGAAACATGACAAACGGGTCCATTTCCAGGTCGGACATGTCGATTTTTTGGCCCTTTTCGATGACCTCCGGATGTTTGCGCACCATCAGCCATCCGACGTGAGAGAAGAAAAACCCCCGGGTCGCGTTGTGCGGGTCGGCGTTCGTGTCACTATACTTGTGATGTTGACGGTGGTCTCTGACCCAAACATACAGACAGTTCTGTGAGAGGACAAAAAGACGTAAAAAAAAAAAAAAACCGTCAAAATAACACGCGTAATCGACATTGTTTTTAAAAAAATTAAAAATACGAAATCGTCTAACAGATATCGGACGGTCTGGAATTATAGAACAAAATATCGTATTATTTATTATCAATTTTTTATTTTTGCTCACCTGTCCCGCGACGGTTTGTCCGAAAACCAAAGAAGCTTTTACCCAATTGTTACATTTAAATGACCTGTGAGTATACAATCTATGCGCGCCCATTGTGACGGAAAATGCGCTGAATCCTGCCACGATAAATGCTAAAATTTCACGAAAATTTTGTATTTTATATAATTTAAATAAATCAAAATCAAATTACACGATATGCGATATTTTCGATAAAATTGCATAATATTTTTTGCAATAAAAAAAAAATATGTGATGTATTCAAAAACACGATGCATTTTATCAACGACAAAGGATTGGTTATAAGTTTAATTTAGATTCTAGGAGAAGTGAAGCTTTGGTTTTACAATGATGAAAGTTTTTATATTTGTTTCTATTTTTTTCTGACAGTCAACAACATCTCTTCAATCAAAAAATGTCAATAGACCTTTTTAGTTGTATTTTGGATCGAAGATAAACCATTGCTAACGATAAACGATTCAAAGCGAAGTTCGGTTAAACTTGTTTTGAAATGCTGCAGTAGTCTGTATGATTTTCGTCAAAATTCAAACTTAGACACTGATAAAAAAAAATCTTTAGTTATGCTCAACTTTTCTTTTATCACTAAGTACAATTTACTACCTTTTAATACATTTTCAATTAATGTTCTGTTCAGCCAAACAATTTAATTCACAGTGCTCCTACCAAATAAAAACTAAAAACTCGAAAATGTCAAGTGCTAAAAATAAATCAATTATAATTCAAAAAAAACTAATAAAATTCTATGAAAATAGCGTGTCTACAATTTATAACACGATTGCAATAACGAATATAAAGAAACCGTTTAAGCTGTAAATTTTCCTGTTTTTGCTCGAAAAGTTTATCTCGGTTATTAAGAAAATTACACGGAAAATCAAAATTCTATTTTCTTACACACAAACTAAACAAAATGTCCGCACAGAAAATATGCTACTCTTGAATTTTAAAAGAAGATTTCTGATGGAAAAGATGTGTTTATAAAGACAAAAAAGAAATAGTTAGAAAAAATTAAGCACACATCATAGTAAAACTAATACATTCCTCTCTAAACCCAGAATTTAAAAATAAAAATGGTATTTTTAACAGTTTTTTAGCTGCAATTTTTCATACAGCAATTCCTGCATAATTTCGAGTATACACTTTATCGTTGTAATCACTTACTCCATAACATGGTGAAGATCATCGTCGATGTCAGAAATAAGTACAGACCGTAAATAGAGGCCAAGTGAAGTATGAGAAACCCGATGGCGTTGAACCAGACGATTTGTCGTCGGTACACGTATTTGGGCTTTTCGTCCGTGCCATCGCCACCGCCGTTCTTTTTGGCTTCCGCGAGTTCTTTTTCTAGGATCTCCATGCTTTTCAGTGCCCAATTGTCGCCTAACTGCCAGTCGAAGAAAAGTTTCTTGCCGAACAGAAGTTCCTGAGCCGTTACCAGCAACGTATATATCAATCTCTAAGAACCCCCCACGCACAATAAAATGCCGATTAATATATTCCGTATTAATATATTCTGTTTTTATTTCCCCTAACACGATTCATAAACGTGTATAATGTTAATGCGATAATTTAATGTAATACAGTGTTAATATTATATAGAGGGCGGGTGTTGAGACAATGGTAACGGTGTCGTAAGCAATCTACATATTATTGTTCACTGGTGTCATAAGCGATTTACCATCATTTTCGTCAATTCCAGAATATGCATAATAAGGAATCCTCAATTTGTACAAATAATAATTGTAATATTTCGCGCAGATTAAACCGTATTATCGATTATCGAATTTGGGGACCCGCAGAAATATTGCAAAACTATATTTTTGATTCTACCGCCCGTTACCTATTGACCATTGAATCTGATATTTATTAGTTTATACAAATATCTATGCAACAAACTGTTAGATTCTGAGCGCAGTATTTTTTCTATTTTTTATCTGTGAACAACTTTTCTACCAGAAATCTAACTCCGATTTTCAAGTGTAGTACACTCGAATAGTTCATTGATAATCTCACTTATGCAAACTAATGTAAGAGCAGATAAAACACACGTAATATTGGCCATGGCAATGATTTTATTATATTATAGCGTTATTATTACGATTTTCGCCAATTCGGTAAAAACGCACGTTCATGTTTAGTTCAATGAGTTTCGAAGTTAATAATTATATATTCCATAAAAATAAAATATACGAATAATAACTTTTCAAAATTATTGTTATTTGCAAAATATTTAGTTTGTCCATAATTAATAACTAGTAATGACAATTCTATAGGTACACGTTTTTCGAGACAATTGATGGTACATAATGTTATTATAATCAATGGGTTTATATCAATTAATAATAAAACATACCGTCGCGTGTCGTTAGAAACTCGTGCGATTATCAATGAGTGCGTAAAACTGGCAAAGTGCAAGCAAGTGAAACACAAAAAAGGTTGTACCAGTATTTGATGTGGTTCATAAAAATGTGCATCAGTACATGCGTTGTAGTCAAATGAAAAACATTATAAGTAACATTAGCTACTTTATGAATTTGTATTTGTCTGCTGTCTGTTCACATGCGTCCCATCTCTCATACGGTGGCGAATTTCAGAATGTATAGTTTACTAGTTTTCGCTAAACGATTAGTTAGGCTCTAAAGACGGTCCCCATTGATTTTCAGTCTAATCGGGGAAAATCGATAGCTTAAGCTACTTCTATACTCCGGTTTGTATTGATTAGTTATATTTTAACGTTAATATAGAAAACGCAGATCATAGTAAAACCAATAAAACACACATGCATTTCTCCCTATGCTCAGAATATTATACGTATAGTAATAAAAGGTTAGGTATATTTTATGCAGGGCCGTGTTAAAAGGGCATAAGGAACACATACTGTTAACAACGGTAAACCATGGCTAACGAAAAAACGATTTTGAGCGGAGTTCAGTTGATAGTACTGCTTTTTCAACAATATATATATTACATACTATGGTAAAACAATTAAATAGTCATTATATACTCTCATTAATAATATTTATTTGATGTACCGACTTTCCCGTTTTTTGAGAATATCGAAAAATGACCTCCTCAAAATACCTCCCCAGTGAAATTTCCTTTCAGAAAAAGTACTACACATAAAAATCGGAACAAGTTCTCTGTTAGAAAAGGTGTCCACAGATAAAAAAAAAATATACATCTTTGTAAAACCATGAGCTTCTTCGCTCCACTCAGAATCTAAAATCTAACAAAGGTTGTATTCAATGTGGAATTTTAATCGTGCTGAAGAAAATATACGCAAATTCATTTTTTAGAAATTCCCTATGAAAAGTGAGCAATTAATTTTATTATTTCCTGGTACGTATTTGATATATATTTATATATGTATATTTTACTTAGATTTGGTTATATTATATATATTTGATTTTTATTTAACACAAATAACACCAAATGCCAGTAATTTAAACTTAAGTTAGATTTGATTAAACAGAGTAAACCGAGACTTTTTTAAACAAGTTTATCTATAAATAATTTAGTTTAGCTGTATAAACAACAAAAACTATATTATTGAACATGACCAATGACAATGAAAAATTATGCGTTTTATTACTATTTGATAAAATTAAGGCCTATACCTAGATAAACAGGTACTAACGTCGTAATAGTAAATAATTACAATTATCCAGTGTTGTATAAAGATACATTTCAAAATAACCAAACAAAGATACAATAGGTAGCTAGATACTTATAAACGGTAATGTACGTATCCAATATTAATGGTATGGATTTCAAAATGTTTTTCAGCTATCTAGATAAAAATAAATTTAACGTAATAAACGAATTTAATTATACCTATCGTATAAATGTATAATTTATTATTCATAATTACGCTTCCGGCATTTCTAAACATCCTCCGATAAAAATTATGTTAAACTTCTATGACTTATAAACGGTAGTGTACGTATCCAATATTAATGGTATGAATTTCAAAATGTTTAGAAAGATTATCACTTTTAAAATCTTGTTTAAAAATCAATAGTCGATTTGCTCGACGGTAGAAGGAATAAGATTAACGTTTTGAAAATATTGTAAATACTATAAAATAATGTGTTTAAACATTTCCACGATATCTGAAAAAAAAAACAAAAATCTATTTTCCCCTCTATATTTAAGTAAGATATACTTTTGCCAGTTGACAAACAGGTGTACGTCAGTTAATCACGTATGTAGGTATAAATGGTAAGGTGTTATTTTGTTCGAAATTTTAAATGATTTAAACTGTGTATTACACATAAACCTTAGACTAATAGACGGAACATGGTAGTAGTTCCAGCATCCACGCATGAATGCCCTGATAGAAGGTACTTATAATGCGATTTTCCTATGAGAGATGTTTATGTGGCCTCCTAGTAATGTTTTAGTAAAAATATCGAAACAAATTTAAAATTGTTCAACGGTTTAATCGTTATTAAATCGTCATTTTTCAACGATTAAGATTATTTTGGTTTCGCGTAATGGACAAACATTGTAATGAATAGTATGCATTGCTTGGCAATACTTCAATGTACCATAAATACTACACGTTACAGTTAACCTGTTAATTGTCTAACTAGTTAGAGTCCATCATTGAGTATGCGTATAACAATAAACTTAACCTAAGTCTGTAAAAAATGGGAAAGAAAGTGTTTGATTTAAATAAATATAAACATTATGCACGCAATAAATTGACGCACGATGCGTTCGTCAATTAACACCACGGCAAACACAGCAAAACCACAGCTACCAGCACGATGTCGATTATTGTTGTAGAATTTTTAATAACACCCGTCCAATCAAATCCCTGCTTTGAGTGATTTAAACCACGATTTGTATTAAAGTTAAAATTGTCATTCAAATAGTTCAACACGTCCGTGTTAGGTGAAAAATGAATTATAATAATGTTGGATAACGTTATTTTCCCGTCAATAGTCTATGTTAGACGGTAGTAATGAAGTTGCCATAACAAAATCACTCCTTAAACTATATTATTATTGTAGAATTCCTAGGTAGAAAAAACGCAAGTGTATCATGTACGTGTTTTGCGGAATTTCCGAAAGTATGACGCCGGCCTAAAAGTATCAAGTATTCGCCAACTAGCTAAAACAATTTTTTTATATAAACTACTGCAATTAATTACGCCGGGGTACATATTATACTACAGTGTGATTTAAACTGTCTTTCTTACGTATCTCATGATGGTGTTTTTGTTGAATGGCTTCAAATGTCAAGGAAGTATGTATTATGATGATAATACGGTATTTTTATTTTAACACAAAAGTGAATTGAAAATCATACACCGCAATTATAACTTTGTTCGACTTTACGTTAAATTTCAACAGTGAATGGACAACACTAATAATACTATAATAATGAAGTAGGTACTATAACTGTCGAGAAGATCATAATTCAAATTTGCATGTCATTATGCTCAGAAGAGACGATTTCATGCTTAGAATTTAAAACCAAGATTAAAAACTATTTTGTTCATACTATACCTGCTTATCTATCTAACATAAAAATAAACAAATAGGTAGGTGCATATTGTTAGAAATGTATAATTACGCAAGTTGACTTATTATTTCCAAGGTCTGAATAAGAGACATTTTGTGTACCGGGCGAGCATTTCACCAGCCTTTAATACTAATATGATTCATAAATATATCATGCAATAAACGTGTAAAATAAGTACACACCAGTGTGATTTTATATTGGGGTTGTAACGGCATAAGCGCTTTGAAAAAAAAAAAAAACAATCATAATGCAACGAGGAAACTTTTAGTATACCTACATAGGTAGGTATGAATACGTAATATATGTAACAACGGATTATATCATATTAATCGCCGGGAACAAAAATAATATTGCAATATAATTTCGAAAAATTACTATATAACAATAGTGCTGAACTAGATACAGTATACGCGATACTTATTGTTTTCTCGCGGTTTATCTGTGGGTCCTTTTTAGCGTCTAAACAATACAATTGTTTAGTTCTGTTTTTCAAATCACATCCACCAGTGTCGAAACCGGGGGGGAGGGGGTGTTTCTATATAAATATGGAATGTAAAACTTATGTAACATAGTATAAACTGATAACTGAACAAATCTATATTGACCTATAATAGGTATTAAGATCCCAGCCATCATTACGCTCCAGAGCTACGGTGATTTATATTCAAAAGAATCCACCCTCTTCCTTGAATATTTTATGTTCAACTGGTCACCCCTGACCGCGCTACAATGTTTGCCATATTATGGTAAAATAATTGCATATGTATTATACATTTTCTTTAACAATATTTGCTTAATATTGTATCATATATACTCGAATATATTATACACCACACGCACAGATCCACCACAATATTACATATTTCTGCAAATTCAAAGTTATAGGTTAATATTTGAAACCGTGACACATCCGACAAATTTAAATACAATTCACCATACAGATATGTGCAATACCTACAAACGTTTACATACATTGTAAATTATATTTAAACGTATATATTTATGCGTATATATTATGTATATTGCGATTTGTTTTTCCATTCGAAAAATAAAAATCGCATTGACACGACTTCCGCCAAGTTAAGTTACACAATAGGTACTTAGGTACATGCGTTTTTACATTTTTGTATCTCCGTTTTTATATTATGTTCCGATTTCCATTTTACACGGCTGTAATGAATTGGATTATAATAACTTCAATATTGTTAGCGACCAGTTAAGTGTAAGCATACTGTAATGATAGATTTTATCTATTAAATCTACTCATTGCCTTTGGGTTTTTTTTTCATCTAAACCAACGGTTCTCAATCTTTTTGAGGACACGATCCCCTATAATGTCACCAAGATGTTGAGCGACCATTTTATTATGATAACATTAAAAAGTAGTGATAAATTAATATGATTATTACCTTTTGTATTAAAATATAAATAATAAGTACTTGATAAATTCATAATACTAACGTTTGAACTAATAACAAGTTTATTTAAAATACATTTTAAAAAAAACGGACATAATTTGCACATGGGTGTTGTCACTGTTGTAGGTGGAAAGTTGGGTAAGTAGGATACAAACGGGAATTTAATGTACCTATCGGAATCTATTTTTCGTAATATTTCGTATTACACACTTTTTAGTTTAGACCATAAAATAAAATTTGCCTCCAAACCCTTAAGTACAGTTATTTCACTAATTTTTCTACCATTAATAGTTGTTTATATTTTTTTTTTTTTTTTTTTTTTAATTTTTCCAGGTTTAAACTTTATCTAGGGGAAATTTATGGGTAATGTAAGAAATGAACTTAAAAAAAAAAAATTGTATGATATCAAATAGTTCGTACCTACCTACTTTATTTATAAATTATTCTTTCAATAGATTTGTTTAAATAACTTTACTCCGAGTTTAATTCCTTTTTCAAAGTCAGTAAACTACTACACATTTAATAATTTCGTACCACACACAACAGATTTAGTATTACACACAATGTGGCTTATTAAACGTAAATATAGACTATGGCACCTATATCTGTAAACAACGATAAACCGTAGCTAACGAAAAAACGATTCTAAACGACGTGATGCTTTGTCAACAATAAATTTATATCATATAAATTATATGTTATATTATGATAAAATAATTAAATTAAACATTATATATTTTCTTTAATAATATGTATTTAATATTGTACCAATTTTCCCGTTTTTCTTATTTGTTGAGAAAACTCCTGGAAAAAATCAAAAAAAATTACTTCTTTAAAAAACTTCCTCAGTTTAATTTTCGTTCAGAAAAAGTGCTCTCATTGTAAATCGGAGCAAAATTGCTGGTAGAAAAGTTGTTCACAAGAAAAAAAAGATCGAATATCTTACAACTAGTACCTACATTTCGTACCTAGGTTACAAAAGTTGTTCACAGATACAAAAAAAAAAAAAAACATCATTGTAAAAGCAATTCCTTACTCTACTCAGAATCTAAAATGATTTGTATTATCTAATGCAGTAACTAAATAACTCATAATGTCTCGTCAGTTGTATGTAATTTTAACAGTGATGTAGTAACTTCAATTTTGCAAATATTATAATGCACTTAATATTGAAAGGTTGGCTTGAGAAACACAAAAATGTTTTGACTAAACACAAATGCTTGAAAATTTAATTCGAAGTTCATTACAGGTTTAACTGGTGGTAAAAAAAAAATTTGAACGCAATGTAGTAGTTTCTATTATAAGCATTTTAAGATCATATTTTGAATTAAACCGTAATTATTACGGCATTTCAAACATGCACAACCTAACTTTAATAATGATTTATCATTGCTTACAGGCAGTAGCGTACAGACGTGTAGCGCCTATGTTCCACTTAAAAATCTTTTGATAAGTATACTAAAAATAAAACTTGTGTACAATGAAACCTCTATCAATATACACCTCTTATAAGTGGACACTCCTAATAGTGGACGTGGACATTAAAAGCTGGTACCAAAATTAAAAACTTTATACACCTCCTCACTGAACCACTACCTAATACCTAACCTAATTAATTAGGGGGGAAATTTTGAAAAAAAACTTTCTTAGTGTTCACCTACATTGTATAAGGAACCTCTGTGCAAAATTTCAAATCTCTAGACCCTGCACTTTAGGCAGTATGTTAATACCTCAGTTTATCCTTTAATACAGTAACTATAAGTAACTTACATTTTTTATTAATGTGTATTTCGCATTGGTAAATCTGAATATTTTAATAATAATTTGTATCTTGGTATCACTATTCAAAATATAATTTCCATGTCATCTAACATTATATCCAATGTTTGTATCAAATCAAACACAAACACTGAAAATTAGTAACAGTTTATTTAGGTACTTATGTCGTTTAAAAAAACACCCGCAGACTAGCACCAACATCAAGTTGATATTTAACAATCAAATAACAAAAAATAATACCTAGTGGTAAAAAAACAAAAATAATAGAATAATTATAATATTGTTACTTAATTGGGTATTAGTTTTTGAATGTATGAACAAAACAAAGTACCATTCAACTAATTATTAGTATTAACACTTTAATTTAGTACAGACTGCAAAGGACCTAAAAATATATATGCATATATAGTTTAAACTAGAAAAAACATATCTATCACCTATAACCTATCTACCTATTTATAAGGGTGCAAAGAAAATGATCTGTGATATATGGTTTTTGTATTAACTTTACTATTGGTCAGTGGACAAAAAAAAGACCTCTGAAAGTCTGAATTTGATCATTGGAACAGAATTTATGTTAAAATAAAATGTTCACAAACAGAAAAAGAAAAAGGTACACCTCATAGTGAAACCAATACATTCCTTACTACACTTGGTTTGAAATAAAGAAAATTGATTGAAAAATAAAAACATATTCTATAAATGGATCATTGATTAAACATAAATCTTACATATTCTTGTACATTCTTATCAATTATATGTTAGTTTTGAAAGTAGGGTTAGTATATTTAGATTAATTAATAATTAATTAATCAATTAATTAATTAACTGAACTATTGGCTATTACAATTATACCATCTATTTTACAAAGAAACTAGCCATCTAGGTACTTTTTTTATTGCACATAATATTTATGCAGTAGTAAATTGTATTTTCATAATTAATTGAAATCATTAAAAAGTTTATTGTCTGACATGAAGATTGAATGTAACTCCAATCAACATTTTGCTTAGTACTTTAACAAATGTTTGTTAATAAAAAAACTCCACAATTTCAAAAATTGTATTTAATAATCAAAATAATTTGATTAAATATACAAATAATATAACAAAATGTATTACAACAAAATAATTAAAATAATAAACAATAGCACCCATGTTTGGTAAAATATTCTTTTTTCAGATTATTCTTCCATGAATATAGTTAAATAAATATATCTACTTATGTTAAACTTTTAACTTAATAAATAATCATTTGATTGGTCTTGAGTCTTTAATTCCTATAACAAAATAATTATAATATTATTATGATAGTAGGTAGAAAACTAAGAAAATATGTAACTTAAAAATGTACCATTTTAGAACTATTATAGTATAATTGATTCTTTCTTAATAATCGCTTTGCAACAAATGGTGTAAATAAGTCTGGATTATCACAATCTGGCTCACGGATAATTCCACTAACTATAAGTGCAATTATAAATGTTACAATGAATCCAATAACTATAATGTACATATAACTAATGCGGAAAAAATAAAAATAATGGATTTCCGACCTAAAATAAAAACAACAATAAATATAAATATAATAAGTCTATAAAAACAAAATGCCTTCATGCAATATACAACCGAAATACAAAATGTATTTATAATTTAAAAATATTTTTATTACTAGTACTATATACATAAGAATATGTTATATACATATACAAACTGACTAGGCGCATAAAGAGGAAGAAGGGGGGGGTTCAACTCCTTCCCAAAATTTCATTTAAATTAAGATGAAAGTAGATTTTTAATATAGAGTCCCAAAAGTGGTTTCTATCAATAAGGAAGACAAATACAATTTTGATTTTATTACTAGATAGTAGGTACATATTATAGCTATTATTGTCATTTTTAACTTTTTCTGGTTTTCCTGAGTTTAGAAAATTATAACTGATACAGCGATATTACTGTCGGCATTATCATCACAATAATATGAATTACTTTTAGGCTATATCATAGGTTTATCATTAAGGCTATATTAAATGTAAAATTTAGTATTAGGTACCTAAGAGGCTAAAAATAAATATTATAAAATATTAACATTTTTAATGAAAAATAAATAATCCTACAGTTAAAAGTAAATAAACTTCTATGTTATAAGAGTATGAAAGTGTATAAACATAACCCTTCCCCCGAAATATTTTTTTGTAAATGCACCTGAAACTGACATACTGACATGTTTTGCACGATAAGTGGGCCACTATTAGGTGAAAAGTTGGAAAAGTATAATAGAGAGAAAATTTAATTTTCATCTGTACGCAATAATTAATAAACTTAAAACTTAAAATTAATAATTATATTAAATTAAATGTATTCCTTCAACTTTTGCTTGAATAGTTTGAAGATAATTATATCGGAAGATTAAATTAAAATGGAAGTGGGAGAAGACCTGCTAGATTTCCTGCATAAATTTGGAATTTACATAAATAAGTTTTAATTAATATACATAAAACGAATAATCATGCAGAGGCTACCAATCAAAGAATAAATGTTGAAATAGGAATAGCCCATCTTACATTATGGTCATTCATAAGGTACTTAAAAATCAGGAATTCATTGAAATCCAGAAGAATTACCCTAAAATTATCTTTACAGAGATAAAAGATTACTAACAAATTTCAAGAATCACAAAATATTTTAACATATTTAAGAAATGTGGCATATAATATTTTATTACAACAATAATATTTTTTCATGTATGTATTTTTAATTAACTTAAATGAAATAAATTATTAAATTAAATTTTTTTTTTCATATAAATGTATATGCCAAAATGTCCTAGACCAAATTATCATAAAACCTATACATTCCTCATTTTACACAGAATATAAAATTGGAAGTTGAAAAAAATTAATCATTTTATTAGTGATTCTTTTACCAAATTATTTATAATTCAATCAATTTTTATAAAGGTTTTAAGTAAATTTGATTACTGTTTTTTGTTTTTCAATATGAAATGTTTTAAACTTTATTCAAATCGTTAACTGTGATAGACAGTGAGAGCTGCAAAAAGAATCACAGTTAATATGATAAAACTATTTTTAAATTTATACCTCTATTCGTTTTACCTTAAATTAATATACATTACATTTTAGATTTTCTAGCAGCAAATCCCCCTTTTCCTTTAAAGACAGATTATAAGTTAACAAATTGTAAGTCTGAGTAATTGATGATCATAGATTACTAGGTTACTAATAATAAATAGTTTTGTATTCCACAAACAAAATTCAAAAATATGAATAGGGTGCTGTGCTAGATATGTGTACCTATCCTATTTATATGGTCACACAATATATAAATCATATAATAACATATGTATGTAACAAATAATAAAAAAATATAACATAATCTAGTATCTACTAATAAAATAGAATATTGAAATTAAACAACTTTTAAATAAAAAAAATGTCAGTTAGTAACAATTTTAAAAAATATTTTAGCTAAGATATAACATATATAAACATGTTTATTACTTTTCAAATGACGAATCAGAATTGTTTGTATTAGCAATGGCTGCACTAATTGTAGAGCATGAATTTGTAAAAGTAGGTAAATTTTGTATTGGTGGTTTAGGTCCACCAAATCCAATTAAAAATGAACATGTCAAACCAAGAATAAGACCGATCAATGAACCCTAAATTAGTAAAATATTAATAAAATTATATTTATTACTTAACTAAAATCTGTTCTCACCAACGTAAACATTGATTTTTAAATTGAGTTTATAAGGTAATTGACCAATTGTGATTGGCTATCAGCCATAAACTCAGTTTAAAAATCAGATTAACACCTTTTTACGTTGGTGAGAACGGCCCTAATTGAAGTAATCAGCTTAACTAATAGACTATTCAAAGTATATTACCTTTTGCTTAACATGAGGTAAAAGTATTCCTAGTGTAAATACTGCTAATACAGGTCCACCAATCACTCCAAATATAACAAGAGAAGTTTGAAGTATGGAATCAACATATTGAGCCAAAAAAGCAAGTATCAAACAAATTGCACCATATGCAAGGACCAACATTTTCATATAAAACACTCGTTTTTTATCAGAAATGTCATGTTTTAAAAAAGGCTAAATATTTTAAATTATAAAACAGTAAATTATTATTTATTGGTTGAAATATAATTTATGATAATTATACCTTAATATAATCTTCCATTGTTACTGCAGCTAAAGAGTTGAGTACTGGTGATATAGTACTCAATGCAGATGAGAATATACCAGCTACAAATAATCCTGTCAATCCGGGTACTGAACCCATGGTATCTAGTACATACAAAGGCATCAATTGATCCCAATTTGATATACGACCAGACCTTTAAAAAATATCCACACTATATTTATGTTCTATGCTAATAAATCAGTAATTAATACTTTATTGGATCACAGTTGTAGTACTTTGAAAATATAGCCAAACCAGAAAAACTTGTCGAAATGGATATCAATGATAAAATCGGTAGACTACACCATAAAGATTTCACAGCTGTATTATAGTCTTTCATGGTTAAATACCTTTGCACTTGGGTTTGATTTATAGCATACAGTGAAATATAGGTAAACATTCCTCCAATCATTAGACTAAACACACTGTGTCTTTCGGTGGGTTCAATATTAAAACTAAAAACATTTTTCACAAACTTAGACAAATATAACATTCATCATAATATTGAATTAGGTACTTATTAAATTGAATTCGTCCATATTTATCGGCAATTTTCCAAATTTCTGATATTCCCCCATTTTCGTACATGGCCACCCCAATTACAGCAAATATTGAAGCAAACATAAGCAGTGACTAAATTGTTGATATAAACAAATTACATTAATAATTAACTTTATAGTTAATTGAAATTAAAATGGTATAAAATTCAGTATGTCATTATAAAATCCATTATATCCAGTGATGTGAACGTATGCATTTTATTTCTATAAGAATTCAATCACCTTTTTTACCAGGATTTTGATTATATAAAATATGACATACTGAGTCTAGTAGAGATTTCATTAAATTGTCCATGAATTTCTGGATAAAAAAAATATTTGATATTTGTATTATAGCTACTAATGAAAAGTAATTAGGTATAATTACATATGGTAAAATTGTTTTTATGAAAATATTCAAATACAGTTAAAATATAGTTAAAAAATAAATATAACAATAATCATGTTGATATAAGTAAATAATTTACAAGAATTAAAAAATAATAAATTTATTTAATCAACAAAATATATCCTATCAAAAATGCATAATAATATTGTTTTATTTCTATATTATATTTCTACGGTATTAAACTCATTAATATTTACTTGAAATACATCAGTAATAATGACTGCTTTAATTCCTCCAATAGTTGAATAAAATACACACACTAAACCAACTAGTGTAATTGAAGAAACTATGGATATTCCAGTTACAGTTTTAAGAGCTATTGATGGGGCATATAAGACCACTGACATATAAAATATCATTTGTGTACTAAATGCAATAGATGTTAACATTTTTGTTGAACGGCCAAATCGTTTTTCTAAGTACTAAACCATTTGAATACTATATTAAAATAATACAATTATATTTCTCAAAATTGAAAAAATAAATCTTACTTCATAAACAGATAAATTTCCAAGTTTAAAAAATACTGGTAAAAAGACATATGCAATTATAGGTGTTCCCAATAAGTAAGATAAATTGATGACAACAAATTGTGTACCGCGAGCATAATTTTCTGCACTTACACCGAATAACGTAATAGCAGAAATAAAACTGGACATCAAAGAAAATGCAACGGGTATAAAACTTTGGTTCCTGTTGCCCAGCATGTATTCCTTTAAAAAAAAAAAATAATAATAATTTTAAACTAAATTCAAACTTTTTAATAAATAAAATAGTACCTACCTGAGTTGTTTTTTGTTTTCCACCTGTAAATCGATAATATATACCAATTCCAGAAGATATGATCAACATTATTACAAATACAATATAATCAACAATACCAAGGGCCATTGTTAATTTATTTAAAATTTAAAATGTTCTTACTGTTCAGTGTTTTCGATAGATACTTGAAAACACTGAAATATAATTCAATAGACAAAAAAAATTATTAATTACTCACTCTATAACAGACATTTGACTTAACACCAATTTATAGATGTCGAATCAGTTTAATAGGTCACTGTCATTTGATTCAACTTGAAATATAGATAGTATATTACATGTACAATTTTACTACAGATCACTAATAGTATTACAAGTGAATGTATACAATACCTCGAGATTCTAAGAACCGTCCTACTCCATCTAAAATAATTATATATTCGTATAAACTAAAAAATAATAATCTGCTCACATAACTACGGGCTATAGATAAAGATAAATCAACTAATTCGGAATTTCATACTCAACTAAACACTAGTAATTATTATTTATTATTCAGTTGTAATGCACAAAAATTTGAACACAGAAACTACAAGTACAATTGGATATTGCCCGTACATTTAAATAAATAAAAAACTAGGCACAGTTAATTTTAATAATGTCACCACCGGTGTTATACCTATAGCACATCTATTTTCCATATTAATTATTATATAATATTGGCATGTCTTATCTAGAGCAACTAAAAATGAAAAGGGCAAAATTATTCGTGAAATAACTGTCGTTAATAATAAAATAAACTATACAGTTCGTCGGTATGAATTAGGAATAGGACGAAATTGCTAAATCATATTTAAATTATTTTATTTTACATTCTACACTGGAATCGGAATAATTTTGCATTGGAATGGACGATTGAAATTGACCGGTGTAACGGTGACCGGAATGATTTTGGGTTTAATCATCTAATTAGATAAGATTTAATAGATTACAGAAAAGATAAGGTTTTTCGGTAATATTCCTGTTCGAAAAAAAAAAAATAGCAAAACTTCACGAATGCCAAAATTGACGGGAATTTAGTAGCTCGAATATGCCTCGACAGATGACGCCACCGTTGATACAAGTAACAAATCGCAAGAACGTTTTGTACTATTTTCATTTATTTTTCCTACAACTAGACCCTGGATTTTTTTTTCTCATAGTATATATAGTAATATTACTTATTTATTGCTGTTGGGTTTATGAGTCGGTGGTTGTACCTTAGATAATGTCGTATCAGCCATGGTTTCATTCCATACGTCTTTATAAATATTGCCGTACAATTATTACATACCGACAACATATTTTGGATACCTCCTAGGTGTCTTGCTTACCTATGCGGCTATATATATATATATATATTTAAATTCATCAAAACGTAAATTCTAATTAACATAATATTTTAGTAGGTGTGTATAGCACACCTATTATTCGCACATACGCCTTACTACAATCTTTGAGAGTCATTGAAACATGTTGTGCGCTTGTACACAATAAAAATTATTTGAATACCTAAATACCTACATAATATTATTACAATATAGATGCATTAGGTACGTGTACGTGTACAAGACGTACCTACTTGTGCCGTCTATACAAGCTCCGGCTTATTAAAACATATTCTTATATTTCAAAGTTGTACAATTATCAATTTGAACGAATATAGTCAAATACAAGGCAAGATTAAAGATAATGTTACCTACCTATCATAAAACCTAAAAAAGTATAAAATTGCTTTCGTTATGAGCAATGAGACTATATCTGTATCCGGTATGTATTTAATTATAAAATATAAATAGGTTCATGGAATACAATGCTACATTACAATAGGTAGGTACAGAAAATCACAATCACATTTTGCTTTATTTGTACACTGTCATATCTCTCCTGAGCCTGACATTGACATACCTATAGCTTAAAAATGCATCTCGTTAAACTCATATAGACATATTATAATAATAATATAATTAATATATAGGTAATTATGACATAATTCAGACAATGCTTAAACCCATTAAAGATTAAAATGGTTACAAATTTTTAAAATCTAACAATATTAATAAAAAATGTACAGGCGAATATTGGGTAAGTAGATAGGTACCTTTTTTGTTTTTTTTTTTTTATTTAACCGAAAAGGGATCTGTTTGATTTTAGAGTAAAAGTACCAATTATGAAATGTATAGAGAACAATATTTTAGAGGGAATGTCATAGGGCTATTGTATTATTCAAAATATACAGCTCGATATAAAAGATATAAACATTTATTTTTTTGCTTTTTTAATAGTTCATAGTTCAAAAAACTCCGATAAGATAAGATAAGATAAGATAAGATAAATTTGTTACACTGAAGTTAAAAACCGAAAATAATTAAACCATTAAACTTAACGTATAGTTATTGAGTAAATGTTTCCATTTCCACGACATATTTTGCCATTAGGGGGAAAAAATTATAGGTATCTCTAGCAACCCATTTCATGAAACAAATGTTTTAATCTTATTATAGGTATACCTAAGGTCGTACTCTTATAACAAACAATTTTACATACTTTCAATAATAGAATTATTTATTTTTCATTAAAAATGTCAATATTTTATAACATTCATTTTAGATTCTGAGTGAAGGGAGAAATATAATGGTTTTACAATGATGTTTATTTTTTTATTTTTTATTTCTATTGACAACTAATCTACCAGCAATTTCGCTCCGATTTACAATGATAAAACTTTTTCTCGAAGGATATCTGACTGAGGTTGTACTTTAGGGAAGTCATTTTTTTGAAACCCTAAACCCTCTCCCCCCTTGTACACACGCCTGGTGTTAACATTGCTACATCACTGCTGACATCGTTTATTTTAGATAGCATAATACATGAAAGACAAAGGGGTGTGCAGGATCTCCCTGATACACCCCTTTACAATTCGTTAACACAATTAATTATTTGGAATAAGCTGCTTTCGTCAGATGACCTTCTTGGCCAGGTGACGTGGCGCCCGCCCGCCGCACACCAAGGCTTGGAGACGATTAGGCCATCGAGCTGCGCTTCGGGCCGTCCTCTCCTCTTTATTTTATTGTCCCCTTATTAATTATTTCTACTGGGACAGGGGAGAAGGTACGGCTTTTTGAGTAAATAATGATATTTTCAATAAATATTTATTGCCCTATATGTCAACTCAAAAAAATTATATATATTTTTTTTAGAATTTACTTAGTTCAGTAGACAGTAATAATTTATTATCTTTTTTTTTTTGTACTGCATGTTTGCTGCCTTATATGGTAAATTAAGTAATAACTGATAAGCACGATTAACGATAGCTAAATAATGGACGAATATTTCCGATTATTCAAAGTATAAAATTATAATTACCTATCTAATTATGTAATCTTTTTAATTAATAATTAATAATGAACATAAAATCAAATTTTTAAAAAAAATTGTATTCTATGGTTTTTGTTAAATATTTTTTAATCAGTGATAAGGGGGAGTTGGGAGCAAATCCTCTCACGGATTAGATCAATTGACGGAAGTCAATCATTGCAAGGGATGCTACTTTTGTTATATCTTATAACCCATCTTAACTATGAGACATAAAAATATAAAAGGGGGCTTTTATTTTTCCAACTCATTGCAAGTATTAATTTTGACAGTGTTTGATCGGCTGAGAATTTTGAAAACCAATCGCAAATTATTTATTTTTCAATGTTAAAGCCATTTCGAGCATATATACAGGTACATAAGTATATATGCAGTAATATGTTATATATAACATATTAAATAGTGTTAGCATAAATAATTTTTGTTAAGTGTGTGCGTGAATATTTCGATAGTTAGCACCCGGCATCACATTCCACAAATGTTCTACTGGGTAATGTCGATAGACCTTTTGCATAATAAGTGTCCGCAAGTCCATAAATCGAGTAATTATTTTATTTAGTATTATGTATCATAGATAATATAATATTATAATATTATATTTAAATTCAAATGCTTTTCAAAACACCGAAAAATCACCGATGAATAAGAGAATAATAAAGACTCACTAGGAGCCAAGGCTACAATATGTAGGTATAGTACAACGTACTAAAGAAAAAATATAAAGAAGCAACGATGAATTATTTCAATAAAAAATTGTGGATGTGAATTGTGGGCTGTATTGTAAATATGACTAGTAGGAAGTTAGTAATTTCGGGTACATTATGTTCTTTAATCAGTATGCAACGATAAATTATTGCTAACAAAAAATGATTTTGAGCGAAATTTGGTTATACACTCGACTAAAAAAAAAAAATTGGTTTCTCTTGAAATTATTGAACTCAACCTGACCCGTAGAGGATTCGCTCCTCAAACTCCCTTACACCAATTTTTATACATAATTCAGTAATTAATAATTAACACAAAACCACTGAGAACACTTCTGGAGACTAACGATTTTCCTAAATAATATATCTATATTTATTTTAAATTTTTCTATGATATGATTTTTTTTTTCTATATGTGAACAACTTTTCTACAAAAAGTCTTGCTCAGATCATCAACTTTAGAAGTGATAGAAGTGATGGTTCCTAGTAAAAATTTTATCTCATAGATGCATTGAGGAAGTTACATTTTTATTTTCCTTGTAACATTCTTCAGCCCGTTTTCACCAACGTTGATTTTTAAATGGAATTTATAAGGTAATCAAACAATCGTGGTCAGTTATCAGCCATAAACTCAGTTTAAGAATCAAATAAACGCCTTTTTTACGTTGGTGAGGACGGCCCTTAATTATGGGAAACACCCAAGAAACAACGTAGGTAAAATTGTAATATTTACAGAACAACGGCTTCTGTTATATATTAAATTTTTTTTTTTTGTAATTCAATGAAAAATGATCGTAGAGGCCAGAAATTTCACTGAATATACGTATGTAGGTATAGTCTCTTTTATATACAGCTCTTTCCAGACATGTTACAATTTTCAAATCATTCTGATAATTGTTTAGTTATTTATAACCATTTGAAACATTTGAGTTTTTTTAGGATTTCATTTAGTTTTATGTGATGAAAACATACAATTTTACGATATCATTATTTTATAAAAACACGGACGACGTTTTCTACCAGAACAAATTATTTAATCGAAAAATCACAAGATACCTTTTTTGTTTCGTTTTTGATTTACTTTCTTGCGGTATTATGGCCAAAACTTTTTAGCCACTTTTGAGCTTTTAAGGAATTTTAATTTTTGGGAGTTTTTTTGTTTTATTTTAGTTATAAATACGCCTAACGAATAATAGTTATATCGAAGTTACTTAGACGTGGTAAAATTTCCAAAATGATCGGACAAATTTTTTTTTTATAAGCGTTTTGATGAAATCAAATTTAAACGAAAATCACAAAAAAAAAAAAAAAAAAAAAAAAAAAAAAATACGGCACTTCAAATTTGTATTGCCGAATCGCAATCGTCTTTGGTAAATCAATCGTTGCTTACAGATATAAATAAAATAATCTTATACATCCTACCTTCCCAACTTCTCACCTACAACAGTGACCACTCCCGTCCCTAGTATCAGCTCTTTTTTCAAGTTCTTATTCTTGTGTTATACTAGTATCAAAATAGAGAAATACAACTAGCAATTATAAATCGTGCTTCATTTTCCGCACAAATGTAAACAGACATATATAATAATATAAAATACATTTACCTTTTTGGAAACTAGGATTCCAGTTGCACTAGTTCAGCGTTCACCATTCAATAAAATTCATGGAATGTGTAAAACATACGATAGGTTATGTTAGGTTAATTACATTCTTGTTTTACACAAAATAAGAACAGCTATGTTAGGTGTGACGACTGCCACACCTAATTTAAGGGCTGGTTTTACCCCCACCCCCCATTATTGGTAGTTTAATATAAAACATTGTACATTTTACAATTAATACAAGGAACATTACAAATGACTAGTCCATTCCTAAACTGGCATAGCGTGTACTGAGAGATTGCATTATTAAAAACAGACAAATATTTAACTATAACTATAACCGTTAGTTTTACGATAAAAAATAACCAATAGTACCTAATAAATTTCTAAATCTACAACAGCGGCTACAGTTAGGCTGCACATAAGCTACATACAGTGAAAACATGTACACGATAGTATTGCTATTATTTAACTATTTTTAGTTATAATATCCGAGTTTATATATTTTTGTAGCAAAAGAATAATATAATTTTGTATAATTTTAGATAATAAAAAATATTATGCTAATCAAACGAAAAACAATGATTATATTATAATATTTATATTGAAAAAGACGAACATACTTCGCAAGATGGGTGGGCTACTGTTGTATGTGAGAAGTTGAGAGGGTAAGATAAAAATGGGAATTTAATGTATATCTGTACGCAACGATTAATCAACAAAAACTATTCTGGGCAGGGTTCGGTTATATATGGTTTGAAAGGTCGTAGGTAATATTTTTGATTTTCGTCAAAATTTTATATTAAAGTTCTTATAAAAAAAAATACTACATTAAATTCAACATTTTCTTATTAATCACTAATTAAAACTCATAATGAACCTCCTATTCAATTTTCAAACATTTCTGTTTGATCTAACAATTTTATCAAATAAGTCGTACAAATTTTAAATAATGAAATGTTTTGAGCAGAAATTTGAAAAAAAAAATCTTTATTATCTGAACATTCCCTTGCGAAAACGGATTATTCAAAAAAAAAAATTATACAGTGTTTTTTTATGATGAACCAGCAATTAGGTATTTCAGAGGATTTTAAGTAAATTTGATTTCTGTTCTTTTGTCTTATCATTATTATGGAATCGTTTAAGCTTCATTTTAAAACTATTTTTAATTTTTTACTCATACTCCATGTACCTTAAATAAGAACATACTGCTGCTTTCCAAATAAGAACTCGTTTTTAATACGCAGATTTGAATAGAGAATATTTTTCTAGATATTTTGATCTGCATAACACTGAAATCAGATTTACCGTTTATGAGTTATGACAGTTTAAAGTTTTGACCGGAGGAGTAGTGAAGGCTCGGAAGGGTAATAGATGCAGAAATGTTAATGTCGATAACACAAAACGATTTTAAACACTTTTTATGTTGAATTTTTTTCTCACAGCACAGCGGTGGTCATAAGGTGGATCATCCCTCCTCTTTAGTCCGTTTTTTGTTTATAATAAATAATTGAATGCGTATTAACCATGGTAATGATTGTGAATTGAATTTTAAAATGTTGGGGAAAGTTAATGGACTCTCTAACCTAATTGCCCTATGGTTTTTTTTGTAATTTTTGCTCTCCCACCCTTAAAAATCAATAAATGTTTATAAAAAAACGTCGATAAGATTATAATAATATAACAAAATTATACAAAAACAAAAAAAAAAAGCTGATACTAGAGACAGGTGTGACACCGATGTAAGTGGAAAATTGAGAAAGTAGAATACATAAAGTTAATTAATTTATATGTGTTAACTAACGAAAAACAATCTTGAGAAATGTTCGTTTAAACATGTTTTTAAATGCCGTAATATTTACGATTTCCATCAACATTTGATCTTAAGACGATTATTATAAAAAAAAAAAAAAACCTTTTTCACCAATAAATACAATTTACAATGAACCTCGTGTTAAATTGTTAAATGTTATTAATTTTCTGACATATTATGTTGTACCTACATATTTAGATACTAATGTATGTAGAATTTAAAACCAGCTAGAATTATACTAAGACATTATATTAAGTTCTGCACAGTTTCATAACACCAATTTAAATGTAATTTGACGCCGATTGTAGACTTTAAAAACGTTATACAAACAGTAATTAAGTAACCTACCTAGTGGTGTCTATATTAAAAAAACAAACAGATAATTTTATAACGAAATATTGTGTTATATAATATAGGTATATTATGTTTAATAGCTTGTTGGATATACTGGACACACACTATTATTGCATTATTTTGTAATTAGCTGAAATTTTTTTTCTACGAGGTTACCGAACGATATTCCTATGTAGGCTATACCTGCGTACTTATATTATTGATTTATATTTGGTAGGTGGGTAGGTACCTACCTATATGAAGAGAAAATCTAAAGGTTTTAAATAAATCGCCAGAATCCTAAAACGTTATTCTTACCAATATAATATTTTTATAATTGTCAATTTGTTAGTAATGTTGCAAAGTGAAAATAATCTAATGCAAAAAATGGCAAAACAATCTATATAGATACTGACTGGTACCTACTGACCTCGAGATCTAGGTTCCTAAATCCCAATCTGTTCATAAATCTGTATAATATAGGTAGGTATTAACTGCACGGTTCGTTAATTGGTTCAACAGTTATAAAATGTAAATACATATTTTGTAATTTATTTACATTTTTTTTAATGCAATTTGTTATAATTTTTTTGAATTTATGATTTGATTTAAAAATTAATAATGAAACGTATAAAAAATTAAACTTGAGCTCCGTCAGTCGTTACTAGAGTTAATTTTTCCCCAGGTTGAATTGCTGTAGTTATAATATTTCATGTTTTTCTTTAATAAAAAGATAAATGAGAATTAAACAAAAAGAGTTACATCCCTCACGTCTTCTTTGCGGAGTCTTTGGGAGTGTACGCACAAAACTAATAAATCACCCTCTTCCCTCAACAATATGGTGAATTTCATATTGAAATAGTTCAACCAATAAATTCCTGGCTCATTCATCCTAATCTAAAAAAATATACAAATAATTTAAAAAATAATTACCTATTCAAGTGTAGGTATACTTTTCTGAGGAAATGTATTTTGTTTACATAAAATGCATAATATATTGATTATATTAGATATTTAATTTTCTAATCATTATAGGTAAGTATGATACCTAATATTTTTTAATTTTAAAAATTAAATTTTCGGAAAATTAATCTAATTAATTTTCATCTAAATATTCATTATTATTTTTAAATAGGTATTAATTTACAATGGGGCTTTTTTTCTTTATATGTTTTGTGGTTCAGGAATATTTTTCCAAGTACCCGTAGAATGTAGATTGTAGATAGTGGCCTACAGTGATAATTAGTAGGCATTGTAGATAATGATAATAAAATCATTTTGTATGAAAATGTAGGTAATTTTGTCTATAAAATTACATTTTTTGATTTAAATTTGAATTTATCTTTAATTGTAACCTATTTCCATTTTTAATTGTAATTTAAAATAGGTGAATGCACTTACTGCGTAGGTTTTCAAAAATGAATTCTATCCCATTTATTGGTATGTATATACTTTTAATTATTATTTGAACTTGGTTTTATTATTTTTAATTTTTGTTTTTAATATTAATAATTCAAAATTAGATATTGGAGCAAATTTGACAGATCCTATGTACAAAGGAATATATAATGGTAATAAAAAGCATAGAGAAGATTTAGAAGATGTTTTGGAACGCTGTTGGAAAAATGATCTAAAAAAGATAATTATAACAAGTGGAAGCTTACAAGATTCTATTGATGCTTTAAAGATATCATCATTGAGTGGTAGTTACTTGTGTTATTTAATTACAATTAAATTGAATACTTTATTCACTTTAAAATGTATTACAGAAAACCTGTACTGCACTGTTGGGTGCCATCCAACTCGGTGTGATGAGTTTAATAAAGCTACGAGTCCTGAGGATTACTTAAATAGTCTAAAAAATATAATAATAAATAATCGACCAAAAATAGTAGCAATAGGAGAATGTGGACTTGATAATCAAAGATTACATTTTTGCTCTAAACTAATTCAAGAAAAGTATGATAATCTTATAATTTTATTTTCTAGGTGCCCAATACTAGTTAAATATGTGACACCTAATTGATTTATTATAATTTTTTTTTTTTATTAAGTTAATTTCACATTAATGACCTCTGTGTTATTCGTCTTAAATGTAATAAATACATAAATTATTACTTGTTTAAATACTTACTAAACAAAAAAAAGTTAACTATTTAAATTTATATTTTTAAATAAATTTAAAACATTACACTATTGCTCAACAAATTAAATTGTTATGGATCTTGTACCTAACCATCAAGTTATGTAAATACATATTTAATTTTAAGTATTATATTGTTTATTTTAGATATTTTGAAATGCAGCTAAAATTGAGCGAACAATTTAATTTGCCCTTATTCTTGCACTGTCGTGATGCCGCTCCTACATTTATAGATATACTGAAGAGGAATTCTAATTGTTTGAAATCGGGAGGTGTTGTACATTCATTTGATGGTAGTTTAAAAGATGCAGAGGAAATAATTAGTTTAGGATTTCATATTGGTATTAATGGATGGTAAGATAATTATTATTAAAAAACAAACATTTAAACATTATAAAATGTACTGTTTCATTGTTCAGATTTTTTTGAAATTTATATTTTTGTTACCTATTATTAAAAGTATTAAATTCATTTTTTTAATAAGTGAATAAATATACAAATTTAAAAAAAAAAAAAATATTTTTGTAAATAAGCTATTTATAAGTTCACAAATTATTATTGAATAATCCTATATTTAAATGAGTCTAATATTTGCGCTTAAAAATATATTATTCATTAACTGCATTTAATATTATAAGCAATCTTATACATTATACATCTTATCTTATCTTTGTATTATTGATGACCAAATTAAAGTTTGCATGGGTTACTACAATCTTTGGGTTTGGGACTCGTAGTACTTAGAAAATTCCATTATAAAACCAAAAATATTCTAAAAAGCAAAAAAGGTAGTAAAACAACTTTTTTAAAATTATTTAGATTTTATATTTAAAATCTCAGTATAAGATACATTTTCATAACACTATACTAGATTTAATGTAGAGCCAAAGAATAAGAAAATATTATAAGTACTAAACCTTGGTTGTTACTTTGTTTAAGTTGTTACATTTAATTTTTATAGTTCATTACGAACAGAAGACAATTTAAAAACAGTATCAGAATTACCTATCGATCGTCTTATGTTGGAAACAGATTGTCCGTGGTGTGAAATTAAACAAACACATCCTTCATATTCATATGTACAAACAAAATTTAATTCAGTGAAAAAAGAAAAATATAAAGAAGATTCTATGGTTAAGGGTAGAAATGAACCATCTACTATTAAGTAAGATCATTGTTACAAATTATTCTAATCTTAAATTATAGTACATATAATAAAGATGTTTGGTACTTAATATTACAATACTTAATTTAAAAATACTAAATATATATTTTTCACTATCTGTGGATATGTATTGTAATCTTTTAGTTTTCTACTTAAATGTATAATATATTAGTTGTATGGTTTTTATTTTGTCATTTAAATTTACATTCTAGTAATTAATTTACATTTTTTTTTCAGACAAGTATTGGAAGTATTATCTTCATTAAAAAAAGAAGACCCAGTATATTTAGGAAAAAAAATATATGAAAATACTTCAAATGTATTCTTTAAAGACAAGTAGTTTTAAATTTGTATTACCTATCTAATTCAATGGTTTTATATGAATATGTTTGAACTATAATATTTATTTAATGATTATATAATTTATATTTATAATAAATAAAAAATAAATTATAGTCTTACAATGAACATGAAACTGATTCATATGATGCGTGATAATTATTTTAGATTTTGAGTGGAGCAAAGAAGCTTATAGTTTTACAATGTTTATTTTTTTTTTAATCTGTTAACAACTCTTTTACCAGGAATTTTGTTTTGATTTACAATGATTGCACTTTTTCTGGAAGGAAATCTGACTGGAGTGGTACTTAAAAGAAGTCATTTTTTGATATTTCCAGTTTTTTCAACAAATGGGGAAAAAAGAAAATTTGGTACAATATTAAACAAATATTATTAAAGAAAATATATAATGCACACATAATTATTTTACCATAATATGACATATTAAATATTTTTGACAAAGCAACACTATCAACTGAACTTTACTCAGAATCGTTTTTAATTAGCAATGATTTATTGTTGATTACAGATATACATTAAATTCCTTTCTGTATCATACTTTTTCAACTTCCATCTACAACAGTGGCTGAACCCACGTGCGAAGTATGTCTGTCTTTTTTCATTCAACTTAAGATGTTTACATTGATTAAGTGTTCAGTAACAAATTTTAAGGGTTTTTGATGATCAAAATGTGATATAACAGTTATAAAATGTAGGTATATCTTAAAATATATTTTGGTGAAGTATGAAAAGCCTAATAAATTCATAAAATTAATTGCGTTTATTAAATTAAAAAAATCAAACACATTAATAATTGTTAACAGATGCTCTTACTGCTATTATATTATTCTTAATAACAATTTTTATTAAGTGGAATAATAACAGTGTGTATCACAATGACAAAATAGGTACTTCAACAGTGCATAGTCACCATCTAACAAACATAAATACTAATAAATTATGTTTCATATTATATTTAAAAAAGCTCTCAACAAAATATTAATAACCAGCCGACCCAGTAATGCTTTGCTATTGTTGGATAATAGTGTAAATAATAGTTTTCTTGTCTGTTACAACCAAATTATCACCTAGGTAACTATTGAATAAACATAAATAATTATTAACAACTACCAACTAATAATTACTGTACCAAAAATATCAAAAAAAATACTATCTTACCCTCTTATGTAATGGGTAGTTATTATAAACATGTAGGTAGTACATTATTCAGTTGTTACTTTTGATACTCTGAGTTACATTATTGCAGTTTTTATAGGGATTTCTAATTTGTTTGAAATTTAAATACAATCCATGTATAATAGAGCGATTTCAGGCGAGATACTAAATGGCTTAGATACAAACAGTGCCCAGGGGACGGAACACTCAAATTTCGTGGCACGAAACAAAGTGACTCATCTGAAAGCACTCTAAGTATCATGATACTTGTTGATAATTTAGCTTTTTATATGTGAGAGAAGTTTCAAGGTCGATTAAGTAGTTTTTGAGCTTAATCATTACAAGCAAACACACAAAAAAAATGTTTTCCTTTTATATTAGTTTAGATTATAATAATATTTTCAATCAAAATATAATTTCCATGGTTTGGAGAAAGTAGTTTTTGAACATATAACTTTAAAACAAATAATACAATTTAAAAACTATAAAAAAAAAATTATCGTAGGTATAAATAAAATAGATTACGTTGGTATAACAAATTTATTAAAAACACCGCTCACACCATGATTAATAATTGCTTAGACCTTAGCTGTCCAAGTGAAGACTTGAGAGGGTGTATTATTTTTTTATAGGAAGGTAGGTGTTGTACTTTGAGTTTTTGACCCATATAAATATATAATTCAGTACTGTTATTTGTAATACAATAAATGTATTAATGTATTAAACTATTATAACTTTACGATGCCATTTTAAAATAATGCGGGAGGTTGGAAAGTGACATCCAGATGTTATCGCGTATGACTCACGCGTAATGGCTTGTTTTTGAAGTGTTTACACACACACACCGATAATGTTTTCTTATCTTTTCCAAACAAAAGAGACAACCACCGGGCTCCGACTTCATCAATTCATTGAGGACAGCGGAAACGTCCAAAATTATTTTTATTATTATTACCTACAGTTATACCTAACTACTGTTTCTAAAGCGGCGTGGAATTAATTTATTACCGCTGCAATTATCGTCAAAACCACCGATCGAGTCCATTGTCGACTTCATATACTTAAACTTTGCATTCAGTTACAAACAATTTTCACAATGAGTGACGGTAAGTAAAACAAACTTAATAAACATTGTTTTTGATTTGTTTATTGGTCATTAGTCATAATTCTTAATATAAATTATGCCTATTATTATTTTCATAATATTTATAGAAAAACCTGAGGCCATCGTGTGCACATACACTAATGACCTGGGGAAATCAGCATAGTGCCTATTGCTTACATACGTACTGCACTTTGCAACCCAATTAACAGTCATAAACGGTCAATGTAATAATAATTGATAGTCCACTTTGTTGCCTGTTATTATTAACTTGTTTGTGTTCTGTTATATGAGTTGAAAGCTAGGTACCTAGTCTGTTATTCTTCAAATTATAAGTGTTGTTTTTTATTTTAATTAAAATATATTTACTAAAGGCTAAAATAAAAAAAAAATTACTATTAAATGAATTTAAAATAATTATACTGAAACAAAGAATTGGATGGTGAATTAATCACTGATTGTAAATTAATTATTTATTTAATTATATTTTTGTACAATTTCATATTTTAGCTATACAATGTGTTTGACAATGTTTTATTAATATTTTTTCAAAAGACTAGGTACCTATATACTTATCTATTAGTTATAAACATAAAACATTAATATTTTTATTTACAAAAAAAAAAATTAAGTATCTACCTATAGTAAGTATAATATGTTAGATTTGTCTATTCTAAAGTTCTTTTCTTTATTTATTTTATTTCCATAAACTAGGTAGGTGTTCATAATATTTTATTATATTTAATATAAATTGGAGGTCAAACTTTTTATTTGCATACCTACTTAGTTAGGTTCAATGATATATACAACAATTATTTAGAATATTGTTTATACACATTTTGAATGTCTTAAAATTAATTTTATATATGAAAATAATGAATATAAATTAATATAAAAAAATGAATTATCATATGACATATTTTTGAATGAGTAACTACTTTAATTAATTGCATTATCTACTTTAAACAAAATTGAGTATTTTATATAGCTTTTTTTATTTTCTGGAGTGTTTTAAAATAGTAAAAGGAATTTTCTTTTTCATTGTACTTTAGGCAAAAAGATCAAGAGTTATAATAATTTTATATTTCAGAACCAACAAATATGGATCTCTCTGCAAATTTAAATGCACTAACCTTGGCAAATCATGAATTTTCTTTTTCATTGTATAATGTAAGGATACATTATTTTTATTAAAACTACAACTAATTAGGTATCTATGAGTATTCAATAATTATTTTGTTTATAGGAACTTGCCAAAAAAAATACTGGGAATATATTTTATTCTCCATTCAGTATTCACTTAGTTATGTTTATGGCAAGTGTTGGAGCAGCTTCAGAAACGTTTGATGAAATGATAAACACAATACATTTGAATAAAAGTACACATTCACTGGAAGCATACAAGAATTTATTGGAAAATTTAACAGTGCGTATAATAACTAACAACATAATACATTGTTAGATGCCTATAGTTATAATTTATTAATTTTTTTAATCCTATATTGTTTATTATTTTATAATTATAAATAATAGTTGTATTTGCAATATAAAATTCTAAATTGTTGAATTTGAAATAATTATTTTAAGTTCAATATTGTTGACTACGTATTTACCTATCTTAGAAAGGCTATCTACAATTAAATAGGTAGCATTGCTAAATATTGGCTATTTTGTAATTAGTTAGTATTAAAAATTATAATAGTGTATTTTAATAAATTACACAATTCATTATTGTACTTATCAGTACAAAAACATTTTAGTGTCTGAGCAAAGTCTAAAAGATTTATTAAAGTCAATATAATTGTATACTTGTACTGTTATGTATTAATGTATATATTGATTTATATCTGTTAGATTCCGAGCATAGTGAGGGAGCTATTAGTTTTAGATTGCTGTTTATTTGTTTTTTCTTTGTTCTAGTCTGTGGACACGTTTTTTCCTAGTAAATTTACTCTGATTTTAATGTGTAGCAACTTTTCTGAAAGCTCAAGTTGTTTATATGGCACATTATAGAGGTCATTTTTTGATTTTCAACGCCATTTTTTTAAAAAAAAGCACTTAAGTGAAAAAAAACGTAGGAAAACATACAATTTACAATATCATTATTTTATAAAAACATGGACGACTTTTTCTACCAGAAAAAATAATTTAATTGAAAAATCACAAGACACCTTTTTAGTGGCCTTTTTGATTTTCTTTCTCTTGGTATCATCACCAAAACTTTTGAGCTTTTAAGAAATTTTAATTTTCGGTAGTTTTTTGTTATATTTTGGTTATAAATACAAGTAAAGATTTGAAACTTAAATCAAATTTAAACAAAAATCACAAAAAAAAATACGGCACTTCAAATTATGTATTACCGAACTGTGCTTGGAATCGTCTTTCTTTAAGCAATGATTTATTGTTGCTTACAGATATAAATGAAATAATTTTATGTGTCCTACCTTTCCAACTTCTAACTTACAACAGTGGCTGCTCCCATCCCCAGTATCGGTTGTTTTTTTTTTTGAACATTCAATAACTTGAAACTGAATAAAAAAAACTCTAAGCAGCAAATGTAAAAATTTGAAACAAATAAGTGAAATATTATTTAACAATATTTTAGATTAATGATGATGTTCTGAAAATTGCAACTGGCATGTTTATTGATACTACTTTTAATATTAAACCAAGTTTTGTGGAAAATTCCTTAAAATATTTAAAATCACCAATGGAAAAATTGAATTTCAAGGTTGATCCAGAAACACAACGCCAATTTTTAAATGACTGGGTTTCAAGCAAAACTAATAATAAAATCAAAGATTTATTTGCTGAAGGTTGTTAAATTATATTTTAATATACTTTATATTATGTATTAATTATATACATGTTTTTTTTTAAAATATGTTTACTGGGTTACAGGCAGCATCAATGAGGGTACTGATTTAATATTGGCAAATGCAGTGCATTTCAAAAGCGCTTGGATAAATAAATTTACAAACACAGAAGAAGATGCTTTTTATTTGAATCCAAATTATAAAACTATTGTCAAAATGATGTTTTTAAAACATGATTTCAAATACTATCACAATAAAAGTTTAAAATTTGCAGCCCTTGAATTGCCATATAAAGTAAATATCATAATTGTATTTATATTTATTTTTTATAAATTATTCAATATGGGACTTAATTTCAATAGCATTCTTTCAAAATGGTGATTTTATTACCTGATGAAAAAGATGGTTTAAAGAATCTTGAAAACAATCTTTCAAAGATTAAACTAATGGACATTTTAAACAAAATGACTACTTATTATGTCAGTGTCAAATTACCTCGTTTCAAATTAGAGCAAACTTTTGATCTGAAAAATACATTATCAAATGTAAGTATATCAAATAATTGAAAATTACCATTTTAAAATCAAACAAATTATGCTATAGCTTGGTTGCCCGAAAATGTTTTCAAGAGATGCAAACTTTTCTAACATTGTTGATGATACTGAATTGTATGTGAGTAAAGTTGTCCATAAAGCATATGTTGAAGTAGACGAAGAAGGAACAGAAGCAGCAGCAGCTACAGGTAATGAAAACCGTTTTTGGTTTTTATGTCTTATTTTATTATTTTAAAGAAAAATTGATTAATATGTCCAATTTTTGTTTGGTTTATTAATAAGCGCCTTTGCACCTTTTTAATCATATAAAGCGTTGGGGGATTTGTTGTTATCAAGACAATTTGTTACATAACTTTAAAATAAAGTTTTGCACGTCCTTCTTGTTATAATAATACACAACAAATGTTGTATGGTATTATGTAAAATTCATAATGTATTTATTTTATAATTTCTTTATTCAGCTTATAAATTTAAACTTAATATGAAATTATAATTTTTTATTTTTAATGTATATTATTGTTTAAAATTGTGAAGTAAATTAAACTATTTAAAATATTATCAGGTATGGCAATCCGAGTGAAGAGAAGTTTAATAATGAATGAACACAGAGATTTTGTGGTTGATCATCCATTTATATTTAATATTTTGAATAAAAATGATAGTGTTGTTTTTATGGGTCGTATGACTAAAATTGATTCAATAGAACATAATATTTTTAAAAAAGAACTATAATGAACTATTGAACCCATTCAAAATTGTTTTATTGTATTTTTTTTTTTTTATAAATGTCAAATTGAAAATAAAATAGGTGACTGACCTATTAAAATTATTTTAAATTTTAACAAATATATAATTCAATGCCTTATATAAAAGTATTATTTAAAGATAACCTAGTTAAGTGCATTACTAACTTTATTTAGTTGTCTTTTAAAATACTTTTTATAATATAATAAGTTCCACAAATTCATACTAACACATTATACACATATTTAATTTCTTTGTAAACTAAATTTATCAGTATTATTTTATATGCAATTTGTTTGCTTTAGTATTATTAATATTTATAAATCTACTGTAGAAAACGTATATTAGTATATTTTGTTCTAATACAAATGTGTTGTATACTTATGTTATCAGGAATGGTTATGCAAACCCGATGTTTGATGACCCCCACAGTTTACGATGAAGTTGATTTTTTTGCAAATTGTCCATTCATCTTCTTTATATTAAGCCAAAACAATGAACTTTTATTTTTTGGCAGAGTACATAACTTGACTGACAATTAAAGAATCTCCCTTTAATGTTATTCGTGTACCCTATAAATTTTACCAGTTTTACTAGTTACCAGTTTACTTTTTATCAGTATTTTGAATTTTCACACATTTTTGATTTTTTTTTTATGGACACATTTCTTTATTAACTTATGCAATTTTTAAGTAACTTTATTTTTCTTTAAATTAGCTAAACATTTAGGTGCTATTATATTGATACTCTCACTAAAATATATTTTTTCATTGAAAATTATATAATTATAATTTTATGTTATATTGTGTACTATAAGTTTATTATGTATACATTTTAAACAAGATCAGATTTTTCAGATTAATCATATTTTAAATGAAAAATAATTTTTATATTATTTAATTTTAAGTTAGAACTTACATTACATTAAAATATTTTAAATTACATTTGCGTGTCAAAACTATTTTTAACACAAAATGTACAAATGCACAATGCTATATTAAGTTTAATGGTTTTCTTTTGTGTATTATAAAAGTTTAGCTCTGTTTTTTATTTATTAATTTTATACACCAAGGGTTCTCAACCTTTGGTGTGAAAAAATTTCAAGAAGGCATGAAAACCACAAAAAATGAAAACTTTAGTAACCAACATTAAAGTATGTTATGAATTTATGACATATAAATATTAAACACACTTCAATTGTATAGTAGTGAGGGCGGAGGCATGAACTCTTACAATAGTTTAAAGGGGGTGTGAATTTTTAAAGGTTGAGAACCCTTATTTTATACTGTATTAGAAAGTTTGAAAGACAATAATAACAAAAACCTTACTATATTCAGTTGTACAACTAAAAATAACTATTTATCATAATATTTTAATAATAAGTTCACAGATATTTGATATAAATTTATTTTAAAAAGCTTTATTTTAAGTTTCAATAAAAGTTTTCAGTACTAATCAGTCTTTTTTTTGTTCAATAAGTTCTTTATTGAATGACACATTTTTAATATTCGCAAGAACTTTTCTATTGTTCTCAGTCTAATTACCGAGCAACACGCAAAAACAATGCTTATGCTAAGTAAAACAAACTTAATTTTGATTTTAGAGTATAAGTACCTATTATGAAAGTCATAAGAGAAGAATATTTTAAAGGGAATTTTATTGATTTTTGTATTATTTCAAATAAAAAACTCAATATAAAAAGCACAATAACTCTTTTTTAGTTTCTTAAATAACGTAACTATTTGAATAGTTCATAATTCAAAAAAAAAGTTATGATATTCCTTTTATAATATTTTTCTCTATACATTTTATAATAGGTATTTTTATTTTAAAATCAAAATTAAGTTAGTTTTACTTAGTTTGTGTAAGCATTGTTTTTGAATGTTGCTGTGGAGTAGATGCGAGTGTGGTGTCTTCTTAATGCTTCCTATTTTCTGTTAATCTAATAGGGTGAAGTCGCCATCTATGGCCAGTATCCCTCGTATGTCACTATGGTTACCAATTTTTTATTTTATTTGTAAATAGTGTAATCTGATAAGCTATTTGGTTGTTATTGTTGTATTTATTTCCATTAAATAATATACTGTTTAAACTTAAAATAGTACCAAATAATAAATATCAAAATATTACAAAAATAGTTGACAACACAAATGCCCATAGACCGAGAATATACAATTTAAAATACTAATATTAATTTATCATTACATAATGTTCATAAAACTTTGATATTTAAATTAAGTATTGGTAAACGTATAATGTATTTATGTTTAGTTTTGAATTTTCTTTAATAATCGTAGATAGATTAAATCAAATAATATTAGAAAACAATTCTTAAGATAGCTATAGGTTGAGACCCTACTCTACTGTAAATAACATTATATTTATTTTTTAATTTTTATTTATTTACTTATTTAATGGGACCAATAACAAAGTTTATTTATAATGTATAATTTGATAACAATAATAATTAAAAAGATACAGGGTAAAGGACAGTTTTGAATATTGGGTAGATTTGAATAATTTTACTAATATATTTTGTTATCGGCTACTTAAATTAATACATAAAATAATTTAAAGTAATTACTAGGGCACAGATTGATATGTACTTAAAATTCTCAAAAAATGTTTAAAAACATCAAAAAAGCTCTACAAAATTATTTAAAAGAACAATAAAGGTACTGCAGTTTAATAGTGTTAAACTTCTATTGTTTCTAACATATCAAAAATAATTTTTTAACACTAAAAAAAAATATTATTTTAAATAAATTTGTATGTGTTATTAAAAATAAAATGTTTTGTGTTAATCTTTTGTCTGTATTAGAAAAATGCGTTTAATGGGATGAAAACCGCCAGAGTGGGACTTTAGAATTCATCTACCATTTCTGCTTTTTTAAATATTTTTAAGTGCTTTTTTGATGATTTCAGTAATTTTTTTATGGATTTTAAGTGCATATAAATCCATGCCTTAGTGATCATACTTTTTTTATTATTTGTTGTGTAATTAGGTATTTTCAAACAATTATCCTTTTTAACTACTTAAAGGGTTAAATTTTGGATAATAATTTCTTAGTAGGTTTCGACTTCATAAAAAAAAACTACTCATCAATTTTCATCCTTATAGCTTCTGGCTAGATGATGATGAAAAAATGAAAATTAATAATTCAAAAAAGCTGTCCTACGATAATAGGAACAGGTGCAGCCACTGTTGTGGGGAGGGGAAGTTGAGAAGGTAGGATATAGACGAGAATTTAATGCATATCTGTAAGCAATGATTAACCATTGTTAACGAAAAAAACAATTCTGGAGTTTGGTTGATAGTACTACTTTGTTAACAACATACAATGTATCCCACCATGTTTGACAATTTTTTCTAGCGTTATTAATATTAAATTTTTTTCTATTCTTTTTATTTTTGAATCGGTTAGGTTAGGTTATTTTCAGGGGGTACATAGATTTAGAGAAAAACGAAATTTTTGTTTTCATTCCCTAAACACAGTAAAAAATAACTTTATTGGTCTTTAGAAAATTTCCAAAATAGCCATTTTATAAGAAATATTATTTTTAAAATTTGAATGTATCATACACTCATATCTGATGATTATTTTTTTAATTATAGCTGCTTTAATTTCTATAAAATATGCATGAAATCAAATAATTAATAAAATAACATGATATACGATTAGAAATCACAATCAGCACGGTAATTCTTTACCTTCTATTGGAAAAAAAAAGGAATCGAAAAAAATGTAATATTAACAGCACTAGAAAAATTTGTCAAACACAGTGGAACACACTGTATATGTCATATTTTGATAAAATAATTACATATGTATTAGCCATTTTCTTTAGTAATTTTTGTTTAATATTGTTCCTATATTCCCGTTCTCTCAGTTTTCCCAAGTTTTTCCTGGTTTTCCCATTTATTAAGAAAACTCATGGGAAAATCAAATGATGACCTTCCTAAAGTTTCTACCTAGTCAGATTTTGTTTCAAAAAAAGTGTCGTAATATTTTTTTACTAATATCTAAATTTCCTATTTATTCGGAAAACTCCAAGGAAAATCAAAAAATTACTTTCCTAATGTACCTCCTCAGTCAGATAATCTTTAAAAAAAAATTCTATCATTGTAAATTGAATCAAAATTACTGGTATAAAAATTGTCCACAGAAAAAAAAAAATTAAACATCATTGTAAAACCATAAACTTCTTTGGTTCACTCAGAATCTAAAAAAAATAAGAGTCAAAAATTAATTTTAATTAAATAATTGTTTATTTATAAGTAATTAAGTATACTGGCATATAACAAATCCTGATGAAGATATGTGATATATGTGGTACCTACCTAATAAAAACTAATAATTTCTTAGTTGTTGTCATAATCTCCAATAATGTTTTTTATAATAATATTATTTTATTATTATTACCAGTACTAATCTGGTTCTAATAAATGTTAGAAAAAAAAAAATATATAGGCCAACATGATAAATATATTTTTTGTTTTATTCAAATTATTTCAAAAAGATGTTAAGGTATAAACACTGAAGACTTTTAATTAGTAATCGTATACTTAAACTCACTATATTTAGTAAACAAATTTATTACAATAAATAACAACACTATATATAAATAATTAATTCTTATTTCAATTTAATAAACCTGAATTAATCCAACTATTTATTTTGAAAAATAAGTTTCCCATCACTGGACTTTTACATGATTGTGTTCAACAGGCCTATCTGTGTCCAACAAATTCACTATTCCAAGGACACAAAATAGAAGTATCTTCATAGCTGATCATCCATTCATTTTTACTATTTTAACGACTTTTAACAATTCTATTGTATTTATTGGCAGAGTTGTAACACTGTGATAATGGTAGGATTTATTATCATATATCTTTAACTTAATAATTAACCTACATTTAAAATTAACACTGTATAACATTATTGTACTTTAAGAATTATCTATGTAAAATAACAAACACAAAGCAGAATATTATTTTAGTGATATTTAATTTTATTAAAAATAATCTGTTGTGTGTAGGTGTTCAAGTTTTACCTACATATATTATTCTAATGTATACAAACTGTGCATCCAAAACTGATCTTTAATTTCTGTCATTTCTGTAGGTATTTGTTAGGAATTATTTCTTTATGTGCTCATTCAATTTTTCAAAATAGAAAATCTGTTATAAATGTATACCACCACAGCCATATGTACAATAATTAATTTTGTATTACTAAAATCAATGGTACATTTCACTGCCGAACATCTTTTTATTTTTACAATAGTTTCTTATACACGACAATATTTTGTTGATAGGCCATTTATCAACCCCATGAATTATATTTTCATCAATTTAACTTGGGTACTTACATATCCATATAAGTAATTTATTAATATTTAATAAAGTAGGAACACAACACATTCAATTATACAGAATGGTTCTTTGAATACAATAACAATTAATTATTACTTAAAATAAAGACTGTAAATTGTAATCTACGTTCCAGTGGTTGAAATATTTTTGGCTTTATATTAATATCTGTATTTTAATATATACCATGTTTTATATACCTAGTTTTTGTGCTAACACCAGGACCATATTTACAAATTTGGTGACCTATAAAATTCCTTACCTTTTTAGAGGAGAGGGAAAGGGTAAAGGATCTAGTGTTAAACAAATAAAAATTATAAAAACCTTACTATGTATTGTTTATAAATTTAAAAAAATTTCTACCAAATCATAATATATTTAAAAAAAAAAAATAAACTATATCATTATAATTATGGTCTGTCTAATAAATAAAATAAAAGTTCATATATATATATATACCATGCCCAAAATTCCACCAGAATGAGCAATTTCTCCTCTCTCAGCCTTATAAATACATAGATGAAATACATTCAACAGTCACTACATTGATTTGTGATATTATTTTTTATTGTTAGGTAGGTACAAATACTTATTATATCATATATTCACATAGATACTTACAATCTGCATATTATTACTATTTTTGTTTTGATAACAATAACTAACTATATTTTATATCTAATTTGTGTACAGGAATGATCATGTCATTAATGAGTGGTAGAATACCAAATGTTAAGCGAATAATTTCATTTGAAGCTGATCATCCGTTCATCGTAACCATAATAACTCCTACAAATCAGATATTGTTCCTGGGACGTTTGTCGAAACCTAAATCTATACTATAATTTCAGAATTTATTTATTATGCTTTATTTATATTGTATACCTACTTTAATATACCTATATATAAATATAATTATAAAAATTAATTAAATTAGATTAATTACAAATAGGTATTTATGGCTATAACAGTGGTTCTCAATTAGTGTGAAGCCACAGACCCCTATCTAAAACTTAAATTGTTCCTTATTTGTGAATACTTACTTTTAATTTTACATAAGTACTTTTTTGTAATAATATAAACAAAGATTTTCTCAAAAAATACAAATATAGGGATTTATTTGATTTAACATTTGACTTTTTACCTTGAATTACCTTTTGTTACTTAATTATGGACTACTTAAATTAGTTATTGCATTGATTTTCGAACTTTATGAGACGAGTGAAACCTTTATTTTTTGTTCATAATCTCATCAAAGTTCGGTTGCATGCCTGATATTTTCACTCTTAAATCATCATTAATATTAAATCTATTACAATATTTGTTTTTTTGCAGTAGTAGATGGAAAAAGCTTGTTCATATGTTAAGCAAAAGGGGATTAAATATCTTAAAGTTTTTTCGGCCAGTTGCTTTTGATCAATTTGAACAGTTATATTTATAATCAATTGATTATCTACCTTTTTCTTTTCGCAATAATCGAGTTTCAATAGTGATAGTCCAAAAATATCTGGAATTTCAAATGACTACGAATTAAATAATTTGTATAGAATAAAATAAAAAAAATCACTACAGTACTACCATGAATATTGGAGTACTTTAATGTTCATAAGTACTACACAACCGCGGACCATTAATTGGGAACCACTGGGCTATACTAACTACTTTTTTTAATAAAATTATTATGCTTGAACAAATTATGTGTATTGTATTTTGTATACGCTTTTAAATTTGTATATTACAATAAAATATGCTATATACCGAATATATTTATGTTATTTTTGAGTATATACACAAAACAACCATACCAATTTTCCAATAACCGATCTTCAGTGGTTATTTTCGTTACATTATTTAGACATTTTTTTTTTTCATACAAGATTTTTCTTTTTATGTATACTATTTATATAGTTTCATTATTTTGGCAGATTGTCTCATCAACAGTCTCACGATTTTTTTCCATTAGAACGTGAGAATTTTTAACAGAGTACAATAAATAGGATCGATACCAATATGTCCTGAAAACCTATTAAATATGTACCTATGGAGTTATGTGGCAGTTATATCATACAAATTACCAAAATATGCCCTTAAAATATGTTCTTAAAATTTAGGTGGAGTTTTGGGGGTCAAATTTTGAAACTCGAATGGGAACCTATACTTTTTTTGCGAATATAATATGAAGATCTTATCCTGCGCCTTCATTCCAACTATTTTGGGATAACTTATATTATTAAAACTACAAATATAATATAACTGTTAATGGGGGGGTCTTCTCAGTTCACCCTCTTGAATTCGCCACTGCTCATCATTATAGCTGTATTCGTATTAACTTTAAATCACTCTCAATCATAGAGTTTTGAATAAATTACTTAATCACTAAAATCCTATTACAAAATATCGTCACATTATGTTTGCAAAAATTGTATAAGTTCACATTTGAGTTTTAAAAATTGACTCTCAACCCCCCTCTCCTTTCCCCCAAACTCTAAAATAAAATGTTTAGATTATTTTAGACATGTTTAAATCATAATACGTTTGTATTATACAATTTTTACTGTTTGAATATTTATATTGTAACATAACTTTCGAATTCCCCCGTATATATATTACAATAATATATAGGCTCTAATGCAGGTTCTATTATTATTTAAATTCCCGCCACTACAAACCAAAATAATCTTAAAAGGCCACGGCCATAAGATACTGTTCAGTGTGACCTAAACCGAAATAATAATATCTGAATTTGACATTGGAACACAATATTATTTGCATTTTTTTGAAATTCTCAATTTATTGGTGTCATTAATATAAATATACTTTGTCCTTAATAATGGTTTCCTATATAATTTAATTTCTAAGTGCCAATTAAATACCAACAAGTTAATTAATTAAATTTGTTTAAAAGAAAAATTTAAAAGAACAGTTGTATAAGGGTAATTGATTAATTTTTGTCTCCTCTAACAGCCTGATACCTGCTGATAATCCGACATCTTTTATTTTCACGTCAAATCAAAATTCGTGCATTTAGCCTACATTTTGGCGTCCGGCAACTCCTTAATTTTCGTGTTACCGTCATTTTCGTTTCCGTCCGCTTGACGTTAACATTTATCGATAAAAATTACCATGTATTCACCCTTCTATCAACTCAGAAAACCTGCGGAACAACAAAATGGCATTGAAAATGTTCAACAATTCCCAGCTCATCTTGTTCCAGGTAAATTTACAATTATTTAAAACCAATTATATTTTAAACGCCCAAATAATTGTATAGAAAATATAATTATGTATGTGTTTTGAACTTTAGGTAGGACGATTGCAGCAGCTGCAGTCAATGAAGATAGCTGTGAGTTTGGATCAGCTAAATACTTTGCCCTCTGTGGATTGGGTGGTGTACTTTCATGTGGTTTGACACACACAATGGTTACACCATTAGATCTGGTAAAATGCCGTCTTCAGGTTAACCCAGCCAAGTATAAGAACCTTATTAATGGTTTCAAAGTCACAATGGCTGATGAAGGAGCTAGAGGATTAGCCAAGGGTTGGGCTCCAACAGCTATAGGTTATTCTATCCAAGGATTAGGTAAATTTGGCTTATATGAATATTTCAAAATTGTGTATGCTGACTTGTTGGGAGAGGAAAAGGCATACTACTGGCGTACATCTCTATACTTAGCTGCATCTGCGTCTGCTGAATTGTTTGCTGACATAGGTCTTGTTCCACTTGAATCAATCAAGGTCAAAATTCAAACTACTCCTGGTTTTGCCAATACTATGCGTGAAGCCGTTCCTAAAATGTTGCAACAAGAAGGTGTGTCTGCTTTTTTCAAGAGTTTGGTACCATTGTGGATGAGGCAAATTCCTTATACCATGATGAAGTTTTCATGTTTTGAAAGAACGGTTGAATTAATTTATGCTAATGTTGTACCAAAACCGAGGGCTGAATGCACGAAGGGGGAACAATTGGTCGTCACGTTTGCTGCTGGTTATATTGCAGGAGTATTTTGTGCTATAGTTTCTCACCCAGCGGATACATTAGTTTCAAAGTTAAATCAAGAAAAGGGCGCATCATCTGTTGAAGTGTTAAAGAAAATTGGTTTTGGTGGTATATGGAAAGGTTTAGGCCCAAGAATTATCATGATTGGTACTCTGACAGCTTTGCAATGGTTCATATATGACTTTGTAAAAGTTACTTTGAGCATTCCTCGACCACCACCACCAACACCGCCTAAGGGAAAGAGCGAGTAAACAATTGATAGTATAATCAATTTAATCAATTCAGAACTGTCAGTCATAAACTAAATGTAAACTGTTGTACACCTTAAAATAGTTCAGAGGTACTTAAAGTCAAATTAAATGCTTTTTAGTGTTCTTTTACATCTATAGATGCTCTATCATTCCGACTATAACAATACCTCAATCAAGTGTATTTATTAGTAGTATAGACAATGTTTTATTATGTATCTTTATGTATTAAAAATGAATGTTAATGTTATTCTTAATAAAGTTACTTATGTTCTGAAATTGTAGCTCTAATTTTGAATTCATATTTTATTGTATAATTAAATTATATTATCTTGTGTCAAAGTACAGACAGTTTTATGGTATGACTTTAAATCAAATTTCTTGAGAAATATTCATTTGTACACATATAGGTATATTGCATAATTATATAATATAATATAATATACATTTTTGCATTCCTTAAAATTTGTTTGGAATAATATAATATAGTTTTTAATGATTGTCATTAAAAATAGAGTATAATTGATTTAAAAAAAAAAAACCACGACAAATTAAAATCTATTTTAATTATAATAGGTATCACATGGTAGGATTAATTATGTTAATACTTCAACGCTTTTGTTGCATCTAGTAGATAGATAAACATACTAATTAGCTCTTTCTATAGAAAAAAAAAAATGATATTCCTATAAAATGTTTTATATATATATATATAATATGTATACGTATAAAATAATATTTACAGTGCTTATTGTTCACTAATCAAATGTGATATTTCCAATTGTACAATAATATTGAATTATATAAGTAGGATTGCGGAAATCAATTTCGATTTTGATTTTTCGAACATCAATATGGATATTTGATAAGATAATTTAAAGAAAAAATTTCAGAAGGTAAAGAATTTTAAAAAATATTCCAGATAAAGTACTATCAGTCAGAAAATTTGCACCTTTTGAGGCTTGTATAAAAAATATGAGCATTTTTTCTAACCAAAAATGTATTTTCTGAGAAAAAAATATTAGACTGCTTATTTTTTCTATAAATATTGTTGACCTAAAACCTAGTTTGGAGGAAGGATAGTAAACAACATTCTATGTTCTATGTATGGTTTCGGGATGAGTTATACTATCCCTATTGTACATTGTGGTTATTTCAAGGCACATTTATGTTTACCGAGTTTTGGTAGTTTTCGTAAATTTTTAGAAAAAAAAACCGTGATATTGATTAATACGCAAATTTGTTTTAATTTCCGTACATTTAAAGAACAATATATTGGTCAAAATAATATTGAATTTTTTTTCTAAAATATCGGTATTTCAACAACAAATAATATTTGCGTGACCCTAGATATGAGGAAGGGGAAATTTGTTTTAAAATTCAATGTAACTACAATACTGTCATATAATGTTCTAATTTTGGACAGTGTTATATTCAGAGTTTTATGCATTAAATATAAATATCTGAATAGTTGGCATACATATGTAAATATACTATAACTATTTCCAGAATAGATCAACTTAATATTGTTTAAAAATAAATAATCTCTCACGTGGTCATAGTTTCTTGTGATTTAAGTAGCTATGTATAAAAATTAAAACATGTCAATAGTTGAATCTCGAATGCATAGTATAATATAAGGATTAACTGATTATCAATGTCTATTACAGAATAGATTATTTGTGTGGTATTATAATATAGTAAATTTAGCTTAAATATCGTATACATTATTATTTTAAACAATGAAACTTAAATATTCCGCCTTATCACCATTTATTCAGAACTATGCCCAATTTTGATTTATTTTTCTGTTCTAATTTAATCAAAACTAAATTTTATAAAAAACATAGTTCTTTTCGAAAAAACTAATATAAATAAGTAGGAATATTACGCAAGTATATAAATTATAAACTTATTACTGGACCCGTTCTCTAGCATCTACTATAGAAAGACTAGATAATAGTAATAATTATCTAGTCTCCAAAATCTGAATCAAAATCGATTTTTAGGCGTTTTGAATTTATCAAATAACCACAATTTTGCTGGTTCAGTTTTTTAAATTTTCATAATTTACAGTTTTATTGTACATTGTAACATTATGGATGAAATTATTTGAAGATATTGGTTAAATTTTCATTTTCAGGAACAAAAACGGAAAGTGATTGTGAGCGAAGTTTGATAAATAACTACGGGGTTTTTTCGTTAGATTCCTTATCACTTTATGGAGCTAAAGAAGTTTAATTAGGATAATAGTATCTTGGGTATTGTGATAAATGCCATGATTTTTTTATGATTCCATAAAAATATGAACTTAAACGCTTATAAGAAAAACAAATTAAGGCAACAAGTATTTGATATTTTTGTAGTGTAGGTAGAAAACTTAATATGATACATTTTTTATTAAAATTTCAATAATTTTTAATAAACTAATATAAATACCCAAATAAAAACTTGACAATTTCAAATGGCTATAAATAACTTATAAATCAATACAATTATTTGAAAATTGAACCGCATTCAAAAAAAACTGAATTAACTAGGTATGTACTTTGTAAAAATGTCAGATCTTTATAATTTTTTATACTGAATTATTAAAAAGAATCAAAAACAAAAAAAAAGGTTATAGTGTACATTTTCCTTGTTCAATAATTTTGAAATTTTTGAAACTAAAATTTTTTACCAGAAACTTAGGTACTCATAATAAAACCAATAGGTACAGTTTTCGTTATGTTGAACTTTTAAAATAAATGTATTATTTGAAATTGAACTTATAATTTTTCTGTACTATTAACAAAATTGTTTGATCTGTATTATTAAATAACTTAACTATCCTATAGATTATGAATATTTTCAATGCTAATTTTATAAATATTTATGAAAAATTAATATTTACTCAAACTAAATAAATTTAATTTAGATTTTCAATTTTAAACATATGTAGGTATTTTTTTATGTTAGAGGTTTTAGATTCTGAGAATGTAGCTACATAGCTACATTCTTTACTATTGGTTTTATAAAGATATTTTTTTTTTTTATAATGTATAAAAATTGTATAAGAAATCTTTCTTTAAAGTATCAAATATAACACCTTTTCTGAAAAGAAATTTTCCTAGAGTAGTACCTAAGGGAGGAAATTGTTTGATTTTCCTAAGAGTTTTCCAAATAAATGAGAAAAAACTAAGAGAAAACGGGAAAATGTACAAAATATGTTAGCAAAATAGTATGGCCTATTTTTTTCAACTGAACAACTTTTCTACCAGCAATTTTGCTCCAAATTATAATGATAGCACTTTTTCTGAAAGGAAATCTAACTGGGGAGGTCATTTTGTGATTTTACCAATAAATAGTAAAAACCTTGAAAATATATAAAATATTAATTAGTATTATTAAAAAGTATTAAATAAATACTTATATAATGCATATGTAATTATTTTCCCATAATGTGACATATATATTGTTGACAAAGCAAAAATATAAACTGAACTCTGCTCAGAATCGTTTTTTGTTAAAAATGGTTAATCGTTGTGTACGGATATATATTAAATTTTCCCTCTACTACCTTCCCAATGTGACATCTATAACAGTGGCCCAATCACGTGCGAAGTATGTACATGGTTTTAATTATAGTTTTAAAAAGTTTAATAGTCCATCACTAATAAAAATAAAATATAGGTACCTACCTAGATATTAAATTAACAAATTATATAATAAAATAGTGTAGATACCTAGGTACTAAATATTTAAGTATAATATGAATACATAGGTAAAAGAATATACATATTATATTATAATCATCAAATAGTAGCTACTTATATTAATAGGAATTTACATAAATTTAATTATGCAATATTAAATTATATGACATCACCTACTATAAAATTAACTATTGGTATTATTATATTTTTTTAAATTAAGTTACATATTGATTATTTTATAAGGTAGGTAGGTATTCAACATGATAGAATATTTTTAATATATTGATCATAGTTTAAATCTATAGATCAATAGTATAGCCTGTAAGTTAATATACTATTGATCAAGAGAATAATTTTAATAAATAAATAAATATTGTTACTTATTGATTAATAAATCACTGTCATATGATGATACTTATTAGCATTCAGTTAGCATGACTTCATAATTTTGTTTAGTTTTGCATACTATTTTGTATGTCCTACTTAAATCCTCAGTGGTGAATCATTATCATGTTTTTTGGTAATTTCTACGGTATTTAAACCAATGTTTTAAACTTACATTTAATTTATATATTAAAATGAAAATGCGCTCAATATAAATTACTTATTATAATTATTAACAAGATATACGAATGACAATCATAGATAAGTAATAAGGAATATGTATTATCTATTTAGACAATTAAGTATTATTATAAAAATGAATAACTGTATGGTAGGTAATTGTTTCAAATAATATTTGGCAACTGCTATATAACCTTTACTTTTTTGGATATTTTTATTGTTGCATATAGCATCTAAATGCCACCTAAGTATCTATGATTATTACAACTTGAGAAGTTTCTTACTTAAACATTTCTTTGGAAAATAAACCATTTTTCTTAGGTGATTAATAATGATAACGGTTTGTTATCAGTATACTAAATAATATGAATAGTAAAAGTATAAATAATAAAGGATTATATTCCTAAAAATGGGAATTTTCGTTCATATTATTTTGTATTTATCTTATGGTAGGTGATTTATTTTAGATAATGAGACAATGGTATTTTACTTCATATTAGATGTTAGTACATTGCCAACATTTGTTATTAGTTTATTACTTTAGTCCAGATTTATATTTTCCTAAAACTATTAGAAAAACATATAAAAATAATTAATACATACTTTATAATATGTAAATTTTAGATTCTGAGTAGAGTGAAGAATGTATTAGTTTTACAATGTTTTTTCTTTTTTCTTTATGAAGAACTTTTCTGCCACAAATTTTTAAGTGTAGCACTTTTTCTTATAGGAAATCTAACTGAGGTGGTACTTTAGAGAGGTTATTTATTGATTTTTATAATAAATGAGAAAAACTGGAAAATGTATTATTTTCAAACCGTAAATGTTCGGAATCATTTTTTGTTAGCAATGATTATGCATAAAGATAGGCATTAAATTTCCTTTCTATTATACATTCCTAACTTTTCATCTACAATAGTGGCCATCCATTGTGCAAAGTGTCATTTTTTGTTTATCAAAATGATAAAAAAAAAATATGTTAGTACCTAATGGTTGTTTGTTTCAAAAAAATATTTTTTTCAGATACATCAAAATTAAAATTATAATAATTTTAAATTACAATAAATCAGTATTTTTTCTAAGAGTTTTCCAAAATATTCTCTAGTATGAAAAAAAAAAATTATTCCTGTGAACTGTGTTGAACGAATAGTCGACAAATGTTACTCTCATAATACTGCATAATAAATGTGGGAAAACATACAAATTTGGGCTCTAATTACTATCTACTATATGAAAAATTACTATGTACAATAAAATTCATTTCAATGATGATACAGTAATTATATTTATACAAAAGAAAAGATAGTCAAAGTTAGTGAATTGTGTGAAAATGGTTATAATATGATGTCTATTAAAGATCATTATGGAGATGCTAGAAGGAAAAGGGTTTAAAAGTTAATAATCGTACTTGACAAAATTCATATGGGAAACAAGATGCATTTGAAACTATTTTAAAAGATATTTTTGAGTTTTGCCTTCATCCTAATTTATAATATTCATGATATATTCTTTTAATTTAATTTTACATATTTTTGTTTTAATAATTTTTAAATTTTTGAATAAAATAGTATATAATTTATAATTGGCAGAGTGATAACAAACAAGTACCTTAATATTAAGTAAGACTAATATTATTATTCTATTAAATTGTGTAATTAATTGATGTTTTTTCATTTGGATATTCAGAGAATTAAATGATTAATAAAATTCAAACATTTTGATTTACAAGATTTAACTTCCAGTCAAAAATAATTATGCCTCACCTTGAGGCACTATTTCTTTTTTAAACTATTTGCAACATTTTGATTTTGATCATCCAAATTAATTAGGGTAAAAAACGTTAAATAAATTGTATAGTAGTTTAAATGATAATATTATTATCATACTGGGTGAGCTGAAATGAAAAATCAGTAAATAAAATATTTATTTAAAATAAATCAATGTATACAATGTATTGTGTAGAGAATTTGAATACATTTTTATTTGAACATTAGAAAACTTTATTGAACTTTTTATATTTTATTATTTTATTAAAATAAAAAATAATTAAAAGTTTAAAAAAAAAGGATACAAATACTTCGCACGTGGGTGCAGCAATGCAGCCACTGCTGTATGTGGGAAGTTGGGAATGTAGGATATAAATGAGAAATTAATGTATATCTGTAACCAATGATAAATCATCAATAACTAAAAAATAATTCTGTGCGGAATTAAGTTGATAGTGTTGCTTTGTCAACAACAATATATATGTCATATTATGGTAAAATGATTAAAATAATGTACGTTTCCATGACAACAATAATTGTTTAAAAGAAGATTAAAATAATAAAAACTTAATAATAACAAAAAATAAATAAAAACAGTTGCCAATGCTAACATTATTTGCTAATCAGAGTAAGCTTTCTGGTAGAAAAAGGGTTTACATAAAAAAACATTGTAAAACCAATGCATTCTTTGCTAGACTCAGAATCTAAAATCAATAGCACAAAAGTCTAAAAAGAGCATAATACAATATTATAATTATTGAATATTTAAATGGCTTCAACATAACACGGAATGGTATTAACAAAATAGGATTAACCAATTCACCTTAAGTCTTAATATTACATTAAATGTACAAAAGAGCGATAACAATATTCTATGTAGGAATAGAGGAATTTAAAAACCAGCTTTTTTTAACTGTTTTAATTGATAGTTAAGTCTTTCTTCTTTTGATTTTCTTGTATAGGACATCTGAAACAATTCATCATTTATTGAAAATGTATAGAAAACTAAACAATTTTAAAACTCACAGTTCTGGATTTAATATACACTTGTAAGAACTTATCACAATCCATCTCACCAGCTAAAAATTGTTCTGCTATTCGTTCACTTTCCTCATCACTTTTCAATGCCGATTCTTTTAAATTTTTCTGAAAATAATTATTATAGAAATAACTTGTAGGCAAAGTATATAGTTATTATCTTAAAAATATATACACATATATTACCGAAATTGATTGTGGAGAATATTTTTCTGATAACTGTACATACATTGTTGATAAATCAGCATAGGATTTTTGGTATGATTCTATTGTTTCTAATTGTTTTGATATTTCTAATCTTAAATTATTTATTGGTTCTTCTTTAGACATATTTGAATCTAAAAATAGTAAATTGTTAATATTTTCAAGGCCAAGCTATTTATACAACAAATTTTTTTACTAGCTAAATCCATGATTTTTGTAATAGTATTTTCAATAGATTTATTAGATGCTTCTATTGACGGTAATTCTGAAATGAATTCATCTAGGCAATCGACATTGTTATTTAAGCGTAGTAATTCAGCAGTTGTTAGTTTTGCAAGACTAAACAATTCTATATCCTAAAGAAAAAAATAATGTTAAAATTATCCAAATTAATAAAACATTTGTCAACATACATTACTGAGAGATGTAATTACATTATTGATGGAACTGGTTGCAACATTTCCTGAAAAACTTTAGGATATTTGTGAGTAAAATTAAGTAAATTTAATAGTACTTACTAAATTACCTATCTGAACTGTCCACTAATATGAGTGAATGATCAAGTTCAAATTCTCTCCTTATTACCTGAACTACTCTTCCTAAATCAGAATGAATAGTATACTGAAAAATGATAAAGCAAATTACTTTACATTTAAATTTTACTCATTTAATATTCTTACATTAGTTAAACCAGGAGCTAACACTATTAAACCAGCTGCGTCTACCCATTTGTGAATAATTCGAGGAGACACGGTTATTGTGGGTTTTTCTAAAGGAAATTTTGGACCCAAATGTACAATCAATTTTAAACTGCCTACTTTTGTGGGGAATTCGACATTGTATTCTTCATCAAAAATAATTTCTGTAACACTGATGTAAAATAAATGTATTGCAGACTTGTATGTAATAAAAAATTAGCACATTTACTTACTTTTCATTAAAAACTTTTAATGTATCAATTTGTTGTTCACGTTTTTTGGCTAGATCGAGATTATTAAACAAATTTGTAGACAACATTTTTGAAATTTCTATCACTGTATAATAAAACAATATAATTTTTTGGGGTGTACCATAAATTGAATAATAAACAATGAAACCAAACAAGATTAATTAAACATATGACATGTTTTATAACAAATAGAAATTAAATTAATTAAATAAAAAACTCACGGACGAGGATAAGACAAAATATTAAATAATTAATCAATTAACAATAATAGAATCTACATTACAATTAAAATAAAATAAATTAACAAAAATAGGTATATCCTTAGGAGTTAAATAATAATAATATGATTGATATTTGGCAGTATATTACACTGATATCACAGATATTATAGATAATAATTATTATTTATCACCGTGGTGGGTGCAGGGAAAGGTTTATAGATAATATTATCTATAAATCTTGGGTGCCGGGTAATTATTTGAAATGATAAGACATTTTTATCACTAACAGCCTATGTGTACACTAACCTAACAGAATAAAATGTATCAATTATTTGAAATGTTATGAGTGTATTGTATTCATATGCTATTAAATGCTATTATGCTGTTGAAGTAATTTGTTTTACGATTAGTGATAGTTGTAGGATAAATTAATTTTTGCCGAAAACGTTTTTACATAACAGTGTTAACCAGTAAATATAAGCAAAGGCTATGATATTTAGAATATTTTCCCTACAAAAACCTCGTACAAAGAAACAAAACAATTACTATAGATACAACTAGTTAGAAGATTTATAAAAATTAAATTTACAATAATTATGTAACTATAATATAAGAAAAAATGTATTAGTATTCATATTTTAGTTGACTTTAGACATTTCCGCAGTTTATTTTCCGTTTTTCTCAATAAATATGAAAAACCAAAAAAAAAAAAAAAAACAAGAAAAAATGATCACCTCAAAGTACATCCCTACATATACAAATAAAGAGCAAGATCTCTAGTAGAAAAGTTGTCTACAGAAAAAAAAAATAACATCTTTGTAAAACAATAAACTTCTTCGCTGCACTCAGAATCTAAAATTATAAACTAAAAATATCACTATAAAAATGATTCTATGAGTATTATAATAAATTATACTCAAAAAAGACCAGTATAATACAGTATTGTCTTGTTTGCCCGAGTATTTTTAAGTGACTTTGGTGTCATTGATTAATATAAATGCCAGACTATTTATTTAAATATAAAATTAATATGCGATTTTACAGTGAATATATATCGTCTGCTATCGTTAGGAAATGATAACATTTTCTAAACTTATTAAGAATTGTCATCAATTCCTGATTGTCAAAATTTCATACTAACATATATATTATATATATACATATAAATTATTTTAAAAAGATAATCGACGAACTCAAAAATAAATACATTTTTGATTTTTTTTGAAAATGTTTACACAAACACTTTGTTGTTCAACGTTGGCAATATTTCAAACTAAATCAGAAAAAATGTCTTATCAATTTTCTGAGAACTGCTTAAATCCCATCCCATCCGTATGATCATAAACGTTGTACTAATACACACGAAATGATTTCACACCGAGCGTGGAAAGATAGAGAGCGCATTTCGTGGACTGGGTGACCGTAGACTACTGTGCACACTGTAAACGCACAATAAATATAAGCCATTACCTATATTCTGAATATTCAAATACCAAATATACAAAACTGCCCGTTGCCCCAATATAATATTACGAGTACCTATGGCTCACTTATTAGCATAAAATACAAATTAATTACAATATATACAAATTATATACAATTATTCACTGTAAAACCGTTGGTTATGTAACATGTGTACAGTAAGCGTACGATAATTTGAATTAGTGTATTGTTGTAAAATTAGTACAGCTGGTGTCAATGCGGACTATAATAATATAATATATCTTAAACCGCGGTTGTGATCTAATAGTATAATCAAATCATTCAATTAATCCGCTGAATTAGCAGATCGATTTAGGAACACACGGATTATCATAGTTACTTATCATAAGTCCGTAGTAATTACCATAGCACGGATCATGGCTAGTGATAAACCAAAACATTATAGGAGTATAGATGAGGAAAAACATCTATCAGGTTTTGAGGTTATAAATTATGACCATAAGCAAGTATATTTATGATTTTTCGGGATTTGTAGCTTTTCGTTTATTATTGCTATATTTTACTTTTACATTTGTATTTACCCAATACTAATGAGGTCTGACTCATGACCAAGTTAGATACGTGATTATAATATATTCTGATGATCGTTTTATAATGTCCTCTGAAAGTCAAGTTCAAGAAAAAGTGCACGTCGTGTATCCTTAATTTAGTACCATAAGTTAGATTAAGTAATATTAATTAAACATGTTATTGTTTAGACTTAAGATTAAATTTAATTTTCGTAAGTATTCACAAGCAGCTGCATATGATGCTGCTATTGCAAGCCAAATCCATCCAGTTGTCAACCAAAATTTGTCGTTTGCAAAAAGCTTGTACATTGGAAATTTCGTAAAAGATGTATTTATCAGGAAAAGAAACGATAATATCATTACCACAATACCAAAGTGTGAACCATTTTTTGATATAAGTGTACCTAAAGAATTCGGTGGTTTGGAATTATCTTCAGCTTCCATCTCGAAAGCATACCAAAATATTGGATTAACTAACTTTAAAAATTATATTGTCCATGGTAATGTTGTTAAATGTATTGATAAATTTGGGACGGATGATCAAAAGAAGAAATATTTACCACAACTAGCTTCTGGCGAGTACACTGCCTCATTTTGTGTATATGAAGACAAACATGGATATGATATTCAATTCACAGAAACTGAAGCTTCCTGTAAAGATAATAAATGGTTTATAAATGGCACAAAAAATTGGGTAGAAAATGGAAACCAAGCAAACGTGTTTATAGTTCTTGCTAAAACTATGGAGGAATGTAACCGACCAGAAAACAATCAAAATTTTTTCACTGCCTTTTTAGTAAAAAAGTCCAAAAATAGTGGTATTACAATTGCAAAGGAAGGTGATCGCTTTAATGTTACATTTGATAATGTTGAAGCAGACTGTATCTTAGGATCTGAAAATGAAGGTATGATTCTTTATTCATATTTGTTCAGTGCAGATTTACTAGAATCGTCTTCTGCTACTCTTGGAGAGCTAAAGAAAATTGTCAAAAGTGCTTCTCAACATCTTGAAGTTCATGATCGACGATCTAGTCTAATTAGATTAGGAAAGATAAATAGCCATTTATATACCATGGACTGTGTTTTGGATTTTACTAATTTGATAGTAGATTCGTTTGATTTTCAAAACGATTACGAGTTAATTCTTGCTCGCTTATTTATCAATGAAACAGCATTTAATTGTTTGAGTTTATTGAATGATATAGGACTCCATAAGAAGTCTTATAAATATATTGAAAACTCATTGTTGTTTGAAGGCAGATCTAATATACTTTCATTTGTTGGTGCTCTCCTTGGTATTCAGCATGCTGGTTTATATATGGCAGAAGATGTGAAAAAATTACGAAATCCATTATTATTTCCCAAGTATACAGTGAGTCACATTATGAGAATCCAACGGTCTTTGAAAGATAAACCTAAATTACATCATTATGTTGAAAAATACATGCATCCATCATTAAAGAAACAAGCTTTGGACTTAGAATACTGCTTGAGCAGATTTCAATTTGCTGTTCAAAGCATGTTTATCAATCTAGGTTCTGACACTTGTTATTTTCAAATGGTACTTGAGAGAGCCAATAATATTGCTATGAATTTGTTTGTCATGTCAGCTGTATTACACAGAGTTTCACACAAATTATACAGTTCCAATGCAAAGTTAAATTCCACTGAATTTATTTATGCTAATGTACTCTGTAATAATATTCGTCAACAATGTAGTGAAAAGGTAACTGAAATATTGGATGCTCCAGATAATGTTGTTGATCCGCACTTCAAAAAACTTAGCCAAAATTGTTTTGCTGAGAAAAAATATTACTTTGAACATCCTTTAAAAAGAAATATTATTTAATTATCTTATATTATAAAGTTCATTATAGATAACATGATTGTAATAAATTAAATTTTGTTGTATTATATATTTACATAGTTCATACAAATTGTGGATATTTATTATTATATTTATTCCTAAATAACAATGTAACAGAACTCTTAAACTTGATGCTGAAACTGCACACCGTGCTAGGGCTATCTATCACGCTATTCGTGTAGAAAAAGAACCGAGTTCGGTTAAAAAAATATGTAATCTCGAGGGGCAATTTGTAAATGTGTAAGTTTTACAATAATAATAAGATAGTTTATCTATTTTATATTATATTATACTTGTTTTTTTTTTATTCTGCAGACTAAAGGTTTTTATAAACATTTTTTTTCTAGGAAGCTTGAATCTACACAAGTTAAGTTCTTACGGTCAAGTTCTAACAGTTTATTAGATATTTATGTACTTTTATCTGAAGTAGTAAAGAAGTTTGAACTTCAATCTCCATCAGCCGACTATGAACACTTCTGAAACTCCTCGTCAAAACACACCATCTCCGACCGAAAGCCGGGCTAATTATGGATTTGCCTTATATTTAGCTTCTAAAACGGCATTTGTTGTTTATTTAGCATGGGCAATTATACCGAATAATTGGTTAACGGTTATTGGTCTGACATATCTACCCCAAAAGTATTGGGCAATTGCTATACCTGTGTGGGTATGTTGTGTTATTGTAGTAATTGCAATTTTATACCCAGCTATCAATATGTTACTAGTTCCTCCAATGAATGATCGTCGTATATTAACTGATTCATTTGCTCGACCACCAATTAATGAAGTTCGACTTGGTGGTATACCAACAGTTTCAGATCTTGATCTTTCAGGAGTTTGTAAAACATTATATTTACATTCTAATAATTAAAATAAATAAATACATTTTTTTTTTTAAATATACTAGTAATGTGTAAAATCAGTGGAATAGTTTAATATATAAACATTATTTCACTGCTTCTAGCACATTAGCAATATATATTGTATTTAGTAATTATTACAAAAAAATATATGCACATTATTATTTTATTTAACTTGTTTTTTTTTTCTTAATTTGGGTACAAATTTCTATAAATATATCTGCAACAAAACTTCAAAATATTACATTTTTTAAAAATATAATTGATAATTTTGCATTCATAAATATGTAATGCAATCTTACCATCTTTGTTTTTTTTATAAATTATTGTCTTATTAAAACAACTGAAATATTTATTATTTATGTTAAAGTTTTTCAATAATTTAAAATATATCCTCATGAATTGATAGTTATACTTTCAATTATTTTATTGAGATTTGTAAATTAATAGTCAAGTTTGTCTTAAGCTGTACATTATTTTGTTCCTTTTGAATTAAGAATTTTTTTTCAAAATATTGCTTCAATGAACAAAAAATAGGAACAATATAGATAAATAGGATTTAGGTTTTTTACATATATTGGCTGTATTTGTTTATACAACACTTGAGCTCTATGAGGGTAAATAACATATAGTTTAATTGTAATCACTAAATCTATAAAACAAACAAAGTATTTTCCATACTTTGGAGATAAGAGAATATATAAGTATATATATATTAGATTTTAAAATTAAGAAGACCTATAACACAAAAATGTCTAATACTTTTATTTGTTCATTTTTAAAAGTTTACATTTTCTGTTATCAAAAACCAATCTCTTATGATTAAAAAAGAAATTATGCAAAATATCTTATGATTTGTTTTTAATTTAATTGGTATTATTGGTCATTGAAATAATTTAATATTATAATTGATAAATATATTATTTTTAGTTATACAATGTTCTATAATATGAATTAATTGTTTATCAAAAAGAAAAGTTATTTGCAATTATAATTTTGACACTTTTTGTTTATATAATTTAAATTTATACATAGAGATTGGATTTTTTTTTTTGACTTTTTCAAATTTGGAATATAAATAAAATATTTTAACGTTTTAAAAATGTAATTTATATAGATAAGCTTAGCCAGTTTAGGTTAACTAATTCTAATCAACAATGTGCTGTATAATAAAAAAATAATATTTAAAACGTGAAAAAATAATATGAAAAGATCTATTTATAATTGGTTAACCAGTTAGTAATAAAAGCTTCATGTTGTTCCAACCATTTAATATTGTTGGATACAACTTCAAGTGCAGTTTTTCTGCTTGCTTTTCCAGCACCAGCTTCAGGATATTTATTGAAAAATGTTTTCATCTAAAAAAAAAAAAAAAATACAAATATCTTTAATAATTATTTTTATATAAATAAGGATATTCAGTATTAGAAGATATCTTTCAGATAATGTTTGATAAAACAAAAATATTTCATATGAAAATATAATACTGTGATGGTTATACTTTGTAGTACACCCACAATATTGAATAAAATATTATTAAGTTTCTAAGCTGTGTTAAATCATACTGATCATTTGTATTCACTGTAATTGTATTTAAAGTGTTTACAATCACAGATTTCTTTTAAAAGTAGCAAGTGTATTGATTAAAAAAGTTGCCTCAATTATCTCATATAAATATACAATTTTTAAATCATTAATATGCTTACATTGAAGTTTCATATGAAACTCTATTTTAATTTTATTTGTACATTTTAAAAAGAATTACATGATTTAGTTGAACATCCTTTATTATACTATACTATACACAGTCTTATAAAGTATATAAATAGATTTATTTAAATAATATCTTGAACGTATTTGTATTTAAATTTTAAATACTCTCATGTAAATACTTTTCTTAATTCAAGAACTAAAAATTTAATTTTGTTAGTTAATATTTAAAGTAATAAAATACATTATAATTTATATTCTGTGATGTCGTTTTCCTCTGAAGAGAACAAAATCAGACAAATGCAAATTAAAAATGTAGTAATACATGAGACAGAAATTAAACTACCAGGTTTATAACAAACATTTTAATATTAACACTGAAAAATCCATGCTGCTTAAGTGCAATACAAAATAAAATGTTGGGAATAATTATGGCACAATAAATGTATAATTCCTGTTTCACAACATTTGTTTGTCATTAAAAATATAGTTAATTTTATTTATTTTTATTTTTCAGTATAAAATGAAGTAGGTGGTGTAAAGTTCTAATAATAGATACTTAAATATTGAATTTTATAATAGAAATTTCAAAATTAATTTTGCAAACCTACTTGAATCAACTCTAAAGTCAAATTAAAAAAGTATTTGGGAAGTATTTAAGTACATGCGGAGTGTTTAAATTTGTTCTTAAATACCTTTTTTTAAATTATTTCAAAAATATTTGAAAATACATTTCTGAATAGATGTATTTATGTTTAAATACAATTTAAAAACTATTTTTTCAAGACTGACTACACAGCATTTTTGAGTTACATGTCATGTTTTCAAATATTATGTGGCACAAACAACCCCATTATATTTAGTGTATTTGATTTTACTGGTGTCAACTCATAGTTTAATGTGTGTGCTGAGAGTATAGATCTTAATATTTCCTTACTTATAATGTCTATTCACTATCACTTTTTTGTGTATGCTGCATGTCATATTTCATAATGGGTAGATCTGCCTTTAGGCATATTAGAATTATACAAAGTAACTTAGTATCAACATAGATGTTTTAATAAAATTATCAAATGGATTTAAATTGATAAATGATACTTACTTCCTCAAGATGTTCCAGTGTGTTGAAATCTGAACATACTGTAGAAATAAGCCTGCCAAATGCACGATCATTCAAGGTGAATCTGTCTACTAAATACTGCCATTCATCCCTAAAAATACAAATAAACATTGGATATATTATAAATCATTAAAGTTTGATTTATAATCATTGTGTATGTATATATACCTCAAAAAGTTCCAAACTAATGAAGTTCCAATGGGATTTTGACTAATCTGTGATATTATGGTGAAATAATCTTGTGATCGTACATAACTTTCATTTTTTGCAAGCTGCAATAGTCTAAAATAGATTTAAATTAAGCTTGATATTATTTCACCAAATAAAATCAAATGGAAATATTACTTAGATAATATTAATTTTTCTTTTGAAGCAGTCAATGCTCTCATAAGTTTTTGTTTTTCTTGAGGTTCTTGCTCAAGTATGAATAAATTCCATAGTTGATTCCAATCACTAAGATTACCTTGTAAAATTCCTAAAAAAAAAAAAAAAAAAATTGAATAATATTAATAAACATAATTATTTTCAATAATAATAATTTTGAAGTAAATACGAGCCAATATAAATATTATAATTTGCGATGAGATTAAATTGTATAAACCTCACGTTTAAATGTTTTATTTGTTAAATTTTGTAAAAGATACCTAAAGGTTAATTATTATCAGTTTAAACAAAACTCTACTAACCATAGTAATAAACTATATGCCTAATATCTGGATTTGGTTTGATTTTATCGTTCAAAAACTTTTGAAACATTTCGTATACTTTTGTTTGATAAGTGGGTAAACCACATAAACAACCTAAACTAAGTATTACTCCACGAAGTTTACGCTGTAAAAATGTTCTATCATTTGAATCACTCCAAAAATCTTCTTTTAAACTTCCCAATAAATGATGCACATAGTTCTTTAAAATAAAAATGAATAGTTATTCAACACACATAATAGCTGTTTTATTAGACTTACTTCAAAATTTTGATGTGCTGTCCGATTATATAAGTATGTCCTAATTGAAATTAATTTAGAAGTAGCTACGACCCATGGAACATAGTGCTGTTCAAAAACTAAATATTTTGTCATGTTCAATGCAGTGCCATATGTTAGGTAACCTGCTTCAGCCAAACTGAAGGCATCATGAATAAGATTGGAACGGTCAGCAGCGTTGAGTGCCTTCAAGTTGAAAATTTGGATTATAAAAATAAATCAAATTATGTTTGAAAAAAATTGTTCAAAATACTTACATTGATATTATTTTCTAATAAATTGCTAAGTAAAGACCAATCACTTTCTGAATAATTTACTATGTAATAACCAACTTGTCTATGATTTAGTTTTATCCATTCTACATTAGATGCATCTATCGTAACTTTAACAAAATACATAAATTAATATTAATGACTATATGGTTTAACTATGGTTTATGACTATATACTTACTAGAATCCTGGTCTTTGGTTAACCAAACTGTATGAACAGTATTATTTTCTGAAGTTGTATATGTGATTGGTATTTCCCATTTGTATTTATATGGTGATGAGTCAAGAGAATATTGAACATTTGAATCTGCTAAAAATCTTTGCTGAGTTAATGTCAGTTTAGTTTCATTCCGTGTTACTGATACCATTGGGAAACCTGCCTGGCGAGTCCATGTATCCATTATCTAATTAATTTAAATACATGGTTGAAATATTCTTTAATTTCTGAAAATAAATTAAACGAGTTTCAATTTTGAATATAACTATATAATATTACCTTTTTAACATTAATAGTATTTTGAGTTGCTTTTTGTAACTCTGCCCATAAATCATCTGTTTCGGCATTATTAAATTCAAAGTGTTTTAAATATGCACTTACACCAATTCTAAAAACTTCTTCACCCAACATTCCTTCTAGCATACGTATAACAGAAGAACCCTTAAAAAATCAAATTGTATTAATTATTATAATGTATGAGAAATAAAATTGTACTACTATTATTCTAACTACTAATTGAACATACTTTGTCATACGATATCCTATCAAAAATTTCAGTTATTTGATCTGGATGAGAAACATCTTGTACAATAGCATGGGAACTAAGTTTATCATCTAGAGATTGTACTGATTGGAGACTATGAACCAGAAACAGAGTATCCTAAACAAAAATAATAAATTATAAAACCAACAATCAATTAAAAAGTAATGTTGAAAAATACTTAATTATTTAAGGATATTTGCAAACAATTCAGTTATTTTTTATTTTTATATTAAGGGGTCTACATAAGAACTGTTTTTTGGTCAAAAACGTGCTTTACAGGAAAAATCAAATGTTTTGTAAAGTGATTCAATTTTTGATCATGTAACCATAAACCAAATCAAAAAAAAAAAAATTAATCATATTTAAACTCTAGTTATAGTAGTTTAGAAATATAATTTTCAAAATCCAAGTACAATGGGCCCCCGTAAAGTCTCTCCTTCCACAAAAAATAAATATTATCAAAATCAGTTCACTCTACAAAGCATACGTTTTTCTTGTGAAGTATGGTTTTGAGCAATAAAGGTTACAAACAGGCTCCTTAAATATGAAATTCAATTTTTAGGGAAACCACATGTAATAGTTATATAAATATATAGATAAATACATACGACATCCCAGTCAGGGTGAACTGTATGTACAGCTTTAAATTCCATATAAGATGCAAATCCTTCATTGAGCCATAAATCATTCCACCATTTCATAGTAGCTAAAAAAAGAAAATTAACTCAACAAATTTAAATATGCAATAATATAATATAACAGTGGTTCCCAAATTGTGAGACATGAGCACTTAATAGAAGAGGTGCAGAGGGTAATAATTATATGTGTAAAAATAAATTTGTGTAGCAATTTCTATGTCGGTTCCTATAATTTTGATACATTTAATTATTACAATATAATAATTACTTTACACATTGTTCATAATATTTACTATTTTAAAATGATTAACCAATTTTATTTTATATTATTTGTGGAAGGCAATAGAAAATTGTTTAGTTTTAAAAAAGGCTTGAAAAAAATAACTTTGAGAATTGCCGTATAATAGTACACATAATAGTTATTTACCAATTTGTATTGCAGACTAGAAGATAAATTTTATTTAAAAAATTTAACTTAACATACCTAAATTTCCAAACCACATGTGTGCTAATTCATGAGCAACCGTTAAAGCAACTTGCTCTTGATTAGAACTAGAACTTATACCCTCCTTATATAAAACACTAGTTTCACGAAATGTTACAAGACCCCAGTGTTCCATGGCACCTGATACAAAATCAGGAATTGCTATAAGATCTAAATAATCAAATAAAATAAATTATTAAAATATATTTTTTTAATTTTTAATTCTAATTTTGAAAATGTATATACAGGTACCTAATTTTGGTAATGGATATTGAATGCCAAAATATTTGACATAAAAGTTAATCGACTTAAGACCCACAAATTGAGCATACTTCATATTTTCAGATTGACCACGCCTAGCGTAAACTGTTAATGGGAATCCTTGTTCTGCTTTAACAGGTTCTAGAGATTGAAAATCGCATACAATGAAACAGGCTAAATATGTAGACATTGGTACAGTATTTGCAAAGTGGACAGAAGTTAATCCATTTGTGGGTACATTGAGCTCTTCAGACTAAAAAAAGAAAAAAAACACTTATTTATTTTGAATGTGTAATAAAAATTATTTAACTTTTCATACTAACCTCTTGGTTCATATTAGACAACGCAATATAGTTTTTACCAGATGGTCGAGTTAGACTTATTTTAAATTTTGATTTCATTTGAGGTTCATCAAAACATGGGAACGCAAACCGTGCATAGGTTGGTTCAAACTTAGAAGTAGCTATAAAATGTTGTTCATTGGTTTCTATATCAGTATATGTGCTGCGATAAAATCCAACTATTTTGTTTAGTAAAGTGCCATTAAATTTTAATTGTAATTTATGTTCTCCAGCACTTAATTCATTATCAGGGACCACAACCCAAAATTCATGTTTTGGATAAGAAAATGCTGTTACTGGATTTGAATTTAACGTAGTTTCACTGATGTTCAATCCTTTTGAATGTAATTTAATGTAACTTTGAGCAGTGTCCAATACTAACGTGACATCAACAGATCCAACAAATGTACCTTGTTCAAGATCTGGGTACAAATTGATAAAATATTGCTTAGGACGGATATAAGGAGATAATCGGTGTGTAGATTCCCATGGTTTGACTGCTATTATAGTCTAAAAAATGAATCCAATTGATTAAATTACAACAAAATCGAAACTTTATCGAAAAAATGAATTAAGTTTTTTAAGTAATCTTCATGTAGTAAATTATTAAACAATTAAATTATTATTATAAAATAATATATTAATTACTAAATAGGTATGCATCTATTTAAATTTGAAACTTACATCCATGGCCTTACGAATCATCAACAAGTTATAGTTTTAATAGTTAATTTTAATTTTTTGGTTTTTAGAATTTAAAAACTAAGTGTGAGAGAGATCTTTACTATACAGTACTACTTAATCACTAAGATAACTGGTAAGTGGTAAAAACTAAAAATTAAAAAGAAAAACTAATATGAAAAAAAAAATTAATTATGCACTATTATGGACAGTTTGATTATAGTGTTATCAATGTTATTATAAGAAAAATATTCAATTGATAATATGACACCGTGTTTACTTAAGTAGGTACAACTCTTCAGTCGTCTCGTTAGACAACATATAAAATGTTTACGTGATTGGGATAGAGAGACGCTGGACTCATTACGAGTCCGTTCAAGTTGTTGAAAGATAAATAGGCTCCACATAAAGACTTTTTATTTTATCTGTGAATATGAGGTAAACTAATGGGTATGTTACAATATAAATGTGTAATCTACGTATGTGTAAGGACGTAGGTAGGTATTGTAATTTGTAACGTGTTGCGGAATTGAAAATGTTTTTCAGGAACTAAGTGGGTAGGTACTCGTTTTGTTGTCGAGTTGGGTTATAATATTTACAATTGGGTACTATATAAATACTTACCTATACATATATAGGAGTATAATAAAACTAAAAATCGTGCAATACACATACGCATATATCTATCATACAGGTACCGGTTCCCGGATGAAACGTCCGGGGACAAAAGGTCCACGGGCAAAAAGTACGTTTTGAAAAAAGTTGGACAATACGTCCGAGCACGTTTTTACAATAATAATTTAAAATAAGTCGTTTTGAAAAATAGTCAATATAAACATTGATCACTACAATGACAACAAAAATAATAATAACAATTTTCAATTTACCATCGGAGGTGACCATAAAATAGCCGAACAATTTTATCGAAATTTTATTTGAACATTTTCACCGAACACTCGAAACAAGTTTATGATAAACCGTACATTGATATCCATTGAAAAAAAAATTGTTTTTTTTTTTTTTTTTTTTATTAATACGGTGTAAATATGGTTGAAAAATAATTGATTCATTAGACGTAGATTTATCTAAATCGTGGATAAACGTTAACAATAATAATAAGGAGATAATTTTTATTTTTATAAATGTTTCTCGGATTTTTTTGTCTGACAATAAAAAAACGAGTCCGGAGTTTTTGTCCATGGACCTTTTGTCCCCGGACTTTTCTGACCGATTACCATAGGTTATTTTGTCCATATTTGACCATATTTCGTCCACGAAGACACCTACCTACCTAAGCATAGTATATAATATTACCTATATATTACTTCGGAGTATAGTTGACGCAGGGACGTACGCAGAAAATAGTTTTTTTTTTGGGGGGGGGGAGTGTGTGTTTTTAAAATCAGTTATTGAAAATTAGTACTTTTTTTTTTTTTTGATAAACACATGAAAGATTAGGTTAGTTTAGGTAAAACTTAATACTCGGGTGGTTTAAACACCCGAAACGCTCTTCCCTACGTACGTGTCTTAGTTGACACTTTTGTGATGATATCGTCACGCAAAATATTTTTTATTTGTCGTGGATATAATGAAGTCCGTAAGCCGAATGAAATACGAGTGATAAGTAAGTAGATAGGTATTTCAAATTTAAATGAATGTGAGTTAGGTGTGAGAAAGTCAATGCTTATTTAGGGAGGCGGGTAGATACCCAGTTATATAATCTTATGCAAGTACATACTTTAGACAGCCACCAGCCTACCTACCTAGTGAGTTTATTTAGTTTGTAACACACCCTATACTACTTGTCGAGTAGATGGTTATTACCTATTTACCAACCTTGTTTTCTCTTTGGAAATATACTCGATGCCTACCATACCCAATCTAATACGTCCTCTCAATAAATTGGTTTTGCATAAAACATAATACCTATTATCGATTATAAATTAGCTACACCTAATATCAATGCGTAATAATATGCCAGATACATTTTCACGGGTGCTTATTGTCAGATTTCCCACGTATACCTCTACCTATTGTTACAACGGCTGTAACGGGCCCAACGCAGGGACAGGAGACTCGGAGGAAAAATGTTCGAAATAAAAAACAAACTCCGACTTGGGCTAATTAACAATTAATGTTTTCCACGCGAAAACAATACAAGTCCAATAAATTTAATTCGCAAAAACAATACAAGTCCAAACGGTTCGTACCACAAACGTCGAAAAATATTCCAAGGCCGAATTTTAATTTCGCGCACAAACATATGACCAAGTCCGTAAAACCTTTTTCCAAAACGCGCGTGGCGCGAGGTCGCTGGCATTTGGTCGCGGCGGACTCGTCCGATCCGACGATGTTCGGGGGCGGCGTTGTACGCGCGACACCCCGCAACCCGTCGTCCGGAGTGCGGCCATCCGCGTTTCCCGGAATCTCAAGCGTCGCCCGTCGGTCTGCGCGCGTTTATTATTTCATTACATGACTGCGGCCCTCGCGCGCGCTGTTACGCACAATTTGACGGATTCGAGGGGACACATTTCACTGTTGCTTTCGGCTCGCCCCGTTCCGGGTTGTCGGCGCTATCGTCCCTCCCCCCCTCCCGGCCGGCGTCGCCACCGCGACGGCCGTCTCTTCAATCCACACACCGCGCATTTCCGTATTAAACGGGCGTTCTTATATTGTTGTTTTGATTGCGCGTTCGCGGACGTGCCGTCGCCCTTGCTTCGCGCCTATCCGCGCTCGCGGTGTATAAAACGCGGAACCGTATGCTCAGCTCCCCGGTTTTTGGCCGCGGTCCTCCCCGTTTCCGACAATGATTACTGCGGGTTCACGCGCAGAGTACTCTCAGTAGCGCGTGGGCACGTAACACGGCCCCCGTAAGTAGGCCTAACCGAGAGAATTTCCCTGTGGGTAGGTCAATCGAACGTTACCGAGTTTTCAGAGTGTTTCGTCTGAATGGACCGCGGAGAACTGACCCGCTGACCCGATAGCCCCAAGGCAAACGAAAACCTAATGGTCGTCCTTGCGTTGCGACATTTTTTTTTTTACGTCTAAACACGTCACGGGTCGTTTTACAATGAGTATGTGCCTACCTAGATGATTTGATCATTCGATTGAAACACGATTGCGGACGTTTCACATTTTTCGCAACACGGTTGCGGACGATTACTAACGACAAATTGTATTATTTTGTGCCCGAAAAAAATCACGCGAAATTTTTAATGCAACGTTGCCAAGTTATGCGACGCAGTCTACAGGGCCCAACGATTATCAAATTTACGGTCGGCATAACATACGGATATCTCAGGTGCGAGCGGTACTGCCTGAGCTACTCACGTAAAGTTTATTGTCAATCGTGTACTATACAATATTGTTATTAATAAATATAATAATAATACAAATACAAATGATAGTATAAATGATAGTTTATGTATGATAACATTGACGTTTACAATATTTCGATTACAAAAATAAGGAAAACAAATTAGGCGTTGAAGGTTTGTTGTATGAATTAAAATATATAAGTAAAAGTATTCGCGTATAAGTATAAGCGCTTACTTTACACGACACATTTATAAAAGTCCACAGTATTAATACAATAACATTAGTACGTCAAAAAAATCATGAAAAGTACATAAAAGTCAAAAATCAAAAAAAAAAAAAAAAAACAGGCTCTCCACATACACATTTAAATTTATATTTTTTTCCTGTCTAATGATAACAAATTATTTTTAAATATTGTAATAAGTTTTTATGATTTTATCTTTACCGCGTTCTGATAGAATAATTTTAATTAAAAAAAAAAAAAAAAAAAAAAAAATAACACACACTTATAAACGTATACATTGTATAAGACATTGACATTATAACTCAATGGATATTATTGCAGTGTACTACAGTTTTTAACAGAATTTATTTGTAAAATACTACATTTAATAAACTCAGAATTCACACATTACCGATGTATTATTTATAAATTTGGCAACATTTTTCCGCAATCGTGTCGTTTCCGGGGTGCGTTGTTTAACTATAATCGTCCGTAAACGTGTTATTAAAAAAGGTTGTCCAGATAAGAACCATTCGCAATCGTGAATCACTGATTCAATAATGCGTGAGCATTTACTTATTTTTAGAAAATGGTGGCTAAATTATCTAACGAGATCTTATTATTGCTACTATAATATGAGCCTTAGTGATCAAAATGGTCGAAAATAGTGAAAATAAGCAGCGATGAAAATCGATAATCTAGGTACCTATCTACCAGAAATTTCATTAAAAACGAACGGTTATACCGTACATAATATGTCTAGTACACCTACCTGGTAATTATCTATAATATTCAGTGTTGAATCCAGGTATACTCGAGGGGCGGCAGGAGGCAAATGTTCCCGGGAATTTAATTCAACCTCCCAAAAAATACAACTGTCAACCAAATAATTAAAAATTAAAAATGATTCTGAACGCTGTTCGATTAAATATATTTTGATAAACCTAAATTGAAAACTGTATTGATTCGTGTCCTCAAAATAAATTGCAGTTTAAAAAAAAACTTATAATTACCCTGTACCAAATTTTCGAGCATTTTGAGATACCGAAACATAATAAATTTATCTAAAACTTAAAAACTCGACTATTAATAGGAAACCTAGAAATTTGTTAGAGTATTATTATGTAGGCTGCATCCGAGTTCCGTCCCAAATGTAAAATTTAAATTTAAGGATATACTAGTTCCGTCCCGGGTTTTTAAAATGGATATACTAATTTCGTCCAGTGTTATTTATTTGGTTATACGAGTTCCGTCCTGTTTTGCATTTTTTACACTATACAAATATAGTGAACAATATACTACGGTAACAATTTTATATTATTTAGAAATAATGATAATATTGCTTTCAGTTATCGCACTAAATTTGTATTCATTAATACTTTAATATTATTTTAATTTGTTTTGTATTTTAACATTGATAAGAAAATATTAAATCGAGACGGAATTGGTATATACCTACACTTTTTTTAATCTGGACGGAATTGATATAAAAAAAGGTTATTGGGACGGAACTCGGATGCAACCATTATGTAGGCACTTACTCGTGTATAACTTATTATTATAGTTATTACTAGGTATACCTACAAATAAACTCAGTTTATCTAGTATGTATACTTCCTAGCTAGCAGTAAGATCTTAAATGTTGTGGTAGGCAGTAATAACTTATGTATGCCTACATGAATACATAATGTCATAATGTTATAACTTATAATAAAAATTGTATGTCATTCAAATTATTTAACATTATCATGGTTATAGGTTATAGGTATTCCTACCTGTATTACATTTAATTATAGCGAATATTAACCATAATATTTAAATGTTTTCTTTATACAAAATAATATACAGGTATTTATTGATTATACATTAAATTAGGTATAATTTATAATTGTGTATATTATGTTGATTTAAATGTAAAATGATAATTGTATTAGGTATGTAGTAGAGGTACGTTGTTACGTGTAATGATTACACTGTAATCTACCGGTTACTCGGCCGTGGTGTTTGGTCTAAACTTGTTTTTAAAACCTATTATATATTGCAAAATGTTATGGATACATTCATGAGACAGTGAATCAAAGTAAGAACTTAGTCGGTCCAATTACGTCCGTTGCACATACGTAAATACGTAATCGGAAGTCTTTAGGGAAAGTATAGCATAAAATCAAATGGCACATCTTTTCCATAGTTACCGGTTGGATAAAATGGAGAGAAGCGTCAGGTGTTTTATCCGATAAGAAAATTCCAATGAGATTTGAAGGTAAGTTCTACAAAAGTGTGTTGAGGCTATGTTGTATGGATATGTTGTATGGTTCGTAGTGTAGTGTGGTAGACAGAAAAATAAAAAATAGTGAATATAATATAGCAGAGATGAAAATTCTTAGGTGGATGATGAGATTGGGAGAAAGATGAGATAGGACAGGATAGGAATGAGTATATAAGAGTTAGGTAGTTTAGAAATGGCTTCGATAGTAGACAGAATGAGAAAAAATATACTGAGATGATTTGGGCATGTCATGAGAAAATAGGGAGAGATGATGGTTGGATGCATTTGATAATGATATGAAGGCAGTCGGTGTATGCGAGGTGGGAGATCGGGTCAAGTGGAAGTTTGAGACGAGGGTAGCCAACCCAAAATAGTTGGGATGAAGGTGAAGGAGAAGACTAAGACGATTATAAACTAAATAAGATACGTCCTAGATTACTCGTAATTTTAATGCTTAAGGTCGAATTGTTTTAATGGTGAGTAAGCTGTGCGTTTTATAAGGTTAAGCTATTCAGATTTATTAAACAGATGACAGATAAAATATGAAAAAAGAGTAGAGGTCAATTTAATTAATCTATCTAATTAATATTGCAAAAAAAAAGTGTATATATAATTAACAAAAATAACCACATGCGTAGTATTTATATAAGCTACACACGTTCATTTAAATTGTCGTTATCAAACAATTTACGTTTGTTTGGTAGTTGTCTGGTATACCTTCCTCAATAATCTATGTAGTAGTTTTACCTATCTATATCCAATAAACGTATTGTGCATTTTTGATATAATATTTTCGGTAAACTTGAATTCTGTGTAGGTATACGAATACAGAATAGACAATTATTGTATTTAAATATGGTGATCTCATGGAAAATAATATTTGATGTAACTGATACCTTTTTATAAAAAAATATTTTGCTAAGATATACCTTACCTAAGATATTAAGGTAATAAGTAGGTATTTTTTTTGGTGACATAATGCCTGTGTGATATAACTTCTAATTATACAGAGTATAATAGTGTAATCTGCGTATTTCTGCAGTATTGTTTTAGACACTTACCGATTTGTTGTTGTAGGAGACCAATAAGCCTGCATTGTCTTGTGTAATCTCTTCCGTATTGTTATCGTAGATTTTAATCGTTACGGCCGTGGATGCCGTCCAAACGAATAAGACAGCCAATTTTATCATCACCGGCATCATATTTAACCCGGTTAAATATGCGACCGTCCGACGTTTTTATAATAAAATCAGGACGTGATGAACCTAATAACTGTACCTGTAATAAGCATCACATACATTGTAAAGTCCATTATATAGGTTGGTTTTTAATAATAAGTATATATATATACTGCTCGTTTGTATACGAAATGGTTTGAACCATTTATAATTATGAACCTATTACCTAATTGAAAAGTATTGTCTTCGATCACCTCTTAAAAAAATACACTTTGTATTGAAAACAGGGTCCTACAAGCACCAAATTATTTTACTACAATTTATGTGAGTACGTATACCTGCAGTGGTGTATTTAACTTCAGACTAAGCCGGCTGAAGCACTAAGTAAAAATGTCGGTGGTAGATTTCGGGGTAGTAAACTTGTTTGAAAGAAATCGTTTTAATTTTCGCTGGTAAAAACAATATTAAATAAAATAATAAAAAAAAAATTGCGTTGAACAGTGGATAAAAATTACAGTTTCGAATTGATCGGGAAAAATAATAAGTTTAGGGTGACAATAAGCAAAATACGCCACTGAGTATGACTATCGCATAATATCGACTTTCGTAAATATATACGATTCCGTACGAAAATGGGTGCCAACGTTGTTAACGCGTGCAAATAAGTCGGATTTCACAACGTTCATATGCATAAAACGTTACACAATTTGTTTACATAATTTTATAAGGCAGATTCAATTACTTTTACGCAGTTCGCAGGAATAAAAACTATCGAATGCTATTACAATTCTTGTTTTTAAATTAATTTAAACCAAATTTAACTTGTGCGCTAATCTAGAAACACAATAATAATTATATCGGTCTATTGAAGACGTTAAAAAGTCCAATCTCAATACCTATAATACCTTCAAGGTTTTGCTGTTTAATATATAGATAGGCAATGAAGTTTAAAAGATTCGGAGTGCGTACAAACCGAAAACCATTGTAATTATCCTTATTAAAGTACGAAACCTATTATATTAATAATTCAAGTCAAATTGATGACTTGTGATTATGTTGTGGTATTTAAAATTAAAAATTACGAAAAATAAAAAAAAAAGAGCTAATACTGGAGGTGTGAGAGGCCACTGTTGTAGGTGAGAAGTTGGATAGGTAGGATACATAAGGTTATTTAATTTATATCTGTAAGCGATAACGATAAACCATTGCTTGACGAAAGACGATACCGAGCGCAGTTCAGTAATACATAATTTGAAGTGCCGTATTTTTTTTGCGATTTTCGTTTAAATTTGATTTCATCAAAACGTTTATTAAAAAAAAAAGTTTTGGAAATTTTACTACGTCTAGGTAAGTCCAATATTAAGTATATATATATAAGTATTATTACCAAGTTTCTCATATCTACGTGTATTTATAACTGAATTAAAGCAAAAAACTCTCAAAAATTAAAATTCCTTAAAAGCTCAAAAATGGCTTAAAAGTTTTGGCAATGATACCGTAAGAAAGAAAATCAAAAAGGCAACGAAAAAGGTATCTTATGATTTTTCGATTAAATCATTTTTTCTGGTAGAAAACATTGTCCGTGTTTTTATAAAATAATGATTTCGTGAAATCGTACGTTTTCCCATTTGAGTGATTTTATTTAAAAAATGTAGTCGAAAATCAAAAAATAACCTCTTTAAAGTACCATTTAGATAATTTGAGCTTTTAGAAAAGTTGCTACACGTAAAAATCATCGGAGTAAGTTTACTAGAAAAAAACGTATCCACAGACTAGAAGAAGAAAAAGAAAGAAAGAAAGAAAGAAAGAAATAAACAACATTGTAAAACTAATAGCTCCTTTGCTACGCTCGGAATCTAAAATTTCAAATTTCAATTAAACATGAAACTAATATATTTTTTTTAAAATTTCAAATAGCTCTTATTGAGTCAGTCTAGAATTCAAGTTGATAATGTATCACTGTGTCTTGAAAAAAATCGTCAAATCCGAATTTGGTTTTAAATATTGAGGTTCTCATTCAAAAAAAAAAAAAAAAAATTTTTGTTGCCCATTCTCAGAATACGTTAGTTAAAAAAAATCGTATGTCAGACAGATTAATGGCACAGTAGTCTAATTCCATATTCCGAAAACCGAATTAAAAAATATCGATAAAGTACACAGTTATAAAGTGTGCCTTGTTTTTGTGGTCACACTGTACATATATTATAATTTACTATATATCTACCTTATTTAATTTTCATGTAAAAACTATTTTGCTAGTTCAGTAGTTTATACTTTATTAAAACATTTTAATTTGTTATCAGTTTATCATTATGAAATTTTAATTGTAATAATAAATAAATTAAACGTACCTACTTTGTTAATCGCCTGATTTGTATTGTAGTTCAATGCAGTCGAAATAATAATATAGAACATTTAAATGATCATGTTTTATACATCTGTTTTAGACGAATAATTAATGATAGACTATACGAATGTCTACTGACTACTGAGTACATAATATAACTTCTTGTCGTTATTCAAGAAAGTGAAACTAATTTCTGATCAATTTATTATTTGACCTTCCGCTGGTCATGGTCAAGTTGTTGAGTTAAGAAATTCCAATCATTCTATATAGAAACGTTGTTAAGATGTTACTTGGTGGACAATTTAAAAAAGCATTTTAAATTTATCAACAGTGCTGTACATAATTTGGTACCTAAAGTACGTATCTACATTATTATAATATACAGAGTGAGTAGATATATTTATGTCACAGTAGGTTTTTTCTTGCATAGCTTCATTTACAAATATCAGAGAGAACAATATTTATGCCTAGGTTGTATGAAAATAAAATGAAAAGAACAAAATGAATGCATTTATGATGGTTATGTCCTTATAAATGCGAATGTTTGTAGGGAAGATTGGAAATTCGGAATTTGAAATAAGAATATAAAGTTTGCGGGTATCGATGTATTAACTACTATTTGTTTTGAGTTATTTAAATTAAATATTTTAATATTAACAATAAAATATTGTACACAACACTAAATGATAATAGACCGCCGGACGCCCATAGAACTTATTGGTACAAGGTCTATGCGGACGCTGACATATCGTCCCAAAAAAACATTGCCGTTGCCTATAGATAGCTTTTGAACATTATCATAAATATTATAATAATTGGTGAATAAAATCGAAATGTCTGACCTCTAGTGATAATGCTACCTGAAACGAGCGCGCTGTAATAATGTTAATATTTTCAAATTAGAAGTATGAAATATATTATTTCTTTCTTTTTTTTTTGTTTTAGAAAAAGTCATTTTTTATGTGGTGATATTGTGATATTGAAAGTTTTTTTAAAAAAAATATTTTAATACGGACTCCAGTGGCTATTTGTGTGTGTATTATGGTCTATGGTACACGTTGTGCGCTACAAAAAAATAAAAATGTACTAAAAAATTGTAAAATAGTTACGCGATAACAATAATATTAATATCAGCTATTGGCTATTATTAATATAATGTTTTAATGATACAATTCTAAGGAAGAATGCCGTAAATCGAAAAAAAAAAAAAGTTGAAATAATACTAATTCTCTCTTACGTGTAATATGCTAGTTTTATACATTTTTCGTATGTTTGCACAAATGCCGTAACTATAGTTATATATCCAGAAATTCGTTCCTATAAAAAAACTAGATCACCGCAATCCGAATTAAACATTATCGATATTAAATAAAAAACGCCGTAATCACAGTGTGTTAAAAAAGATTGCCATATGTTTTATTTCAAATACGGCGTTTTTACTTAGTACTTACTCGTCATTTATATTTACGTCATTTTTGTTTAGAAAACTCAGCTAGTTTATCCGTGGTGTATTATTGATACATCAATCAATTATAATTGATTGATGTATAGTTCATAAACTCCGTTGATTCCGAGTTTACCGAAGAATATATTAGTTTTACAAAGATGTTTGTTTTTTTTTTCTTTATTTTTATGTGAAAACTTTTTCTACCAGAATGCTAACCCCGATTATCAAGTATAGCACATTTACTCTCAGGAAATGTTCTCTAGGTGGTACTTTAAATTGGTCTTTTTTTGAAATTATCATTAATATTTGAGATAATGAGGGAAACCTGGTTCTTTAGGTTAAAAAAGATTGAAAGATTAAAAATCATGTTGTCATTGGCAACTGTTTTTATTTATTTTTGTTATTATTAATTTTAATCTTTTTTTTAAACAATCATTGTTGTCATGGAAGCGTAATGGAATTGTAATCATTGTACCATAATATAACATATATAAATATATATATTGTTGATAAAGCAACACGCTATCAACTGAACTCCGTCAGAATCGTTAGCAATGGTTTATCATTGCTTACAGATATACATTAAATTCCCGCCTGTATCCTACCTTCCCAACTTCCAACCTACAATAGGGGCTGCATTGCTGCACCCATGAGCTAGGTATTTCCATCCTTCTTTATTTTATTTATTTGTATAGTATCTATGTATAATATAAAACTAGTTGTTCCGTGTCCGGCGTTGCCCGTGCCAATTTGTGTTATAATTATTTTACCCATATTCATTTTTGGTTTTAACCTTGGCAGAATTGAGTAAAAAAAATTAGGTGGGAAAGTGGGTAGTCCACTTTCGGCGGATTAAATGTGTTATATTGTGAAATTTTAATATTGTAAAAAATAGTAATAATAATAATTATTATAGTTTTCTTTTCCGTATCACCAAGGTAGCCCTTGAATAAACAAAAATAAATAAATAGGCAATTAGATATTCGTACAAAATATACCTAAAAAAAACCCTATTTTACCGTTAATCAGTCAGTCAGGACATATTATTTTATTTTGTTATTTTGTTTTAGATAACGTGTCCTGACTGACTGATTCATCATCGCCTCGCCCAAACCACTGGGCGGACCGGGCTGAAATTTGGCACACAGATAGCTATTATGATGTGAGCATCTGCTAAGAAAGGATTTTTAAAGATTCTACATCTAAGGGGATAAAATAGGGTTTTTTTTAGGTATATTGCTAGTTAAGATTTGGTACCTACTTTTTTTACTTAAAATATTCACTAAACGAATCACCAATCTTTATTTTGCGTGGTTTTTAAGGAAACTGCCTACCTAATCCTGTTTTAAATAATTATTTAAAACAGGATAATAATAGAAATTAATCTATAATTTTAGAAATGAATTGGGATTGGATATTGTTTGACATTATATTAACAAATCTATTTAGTATTTAAATATCTTCGAGATATCTTTTTTTCGAAATTTCGAATCATTCGAAATATCACTACCTATTTAATTAATAATTCATATTTATTAATTATTATTTTTCATCCAATTAGTAATGAACGCTTCATTGTGTTCTAACCATTTAATATTATTTACAACCGTTTCCATTGCCGTTGTTCGATCTAATTTTCCAGCACCAGCATCTGGATATTTTTTGTAAAATGCCTTCATCTAAAAAAAATATAAACAAGTCACACAATCATAGGTAAATGTCTTAAATGAAATGGCGCCGTGCATTTTACGCAAGTGCGTTTTTCGTTCAACACTTTTTTCGTGCTATTTCCGCCCGTCTACGTATAATGTTTACCTGTTGAAATTATGTAAGGTGGACTATGTGCTCGAAAATTTAAAATTATAAATTAACGTGCATTTAATTTATTAAAATATTGTATTACGAGTACATAATTGCTAAATTGTTATTAAAACTTAATACAGGGTACGGTGTAATGAACTCCCATGTTACAAAAATCATTAGAGCGTAATCAAATTGATAAGATAAAAGCGGTTTATTTAGCAAGGTTTTTAGTCGTCACTATGCCTGCCATGGTCCGGTGAATAACGTGGTTTTATTATCGAAGGATATTTCAAAAACGCCGAATCTGTGATTGCGACACAGAGAGCATTTCGCACTTGTTTCGGATTGATTTCAAACGAAAGTGTCCCTGATCGGAAAATAATTTTTAACTGGGTACAAAATTTAAGAGCAACGGGATTTGTAATGCCTAATACACCAGTTGGACGTCTCAAGTCTGTGAGAACACCTGAGAACATTGCCGCAATAAGAACATCGATGGAGCAGTTTCTATTGCGTTCTGCTCGAAAACATGCCTCTGCTTTCGGGATATCGGATCAAACGGTAAGACGAATTTTGCACTGTGATCTTAAATTACACTCATACAAGACTCAGGAATGAAGTCAGCTGATTGGGGAAGACGAAAAGATTGCTGTAATGTGATTCTTACAGCTGTTCTTCCTAATGGTATTGTGTGGAGTAGCGACGAAGTGCATTTCCACATTTCTGGCATAGTGAACAAACAAAATTTTCGTTACTGGGCTGCTGAAAACCCTCAAACAATACACCAACGACCTCTTCATAGACCCAAAGTAACAGTTTGTGTGCTTTGTCTACGGTAGGCATCGTGGGACCTTACTTTTTTGAAGAGGGGGGCGTCATAGTTACTGTGATTTCCAATCGGTACTGCGAGATGTTGGAAAACTTTTTACTCCCAAAAATTGAAAATTACGAAAATAGTGATGCTTTTTGGTTTTAACAGGATGGGGCCACATCTCATAAGACCCGTCGTTCTCATGCTGTTTTGCTAGAAATGTTTCCTGGTCGCCTGATCTCCTTAAGGGAAAACATCGCATTGCCTCTTCGCTCCCCTGATTTGAGCCCATGTGACTATTTATTATGTGGATACCTCAAAATTGAAATTTTCAAACATCGACCTAGAACTATTGAAGAACTAAAGGAGGTTTTCCGTTAAGAAATCTCTGGGATTCCACTCGATATGCTGGCGAGAGTGATGGACATTTTTCGTAAACGGCTTCAAATGTGCGTCACTCGTTAAGGCCATCATTTGGACGATATTAATTTTAAATAATAATTTAAAAAAAAACTTTATATAATGTAGTTTTTATAAATAAAATTGTTTTTTCCATATCTTGTATCATTTTTTTTAAATTCACCTCGGAAATGTGGGAGTCCATTATGCCGCACTCTGTACATCATTTGCGAGTACATTATACACATGTTTTATAATTGCCTAATCTAATCAAATTTTTGATTAAACGATAAAGGTAATAAACATTTTTTTTAAATTTTGACTTTTTAGGAAATGTCATTTGTATTTGCCTTATACTTTGATCTAAAGTATATGTATACGTTTTTTTTCTTTTGATGATACGTACTCTAACCACAAACTATTCAACGATGATTCCGATGCATTAGTTATGATAGAAAATCAGTACGTATAAAATGACGAAAAATATAATTTATAACTATACCTATTATTTATCATTTGTTTAATAATCAGAATTAAAACTATAATAATTTGGGAATTTTATAAAATGTATGTATAATTTTAAATTTTAAACGAATAGTCCACCTCATATAATCTTAGCAGGTTGAGATTACGATAATGGGCGGAAATAGCACGAAAAAGGTGTTGAGCGGAAAACGCACAGGCGGAAAGTGCACGCCACTAAATCAAATAACGGTCACCTCATCAAGGCGTTCTTGTGTTTGAAAATATGCACACGTATTGACTATAATGTTTCCAAGACCTACATCATCTAACGTGAAACGTTTTACCAAGTACTCCCATTCATTCCTGAAAAAAAAAAAAAATTATTATTATACATATTATATTAACAAGTCTATGATAATTATATATATTATTTATATTGTACTATATCGTATGATAATATATTATAAGAGTGTTTTAATATACCTGATAAAGTTCCAAACTAAAGGAGGCCCCAAAACATTTTGACATATATCATATAGAAAGCTAAAAAAATCTTGAGAACGAATATATTTTTCGTTTTTCGAATATTGTATTAATCTAAAATTATTAGCAATTAATTTTATAGTCAATATCAAACATAATTATGCTAAAAAATTACGTTGATAATAATGATGAATCTTTTGTATATGTCAACGCTCCCAGAAATTTAAGACGTAGGTGAGGGTCTTGCTCTTTTAAATATAAATCCCATACTTTATTCCAATCGTCAGTGTTACCAGAGGCTATTCCTATAAAACAAAAATTAACAGCTAGCTAAAATTAAAACGAGAGCATAATGTATTAATATTACAGTTTTTATGGTAAATAAAAAAAAAATATTAATTGAATTAATAGCTGAAATATTACTTATAGTTCTATATTATTTTGTCTGCAAAATATTTACCATAGCAGTAAACAAAATATTTTATATCTACATTTATCGGAATTTTCTGGTCTAAGAATTTTTTGAATATTTCATAAATTTTTTTTTTATAAATGGGCACATCACATAAACCTCCAATGTGAATCATTAATTCCCGATTTCTTCTCTCCAAATATGTTCGACTAATTGAATCATTCCATAAATCTTCATTTACGCCCCTCAATAAATGTTGTAAATAACACTTTAATAAATGAATGAATTTTAATTAACAATAAATTCTAATCCCAATCGATAGAGAGTAGTAACTAAATATTGAAGAAGACCTGCAAGGGCCGAACTTTTTTTTATGCATGCGGACTGGATGGGTTTTTAAATTTTAAATTTATTACATGCCTGCCTGGGAATTATGTTAACAGAAACATGCAGGATGGACTTTTAAATTTTAAATTTATTACGGACCATGCTTTTTTGACAAAAACATATTTATCCTTATATACTTACCTATCTTACTTTAACCTTATATACCACCAATCATATAAGGACTGACGTGGTACAGCTACTTAAAAATGACAAAAAAAATATTGGCCGGGCTAAACATTCATAAGCGATCAAAAAATCTAGGCCATGCTGGGCTTTGAAAAAAATGTTTAAAACGGTCCGAGTTTTTCCACGGCAATAAAATACTGTGCCAGACTTTTATATACGCACAAAAATATCTGGCCGGGTCGGATTATTTTTCAATTTTTCCGGGCCAGGAATTGTTGGCCCGTGCAGACCACTACTACCTATTGGCTAATCTTACCTTATATTGGGGACCTACAGGTCGATCAACAAGTTTATACCATAAAGTTTGCAGCTTTATAAAGGCCACATTCCATGGCACATAATGATATTCAGAAATTAAATATTTCGCCATAGTCAATGGGATTTCATACGATATATAAGTGGCTTCTGCTAAACTGAATGAATCATATAGAAGATTTGCACGGTCAGCAGCACTGAGTGCCTTTAAATAATTGTTTTTAGGTACACACAAATTTTGAATTATCTATAAGTTGTATATTAGTAAATACTTACATTAATATTCTTTTTTAACAAATTGCTTAATAAACACCAATCGTCATTTGAATAATTTACAATGTAATATCCTATTTGTCTATAATTTATTTTTATCCATTCTATATTAGTTCTGTCTATTGTCACTATGAAATAAATATATTTATGAATATTTTATCTTAGTTTTTTACACAATAAACTATAATGATACATACCCGAATCCTGATTGGAACATAACCAAATTTTGTGTGCGATTGCACTATTTTCTGAAGTTATATACGTCAACGGTATTTCCCATTTGTATTTAAATGGAGACGAATCCACAGAATAAATAGCGTTTGGATCAGTTAAAAATCTATGCTGTTTCAATGTTAATTTAGTTCCATCTCTCGTTGCTGATACCACTGGGAACCCTGTCTGACGAGTCCATGTATCCATCACCTAATTAATAAAAATATGAAAATTTTGATGCAAAATATTTATAAAATAAAACAAATAAAATAGTTATAAATTATAATCAGTCTTTATCTAACTCTCGCCTAAGAAGGTTGTACTTTGGTCTATTGTGCGACAATCGGCGAAATACCGATAACAATGCCCGCCTACAACAAGTGTTTAACCAATATTATTTATCTATTATATAAATAAATAATATTTATTATTATCTTTATTTATCTCTTGTGCAGCGTGTTCACATTACTGGCACGCGAAGTGCATAAATCTTACTGAAGATGATGTTGATTTCTATGCATTGAATGTGAACAAGTGGTACTGCGAAGGTTGTTCCAATCCAAAGAGGTCCAGCACTCAATTAGTCACTAAATCTTTGAAAGGTAATTTAACTTTATCGGACATAAAAATAATGCTCGGTACCGTCAATAATAGTTTGACCTCCCATAATTGTGATATTAACCAACGTTTTAAACTTTTAACAATTTAGACGACTAACTAAATAAAGCCATAACTGAAAACATCACTTTAACTAATACCATTTTTCTACTTAAATCTTAAATTGTTAACCTTGAGCAAAAATTTATCTCTAATGAAATTACTATCGACGGTGTTCCGGAAATCTCTAATGAAAATATAATAGAAACAGTTAAAAGTATAGGAAATTAACTAATTCTTAAAGTTGTTGATTTCAAGATAAATGACTGCTATAGAATGAGATCCTGGCACCCGAATCACCACACTCCTAAGTTACTGGTTAAATTCGTCAAACATATCGATAAATCAAACTTTTTAAAAGCTCGTAAAATTGAAAGGTCTTTTCCCTCTAAATTTCTGGGTCTGAACTCTGATTCACCGGGATATGTACGAGGGAACCTAGTCTCTAGAAAAACATGTTACTTAAACAAGCGAGACTTTAAAAAAATGTAATGATTTCAAATATGCGTGGACTTCGTAGGGAAAAGAATTTATACGTAAGAATGACGTTTCAAAAGTAATTCACTCTGGAAACCATCATACATTCTCCGTTAAAGTAGTCAAAGTCTAATAATAATTTTAATTTTTTTTTTTAATTTTAGAGTATTCGGTTTTAAAGAATTAAAAAAAAATATTTTTATTTAGTTTGGTTTATATTTTGGTGGATACTTTTCCTGGTAAAATTAATAAGGGAACCTGGAATGTAGTACAAATCACAGATTAAACCGAAGAGCAAGCCTTGCTTTATGGAGGAATATGATGAAGAAATAACTAGACAACGTCATGTAATTCAGCAATGGATGGAAGTAGAAATTAGGTGAAATGTAAAATTTAATTTTTCTATTGATTGATTTTTATTAACCTAACCTTATACGGACAACATGTCTACACAACGTTAGGTTAACTATTATGTACAACTATTATAGTAGAGTGATAATGTTATAGTATGAGTCATATAATTTCACCTTTCGGACATCCACTATATTTTGAGAAGCTATTTGTAATTCATACCATAAATCATCTGTTTGTGCGTTATTAAACTGATGTTTTTTTAAATATGAAATTATGCCAGTTCTGAATACATCTTTACCCAACGTTTCTTCTAACATTCGTAGTATAGAGGAACCCTAAAACATAAAAATATTCATTTATATAAATATAAAGAATGACTTTCAATAAATATGCTTTATTATTAGCGTACTTTGTTATATGATATTGAATCGAAAATTGAATCTATTTCATCTGGATCAGAGACCTCTTGTACGATAGGATGTGAACTAATTTTATCATCTAGGCCCATTACGTCATGAAGTATATTTATTAACAACATTGTATCCTAAACAGAATATCATTATAATATATTCATTGTTAACAAAATTAAACCAGATTTATTTATATGAATATAAAACAAACATAATCCCAATCTGGCTGAACGACTTGAAGCGCTTTTACTGCCATGTAAGTAGCAAACCCTTCATTGAGCCATAAGTCATTCCACCATTTCATTGTAACTGAAATTTATTCAAACTACAATAACAAAGGTCCTATTATATACAAAATTAATATAAAACTAATATTAAGTAGTACTTTAGATGATTATTCGCAAGTATTAATAAGTATTATCTAGTAATATTAATAATTATATTTTGATAACATTTTGTTTTAAGTCAATTAATTTACCTAAATCTCCAAACCACATGTGAGCTAATTCATGAGAAACAGTTACCGCTACTTGTTCTTTGTTATAACTAGACGAAGTACATTCATCATATTCAATATCTTCTTCTCGGAAAGTCACAAGACCCCAGTTTTCCATGGCACCCTCAGCAAAATCGGGAATCGAGATAAGATCTAAAAAGATTACATATAATTCACATAGATCACACATCAAAATATTAGAACAAAGGTAACACGAGAAAAATAATTTTAATTTAATGATTTAAATATGTTTTTAGATGTACAATTAGTAATAGTAAATTTTACCTAACTTTGGTAATGGGTATTTAATTCCAAAATATTCTACATAATAGTTAATTGAGTTGAGAGCTACAAATCTGGCATACTTCAGATTTTGTTGTTGACCACGTCTGGCAAATGCTCTTATTGAGAATCCCTGATCTGTTTTAACTGGCTCAATTGATTGAAAATCGCATACAATAAAGCATATTAGGTATGTAGACATTGGGACAGTGTTTGCAAAATGCACAACAGTCAATCCGTTAGTAGGTGATATGACCTCTTCGCACTACAAAAAAATGATATCACAGGGGTATGAAATTAAAATTAAATTAAAAATTATAACCTCTTGGTTCATGTTTGACAATGCAATAAAATTGTTATCAGACGGCCGTGTAATGCTAATTTTAAATTTCGATTTCATCAAAGGTTCATCAAAACACGGAAAGGCAGATCGTGCATATGTTGGTTCAAACTGTGTAGTAGCAATGTATCTTTGTTCATCAGAGTCAATATTGGTATATACACTTCGATAAAATCCCATCATTGTATTTGATAAATGACCGTTAAATTGTATCCGTAATTTATAGGTGCCAGCGCATAGTTCATTATCAGGAACCACTACCCAAAATTGGTATTTTGGATACGAAAATGCTGTTACTGATTTTGAATCTAACGTAGTTTCCGTGATGTCCAAATTATTAGAATGCAATTTTATGAAGCTTTGAGGAGTCTCCAATGTTATTGTAATTTCAACATATCCAGAAAAGGAATTATTTTTAATAATCAGGCTAATATAAAGAACATACTGGCTAGGATGAACATGTGGAGATAGTCTTAGTGTACAGCCCCATGGTTTAGCTTCCATAATAGTCTATAAATAATATAGTTTCAATTTTTCAAATATTAATCAAATTATACATTAAAATAAAAAAATAATAATTTGATTTCATTATTTTTAAAAAATTTGAAGATAGCCGTTTTATAGTACCTATAATTAAGTAGCAGGCTGTGAATAAATTCGCTAATTGATTATTATTATTACTACTAATTAATTGTATATTTCTTTTCTTTGAACTTTATAAAACTATTCAAAATCACAAATTTAATGAAATTAAAAAGTTGATACGTGAAAATGTTCAGAAGATCTTTTATTTTCAAATTTTTCAAAAATAATAAAATAAAGTTATTTTTTAAACTTTTTTATCAAATCATAACATATTAATTATTGCAATGTAAATATTATGAGTCCTTTATTCTTATGATTAATTAAAAAAAAAAAAAACAGATTTTGATTATCTTTATTATCTGCGGAGATATTACAAAGGGTATATCTTCGTGGAACACCTTATATAAGTTTGATCTGTCTGATATTTTCTTAAATTTATTATTTATTATTCTTATATTAATATTTTAAAATTTTCCTTATAATTTCTTATGAATTCGAAAATAATTTATATAATTTATAATAAGTAGTAGATACCAATGCAATTTTAAAAAAAATGTTCAGGTAATTTAATATTTAAATTAATAATGATTGTAATCATTTAAAAATACAATAAATTATGAGTATTTTATCCCTCAAAATTGACAAAATATTCTAAAATTTGCTATATTTTATTTAGTATAAATATTTTTAAATATACAAAAAAAAAAAAAGTGGACGAATTTGTTCACTTTTTTTACTTTCATAAAACTGCATATACTCAGCCGCAATATGTATGAACATTAAAATCAGGACTCTAATATTCTCTAAGTATTAGAGAAATGTATATCGATATAAGTATAATAATTATCCATAGTACATTACAAACACTCACTGATTTGTTGAAGGGCATCTTTGAATTGCCACAATCAGTTTTGTTATAGCTGTCTTGTGCTACTGTATCTTCTACAGTAATTGATGGCATTACCATCAAAACTAATATGGTCGTTAATCTTATTATTGATATCATCATATAAGTATAATTTAATCCTGTAAATGTTCGACAGAGTAACGGTGCTGAAAATACGTGCACTTCCTGTAAACATGCATATCATTTTACAGTCCTTGAAAACAGGTAGGTAAGTACAATAACGTTGAAACCACCTCCCCCCAAAAAAAAAAAATGTGAGGTATGTCATTTCATAATTACACATACCAACACACCTATCAAAAATTGTGATACTGAATATTGAGAATAATGGATTTAATTTAATTAACATCGTTATCATTAAAATAATACGAAGAATACTGCAAGGATTTCAATTATCAATTTGAGCACGGTAGTATAGCACATTTTAGATATGGTACAATTATGAAATCATTCTGAAGATGTTACCTACTTTATCCAACGTAACCTATAATATCTATTTTTTTGATTTTTAGTGTAGTAATGAATGTATTGGTTTTACAAAGATATTAATGTTTTTATTTAATTATTATTTTATAATAAAATAATAAAGTAAAATAAGTTTCATCTTTCAATCTTTTCAAACTAGCTATGCTGGATATTTGACCTGAAACTAATATGGTACCTAAGTTCCTAATTGTATACAAATATTTAGGGAATTGGACGTTTCGACGATACAGCAATGATAAGATTTTTATTTATTTTTTATTATTTTGTATACGTGTATCATCACTATGAATGTTTTTTTATGTCTATTAATAGTAAAAAGCAGGACAGGACACGTATTATGAAAATCTCGTGTCAGGAAACAGTCCTCCAAAGAAGTTGAAGAAATTTCAAGACACCGACAAAAGAATAAAAAAGTTAGTAGACAAATTAGATAGGCAAAATAAAATTATATTTTTAAGAGATATAGCAAATAATATTGCTTTAAATTGAATAACTATAATTATTTTGACTTATTTATTTATTTTAAATATTTTACTTAATTATACCATTAGAACATAGTATTTAAATTTTAATTAAGATGCCTTATAGACATGATAAACATGTATAGTAATAATAATACACGTATAGAAATAATAAGATATAAAATAACTGTTGTATTTATCTTATATATAAAAAATACAATTTGTTTGTGTGTTTGTTTGTTAACCTTACACTACTTTACATATATTTTCCCTATTTAATTTTACTGAGTAAAACGGGAATAAAGGTAAAAATAATTGAAAAATTGGCACGAGCAATGTGACAGCTAGTTATAATATGCTATTGAATTAAATTAAACTTTTTTTCACTATTAACCGACAAAAATAAAACATTTATTGTTATGATACACGTATACAAAATGATAAAAAATAAATAAAAATCGTATCATTGTCGTATCGTTGAATTGACATTTCACCGAAACGTTCCCGTCAGCGCCAAATCGTCGGCACCGAAACTTCCCAGATTCAAATATTTGGGTATCAGTGGTGGGTGTATCACAGTTCTGAGGGAGGGGAGCAAGGTGAGTTTCAAATCTACATAAGTAATGGGTTATAATGCCTATAATTTTATGAAGCTTTTATTATAATATTTAACCAGTAGTCAGTAATGCAATTTACCCACCTTCATTGGCTTCATTGTGTGATATTAATTTATAGAAAAGAAAATCTTCGTCATTTGATGTGCTCAAACTACTGATTAAATATTATAAGTAATAGATTATAAACCATAATAATATTCACATTTGCCATAAAAAATTTAAAAAAAATTAAAAATCATACATAAACAAAAATTTCAACTATTAATGATTTTGTTAAAATCTATTTTACGAAATGGCTATTTTGAATTTTTTATTTTAAAATCACTGCCTAAAAAAATATTTGTTTTTTTTTATAAATTGTAGCAGAGGCATACTAAATATTTTTTTTTAAAAAATGCATACAAAATATTTCATAGTACAGAAATTATTTCAAGTGGCAAATCTTTGTGTTTCAACGTGTATAGTGGTGACAAAAATCCACAAAAATATCCGGCACTATTGGGTATAGTTATTTTTATTAAAATTAAATTTTATTGAAATCATAATAATTTTACTTCTACTTTACCGAAGTTTAATTAAGTATAAAATTATATCATAAAGAAGTATAAACTTTGAATAAAATATACTCAATACAATATATCAATAATATAATATCATTCAAATATTTAAAAAAAAAAATTAGTTGATTAACAGTTAAATAACACTTACTCGGTCACTGATAGAACATTAAACAATATTTTTCGTTTAAATATTAAAACACAATCAGTATCACCATGAATATTATAAACTAAATTTCCAACTACGTACCTAAATACTCTTACAAACGATAAAATAATAATTTTATCATAGTTTATACCCATATATCATTAAAAAATTATGTACCTACATATGCGATATATCTTCACTGACATGCCTATAATAACATTATTGAATTATAAATTAATTTCTTTTGGATTATCATTTATCAAACGTTATAATATGCAATAATATTAAACTATTTACCATGTACCATTTTTATAAAAAAGTGTGAACAGGTGCTTGCTGTGCTATAGGATATTTTTCTTTTTTTTATAAAACACATTTTGTTGTAACTACACATACCCGAAATGTTTCATTAACAACTATACTTAGTTTATTGTATTGTGTATAAGTACTGTGTACTTACACAGTAACATTCAACACACATACAACTATAGTATGCACTTAATAAATGATCTCACGTAAATATACTAAATGCAGATTTGATTTTGACTTTTAATATTATTACTTAATAAACAATTTACAAAAAAAAAAAAAAAATTATGTTATGCTATTTTATTTCATGCAAGTTCACCATGTCGGTAGAGACCTACTGATAAATATTTTTTTTTTGCGTAGTTCTATATATACATATTTATTTCAATTAATTTGTTTATTATTAGATTTATTTAAATTAAACAAACCATCTTTCAACTTTATCCCAATTATTTTTTATCAGTCATATTTCAAATTCAAATTATATATTATTTGTTTACGTATCTCAATTATAATAAATTACAATATTTCTTACTTATTATCAATAATAATATCAATGAACTTAAAAATTAAAATTTTTTTCTTAGCTATTAGATTCTAAGTGGAACGAAGAATTTATATGTTTTATTACCTTTATTATACATGATTTTCAGACGTTGGTGATTTTTTTGAGATCTCGAGCTTTTTATGTAATTAAATAAAATTAAATGCCATCATATATGCGATTTTGTTTCCATAAATTATCATTTTATAGACACATGTATATGGATAGATTTTTCGCTATTTATTTAAATTTTTCATATATGAATATCACTTCCTTATCGTTAATGTGAGTTTACAAGGGTTAGCTGGCAACTAGTCGATTATCATGGGAAGTAAAAATGACTTTTTCGTTCGCAATTTCAGCTTTTGAGATCTAAAGAGATGCTGGTTAGTCTGTCACGAATATGCAATATACAGACTGATTCACTTAGCGTGTTCACCTCATATTTTTTTTTTGGTTAAATTTTGCATATATTAAAATTTTGATTTTTAGAATTTTTAAGTGTAGTTATAGCCGATATTTCCGAATACTGTGGTGAGAAAAAATGAGGAGGAAGAGCAGCACAACTGACGGAGGGCAGCGGCGCAGTGCGGAATCTGAGTTGATCTGCATAACTTCCTGTAACAAAAATATACATAATTATTTGTATGCCGAAAGCAAATTTGTGAAGACACTGTCCCAATTTTTGTATAGATTTTAAGAATGTAAGGGCATGTCAGAGGGTTATACATCTCCCACTAATCCACAAAAGCTGTATTTAATTTTGTGTTAAATAAATGATTGGGGCGGGAGGGGGGGGGGGTGAAGTGACTAATGTCCATACGTTATTTTCAACGAAAGAGTGACTAATAAGAAAGTCCCCGAGAGATAATGCACATTAATCGATTGGATTGGCAGACAATGGAGCATTTAGACGGGAATTAAGCAAAGCCACGATACGAATAGATAGAGTGGCCATTTCTTCGAATGTCAAACGTTAATTACCTACGACTCTTTTTAGATGACATTTTGTTGATTTGACAGTCGCTTTTCACAAGCCACCTAAATGAGGCACTGAAGTAGGGTTAAAGTACCATCTGCACCAATATGGCGTCGGAATATATTATTTGAGCTGTAGATTTTAGTAACCTCTTTGAAAGTACAGTGACTGACCACTCAGTTTCCGGAAATTTTAAAAATTGAAAGTCGTGTTAATATAATTCGCGGTTATGAATCTGTGATAGAAAGAAACACAATCCGTAAAGTTAGACTCCGACAAAACATGGCGGCAGTGACAGGTTGTTACAAGTTAAGTGAACAACTTTTCTACCAGCTATTTTACTGATTTATAATGATAGCACTTTTTCTAAAAGGAAATCTGACTGGAGTGGTACTTTAGAAAGGTAATATTTTGATTTTTCCAGAAATTTTCTCAATAAATGAAAAAAACGGTAAAATAAACACAATATTAAACAAATATTATTAAAGAAAATATATAATGCATTTAGTAATTATTTTACCATAATGTGACGTTTATGTTGTTGACAAAGCAACACTAACATTAACCGAACTCCGCTCAAAATCGTTTTTCGTTAGCAATGGTTAACCGTTGCGTACAGATAAACAGATATACATTAAATTTCCCCTCTATCTTTCCAACCTCCTAATTCACAAGAAACAGTTACTGCTACTTGTTCTTTGTTATAACTAGATGAAGTACATGCATCATATTCAATATCTTCTTCTCGGAAAGTCACCAGACCCCAGTTTTCCATGGCGCCCTCAGCAAAATCGGGAATCGAGATAAGACCTAAAAAGATTACATAGAATTCACATATTAAAATATTAGAACAAAGGTAACACGAGAAAAATAATTTTAATTTAATGATTTAAATATGTTTTTTTAGATGTACAATTAGTAATAGTAAATTTACCTAACTTTGGTAATGGGTATTTAATTCCAAAATATTCTACATAATAGTTAATTGAGTTGAGAGCTACAAATCTGGCATACTTCAGATTTTATTGTTGACCACGTCTGGCAAATGCTCTTATTGAGAATCCCTGATCTGTTTTAACTGGCTCAATTGATTGAAAATCGCATACAATAAAGCATATTAGGTATGTAGACATTGGGACGGTGTTTGCAAAATGCACAACAGTTAATCCGTCAGCAGGTATAAATCGGTAAATAAATAGGTTAAAATAGCTATTGAAATTCACCCCCTATTGAATACTGTTTCCTTAAATTCGGTTTTTAGGTAGTTTTTTTTAGTATAATTAGTATTGTTTATTTATGGATTACCTTAGTAACATGGATGAAAATAAAATATTGTTATTCATTTTTGTAATGCAAATAATGTAATCCCAGTGCTGTGCGGATATCTATGGTTATAGCATATAATGATGATAATTTATCTATTCAATTTATTTAGAGACTTTTTTTTATTGCACAGACAAAGCCGGTTCCAATATTATGACTCGATAATTCCCTTCGCAATAGCCGTTTTAAATTCTACTAATTCGTGTGAAAACTTATGTTATCTCGTGAATAACATAACCGCGTTACGCGTTAACATCGGTTTTCACAGGGATTAGGATAATTTAAAACGGCTGTTACCTAGAAACTATTCATCGGATATAAATGTGTGATATATTCAAATTTTCAGAAAAATAAACTCTACAGAATGGCTATCTTAAAATTTGGCAATTTAACAAGAAGTTCATTAATTGTTGTATTTTGTGGGAAAAAAATGTAAGCGTAATGTAGTATTTTTTTTATAAAGAAATTTTAATAATTATTTATTTATTTACATGATGCCCGAAGGTGATTGTACAAAGAATTATTTTTATAACAAATTTTGATGAAATTCGTTGAAAATGATGTGGAACAAATCTAATTTTTTAATTTTAATTTTTAACATATATATATAGCCGATTTATGAACCATGGTGATATCAGAATTGAGCGGACTTAGTTTCGAAATTTGCAATTTTTAATGGTTTATCATTGTTTACAAATATACATTAAATTCCCTTCTGTATCCTACCTTCCCAACTTTACCACTTACAACAGTGGCTGCACCCATCCCCCTATTATTCTAGGACAGCTTTTTTATTTTACTGTATGATAATGTTTATACATTTTGATCAGCCTCTCTCGAAATATAATTCTAGATACGCCTTACGCGATATAGCAGCAGTAGAATAGTATTTTTAATTTTTAAGTGCAGCTAGTGTTGTTTTGCTAGTTTTTACTATAGATAACTGATAAGTATTTATTACCTATGGTTTTATACACATATCATCTGATTCAGAGATTATCATAACTCATTAGTTGTTAGGCATTCAATATTATCTGAATTTAATTTGCAACATAGCCAGATTAACTTCAAGTATAAGGTTTACGAGTGTGAACTTACCTAATAAAATAGTTAATATTCTTTTTATATTAATTAAAAAAAAAAATAATAATTTATTAAACAGTATAGTATATGTTATATAGTACAACATATGTTCCGCCGTGAATATTTGATAAGTGCCCAGTGATTCCTAAGATGCGTAAACATTGCAATTTAGGCGGTAGACAGGTAATAAATCCGTAAAAATGCACGAGGGGAAGATAAAACGGCACTAATAATCAAATCGTATGTGAATCACTAAATGCAAGAAAGATGTGCCCTTCTTTTCTGTCCATAATTTTCATAAAATCACATTTTTGTTTAGATTCGAAAAATACATCGTTCTGTGCCAACGGAACACATTATGTCTAATTCATTGGTATAATTATAATTTATATATGATGTGAATTATTTCAATTATTTTCTTCAATTTTTTCCAGAGATATTAAGTTTTTTGTCTCTCCTGAAAAATTATAAAATGTGGACATGTGCCCTTCTTGCATTTAGTGATTCATGTAGTAAAATATGACAGTGTAATACTAATACTTTTAAAGGAAACTAATATTAAAATTGGATCTATTCAAATATCTGTAGGTTTCACTTAATATAAAGTGTTAAATTTCACACTTAATAAAATCTGCAATAAATTTGTCATTCATTTTACCTAGCTTGTATATTTAAATACCCTGTGATTCTTTCACATCATTAAGATTTTTTATTTTTTATTTTGTTTCAACAGATGTATATCAAAAAAACAAGCACACGTATTTCGCACGATGGGTGGGTCATTGTTGTAGGTGAGAAGTTGGGAAGGTAGAGAGGAAATTTAATGTATATCTGTACGCAACGATAAACCATTGCTAATGAAAAACGATTCTGAGCGGAGTTCGGTTACACATGTTTTGAAAGGTTGTAATTTTTATGATTTGAAAATAATACATTTCGTAAATTTTCTTTTTTTTTCTCGGGTTTTCCCATTTATTATGAAAACTTCTAGAAAAATTAAAAAATGACTCCCCTTAAAGTACCATTTTAGTCAAATTTTCTTTCAGAAAAAGTGTTACACTTGAAAATTAGTGTTAAATTTTTGATAGAAAAGTTGTTTACAGAAAAAAAAATAAACATTAATTTACAACTAATATAAAAGCTAAAAAGCTACACAGAAGGCCGTCAGTCGTGGTGGGAAAATATAGATCATGACGAACGTGATGAATAAATTCGTACAAAGTTACAAAATTTCATGCTGGCAGTTGGCGGACATCTGTTTTACTAGGTCATGTAATTTCTCGAAAAACTCTCGTGACATGCGAAAACATTAATAAAAACGATTTCTATGTGATTGAAGTTCAATACAGAGTTGATGGTATTTGCCAAACGTTTAGCTTTTCGTATTTATTTCATGCACTCAACGCCGTTATTTTCTTTTATTTTGAAGGCAAGTAGAAGAAGACGTTATTGCTCTTCGTCAGAACTAGACATATTGAATAAATTATAAGTAGTATAATGACAAAAACAATGAAAAATAATATGTATTTGTAATTATATGACGACAACCAAATTTGGATATATCGTAACAACTGTGAAAAATATAGTGTCTATACTAGACCGCTCGTGAAACAAACGCATGGTGTGTGGCGGTACCAGATCGCTGACTGCCGTGAAAATCCAGCGCTTGCCGTCCGCCGCTAGAGACCGTGTTCTGTGTGCCCGAGTCTTAAAAAAACCGATTCAGGACTTGAATACCATTAGTGATTTTTAAATTTATTGAAATAAACTCTTAATATATTTTCATCAATTGTTTTGTAGTTATAATGTTTTTTAATAAACAGAAGATCATTATAAGGTGCGGCAGAAGCTAATGTTGCATTAAACCGTGATATTGAATAACATCTTGGCATAATATACGATGACGAAATTTATAATACTGCCTTAGAATCTTTTAAATAAACTGTATGTTGTAAATAATACTGCAGAGAAAATATAAAACGCATTGAAGACAACATCGACTTGCTTCAGTGGCGCATTTTGAATATAGACACCCCGGGGCGAAACTATTTTATTGCCATCCCATTCCCTACAAAATATTTCACCCACTAATATTTACCTCAGACCTTCCCTCCCCACCCTCAATTACTGATAAATGTGTCCCTTTCTTGTTTTGAATAACATTTTAAAATGTATATCCTAGGGTTTAATTATTTACAATTATTTCAAAGTGTTTTATATTCAAATAAACAATCGTACCAAATAATGACATAAGTAAATTGTATGCCTTATCAGTCTTTTCACTCATATTACACTCAACCCAAAATAATTTGATACGATAATCTGTTATCACACATTACTTATTATTTGGGGTTGAAATGTGTAGAAAAAAGTTAATATAAAAGGCCGTTCGCGACATAAAATCACCCATAGTCCTTTTATACAATAGCGCTTACAACAATTACCTATAACTTAACTGCCGCTTCTAAATCTGTTAAAATTTTGCTGCTGGGGTCATTCGCCCGTATGCCCACCCCCTTAAATTCGCCACTGAATTGCTTACAAAAAATGACGAAGAAAAATAATTAGAACTGCAAATAGTCAGTGACTATTATAACCATTATCCAGACTGCAAGGAAAATTAATTTTTAAAAAAGAGCTGATACTGGGGACGAGTGCATCTACTGTTGTAGGTGGATAGTGGGGAAGGTGAGATACATAAAAATATTTAATTTATTAACCTGTAACCAAAAATAAACCATTGATATGGAACATAAATAACCTCCATGTATTTTTGGCAAAACAATTTAACTAACAAAATCTTCTAATTCATATTATTCCTAAATGTAATATAATAATAATTATTATTTATAATAAATTTGACTTCAATTTTTTCAGAATAAATATTTTTATGGTTTTACAATATTAAAATTTATTTTCGTCAATCATTGACAATTTTTTACTTTTTTATAACGGTTTTCATGTCACCTGTAAAATCAGGTTTTAGCACATAGGCTTTTTCATGTTAATGACGAAATTATAGTTACGCAATAAACAGACAAATTGAATTATAATACAATTCCAGGAGCTAAGTAGGCAATATACGTACAAAATTGAAAACTTTCAATAATCGTTTAAAAAATATATTTTCAGTTGCTTGGTAGGAAGTTGGCTACCATTAGCATTTCAATTTTAGGAGTTTAATAGGCAATATTGTATACAGAATTGGGAACCACCGGGCATTCTTATCAAATATTGCCAGCGGAACATACATAGATAATGAAGAATTATCTATGGGACCATACGTATTTATACGTCATTGGATTTTGTGGTTGTAACCCATGTACCACAAACCGGGTGTTATGCCACATGTCAAATTGATAATACTAATTACGATAAGAAGAAAATTGCCGAATTTTCAATAATATGTTAAAGAAATATAATAACTAGCATTAGGTGTGTTGGCTATTTTTTTTATGGCGTCATAAGATTACAAATATTACTATCCTAGTTTTTATCATTCATGAATTCACTGTTTAAGGTACGTTAAATTATCATTTTTTCCATGAGACGTTGATTTAAAGTGTTCAACTAGTATACCTTGTAATTCGAACCATGATTGTGTAGTGTGTACATATTTTTTACTGTTCATTGCAAATTGCAAATTTTATCCTCTTACTTAGTTTTCCGATTATTTAATGGTTTCATTTTCATTGTGATTTAAGTTGTTACAGGTAAAAAACTAATTATTTTGATTTACTGAACAAATGTTTCTGTATTCATCGTAAAATATATTTTACTAGTTTGCACAAATATCTTGGCAAAATGGTGCTGTTGGCTTCAGCAGTATGTACAAAAACTGGAAAAACTATAGTTTCACGACAGTTTGTTGAAATGACAAAAGCGCGGATTGAAGGTTTACTGGCAGCATTTCCCAAGCTAATGTCAACAGAAAAGCGTCATATTCAACACACCTTTGTGGAAACAGATTCGGTACGCTATGTATACCAACCATTGGACAAACTCTATATGTTATTAATCACTACTAAGACCAGCAACATATTGGAGGATTTAGAAACATTGAGATTGTTTTCAAAAGTAGTACTCGACTGTTGCAAGTAATAAATTTAACATTATGAATAAAGTTTGTGATTGTTTAATTAATATTTGTTTAAATTATTCTGATTTAGGTTAGTAGACGAGAGCGAAGTATCAAAAAAGTCTTTTGATTTAATATTTGCTTTTGATGAAATTGTTGCCCTTGGATATAGGGAAAGTGTTAATTTAGCACAAGTAAGAACATTTGTTGAAATGGATTCTCACGAAGAGAAAATGTATCAAGCTGTCCGTCAATCACAAGAACGTGATGCCAAAGTCAAAATGCGCGAAAAAGCAAAAGAATTACAACGTCAAAGAATCGATGCTGTCAAAAAAGGGGGCCGTATATCATCGTCATCAAATTCTTACATGTCAATGACTCCAGTTGCAGATTCGATTTATGAAATTAAAGTTTCCAAACCAGAAACACCAAAATACACAACAACCAATAAGGCTTTAAAATTAGGAGCTAAATCTAAGGATGTAGATTTGTTTGTTGATCAATTGAAATCTGAAGGTGAGAAAGTTGTACCAATTAATAAGAAAGCAACTATTATATCTACTTCATCAACGGTTCAAAGCGATATCCATATTAAAAAAGAAGAACGTTTAATTGCAATTGTTGGTCGTGATGGAGGCGTTCGCAATTTTGAATTACATGGATTAATTTCATTAAGAATTTCAAATGAAAACTATCAAAAAATTGTTTTACAATTTAATACTGAATCTGGAAACATTCCACTGCAAACGCATCCTAATATTGACAAGGAACTTTTTAAGACTAACCGATTAATAGGTTTGAAAAATCCAACAAAGCCATTTCCAGTTGACTCTGAAGTAGGGTTATTAAAATGGACTTTACAGTCACAAGAAGAATCGGCTATACCGCTTTCTATTAATTGCTGGCCTAGTGAAAATGGTTATGGTGGCTGTGATGTAAATATTGAATATAACTTGGAACATGTTGATCTTGAATTGAATAATGTTACTGTCACTGTTCCATTACCATTTGGAAATGCTCCAGTTATTCAAGAATGCAGTGGAGTCTATAGTTATGAGCCTAAGAAAAATGTTTTAATATGGTCTGTTGCTGTAGTTGATTCGTCTAACCCTACAGGATCTATTGAATTTGAAGCACCCAAATCAATTGCTTCAGATTTCTTTCCAATTAAAGTAGATTTCATGTCAAAATCTTCTTACAATAAAATTAAGCCGTTGGAAATTAGGGCAATTGACGATAACACTCCTGTTAAGTTTACATCCGAAACATCTTTATATACAGGAAATTATGAAATTGTTTGAACATTAAAAATTATTTTCTGGTTTTAACATTAATCTTATTAATATTATATTCTTATTATTCTTATTATTATTATTATTATTACAAATTTTTAAATTAAAATACACCTTAAAGAACTATACAATTATTTTATTTAAATATACATAAAAAAAAAAAAAAAAAATAATTATTCATTAGAATTATTTTGAGATGCAGATAAAAGTAGTTCTTGAACTTCTTTTAAATAAGAAATCTGTGATCGAACTGTGCTTAAATATTGAGGATATGTTAGTGAACTTAACTCCTGGGCTGGCAATGGTTCTGTTCTTGTAGGATATACCATCAGTGGTATATATCGCTGACTGCTTAAGCCTAAACATTAATATATATGTGAATTACAAAATTGTCCAGGTTATAATTATATAGTATAATAAGTAATTCAATTCATACCTAGATATAAATACATACATTTTTGAATTAAGCTGATAAGTATTAAATTATTTATTATAGATATTATTATTATTTTGAGAGATTATGTAAACGGAACGTAAATTTTTAAAAATAAAATCAATACTATGATACCTAAACAAATTAGAAATTATGTAAAGAGATTTTGATATAAAAGTTATTACTAATCAATTGTTTTTTTTTTTTTTTTTTTAATAAAATTAAATAGATACTAAAATGTATGTATAAAAGTATAATTTTTATGTTGAATAGATTTTTAAAAATATAATCGGTATTTATTTATTGACAATCTAATATAATATAGTGTATAACATTATATTGCAAATCAAATATTCTCGGGTATAATATTTTAATATATAAATAATTATAAATACTTAAGTAGGACTTTCCTTTGTATATTTATGTTTCAAAGTAAAACAATATTTTAGTAGATTCAAAAAAATTTAGTTCAAATAAATCTACAAACAATAATTATGTTTTTATCTAAATAGTTACTTTAATAGTTATTTATACTTAGGTTAAATTTTTAGTTAGTTATCACAAAAAAAAAAAATCAAATTAAAATTTAACATAAATATTATGTTTTTGTTGGGTATTAAAAATACAAATAGATCAAACCTATTGCATATTATATTACATTTATGTACCAAGTAATTTAATTCAAATAGGGAAAATAAATAATTGGTAATGTTTTTTTTGTTAATGGGTTTCATTAAACATTAAATATTTATATTTAATGAGTCGCCAAGCAAATATTTTAAGAAGGTGGTAAAATGAATTAGTTATATTAATAATTGTCTTACACTGAAATCAATAACTGATGTTTTCAATTTTAATTATAATTAAGATCATTCCGCATATTAATATGAACAAAGGAATTAAGGAAAACAAGTCACGATAAAAAAATATTAGTAAAAAGCCCTGTTATATTTTAACACTTTCACCTTCATTCCCATTATTTAGGGTAAGCTATTCCCATTCTAAATTTCCACTGACTCAATTTTCTACATTGCATATACCAACTGTCCTCATATCATTTAAATCCAACCCCCTCTTTTTCAGTATTCAGGTGGCTACTACTTTCCTTCTATGTTTATTTTCATAAAAATTCATACTACTTAAAATTCCTCTTTCCTCGTGACCTGACACAATTTCATTTGTTATTTCTCATAACAGGTAGAAGTCCAGTGGGAATATTCTGAACACCTACAAGGATCTTCAAAAACAAAGATATAATTAGCTAGAGGTATGAGGATTTTGAATATTATTTAAATTTTTTCAAAACAATTTCTAAATTAGCTGTTTGTTTTCAAAAATATAATATTTTGTTTATTATTTCTATGTGGTCTTAAAGTTTTGTCTAATTGATCTGATTTTTTTTTCTTTTCTTTGTGTTTTGTATTGATGGCATTTAGTTAGTATATGTTTTATTAGCGTATCATAATATGTAATGAGTAGAAATCCAAATATCTAGTATATAGATCTAGGTAAATTGATCTCCAATATGATTCTATATTATTATTAAGAGTTTTTCGGTGAGCAATATATAATAATTGGAAATTCAAAGTAGTTCAATCAAAATAATTCATATATAAGATATATAGATAAATTTCCAATAAAAGTAAGTACCTATATTCTACATTATATTATTCTGTAATAATTCTATATTTTGTTTGTTGATAAGAAATTTTAAATTTTATATGGTGAAAATTATATATAATCAAATAAAAAACTGTAAATTGGATTTAATGGTTATTTGTACAACAAACAAAACTAATGGGTGTAAAAATATGATTCAGTAGAGATGAACAAATCTAGTGCGATTGAAAAATCAGTGCAATTTAAAAACAACTTTAAACATTAATAATTTAATATTAACTAAGTGGTAATGTATATAATATATTTTTTTTTTTTTAATGTATAATAAAGTAAGAGTATTAAGAATTGAAGTATGGTTTACGAAATAAGTATGTTAGAGATATTACAATATTTAAATACAGTTAATAACAGGGTGCCTGTGTATTACATTAGTGAGAAGCATTAAGATTTTATTAAAGAAAAAATATATTGTAAACATGAAATAATAAGTAAAATTATGCCTTTATGTTTCTAATATAAATAAAATCTGATTATAGTGCATTGTTCAGTTTAAAAACACAGTTGAGATCTATAATGGGCGATACCAGGATAAGGAGTTTGACCCTTCTACATAAATACAAAAATTGGTTTGACGAACCGATGAATAACAAAAATAAAATGATAATTTTAGATAAAACAACAGGTGTTTATTATTATTGTAAACAATAGTTTTACTTATTATAATTGTAATTTTTGATTAAGTTATTATGTTTTTTTTATTTATATATATATATATAGGATTAATTATATATACATAATTAAATACATTTTATACTGATAACGAAAACCAAATCAAATCTGTGCACAATTTTTTCAGTGAGGCATGAAAATATTATCCTAGTGTAGTTAATAAATGTTTACAAAATTCTTTTTAAACCAGTATTGTTCCTATTAATAGTACTTCCCAGGTTTTGAAATATATAGAATCATTCATGTTGAAACTATAAATTATATTATCTCTATAATAAATGTAGATTATAAAGATATACAGATTTATTTTATTTTTATTTTTATTTATAACAGAACGGGCAATGGTTCAGAGTACACAATAATATGTATACAGGGTGTACTGGACTATTTGACGATTGTACATGTAACTACAATGTAAAAAAGAAAGGTAAGAAAATGGGGATGGGTATAGCTACAGAGATAGGTGTGAAGTTAGGAAGGCAGTTTATATACGGAAATTTAATGTATATTTATAAGCAACGATAAACCATTGCTTACAAAAAACGATTCTGAGCAGAGTTCAGTTGATAGTGATGCTTTGTCAATAATATATTAGTCAGTTTTTAGTAAAATAATTAAATAGGCTTAATATATTTTCTTTAATAAACTTTGTTAAATGCTGTACCAATTTTTTCAGTTTTCCAACAATTTTCCTATGTAATATATTTTAACTAATTCCTAAATTTCTTATATTTTCCTTATTTTTTTTTTCTTCTTTGGTTTTTTGCATTTGATGAGAAAATCGAAAAATGACCTCCTAAAAAGTACCCCCCCCCACGCCGATTTCCTTTCAGAAAATAAGTAGAAATTCATGCTACAAGCAGAAATTCAAGCATGTTTTCTGGTAGAAAAATCGCGCATAGATTAAAAAAATAAAAAATCTTTGAAAAACTATTAATTTCTTCGTTCTACTCGGAATCTAAAAGTCAAAGAGTCCTGTTACATCCTGTATATGTATTATGTATTTAGTTATGAAAATTCTGCAAGCATTATTTGAAGCATTCATCAGTAAAAAATAAGAATTGTATTTTCATACATTATTTGATATTTGAAAAATAAATGTTAAGTAAATAGATAACAACAATAGATATATTAGGTTTAATATAGCCACATAATGAGGTGCGAGTGTTCTGAGCCAATCCATTGGTCACACTACACCTTATATATTAATTAAATAACCCAGGGTAATAATTTGTATTATTATAATAATATAGTATTGTATTAAAATTCATATGACTCAGTGTCGGCCTAACTATGTCTGATAACGCGCAAACGCGGAAAAAAAGCCCTCAATCGTATTTGTGTCTGGAGGTCTCTCAGACCCTAAGATTTAGAAAATATTGTCATTTAACTACTCATTGTCTTTTGTAGACTATTGCAGAATGCAGTAAAATAATAAAATATAATCATTTATTATTATACCTCTGTGTACAAGTCAAAATATTGAAAATGTATTTTGTGAATCTATCATATTTATAATATAGCAGGTATTTACCAATCAATGTCATATAAAATCCGTTTTTATTTTAATAAATATAATAGACTGATGACACTGGCTTCTGACTTAATATTTCATTGATTTTCATGATATTTGTATTTTTCATCTATGGAGGCCCATAAAACAATTTCTCTAGGAATCTCTAATGTGTCAGTCTGGCACTAATATAACTACATGTAGGTACAATTTTTTCCATATGTATTATGATGTTTAAAGGTAATTGAATTTCTAATTCATAATGAAATAGTTTTAAATCTTCAATGTGTAGTGCACGTAAATCTATTTTTTACTAATGTCTATGAATTTCACATGGCCTATGACTGAATATATCAAATTCTAACTTAAGAACCCTTAATACTTTTAAATTAATTTTAGTTAAATTTAAAAAATTGAGTACTTTATACACGTGAATATAATACCTTGTTGCTGACATTCAATAGCAGTTTTAAGATTGTATTCAATTTGGTCACAAATTGAAAAGAATTCTTCAATGGCTTTCTCAAAACGAGGACTGGGCATGTCAACAGTTTTTAGTAATCCAGTATCTATGTAATGATTTTGTTGCAGTGTATATGAAGCTGCACGTAGTACACAATTTAATGATTCTTTGAGTTGAATCACTTGAGTTTTGACTTTTGATATATTGTCCAATTTTTCCTGCTGCTGCTGCTGTTGCTGTTGTTGTTGCTGTTGTTGTTGCTGCTGCTGCTGCTGTTGTTGTTGTTGTTGTTGTTGTTGCTGCTGCTGCTGCTGCTGCTGCTGTTGCTGTTGTTGCTGTTGCACCTGTTGCATGCCTTGAGGAATTTGGGGTGAATTCGTAGGAAATACTGGCATTGACATGGTTTACGAATTGAAATTGATTTATTTTATTTATATAGAACCCTAAAGATATTTAATAGTATTAATATGGCACCTTTGTTATTAAAAAATAAATAAAAATGAAAACTTAGGTATAAATTAAATTAATAATAGTTATAGTTGTGGGTCATTGTTTTGTTAAATTACTACAACTTTAAAAGTTGGAAAAACAAATACTACAGTAATTCACTGATCCAGTTGAGATTACGTTATCAATCGTGGGAATTTGTAATTGATAGATTTAGTTATTTGATAAATAAAAAAATGTCGTTATCTATAGTAAACATTTGATGGGCAACACTGATCAACCAAGTTGGCTGCCTTGGTCTAGTCTGGGTGATAGCGCGCTCGTCAAAATACGATAACCCGCAGCTGCTGGTCGTGTTCTGTGTGAGCAGTGTGAGCCGCGGGCAGTCGTCAGTCACAATTGTGCGTTGAAGTTCGTTGGTTTCTGTCGTTCATTTTTGACGTTCTTATCAGTACAACGCAGTGATTGTCTGACACTGGTACATAAACAATTTATTTAATATTTGATTTGTTTTAACGATCTCACCGCCTTTGGTGTATTACCTGAACGGGTCAGTCCTAAAAATGGCCGAAGAAGACGGAAATATGGAGGAGAATAACGCTGGTGATATGAATACCAAATTTGGGCTGCGATTGCGTGGGCGCAAAGGAGCTTTGAAAAAGAAAAACGTCTATAATGTCAAAGATCACAAATTTATTCCGAGATTCTTCAAACAGCCGACTTTCTGTAGCCACTGCAAGGATTTCATATGGTAAATTTTTAAATAATAATACAAAAATAATTTAATTTTAATTCGTATGAATACCTAATCCTTCCAAGTGTGATGTACCTATTTACCTCAAAAATATACTCTAATGGTTTATTTAAAAATTAACGGATTGTTTACCCATAATAATAAAGTCATATTCCATTATCCCACATAGATTATTAGAATTACAACCTAATTGGATCTGTATAATAAATCGCTGGTATACCATAAAAACATTGGTTAGGTACCTAATCTGGATACCTATATCGTTCATGGGTATTTCCCGAATTAACGAATTTGGTTATGAACAATAGCCATCTAAATAGCAATTAATTTGTTTTTATAAATGCTAATTAATAACAAATTAACCTCGAGTTAACTCGAATTCAATAAATATGATATTATGATTCAAGTGATATACTCAATACGACGATGTAACACAATTATTTGCATATTTGTATCTATCTACTTGCAGATTTATTTGCAAACTAAGAATGTTGACCAATCAATATTTGTATAATGTTAATTACGTACCTATGTTTAACTATGTACATGACAGTTTCAAGTACGATGAGTCGAAATAATTTTTCGTTGTCGTGTTACGACGACAAATTATTTTGGCCATTCGATCAATGCCAATTTACATTTAGATACTTATAAGGTTATAATTTCCCGAAAATTTATAATTTAAACGTTTTGATATTAAGATAGAATCGTAATATTTACGATTTTCATCAAAATTTTATCATTACATAGTATCTACCAATAAAAAACCACGTAATAAACTAGAAAGTGTAAAATGTCTATAAATAGCTCAAACATATTTTCAGAATACTTTAAAAATTTTACTCAGTTTTGCTGTATTATTAAGAAAATTATACAGAAAATCAAAAAACGATTTTATTTCTCACCAATTAGGTCCAGTATGCAACAAAAAAGGTCTCTTGTCGTTTTTCGTTTGGAGGAATATTTCTCGTAGAAAATATAAACCGGAAAAAAGTGAAATAATAAAATCGCAACCCTATAAATTTGTTATTTTCAATTTTACGTTTTTTTCTGGGTTTTCCCAATTATTTTGATAATTTTTTGAAAAATTAATTTTTAATTTAATAACAATAAAAAATATACGGACACCAAAACAGGTCTCTAGTCATTGTTTGATTGGAGCAAGATTTCTGGTAGTAATATTTCTAACAGACACACATACACAAACACATACGCAAAACCACATATCTTAGTAAAACATTTCAAATACATTCATTGCTACGCTCAGTATCTAAAAGCACACACCTAGTACACCAAGTTAGGTCAAAACATTAATTGCTGTGCTCTTAAAATCTAAAAAATACCATAAATCGTAGAAGAACCAATACATTCTTCGCTGCATTCAGAATCTAAAAGAATATTTAAGTACCTATATCACTATTATGATCGAAACTAAATTGTCGTTCATATTCGCTTTTTCACGAAAAATTTAAGTATTGATTTTCGCGAGCATTTATTTGAACAAAAATGAAAAATGAAAATTTTAGTTTATATGTGTATTGTATAAAGACTTATTATACCGAAAACTTTGGTTTTTATTACGAATTATACCTACTTACGATAATTTATTTTATTTTACAACTTTTTGGTATTGTTTTCATTTCTTTTTTAGGTAGGTAGTAAATATATGCAGGATAAATATTTCTAAAAATGTTAACGGTATTTACTTGTTTAAATCTACTTTATGTTTTTGAAAAAAAGTAACTATTCTTTTATAAAGTATTCCACGGAAATCACGTGAACAAATATCAGGGTCTCATCAACCGCTAAATTTATGTTACATCACGAATTATACATAATTTGTTGTAATTTTGATATTATTTACACAGTGATGTTTAATAAAACTATTCAAACTTGGGTTGAATTTTTATTTCTACATTTAGTAAATTTAACTCGTTTAAAAGTTCCATAACTCGAGTGATTTTTATGAGGTAGGTGCTCAAAGATTATGTATGTTATAATTTTTAATTTATAAAAAAAATATGTTTGTATTACACCGGAAATATTTAAAGGCAGATATTTGACCGACGTGCGACTATTTGATATAGGTGTTTTAAAAATATTTTGTTTATGACATGAACATTTTAGTTTTAAGAAAATATTTGATTAATTTTTTATGTTAAAACTATTTAAAAGTAAAAAGAAAAAAAAAACCAATTCTGTCAGTACGATTCATATTTTTTTTGAAATATATCTCTACATATATATGTTAGATGTTTAGCAATTCACGTAAGACAGTTATTAGTTTTACTTTTGACTTTCAGACACGGCAGATAGTCCAAAAAAGTTTTTTATAGAAAAAGTTATAAACACTTGATAACTGAACAAAGATTATGGTACTTTTTAGATGTATTTTTTCTACGTCTACATTTTTTACATCGTTTTCCAAAAAATGTTCAAATACTTAAAGTGCAAGACGTATACCTCTAATCGTATAAGTACATTTTAAAGTGTAGAGCTCACTCGGATAGAAATCTATTGATTAATACCACTGCAGAAGACGAACTTCTTGTACCATTGCATTTTAAAATATTTTCAACTGAACATCGTTCATAATCGAATTTCGTTTGCAATAATTCATCTTCGCGTACAATTTATTACCAATAAATGTATATCATCCTCGATCTCCCATTTACAACTGTCAAGGCACCTATCACCAGCATTATCGTTTCTTTTTTTGTTTTTGTGTGTTTAAACTCTAATTTCGGCATAGTGGCTGCAATAGTAGTTGTAATAATATGTTCTAATAAGAACGTAATTTTGTTACGTTACCCGTTAGTTAAACCGTGAGAGTAAAAAATGCGGGTAGGTACGTATGACGTCCTCTTAATAAACTGCAACAGTCACGTAGAATTATTCATAGGTGAATACTCCTGTGAAATGTATTCTGTTTTGTGCGAATTAATTACAACGAATACCCGTTAGCAATAATAAAATGTTTTGCAAATTAGCTTTCATTCAATAATATTAATAGGCATATATGTAACTATTAGCGTGTTCGAGACTTTCGTTTTTTTTTTTTTTATTACCTATATACCTTTAAGGAATTACCTACTAACTTAGTTTTCGAATTTAACTTATTTATGTATTCTATACAAACGTCGAGTATCATTTATGATTCTATAATATCTAGTACCTATATACTTAAAATATCTGATATGTGCAGTTTATTTTATGATTTCTGTTTTTTTTTTTTTTTTTTTTAACCACTGTGGAATTGGTTAAGTTTTATTTTAAAACCATTTTTAATTTTTATCCCCCTACTCCATATACCTAAATAAATAAGTATATACTTTTGTTTTTATTGAAAAAAAAATATGCAAAATAAAACTTAAACTTTTCCATAGTGGTTAAAAAAAAACAGAAATCAAATTCACTTAAATTCTCCGAAAAAATTGTTGATTCATGAAAAAAAATCATCCTGTATGTTAGTATAGTCGTGAACCGAACATTTTCGCTGTAGGTGTAAAATAATAATAATGGTGTTAATCTAGACACGTATACCAGCCTATCCAGTATACATATAGTGAAGCCACACGGACCCACGATTAGCCACGAAACTTTTCACGGTCATACGTTAATTTCGTTGTACACGATTCGTGTAATTTATATGAGTTTTAACGAATATTATGTATATTCGTAATATATAATAATATATAGTGTGAAGTAGTTACCTCATTTCTTCTCTTAAAATAAAATCCTGACCATCCCAGCCGGATGATTACCTGAATTAATCAGCTACTGGGTACTAGCGCAGTAACGTCGTAGGTACTCTCAAATAATTAAATTATACAAATACTACCTATATCGAAACTCCGAATATCGATAATTATGCGCAAAAACTTCGAATATTATAAGATTATCGTATAAGATTATTAGTTTTGGTAAATTAACTAAAATAATTTATGTTATTACATAAAATCGGCGATGCCGAACGAAATTGAAATTGGCAATTCAAATTAATAGTACATAAGTTACCCATCATCCACCCCCTTCCGAATTATCACCTTTCTGAAGTTACTTGTCGAAAAGGGGGTGGGTGGATGATAACGCACTGTAACGCCACTGGATATACCATTATTTAATGATAATTTTGTGTTTTATTTCATAATTAATTAAATACCGTTTGAACTGTAAATAGATTCCTTCAATTTTTTTTTTTTAGGAATATTATGCGCACGGCTTTGTATACATAGATTTAAGTTAAGTCTAATTTGTTTACCGTCCATTTACGAGCCAGTTTAAATTATAACCGGACTGGTGGCTATGTTTAAATAATCTATAGATACAGATCGATACCTACATTATAATATTATATATTATATATTATAATGTACAGAAACATTGTATATAAAATGAACAATTGTAGATATTGTTC